CATCTGTTGGGCTCTGAGGCGACCCAGCGGTGTGACTGAGCCTTTAGGCGCTCCGTGTATTTCTTTGGCACAGCAGATGGAAGGCCTGCAGTGCAGCAGGGCATCAAAAAATTACATCATACTCTTGTTGTTCCTCTCCACGGAAATCTTTAGTAAAAGGCGAAAGATTTATACGATCTGAAGAGAAACAAGAGTGAACTGTACTCCGCAACCCTCAGTGTCCACAGCCATTCCTGGTCGGGCCTTTCTACCTCACGGTGCACTGCTGCACTGCTGCACGTCAACATTAACCAACCACGCGCATCAAAGAGGAACTCCGGCAAGAGCTTTGGAGTGGTCCCATCTGCCCTAACAACGATTTAGTGTAAAGCTGTTTTCTAGGTGCCAATAGCAACTCAAAGTCTGTTCTGCTAGGTTTCTCCAAATACTGCCAGCTACTGTACCTATTACGCTCACTTTTTTGCTTGTTAGCTCCACAAAAGCCCTGTGCAAAGAAGTTTAAATCTCTGCCCCGCCTTGGTCAGAGATACAGTCCTACGATGTTTTCTCCCTCAACTGTTATGACTTGTGTAACTACAGACAAAGACTTGAAGGGCAAAGGTGCAAAGAAAAGAAAAACAGAAGAGATGGCTTTGATGGCTCTCTCATAGTCATGAGCCCCGATATTACTGTAGATCGGAGCGATTCCGACCTTATGACCGCGCTTTCTTCTGATCCCATTGAGAAAATAGCTGCGGCACCTGAGGCCCAAGCAGCCCTAAATGTTAACACAGGGTTCCGTGAGAGGCATCTTTGTGAGGCATTGGATAGTAAGCCTACCTAAAGGTGCAGCGGCCGCATCAGTGGCTGGGAGGTGACACATCTGTTGGGCTCTGAGGCGACCCAGCGGTGTGACTGAGCCTTTAGGCGCTCCGTGTATTTCTTAGGCACAGCAGAGGGAAGCCCCGCAGTGCAGCAGGGCATCAAAAAATTACATCATACTCTTGTTGTTCCTCTCCACGGAAATCTTTAGTAAAAGGCGAAAGATTTATACGATCTGAAGAGAAACAAGAGTGAACTGTACTCCGCAACCCTCAGTGTCCACAGCCATTCCTGGTCGGGCCTTTCTACCTCACGGTGCACTGCTGCACTGCTGCACTGCTGCACGTCAACATTAACCAACCACGCGCATCAAAGAGGAACTCCGGCAAGAGCTTTGGAGTGGTCCCATCTGCCCTAACAACGATTTAGTGTAAAGCTGTTTTCTAGGTGCCAATAGCAACTCAAAGTCTGTTCTGCTAGGTTTCTCCAAATACTGCCAGCTACTGTACCTATTACGCTCACTTTTTTGCTTGTTAGCTCCACAAAAGCCCTGTGCAAAGAAGTTTAAATCTCTGCCCCGCCTTGGTCAGAGATACAGTCCTACGATGTTTTCTCCCTCAACTGTTATGACTTGTGTAACTACAGACAAAGACTTGAAGGGCAAAGGTGCAAAGAAAAGAAAAACAGAAGAGATGGCTTTGATGGCTCTCTCATAGTCATGAGCCCCGATATTACTGTAGATCGGAGCGATTCCGACCTTATGACCGCGCTTTCTTCTGATCCCATTGAGAAAATAGCTGCGGCACCTGAGGCCCAAGCAGCCCTAAATGTTAACACAGGGTTCCGTGAGAGGCATCTTTGTGAGGCATTGGATAGTAAGCCTACCTAGAGGTGCAGCGGCCGCATCAGTGGCTGGGAGGTGACACATCTGTTGGGCTCTGAGGCGACCCAGCGGTGTGACTGAGCCTTTAGGCGCTCCGTGTATTTCTTTGGCACAGCAGAGGGAAGCCCCGCAGTGCAGCAGGGCATCAAAAAATTACATCATACTCTTGTTGTTCCTCTCCACGGAAATCTTTAGTAAAAGGCGAAAGATTTATACAATCTGAAGAGAAACAAGAGTGAACTGTACTCCGCAACCCTCAGTGTCCACAGCCATTCCTGGTCGGGCCTTTCTACCTCACGGTGCACTGCTGCACGTCAACATTAACCAACCACGCGCATCAAAGAGGAACTCCGGCAAGAGCTTTGGAGTGGTCCCATCTGCCCTAACAACGATTTAGTGTAAAGCTGTTTTCTAGGTGCCAATAGCAACTCAAAGTCTGTTCTGCTAGGTTTCTCCAAATACTGCCAGGTACTGTACCTATTACGCTCACTTTTTTGCTTGTTAGCTCCACAAAAGCCTTATGCAAAGAAGTTTAAATCTCTGCCCCGCCTTGGTCAGAGATACAGTCCTACAATGTTTTCTCCCTCAACTGTTTTGACTTGTGTAACTACAGACAAAGACTTGAAGGGCAAAGGTGCAAAGAAAAGAAAAACAGAAGAGATGGCTTTGATGGCTCTCTCATAGTCATGAGCCCCGATATTACTGTAGATCGGAGCGATTCCGACCTTATGACCGCGCTTTCTTCTGATCCCATTGAGAAAATAGCTGCGGCACCTGAGGCCCAAGCAGCCCTAAATGTTAACACAGGGTTCCGTGAGAGGCATCTTTGTGAGGCATTGGATAGTAAGCCTACCTAGAGGTGCAGCGGCCGCATCAGTGGCTGGGAGGTGACACATCTGTTGGGCTCTGAGGCGACCCAGCGGTGTGACTGAGCCTTTAGGCGCTCCGTGTATTTCTTTGGCACAGCAGAGGGAAGCCCCGCAGTGCAGCAGGGCATTAAAACATTACATCATACTCTTATTGTTCCTCTCCACGGAAATCTTTAGTAAAAGGCGAAAGATTTAAACGATCTGAAGAGAAACAAGAGTGAACTGTACTCCGCAACCCTCAGTGTCCACAGCCATTCCTGGTCGGGCCTTTCTACCTCACGGTGCACTGCTGCACGTCAACATTAACCAACCACGCGCATCAAAGAGGAACTCCGGCAAGAGCTTTGGAGTGGTCCCATCTGCCCTAACAACGATTTAGTGTAAAGCTGTTTTCTAGGTGCCAATAGCAACTCAAAGTCTGTTCTGCTAGGTTTCTCCAAATACTGCCAGCTACTGTACCTATTACGCTCACTTTTGCTTGTTAGCTCGTCACCCTTAATCACGCATCTGTCAGTTTCTTAATGTTACATCGCCTCTATTAGCTGATATTTTCTGAATTTTGTACTCAATTTAGAAAAAAAGAAAATCTTAAACACTGATAAAGCAAAGCATGATGGGAGCCACACTGCCCCAACAACGTTTCAACTTTCAAAAACTTTGTCCTTTTGCCAAATTAATAACTATTCTTTAATGATTTCGTGGCAATTCCTTAACTTTTTCGCTCATTGGTAATTAAACGGATTCTGTGGTCTACAGAAAGTGCTTAATAAATAGTTTATACGCCTCACTTTCGCGCATGCGGACAAACACCATCAAAGATTTTCAAGAAGCACAAGAGGTTTTCCGTCATGCCATCTGACTTCAGAAACAAACGGGTGAAGGTGGCTCTTACTATCGACGGACTTTTCGTATCAGGACTCGGGGGAGTTCCTTTTTCTCCTCTCCAGTGATCACGTTATAAATTTTCTTAACAGCCTTCTTTTTTAAAATGATGTTTATTTGTTGATTTTTATTATTACTATTTAAGCAAACGCGTATCACATGTTAGCGGAAGCTATGTACCAGACAACACTCTGTGATCAGATACATCTTCTTCAGTTTTTCTTGCCATATTTCAGACGAACAAGTTTTCAGTTAAGACAGCATTTTATGTATCCCTTTTACACAACGAAACTGAACTACGCCTTTCTGTTTTCTCACGTTGCATTCCCCCATTTTTAGCATCAACGTCCATGTAAGGTAATACCACTTAAATGTCAGTTCGTTTGGCGTGTTAGCCTTTTAACCGGCTTACTTGAAGCATTTTGTTTAGCAGAGTAAAATTTGTTTGGAAGGAGGAGGAACCACATGTTTATGATTATTCACATACAACTTTTGTTATTTCACCACACTTAAACGTCACCTACATTTTCAGTCTCGGGTTGTTGGACGCCGGTACCAATCTTCTTCTCAAGGCTCGTGTGTTCCACTGAACTGCGATCAGCTGTACGCTTCTCAGAGCCACTCACGGTATCCTTTGATTGTCTGAGACATCTGCTCTGTGATCAGTTTTCAAACACGGGCCTGCCTTGTCGGCACCAAGAGTAGACGCTGATGTTTTAACACAGCTACTCAGGAACACGCGCCACCATGCGGATCGGAGTTGTAATACAACGTAAAACTGGCAATTCAAAATGTAGCAAGGCTCAAAATTTCAAAAATATAAAACTTTTACTCAGATAAAAAAAAAATAATAATAATAAAAAAAAAAAATACAACTACACAATAAAGGCATTTACATGAGCGGACAACTGTTTCCTAGTCCTGATCAAAAATGTTCAACAAATGTGAAACATGCAATGTGGTGCATCTGATAGGTACAACCATTAATTTATATAGTTTATACCATAAAAAAGGCAGATTAATTTTTTTAAATAATGTAATCAGTTAATACAGTATGTGAGATTTAAGTAATAGTTAATACGTATCAAGTACAATAATTGGTGTTGATGCATCAGGGTTGCTCTCACCACAAACAGCTTTTTAAATGTTATGTTTTAATGGGTTAATTCACGTAAGGACTAACATACTATAGTTTTAGCTCAAACCTTTCTGGTTACCTCTGAAATTAGATTTTTAATAAATTCAAAATAGCAGCCTCCATGGACTAGAACTTGCTCCTATTAGATGTTATAATACTCATTTCTAGTGCACAAAAATAAAAAGTTTTATATTCAGGTCCCTTTTCCCTAAATTAAACATAACTACACATTGTATTCTATTTCTGTCATGTCTGTTCAGTTAAATGCTGCTAATTTCTACACACTGCATCTTTCAACTAACAACTTGTCAATGTTTTTCCCCCACCCCCTGTACAATGCGCAAAACTGAACTGTCTTCATCACAGATTTTACAAACACAAGAACCCAGATGATGATGGTAGTAGTTTTTGAAAGAAAACAAAGATGTACAACTTTTAACAAAATGTTTGCTTTATTTTTTTCAATTTTTTTTTTATCCAGGACAACTCATTCAAGGATAATCAAGGAGAAATAAGCACTACTGTTTTCATTAGAACTTTTTTTTTTCTGTTTTTACATTTTTTCAAAGATGGATGGTGAATTTTTTTCAGAATTGGTCAAAGTAAAACAAAAAATAATAAATGAATATATAATAACAATACAATAATAATTAATTCAATACAATGAAGTGTGGCGTCAATGATAGAATAACAATGGCCCAGAAAACGTAGGGTTGTTGTTTTCACTGCTTCTTCTGTGGTACTGCAATAATCACCAGCACTAACTCAACTCAACTCAATCAACAACAGTAGAGGAGGGGATGGAGCGCACCCTCAAAGTTCTGCACCCCGGCCTCCCAAAGAGGAAACACTTTTTTTATTTAAATAATATTTTATCAAAGCTTCAGTTTTTTCTTCATAAAACGTTTCTAAAACTTATGTCTTCTTTAAAGTTCTCTTTTTTTTGCATTTTTATTTTTTCCTTTTGAGAGATTCTTGTCTCCATTTTTACCACAATGTGACTGTTTTTGCAAGTGTGGTAACCTATGTGTTTTTGCGGGTCTGTGTATGTCTGTCTGTGTGTGTCGCTGTATGTTGGTGGGTCCTTTGCTGAGGCTTGTTAGAACAACTCCTCGGTTGTTTAAGTGCTCATGTGAACACGAAGCTTGCACACATGAAGCATGATGATGTGTTTTTTTTAAGCATGTGGATAGAGTGTGTGTATGCATGTGTATATTATGTCCTGACACTGCGTTGCCCGTATTTCAGTCATTGCTGCAAAGACATTCATACTGTGAGGTTGACGCTGGCTCAAGCAACAAAGTGTGTGGTCTTCAACTAGCAGTGCATGTGTGTGTGTCTGTGCATCTACAAAGACAGCTTATCAAGGAGTGTGTTGAGCTAGTGTGTGCACATGGGTGAGCAGACTAGGTGAAGTGAGTGTCTCTCTGTGCCTACATAGGTGTCAGTGTATGAGTGTGTGTGTTTTTATACTGTGTGTCGGCATTTATGTACTTAAAGGTAAGCCAAAAGTACAACTTGCATGGCCTGTGTAAAGCTTATTATGGGTCTGTAAAGCCACGGCATGATGTGAGAGAGGACGTATGTCTGTGTGTGTGTGTGTGTGTGTGTGTGTGTGTGTGTGTGTGTGTGTGTGTGTGTGTGTGTGTGTGTGTGTGTGTGTAATAGAAGGCACGGAGGGTGGTGTGGGAGGCTCAGTCTCTCAGGTCCATGCTGGAGCCGAATAGGGCCACCAGCTGCTCCTCGTAGTGGGCGATGTTCCTCTTCATGATCTCCTTACAGGAGCCCAGGAGGCGCTCAAAAGCCTGCACGTCTATTACTGCAGAGGGAGAAAGAGAGAGATGGAGGCAGTGTCAGTTTAGATGGTCTGTACTGAGCTACATCAGATGCTCAACAATCCTGCAGAGATCCTGCAACAAAGATTCAATCAGCTACACCATTATGCTGGCGCTGCTTGTTCAAATTATGGTGAATAATAGTGATTTTCTGTAACAGTTTGATCTGAGATAACATGATGATGCTCTGCGAGGCATGATGTGTAATTAACTACATCATCACTCCTCCCCCCTCACACACATTGCTACATCTCTGTTTCATCTCACCATCTCCCTGTTCTTACAGAAGTCAATTTAGTTCTGTTTCTACATTAGTGGGAGAGACACATGACCCCAATATTCTGCTTTTATACCATTAATAAGGACTGACAAGCTGATACAAGTAAAACATGAAGCGGCTCTAATCTGCCTCACAACACAATAAAATAGGAACTGAGATGTTTTGGAAGCTTCCATCTGTTGGGGATGTTCTCCAAGTTGTTTTTTCCCTATACCATCAGAGCAGAATTAATTATTTGAACGTGAGGAAAGTGTTTTTGACACAGCCCTTAAAACTCCAGCTTTCTGAGACATTTACTTGGTGAGGGTGGAAAGACAACTCAGGGGCCCTCTTAAATATGCCTGGAAGACCCCAGAGGACCCTTTAAGTGCTGTTCATCTTTTCCACTCACAGCCCAACAGGGACGATGACAAGAGTCGAAACAGATAGCATCCTTTGCCTCAACAAGTGACATTTTTCTCTGCTCTAAAGCAAAGCAGCTATTCAGAGCAAGCTGTTTTACAATTAATACAATAAACACAAAGGGAAGTGAGAGAGAAAACAGAAAGGTGACTGAGAAAACTTATGATGTGTGAATCATTTTTTTTTTTGATGGGGAAGAAATTGAAAAACACAAAAAAGACTGGCTGTCAACATCAACTATAAAAAAAGACCCCTTTTATTAAACACATCAATGCTGAATATTCAAGTGATAAAAAAAGGTTAAGCAGATTTCACAACAAACAGGGAGATGGGTGAGAGAGAGAGGCAGACACAATCTGCTGTTAAAAATCTGGTTTAATTTCAGATGTGAAGAGCTGCTCATCCACTGTTGAGCCTGAATAAGAGCACCCGCTTTCAAAACAAAATAATTGCTGAGCGGCCTTCCATCAACCAAAAGTACAAGGTGATGACAGGCAAGGTAGAGAGCGAAACATCAATTACAGATAAAATAGAAATCAACAGCTACTTATTATCTCCTGAAAAATCTAGTTGGTGTACAATGTGAACCAAAGAGAGTGTTGCCCTGTAAGGTCAAGTGTTATACGCTTACTGTTGCCTGATAACTGTCTTTTGAGTCCTATAAAGTTGTCTTTTTACAAGGATATATTGAATTGATTTCTTTCATTATTAGCTTTCAATCTCCTTGAGAGTAAACAACAAAGAAGTTGAAGAAGCTGCGTTCTCAAAGAATTTTGCAAATACTACAATTACTAAAACATTCCTTGGCACCAGTGGAAACCAAAAGCTTCACTGTATCCATAATTGACTTAAGCGTAGTTTTCTTGAGACAGACGAAAAGGTGTTATGGATTGTATTATTTCTTACCCAAACACTTGACATTGCCCTCTGCGTAGGCTGAGGCAGCCCGGGGCTTGTTGGTGACCAAGGCCAGCTCCCCAAAGTACTGACCCCTGCTACAGCGTGCTATCTCCACCTCCGCATTGTCTGCGTGGTCTGCCTTCGTCTGCAGGGGGGGGAGAGGAGAGGATTAGAGGTAAGAAACCACTGAGCACCTTTTAATATTCAGCCCCCAGTGTGCAGCAATCAGCAGCTGAGCAGACCCTTGTGTGATTCCTGCTGTTGCTAGGCAAACCAGGAAGCATTCTTCTTTTTTGGTGGTCTTTGCAGGGGAGTGTCAATTGTTAATGTCATTTTTGTTTTTTTTATCTCCATGGAATCTATGTACTGATTAAAAAAAACATTCTTTTTGCTGATCAGCCTGTCCGTAGACAAATCTTTGCCTTTCTTCCAAACACTAGAGCAGCACCTGCAGAAAAATGTTGGTGGACTGATTTGGTTTCAAAGACATGGAAAAGCCCACATTAACACAGAGACGGTATAAATGTGTGCAGCGGTGGAAAAACAATTGTCAAAGGTCTTACTTTACTCTTCATCATGATCTTCACCTCCCCGGATTCTACAATATAAAAGCAGTCGGCCTTGTCTCCCTGAGGAAAAGGAAACATAAAACTTCTGAATACATTTATCATTCTGTAGCAATAACCTCCCTTTATGAGTGACCATGTCCCCTCCATATCTTACCTGTGTGATGATGCGATCACCATCTGAGAACTGCTTCATTCCTAATACATCCACTATCTTCATCCTCTCTGTTGCCTAGACAGGGAGAGATGGGGTCAGTGGACCAGGAAAAAAAATCAGGATTTATCTTGAAAAAGCAGAGCAACCTTTACATAATCTTTCTCTTCTCCAATTCATTTATCCTCTCTAACTGCTGTTTCCACAAACAGTACAAAAATTAGCTGGGTGGCTATTTACCAGGAAAAAAAAATCTGCGTGGAAATGTTAAATAATTTACTTTGTAGCCATCCTATAAATTCAGATTTCCCTTCCAAATATGGAGGACAGTTTGTGTTTGTTTTTTATTAGGCTTGCTGGATTGTTAAGCCTCAAAGAAAGGAAAGATAAAGAAACAAGAGGATTTCCTAGAAGATCTAAAATGCTCACCTCCAGTGATTTGAGTAAGGGCACAGACTCTATGAAGCACTCGTACATCCTCCTCTTCTTGGCATTGTTCTTTACAATGAGTCTACGAAATGTGGCACGGTCCTAGGGACAACACACGTGTAAATAAGCAGCTCCTGCAGGCAGGTTCATTGAGCATGAAACATTGCTGCTAGTGCTCCTGTGCTCCACCACAAGAAGGAGCTGTAGCTGTATAAACCGTCCGAGCAGAGCAGCAGGCTCCATTCATAGATAACAGGAGTCCATTCTTAACATGTTTCAGCATCAGTGCTCTGTGTTTGGGGTCTCAGGAACAGATGTTTTACTTGTTGCCAATGGGGAGATAGAGACACGACCAGTGAATTGACAGGGGATGCTTAATAAATGGTGGTGCTGACCAAACTGAGACCAGAAACACCCAAATGTAAAATAAAAAAAAATACTGTCACCATGTCATTCAGCAGATGTTTTTATCTAGAGAGATATCTGAGAGTGAGTACTGCTTGAAATGCATTGAAAACAACCGTCAGGTTCAAGTGTTTTAACCTTCACCCAGTGATTGAAAACTTAATCAGAAAGTCAGAATAAAACATCATGTGTTCAGTTCATGTTGACTAATGCCTCTTGTGTTGCTGTTGAAGTATGCCTCTTTAAAGTTCTATGTTCTTACCAGCCCCCATAATGCCCCATCCTGGGTGGCAACGATGGTGGCAGCTCGCGGCGTGTTGTACATAAGTGCCAGCTCCCCAAAGCTGCCCTTATTGTCATACTGACCCACGCATGTTCCCGATACAACGATGTCATACACACCCCTGAGGAGAGAGGGAGAAATGGGAGGAGAGAGAGAGGGAGTGAGTTGGAAAAAGAGAGAAAAAATAAACACAGAGAGAGAATAAGAAACATAAACCCAGCACTAAAAAAACAAACTCACAATGACTTTGATGTATTGGATAGAGCTAAACATTAAGAGCTGGCCAGTGTTGTGTTTACTGACCTGTTGACTGGTTTGAATGCACATCTAACTAAAGATTATCTGTAACCTCTGGACAGGACTCGGGGTCAGTCCGGCACACTGGAGCAGGAAATCAGTGAATGTGTTTGTGTTGCATAACTGAGTGTTTAAATCTACATATACTGGGTCAACAAATGCACATAAGAGTAATTGAGCTCAACAGTGAACAGTGTTGTATATCTGTACAGTATCAGTGGTTGTGTATGTTTCTGACAGACAGTGATACTTCAGCAAAGCAGCTGCCCCTCCCCTTTTTTTTCCCTCTCTGCTTGAGGATTAAACCTGCAGAAGGTAATTTGCAGCGTTGTTGCTCGGCAGGATTAACTAGTCATTTTGCAGATAGTCCGTTGTCCAATTGGCTGACAAGGAGGGATAAAACCCTTGTCGTTGGAGGAGTATTATTTTAGTTTGTATGGATTAGCATGAGGATAGGACAATGACCGCTGGTTAGGTTGGCTACCACTGCACAGGCAAGCAAGACCATCTACCCATTGATTACAATGCCGTGCTGTTTACTCAAGCACAAATGAAGGCTGTTATTGTTGAAACATTTTAGATCGTAAGTCAGATCGATGCAAAAAGTACAAATGTAGAGCCATGATTTAAGATTCTGGGGACTTTTAACCTGTGAAGAGAGAAGATGTGATACCTCTATTTAAACAAATAAAGACAGGAAATACACAGATAATCCAGACCATCATGATCATCGCTGGTCGAAGTGAACATCATTGACCAGATTGTTATAAGAACTTGACCACAATTCACCCACAATTCAGCATGGAGGTGGTAGTTCTGTGGTATGGGGATGTTTTTGCAGGTGATAGAGTAGAGGATTATTTGACGTAAAGGGTATCATGAAGAAGGAACAGTACCACTCCATCCTCCAGCACAATGCTGCTCCATCTGGACTAAAACTTGTGGCTCATAAGTTTGTTTTGCAGCAAGACAATGACCCTAAGCACTCTGCCAAGCTCTGTCAGGGTTACCTAGACAAAAAAGAAGAGGAAGGTGTTCTTCAAAATGGTTTGGCCTCCTCAGCCTCCAGACCTTTCTCCAATTGAGCTTGTGCGGGAGGAATTGGATCGATCGGTCAGAAAAACGTGTCCCACGAATCAGCAGTCTCTTTTTAATGAACTTTAGAAAGCTTAAAATGCAATCCCTGGAACATATCTCAAAAAAACTTGTGGAACAAATGCCTCATATATGCCAAGCTGTTGTTAAAGCCAGAGGAGGGTACTTTAAAGAAAGCAAAGTCTAAGCAACAATAACTCAAATACCTAATAATTATAGTCAAAATGTCTTCTGATAAGTTACTCTACACACAAAAGTCATGTTTATTGTGTTGCAAATTATATATATGAAACTATGATCTTTTTTTGTACAAATCTGATCTTGCTTCCAAACCTTTGGCCTGTAGTGTACGTCTTAGGAGCTTTGCTTTTTTTTGAGAACAGTAGTAACTCAGTAACTCAATGGCAGTCATGTCAAACAGCCAAACAGAGCAGATCGGCTGCAGTGATCCTTCTCACTTTGTGTGTGTTACCTTGTCCACCGGAACTGCTGAGGTGAATGTGTGAAGTGTTTCCATAAAGGGCTTCATGTGTGCTTTTGGGATTTGTTAAAATGTAGCATTTCTGAATCCACTCAGACCAGGCAGACCCTTCAGCCAAATTTCCTCACTATCTTTCTGTTAAACTAACTGGTGTGCAATTGAGATGCATACATTTTTATAATAAAACAATGTCTTTCTTCCTGCTTTTCTTTTTCCTCCTGCTTATCCCCCCATCTCTGTGTGTGTCCTCGTCACACCCCACCCTGCTGATGACATTAGCACCCACCTATGCCTCTAAGAGGCCAGGGAAAACCCCAGGATAGTATATGCCCAGGCAGGCGTGCTGCTCTTAAAGGTCATCACATGTATCCTGTACGGGGGGGGGGGGGGGGTGTTGCACACAACAAGTGGGACTGTACTGCTGTGCTGAACTGATATGTGCCATGCCAGGAATGAATCAGGGAGGGATAAACAATGACCAGCCAGTAGAAAAACACCAGCAGGCCTGTTCTCACTTGGGTAGCACAGGTCCCAAAGCCACCATTTAGTTCCCTTTCTATGTTATCTTATCACTTCTGTTAATGGTTACATTATTTGACTGACTGCAGCTGGTCAACAAAGACATGTTAATTCATCATAATGCAGTGCAGTCTCAGAGGTTTACATGCTTATATGAGCTGTACCTCCACTTACAAAAAATCATGGATCAAAAAATTTGAACATTCATGTTTCATTTCTGCTTTTCACACCAGAAGCACCTGAGAGTGTTGTTGTGGAAACTAACAAAACTGTCGGCAGCTTGGTTCATAACAATAGATTTACTGTGAAAAGTGTTATTCCTTACACACTGTGAGATAGGGAAACACATTTGCATGTTCCTGCAATCTTTTACTATACACTACAGGCCAAAAGTTTGGAAGCAAGATCAGATTTGTACAAAAAAAGATCATAGTTTCATATATATAATTTGCAACACAATAAACATGACTATTGTATAAAGAGTAACTTATCAGAAGACATTTTGACTATAATTATAAGGTATTTGAGTTATTGTTGCTTAGACTTTGCTTTCTTTAAAGTAACCTCCTCTGGCTTTAACAACAGCTTGGCATATATGAGGCATTTAATCCACAAGTTTTTTGATATATGTTCCAGGTATTGCATTCCAAGCTTTCTTAGGTTCATTAAAAAGAGACTGCTGATTCGTGGGACGCGTTTTTCTGACCGATCAATCCAATTTATCCCGCACAAGCTCAATTGGAGAAAGGTCTGGAGACTGAGGAGGCCAAACCATCTTTTAGAGAACACCTCCCTCTTCTTTTTTGTCTAGGTAACCCTGCGACGATGGCAGAGTGCTTAGGGTCATTGTCTTGCTGCAAAACAAACTTATGAGCCACAAGTCTGAGTCCAGATGGAGCAGCATGGTGCTGGAGGATGGCGTGGTAGTGTTCCTTCTTCATGATACCCTTTACTTCAAACAAATCTTCTACTCCATCACTTGCAAAACATCCCCATACCATGGAACTACCACCTCCATGCTGAATTGTGGGTGTAACACATGGTGCTTTCAGACGTTCACCAGTTTGTCTGCAGACATAGACTCTGCGTTTTGAACCAAACAGTGCAAACTTGTTTCTAGTCATCATAAGTCCAATTTTTGTGAGTTTTTGCCCACTCATCTCTCTTTTTCTTGTTCTGTGGACGAAGTACAGTTTTTTTGCAGATACACAACCCTTCAGACCAGCCTTTCTAAACGTCATTTCACGGTTGTCAGAGATATGGGTTTCGACCTTGTCATGTTGATTTCCTCCCTTATTTATGGTGCTGTCTTTCGCCGATCTCTCTTACTGGTGACAATGCTATGTTTATCCTCTGCTTTTGTAGTAACTCTCTTTCGTCCAGGTCTTTTTCTATCATCATAACTTCCAGGTTCCTCTAGAATCTTCAGAGTGTAGTGGACTCCTTTGTCAAACACCTTTAGGCGTTTTGCAATTTCTCTTTCTGTGTATCCTTCTTTCCTCATTGTACAAATGTGTGCTTTTGTTTCTTTACTCAGTTGCTTCTTTCTAGCCATTTTTGCGGTAGTTTAAACGCAGTTGAGATTTATCAGGATTTTTGTATGCAGACTCTCAAAAGCCAAAAAGCTGAAGTGGATAATCCAACTGTGATTTGTTTTTTTTTGCTTTTGCACTGAAGTTGTGACTCTTGCAAATGTTTTCAACCCTGCAACTAAGCCCTTATTATCTTTTGCTGACATATACTTAGCAATGGTCTGTTAACACCAATGTATATCTAAAGGTAAATGGAGTAAAATGGTGCATTTCCATGAAAGCAACATCTGATCATGGAGTAAATACATCCCAAAATACATAAAACTCATGCTGGACTTCAAAAAAAAAGCATTGTGAACCAAAACTTAAAGTTACTCCCAACTGTTCGGCCTGTAATGGCCTTGCTTCCAAACTTTTGGCCTTTAGTGTATGTCTGTCCAGGCAACTAAACCTATCCTGTAAAGGCTTGCGTACACAGCCAACAGTTTGCCTCTGCAAAATGTCCGGAAAATCACACAGCCTCCATGTGCACTGTATACTTATGGACTCAATTGTAATTACACAATTACCAGTGCAGTAAACACAAGACCCACAGTGAGGAGCAGCTAAATGGCTGCAGTGTTGTAAATCTGCACAAGTTTTAGTGGAAGTAGTCAGGACAACTCCTGGAAATTTATTCTCTGCACTTTAATTCTATTGCTATTGTTATTAAAATGATCTTTTAAAAATACTCGTAAATTTTATTTATTTATTTTTTTAGACTGTAAATGATGGTTAAGTATTTGCTCAAGAGATAGATTTCATCATAGACAAGATTTCAAGATTATTTTTCACAATCAGTGAAAAGACACTTTAGGTTGTTGGGCTTGGCAAACAACATCCCTAACCCTAACCCTGCTCTGAACTGTAAATATGAACTATTACCATCACGTCTTAAATACAAGGTCCCACTTTTTAAGTCAGGTCGGACTGAAGCACTTGTTTGCATACCTGTCCATTATAAAGGTGAATATGGAGCTGACTCCTACATCAAAAATGTGATGATCTCTGGATATGCTGTCTGTTGTTAGAAATGTTTTGTTATGTGTTTATTTATGTATCCTGTCTTGTATGTTGTAAATGGAACTACAGCGAGGCAAGCAAAATTTCAGACTCTCACAAAAAAGCCTTGTCTAATCTAAGTTCAATTTCATTGGTACTCCTCCTTTTCAATATCTCTTTCACACTGTAAATAGGCTTCACATAAAGAAGTAGAAAAATATCAGCATGAACTACTTAGGGGGTAACAATCATAGAGACCTTCAAAGCAATATTTGAATTTCAGCCTTTCAGGGTAATAAATCCATGATTGTCATTTTGAACATGCAAAATCTGTATGTTTTTTCAGTGTGTTGCAGTACCTGTGCTGTAAAACATGCTTTCCACATTAAAACAAACTATTTGAATAAAGAAATGTGTTTGGTTTTTATGACCCAACAGTGTCTGCCTCCTACCTTTCAATGACATAAAAGTTGTCTCCATCATCTCCCTGGTCGATGACATGCTCCTGGGGTTGTACTCGTAACTCAAACATGGCGTCCAGCACCTCTGAGAACTGCTCCTGGATGGGGAATCAAAGGGAGGCTGTCAGACACAAATGAGGTAGAGATAGAGGGAGTGACAGAGGAAAGTTGTTCCACAATTAGCCTTTAATTGCATCCAGCAGGTTTGGGTGCTGCTTCTGAAGACAGAAGAGATTAATGAAATTATCCCGATAGGAAATCTAGGCGAGAGAAGAAGATAATAGAAAGAAGAAGGAGAATTCTATTCATATAAGGACACTTTCTCCAAGACAAACTCAGCAGATTTTGTGAGCATGTACTCAGTCAAAACAAACAGGGATTAATACAAAAATAAAGTATCTTTAACAAAAATCCAAACACAGGAATTTCAGAGGTGGTTTTTGGAAAACAGGTGAGCCAGTAAGCTTGGGCCTAAATGGAGGAGGCATCAAAAGAGTGGTTTTACACATTCACTTTAAATCTACATTTCACTAATAGCCAAGGCTAATTAGGTTAGCTGGAAATTATATCTGTTCTTGATTAGAGTAAAAGATGCTGCACAAGTTCTTCTTTGTCCCATTTCCCGGCGGTGGAAAGTATTTATCTTGTCTAAATGTTTTTGTACAAAAAAACAACATGTGATTTGCCCCATGAGTAGTTGGTTCCTATCGAGAGCAATGTTTTTAAGCAGGACAATCCTTTTAATCTGTCAGCAAAGTAAAGGGAACAACTCTGCAAAAAAGTTCTTTTATTAACAAGTTTTTATTTCTTTATTTCGTAGTTATTTTATTAAATCTGTTTTGTGCCACCATGAGTGAACACTGGAACCAAAGTAACAGTTCTGTATCCGTACTTTGAATATTGCAGTAACCTGGTAAGTTAGAATAAAAGTTAAATGAATGTGGAAGCAAAATGAAAATGCAGATCCTTCAATTTCAAGTTAGATACCAACTGTTGACTTTTCCTTTATACCAACTACTGATGCACAAGTGTGTCTGCACCACAGGCTGTATAACATATGGACTTAGTGTCAAAGATGCTATAGTATTACTTTGATTCACATATACTGTTTGAGGCCTATTGGCAGCAGTCGCCACATTGCTAATTCTGACTCAACCTCACTTTTAGTCAGCCTACCAGAGGTGAGCCTTTACCCTCCTCCCAAATGGTGACAGTGTGCCAGGTCAAAATGAAAGCATCACAAAGACAAATCACTCCCTGTACAGTAGGTACTGTGGTATTCCTGGAGGTATGCAAACCAAAACCGTTCTTCGAACTCGGCTTTTAACATGTTTTTTCTCGCTCCAATTTTTGTGTGTGTGTGTGTTTGTGTAAGTGGTTCCAGTGGTTTTGCAGTCTGCCTCAAGCAGGCACTCAGGGAACTGCAAATTTTAGCACTTCTGCATTGGCTTCATTTCTCAAGACCAGAGGTCACTGGTGGGTGTGCACAGGTCTTTTCATGCTGATTTTTTTATTTATCTTTTTCTTTCCTTTCTTTTTTACCTGATCTAGTGTTTTGAAGAGTAGGATGTCTCGGCAGGCCTCCTGCAGTCTGCAGCGTTGTTCATCTGTTTTTGGATGGACCACTCTGGGCTCCGTGTCCTCATCGTCCTCATCTGGGTTAAACGCCTCTGCACACACTGGAGAGGAGAAATGAATACTCCGTTTACACATTCCATTAGCATGTCTTGTATAATAACATCAGGCTGCCATTATACATTTCAGAGTCCATACCCCCCAAACTTCTTTTTTTTCTCCCCAGAGTGATTGCCTCTAAATTTATTTGAATAAATTGTTAAACCTGTCTTTGTTTTTTTTTACTGACAACTACTACTTTCCTACATTGGGTTCATTCAAGAGTAGCACTATGTTAGTGCTATTTAAGTCTGCTTACTAGCATGGCTGCACTGATAATCATACTTATTTTGATAAATATTGAAATCTGGGTTATTGATCACGATAATTTATTCTTCTTTCATTACTTTGATTCACATATACTGTTTATTCTACATTTCTCTAATCACAAGTGCTGGACTCAGACGATATCTGTCATGGCTTTTCTGACCAGTTACCCCAAACTTTTGGTCAATATAGCATTAAATATCTTTAAACAGCATCAGCTTCACTTTTATGAAGAATTTTCATTATCATAAAGTTAAACAAGAGACTTTTTCTTGTAATTCCAGCGTGGTATCAAAAAAGTAAATGATCTCAACATTCAATTATCACAGTACAGTTTGAGATGTTTTCTTCCTATCAACTCTTTGGTGTTGTTCATCTCTGAAATGTTATAAGGGGTATTATTAATTTCCATATTCACAACAAAAAATACAAAGTTACAATGTCTGTCTAGATGTATGCAAATGTTCAAATCCCAAGAATAATAAATATGTTGTAATAATCCTAGAAATGGAGACAGCAGGCAAGACGAAGCATTTCAGACTGAGGCTGAAAAAATGATATTTAAATGCAAAAGAGTGAGAAACAGGATTCTTTTTTAGATCTGAAAATCATGTTTCAAAGAGGTATCAGAAAGAAATATTTTGTATTTATACAGTATGTCATGATATTTACCCCTGCTTCTCACCATTTACTGAATAAACCATTAGCTTGTTACACTTACTAATGCTGCAGCTTTGGTTTCTGTGCTCACCCTGTCCCTCTACTTTACTAACACACACCTGATCCTCCTGTTCTCAGCCTGCATTGCTGTGGATGTTCCTCCACGTTCCCAGTTTTCAATCATTAAGACACAGTTTATCACTGATAACACGCCTCACCAGATCTCGCTGTCATATTGGAGCTATAAGGGAAACCATGATAACAGTATAACTTGAAAAAATGCAATAGTTGATGATTAATTTAGTAAAAGAAAAACAGTAATATCTGTTGGAAAATAACCAAAGAGAGCATGATATATAAACCTAATAAAATTGATGAGGGTAACACATTTGCCTTCAATCATGTTTGTTTGATTGTGGAAAGGCTAACATCCTGATTGCTATTAAAATCCCATTAATCACTCAGCACTACTGTTTACTTTTGTTATAACATCATGCTAAATAAGCAGGCCAGCTAAATATTTGGTTATTTTTAATCACTGTCCTATTGAGGTCTTGTTGACCTGTTTTCACAAAGCAGCTATATTTTAGATTTCAGCTGCCTGTCAAAATAATGACTGTACCTGATTGTGTGATTGAATTATTTTTTGAACACACATTTTATATGTCAACAAGCAAAAAATGGGAAATAGCCTACATACAAGTAACAACTTTGTAATATCCATACTTCTACATCATGGGTAGAGGTCGAATTAGATTTGAGAGCAATATTTTGAAAACTTGTAAGCATGGCAAGGCTTGCAAAAAATATGAGTTTATCATCTATCGAAAGAAAACTGACATGACAACTAAACATGCACATTGCAGTTCGACACTAATTCAAATACAACCTCTGCCAACCCAGCATAACAAACATCCTCATGGTGACAAACAACTTTCATATGAAGGTATGATTGTTAGGTGCAGTGAGAATGCAAGATGAAAGGGTACACAAGGTTACGCAAGGAGATGAGTAAGATCACAGAGGTGCTAACAGAGACACTGTATCGACTTTATCCTGTGTAGATGTTTCCCCACAAACTCGCTCACACAGAGTACAAGGTAATATGTTACACAAACAGAGAGGAAGACATTGTATAATAGAAAACGAGGTAAACACAGGGACTATATTTCTGCAAGACACTGAGGGAAGAGAAGGAAGCCAGAGGTAAGACACACACTCATGCACGCACACGCACACACACACACACACACACACACACACACGTTTTAGCACAGTGGATGCCAAACACTGACAAGGCCATTTCATTTTGTCACTTCGTATCTGTGTTTCCCTGAACTTTGTGTGGACACACTCCAACTCACTCTTGACATTTCTCAGAAGACACATAAAAGTATCTAAGAGTGTCTGTGCATGTTTCTCTGTGTGTGTATGCGCAATAACAAGTTCAGTCTATTAACATGTATATTGTAAATGTATATGTTAGTGACAGTGTGACCTCTTAGATGACTAACTCCCTTAGTTCAGCTGTACTGGGTGTGTAAATACAAAGGGCAAGACCAGGTCAAGTATTAAATTAGAGCCAAAGTGCTCTACCAACCAAAAAGTGATGCAATCAGAGGAAATTATGACATGAAAATGGTCAAAAACAGCAGAGGGTTGATTGGTTTGGAAGCACAGGTAGTAAATATGCTAATAATTGTGCTCCTCTGTGGTCCATCCTCCTTATTTGAAGTCAGATTTATTTTCTTTACTCATCTCTGCCGGAAGTCCCCCCTCTTACTTGGCAGCGTGACAGAGAGTCAAAACACTAGCCAAAACCATTCTTTCATTAACAAGCTCTGCTTACTCAAAACAACTCTGGTGCTGATATTTGATCAAGACATCATTCCCACTCTGCCTTTTGGTGAGGAAAACAAATTTTAGATGTGATCTCTGCCATTTTCACAAGTTAGAGAGCACTAATTCCAAATTGAGTTGGTCTTGTCCTTTCAAAATGTGTGTCCAGGTCTCTGTGAACTTAGTGGACCTGGTAATATCTAAAGCACTGAACAGAGTAAACTGTTACTGGGTCAGACAAAAGACAGCAGCAGAAAAGAAGAAAAAAGAGACACACTCCTAAGGAGGATAATATTTTCAGATACCATAAAAACTTAATTATAAAGTTGATGATTTCCAGAATTTGGTTTCAATGTCTGCAAAGACAAATGACTCAACGCTCTCAAGATGTGTTTTAGAAAAAGACTTTTTAAGGACAAAATCATGTTTTTGTAAAGAAAACTATTCCGATTGCCAATATCAAAGACAATTAAAACCACAAAATTAAGATGTGATTGGATGTGATCTTATGTAAATGAAGCATTTAAAGTATCAGCACTCTAATCCCACAAAAATGAAAACAGCCTGACCCTGCAGTCGGTTGTTAGATTGAGGGGTTTGGTTATGGATATACTTCTGATCTGTTTTTCTGTGAAATACTCAGAAGTGCATTTTCAGGCAGTCTTTTCAAGCTCACTGTATTGGCTGTTAAGAACTATGTGGCACAATGAGCTTCTTCGCTCACCTTGTCTTGTCATCTTTCATCCCCTGGCACTATGGTTATGAGTGAGAGCTGGCTGCCTGCAGTCATAAGTGCTTTACAGACAAGTGGCATTGTCTTTTTTAATGAACATCTAACAATGAACATTTAATCATTTGACGTAGAATACCAGATGAATCAAACTTTAAGCAGATGAACTTCAAGAGGAAAAGCCTGACTCTTATTGAGGTCAATACCGTCCTGACTATCACATATTTGGTCATGTGTAACACACCAGTTGAACAGGTAAAGGATACTAAGTACGATTCAAGGGTGGATCCTAGGGTTTCTACAACAACTGTTTCTGACTGTAAATATGCATCCAGAATACTTGTCAAACAGGAGGCGCAGGATAAAAGTCAATCAGTACGCTTTATCCAACGTCTCATGGCACACAGGCAGTTACTGGTTGTAGGACTACTGTCCATTGCTGCTATGACTACAGTTAAAGGACTCGCTCATTTAAATGTTGGACATTATAATTTTAATCAATCAATCAAAATCAATTGATTAGTAACTAGAAAAAAAATAATAATTCTGAATTTACTAAGGCTGATCGATTAAATGCATTTGCAATTACCTTGCGATATGATAAAACACAATTTTTTAACCCCAAAGGCTACGATTTTGACTGGTCACATGATCTGGTCACATGACTTGTTAGCAGAGCAGAGTGAAGCAGAGCAGGTAGAGAGAGAATTTAACACTGCACTCTGTTGCACCTTATACCACTACAGAGGCTGACAGTTTTGGGGTGACCTCGTATGTTGGATATGAGCTCATTATGAGAGTATTTGTAATTAAATTGCTCATCCAAATAAGTACAACTGAAGCTGCACACTTTGGTTTTGTTTTAACAATAACAAATGGTAAAAAAAGATAAAAGGTACGATATGCTTTGAACTTATTTAGTCCACTAATATTAGTGTTAAAGTCCTCATTTGTTTTACATGCTCTCCTATATGAGGCTCTCTGAACATCTGTGCATGAAATACAGCACTCTTTTATCTGAGGCTGCCCTGAACGCATCACTCTCGCATAGTGTTTGTTTTCCTTTCATCAAAATGTTCATTGTCCAACAACCACTGCTTAAATATAGTTTACAGCTGAAACCGACCTGAATCATCCCAAACTGTAAAGTAAAAGTATCAATCCAGTGTCTGTGAAGCTCAGCAGACACACAGGACTATCTCCGGTTGTCTGGAAACTTTGGACAAATATATTGATCCGATTCATGAATGAATGCGGACCATGCTATGAGAAATTCCCGGGAGAAATGACAATTCCAGGGATGAGCGGGAGATAGGTCTAAAATACGGGAGAGTCCTGGGAAAAAGGGAGTGTTGGCAGGTATGGATATGATTGATCGCTGTTTTGGTCTGGTGGCTGCACCGCTAGTTGTAGCTAAACTGCTAATGCTACTCGTACCGTCAGCAGTGACAGGCTGTACAGACTCCGCTCACATTTTCATGCTTCCCGCATAATCACTCGGGAAAAACAGATTTGTTATGTAGCTGGTTTATCGGCTTAATTGCTCGACGTCACTTTGGAGAGACGTTGAATAACTTCTCAACTATAACATCTTCTGAGGGTGACTCAAAGCCATGGCTGATAACTATCTTTTTGCCCTCAGCTCCGCGTTTAGCTCCATGTTCGGTCATTCTGTTTACTTCTCCGGTAACTTACAGAAGTGAGCAGGAAAAGCTCGACTCTGATTGGCTATTGTGATGCAAATTTCCGCCATGTTTGATCGAGTAAATATGCTCACAGCTGATCACCGTGATCGAACTGAAATTTATCGCGATCATCGATCACGGTCATATAATCGCCCAGTCCTACTTCAACCTCAAACCACGTCTGTATAATGACGGAAAACGCATCCAATATGGTGATGGCAGCACAGCTGAATGAATACACCAGACTCCAGTGTTTTGGGTATCGATTACAACTCGCCATTGGTATTTAGATGAGTATCATGACGTATATGACAGCATGTGCGTGTATGAACAGAGAGAGCCTATGTGTGTGTGTGAAATGATAATTGCCAGAAAAAACAATTTATGTATTTTAATCTGATATTGTTCACTGTGTCGTTCACAGATTTATTTATTTTTTTGTTTGTTTAAAAATACATTAGAAGAGGACACTGAAAAAAATAATTGCACATTAAGTCATAATATTGAGGAAAAGATTACAATTAGATTATTTTCCAAAATCGTTCAGCCCTAGAATTTACACAACACTTTTAAGAATTTACATTTGTGAAACTTCAGTTCATTAGAGAATGTAAGAAAACATTTACTTATTTCCCTATTAAAGGTCCCCTATTATGAAAAATCCACTTTTGGGTGGTTTTCCATCAATAATATGCATCCCCTCGAAGCCGACAAGAGGACAAAGGGTCCCAAGAAAATCACCAGACCACCGCTCCTGGACCACTGCGGCAGTGCCGGCAGCTCAGAGTGGCCTTGGGGAGGAAGATGTTTACACACAGCTCATTATCATTTAAAGGGACAGGCACAGAATCAGCCCGTTCTCAGTGGAGCTCAAAAAGAGGGGGGTACAGGCTGGCTGATACCTAAAAAATAAACTGGTGTTTTAGACAACAAACTTCAAATTTACTATTGTGGGACCTCTGGGACCGATTTAAAGTTGATGAAAATGCCATTATAGGGCACCTTCAAATACGCTAATCTAAAATGCAGAGAACAAAAACATGGAATGCTCAGAGATGCATTTCTCTCTAATTGTATGGATGGAGACCCTTGAAAATTCAGAGTGATGACACAAAGATCTCATGGATGGCACTAATCTGAGGACTGTTCTCTTATTGAAAATTGCCATCCAATTCAAAGGTTTACTTAATCATATAGCTACAAATGGTTAAGCAATAAGAGAAGAAGCATAACATCCATTTACATGCAACTACAAACTTGTTTAAGGTACAGTGCATAGAAATAAGAATAATCTGCAGCAGCTGGAGATCAGATACAAGAATGAAACCCTCTCCTGCTCATCCCTCCAGTGGATGAAGCACAGCCTTTGAGGATGAGAAACTCCTATGATAAATATCCTCCATTTATTAACTACTCAAATACAAATTCTTTTGGACACAACCATCACTTATCTGCCAACCAATGCCCTTTGTGTGTCAGTTTTCACCTTTAAAAACTATGGCATAAGTACATATGTCTTCGTCACATTCATTTGTAGGGACACTATACTACAGAATATGCGTCTCTGTTTCTTTGAATAAAAGAAGTGACCAATGGTCTGTCCAGATGGCAAAACAAACCAACAGGTATATGAGGGGAGCAGAGTGAGCTTGTACATGATCTGAGGAGGATAGATGGAATCACTCCAACAGTGACAGTCCTTTAAAAGACTTTCAAGTGTTTTTCAGGGACATTTTGATACCACAGTGAAAGTGACCTTTAGGGAGGAAAACTTTCCTCATTTGATTTATATTAGGAAACCAGACATTTCTTGCTCTAATTAGCTCATGAATTATTGAGTTTGGGCCACAAATGGTTTAGACAAGAAAACTGGAACCTTTTCCCACCAAAATCTATTCGGTAAAGTTTTTGTTCAGAAAGACGAAAAAGATAATGCATGAACTGGGAGTTTACAAATAGGACTGAAAACACAGATGCTAGGGGTCGGAGAAAAAAATCGATACAGCATAGTATTGCGATATTTTGCCGGGTGATATATCGTATCATGTCATACACCGAGTATCATTTTTTTTTTTTCAATTAATTGCTAATATGAAGTCAAATCTATGATAATGGAAAAATAAAATCAATTGTTTGTCCAGCAGTGAGGTTGGCAGGGGTGGCACCATATAGCAGGAAATGTTAGTACAACAAACAGCACCTGGGGAAAGACATTAGGAATGCAAGCAGGTCACAAATGAGATGGACATGACATATGAGGTTTGCAAGATGTGCTACATGAAAATAAAATCCTGTATAAATAAGACAAACATTAGGGAAAGACAAATGCTAATCAGCTAAGCAGTTGAAAAAATTGCAAAAATCGCAATATATGGTATCGCAATACTCACTGTATCGCATAATGTTTAAAATCACAATAATATCAAATCGTGACCCAAGTATCGTGACAATATCGTATCGCAGGGCCACTGGTGATTCCCACCCCAACCAGATGCTCATTGCCCCAAGACACATCTGTCACACTACAGAGGAATTAAAACCATTGAGGTGATAGAGGGATGTGTTTTTCCTTTTACATTTTATAAGCTGTCTTACTTTGAGTGAAGTTCAACTCAACACAACACAACACAACACAACTCGGTATCACTAACTGTCTATAAATTGGACTCTTTAGTGAGTAGAGACTTCTGTGTTATTTCTGGGGAAATACAATAAGCAAGACAATGATGTTCTCTCTTTGTTGTCATATTAACACAATTTTCTTCAGGGCTCAAAAAGGATCATTATGACCTACAATGGCAAATTACCTTAACAAAGATCAACTGGTTCAACACAACATTATAGTGACCGAGAAAAGTAGAATCACTGTGTTTATCTGTTAAAATATCAGTTCAACAAATGTGACAACTTGTGTAATTAAACACTTGAGACTTTTCAATAACCCTTTATGGTGCTGCGGTGCAGACAGCAGGGACGGCTGAGACAGTAAGACAGCAGTGAAGATAAACATCAGGTGACACACCCAGAGCCTAATCAAAGTGCAGCGCTCTGTGACGGCTGACGACATTCAATTACTCACATGTAAACACTAGACGTGTACGACCAAGCGTGGGAAAACAAGAGCGCCACACACACAGGACCACAGGCGCCAACACAGACTGAGAGAGGACGCAAAAAAAACCCAAAACACACCTCAGAGAAGCTTCTTAACACTGTTTTACATGCATGACATACGCAAATGCAGCCATTATGAAAACACTGGCAAAGAGCGTTTGACATCATCAGAGACAAACACGCAGCCGTCAGTCTACCACCTGGCCTCAGGATGTATGACACACACAATAAGACACATAAAAGCAGCAGGTGAGCCACTTAGCCAGTGATGTATGCAAAACCCCCCCTCGCCAGTGTGGATTACACTTAAGGGACATGACGTCAAGTGTATGCGTACACACACACACACACTTGGATACACACGTACACGCATCTTACCTGACACTCTCCTGTTGAATCTGCTGGGTGGCGGAGCTGTGGACAGAGAGAAAGAGAGTTGAAATTAACACCAGTGTTTTTACATGACATTCAAGAACACTTTCATTTCTTGAAGTTTGCTCACAGTTATAAAGGATGTCTGTTCAGAGCGTACAGTATATGTATGATCAAAGAGAAAGAAAGGCATTTGAAAAAGAAGGAAGGGTCAAAATACACACAGTGAGTCAGTGCCTAAGCCTGCTTTGGAGAGAAAACGATACAGTCAAACACACAAAGGTATCATGAGATGCGAAAAAAAAGTTGGAGAGACTCAATAGATCCAACAGTGGAGAGAGGGGTGAAGGGATGAGCTAAAAGGTCAAATAAGAAAGGAAAACAAATATTAAATTTGGCAAAGTTCATTGTTTACACATATGGATGCTACTCTGAGCAGCTGCTGTAGCTTCTCGAATTTTTATCAAACACACACAAACACAATAAAAGGATGATACAACACACAGCTGCACTAACTGAATAACTGGATAATACACAAGACCCTTGTACTTACAGAGAGAATAATAATTATCTTTAAAATGATTTTATGTCTTCAGGATTAAAAAAAAAAAAAAAAGAATATGTGAATTAAAGGTTTGAGTGCAAGTTGTCCTCACGTGAACAATTTTCTACTTAAACCTTCAGTTTAAGTAATTTTACTTTGAAAACAATGTAGATGGCACATGACAAACGCAGCTTGGATTTTTTTTTCACAATGAACAAGGCTTTACTTTAAAAAGAGCCCCCCACTGAGTGAGAGAGTGTACACTTGCCATAGACAGACCCACATAGAGGCCACATAGAGGGCTATTCTTCAGGATATTTGAGTCATCAGTAATTTTGTTCATCTCCAGAGGGATTGATAAACTATCTCACAAATAACATTCTTCCACCGACAAGCAAGCCTTCATATTCCTCCAAATGTAATCAGGGAAACATTTTTATCAGTGTCTAATATAATAATTAATAATACTAAGATCATCTTATTAATGCTTTGTCAGCAGACAAAATGATAACATACGCAATGAAGTAACCAACTAATTATGAACAATTCAATCCCCCTGCGACTAATTTTGTTTTCTATTTTTGTCAACTGGATCAACAAGTCACATGCCGCCACTATAGATTCTGGTCCTGTGGGAAAACTGTAATAGTTTGCAGTTTGTTTTGCAGATAATAACCAAAAAGCACTAATAACCAATCAGCATCCAGCATTACATAAAGGTATAACTATGTCATAAGAGTAAATTAAAAGCAATGTAGAGCAGCGGCCCATCCTTTGTACATTCAGGTAGGCTCTCTGAACTAGCGACACATTTCATTCCCATAAAGACTGGGATCTCTGTCTTTAGGTTTGATGTCAGTGTCAACTTTACGCTTTGTGTTGATTACACTTGTGGGTTGTTTTACAGTTTCATTCAATAAGCTGACATGTTTGCATCAGTGTGGCCTACCTCAAGCTATTGCAATGCACTGTTTGAATGTGCAGATACTCCTGGGACATTTAACATTACAGGGCCACGAGGGTGAACATCTTATGTCTGTGCTTTGCAATTCAGCAATCAAAAGCTCAAAACAGTAGGCACCTGCCCAACTTAAGTGTTGTTTTGAGAAAAAAGCAGAGCCAGGAGAGCTGATGAGTAACTGGTTCTGATCTTTGGCCTCCTCTGAGATTTCTGCCAGTGAGATTTGTTCAATTTGAAATACAGTGAAATTAAGTCAAATGTTGCCTAATGAATGAGGCCTCTCTCTAGCAAGCCTGTCATAACTGATCTCTGCAGCATGCTCTGTTAGTCTTTGCATCTAGGTCAGCTGCTATAATTAAAAAACGTAATTTCTTGGCTGACAAAAGACTATAGCTAATCATAACAAGTAATATTTTGTTAAAAAACAAAACAAAACAAAACAAAACAAAAAACGCTTCTATGAAAATACAGAGAATATGATAAGCTTATTTCCAGGGAGACAAAAATCTCACCCTAACAGAACTAGGTTCTGAAAAAGTCAATATGTCAGCACCCATTACAAATGAATCATTAGTTCCATGCATTCTTATTATTTTTATTATTATTAGCATTATTATTATTATTAGTAGTAGTAGTAGTAGGAGGAGGAGGAGTAGTAGTATGAGTATTAGCATTATTATCAAATGGCAAATTATTACAGTACCAGTGATTTATTTGATTTGCTTAATAAGTTAATCTAGAGTATCAATTTACTAGAGCTGGGTGATAAATCAGATTATCATAATTATAGTTACTGCAAAGTTTGGGAGCACAAGAGGACTGAAAGATTTTTTAGCCTGTAAATAAATTATAAAAATGCATCAGCTTTTATAGCGCTTTATCAGAGACCCTCAAAGCACTTAACATTGGATACTAGTGGTGCAACGGATCATCATTGATCCGTGATCCGTTCGGATCGACGTATTCGGTTCGGCACACATGTGATCCGCGGATCGATTTCTGAAAGCGGAGAAAGGAGGAGCTCGAACGCCCCGCGACACTTAAATCCCCTGTATGGGAGCATTTTGGCTTCCCTGTCAATTATGATGAAGAAGGAAAGAGGTCAGTGTACAAAACTGCGACGGAGTGTAGGCACTGTGGCATAAGAAAGCCATATGACAGTGGAAACACATCGAGCATGTTCACGCATTTGAAGCGACATCACCCGGGTGTTTTACTGACAGGTGTTGTGCCGTAGATTGCACCCCTGCCGTAGAACGCAACCCCTGCATCCCCTCCACCCGTTAGCTTCTTAAAGTGGAGATAATGATCTCATGTTTGATATGAATAGCCTGAATGAAATTATTAAAGGCAAACGCTGTTGAATACATCCAACGTAAGGAAAACTTGTATTATTTCGCCTTGTTATGTACTTTCAACCGCGCTCCCGTTAGGGGGTGCACTATACGGCAGGGGTGCATTCTTTGGCATAACACCTGAGATAAAACGAAAGCTGCCCAACAACCGCTCATCACCGCAGCATTTAAGCAGCCTCTTCCTGCGCAATCCGACCAGGCTAAAGCTTTCACAAACTCTATCGGTGTGTTTATAGCTGCAGACATGAGGCCATATTCAGTTGTGCAAACGAGGGCTTTAAAAACATGCTGAAAGTGCTTGAGCCACGTTACGACATCCCATCGCGCACACACTTCATTTTTGGTTCATTGTTACATTTTAAAGGAAGGAGATATGCCTGTATATTGTACTTTAAGTTGTTTTTCATTAATAATTATGTTAAAAAGAAGATATTATGCCCTGTGCACTACTTTTATATATTTTATTTGTCTTGTTTTTTTTTCTTTTTGCTGATCCGAAAAATGATCCGATCCGTGACTCTTGATCCGAGGAACGATCCGATCCGTGAGTTTTGTGATCCGTTGCACCACTATTGGATACATCATTCATTCGCTCACACAGTCACAGCCTGGTAGTGGTAAACTACCTTCGTAGTCACAGCTGCCCTGAGGCAGACTGACGGAAACGTGGCTGCCAGTTTGTGTCAATGGCCTCTTCGACCACCACCATACAACGCTCACAATCATACACCAGTGGAGGACACACACTGGGAGCAAGGTGGGTTAAGTGTTTTGCCCAAGGAACCGCCAACTTTCCAGTTATTGGACTGCTCCACCTCCTTAGCTAATGCTGAAATCTAAGTGGTAAAAGATCTCAAATCATTCAATTTGTTACAACACAAAATTGACTACATGGGAATTTTTCCATTTAAGGCTGAAAGTGAAGAGAAGAACTGACGCATGGTCCCTTTCAGCTGCAGAGGTTTTCAGTTGTGTAAATGCTTGTGATGCAAATATCGAGTTATGGGTAATCACGTTTAAAGATGTATCAATCAAAATAATTGTGATAATAATTTTTGCCATAATTGAGCAGCCCTACAATTTAATGTCTGTGGTGTTTGGCCACACAGGTTTTTTTTAGGATTTCTAAGTGTAGCTTACAGTAGAAAGTACATTATGTTAACAAGAATCGTAAACACGTTAGAAAGGATTTTAAAGTAATAAATAAAATGCAATTGTGTTAATGTCCGCAAGAGCTCTGTAGCAATACACTCTGTTCATCATCCACCACCCTTTTACTAGATGAAAAAAGAGAAGACAGCTCAAACTTAGCAAACACAGGAAAAACATCCTGTACACAGCAGAGGATGCTTCCTGGATGTATCTAAACAGAAACTGTAATCAAGTTTAATTTCTGTTCAGGATTTCAGTGCCATCCACTTGACACTAGACAACATTTATCAGAGAAAAGACCGCCTGAAAGGACACTGTGAAATACAGATGCATCAGGCAGACGATTAGAGAAAAAAATTAGAAATCCTACAGTAATAGCTGTATATGTGTGTTTGAATGTAAAAGATCACAAGCATACCCGTGCAATCTGTGTTTGTTAGTGCGTAAGTGTGAAGCTACAATCAGTGTGTGTGGACTTTGGCATTGAACAGCATCTGTGTGTCTCTACCGGGGCATTGTGACCATGTGTGTAGCAGAGTGCTAATTTACACACAGAAGGTGAGGTCAGGGTCCTAAACACCTGCTTCCTAACATTGTGCTGTTACCAGTCAGCATGGGCATGGCACACTGCTACCACACAACCACACACACACACACACACACACACACACACACACACACACACACACACGTGGCCTGTGTGTCCATTGCTACCTTATTACCATCCTGCCAGAGCCCATTAGATCTAGACTGTGAAGATGGGAGCCTGGGGGAAACTCACATGTGCACACCACTTTCCCCAGTCACCTGGGGATATGAACAGAGTTTAACACTCTTCTCTCTGTGGAGATCACACTTGCTATCACTCAACAGCAGCAGGATGTTCTCAGCTACGGCTGATGATTGTGGCATCTGCAAGAACACTTTTTCTCTGTTTCGGGGAATGAACTGGAAGCCTTATTTAACTATGTTGAACAGTTCTCCTTTTCTTAAGCATATAGGACAAATGCACAAAGACTCACTTTAACATTTCATCTCCATTTAAAAGCACGTTACCTCTCACATGCTGTACACTACACATGGAGACTTGCTGGGCCATTTGAAACACCAACTTATAAGGCTTTAATGCTGTTGAAATAGATTTGAAATTGTCCAGTATGACATCTGCCAAATAGGTGACAAACTGAAACAGGCCAAAGAGCAAATCAACTCATGGCCCATATAATGATTTCCATCCAGGTCACAGTAAATCCTAAGGCCGGTACAATAATTAGGACCAGGAATGCAAGTGTTTAGTCAACTTAATGTTTAACTGTGGTTGCCCTCAATGGTTGGCACCAGATTTAAATGAGGGTCAAACAAATTGTGAGGTTAATGACTGCTGCCACAATGTTTTAATGCTGTATTACCTCGGTGTAAATAAGCACTGATGATGGCATCATCTTGTAGCGCAGCATGGCTTGTACTAGTTAGTGGACACAAGGTTTCATGAAGGCTGTAAAAACTAAAGTAACTGTACTGAAAAAAATAAAAACTGACTAACTCTGAAGAAAATTTAGATCAATGAGATACAATTTCAGATGTGTGTGTGTGTATGACAAAACATATACAGTTTAATGTCTTTGGTAAGTACATTGACACTGCTACCAGTATGACATGCTTCTATGTTTCTACTCCTTAAGTACAGAGCATTTGTACTATGCATCATGTGATGCCAATTATGCATCAGCCAGGTTGGCTGTGTCTCAGTGTAAAACTTGTGGATCTTCACTTTCAACTTCTTAAGTGTTTTTAGTATACAAAGCTATGTCCAAGCTATGTTTGGATACCTGACAGCAAATACTGGCAGACAACACTGACAGCCATAGCCAAAACACAGTAAAAAACGAGAGGCTGCTGTTTCAGCTCTTTGAACTGTGAGTCTGTCTTTGAACCAAATCCAAGTCTCTGCAGGTTATAGCCAATATTGTGGCAGTGCTATTGCAAATCCTTCTGGTTATCCTGATAGCCTTACAACTATTCAGACAATAATGAAGTATTGCTGTCTGGCTTTCGTTGCAAGTCAGTGGACTGAGAAAATGTAGTCAAAACAGGCATAAATGTTTCTCGGCGGCTTGTGATGTTATGCCACTTATTCTATCAGAGTGATTCTTCTTATGCAGATAATAACCTCTACTTTCTTTTTGCTGTTTCAATTTTAACCCCCCTTCTACGAATAGATTACAGTTTTAGTATTATTTGTACTCTCCTCTGAGTTCAACACTATTCTTGGGTTTTATAGCGTCCTTCTATTTGTTATTTATGGTAAACATCATCCCCTCAGCTGTCCCAAAGGAAAAGACCTTCATTCCCTTTACTACTCCCAAGGCTTCACTACTCCACTCCCGCCCTATTCTCATATAGATCTGGGTCTAGTCTCTTGCTTCATCTTCCTAACCACCAGGAATGATTCCTAAGCACCAGGAATACTTTCATTGGAGTTGGTATGTAAGACTGTAACAAAATGACAAATGACAAAAAGCAAATAGTCCTCTTACAAGCTCCCCTATTTTTGCTTATGCTCCTGGCCCTAATGCTCTGGCACAAAAACAAAATACAACTAATACAGATTTTATTGGCTGACACTTAAGTCTTTAATTATGCAAGAATGAAACCACTAATATGCCATTTTAATATCAATGATTAACAATGCCAAAGTAATGTGTGGAACAACAACAGAAGGTCCCTGCCAGACTCTCAATGACCAATGACAGTTAACGTGTTTGAATGACAAATAAACTGCAACTTTTTTTCAAAAGAGCAATCCACTGTAATTTCTATTCAGTTTTACCATCATGCAACTGGATGTAGTCAATGCTAAAGCGCTGAGCTGTGTGCTGTCTACATGGTCTGACTGATTGCATCCTATTTTTATAATATAATGTAATGTATAAAATGCAGAGTACTGCACCCTTATAACATTTGACTTCCCTTTTCATCAAGCACATAAAGAGAAGCAACACTATTAACAAAGAAGAGCAGAGCATCATTTTTAGTTTAGGTTAGTTGAAAAAATGCAGACCAAAAGATGTGAATACAAACACTTCCCTTCAGACTAACGGTCATCAGTGAACCAGTCTTAGGTGTGAATTTCCCAAATAAACCTGAACCTCAATTTGTCTTTCCCTGTTCTGGGTTATTTACTTGCAGAACTCTCCTCACTCTCTCTTTTGACTGGGTAAAATATAGGGCTGGGCAATATGGGAAAAAAGTTCATCACAGTATATTTTTTCATATCAGTCGTTATCGATATATCACAACATAAAAAAATGAAATTCAACAGTGCTTATTGGTAGCATGTCTTTTGCGATACAATAAGCTACTGCATCTGTGAGGTCTATGTGTCTCTTTGATGTTTTGTTGTAAGGCGTTGCGCTAGAGAAAGTGGACTGAATGGTCGGCTATTTCGGCTGCACAGGCGCCATGGGCTCCTTGCTCCACTCTGGGTTTGTAAACTTTTGCATTGTGCGTGCTTTACCGCGTGGCGCTGCTTCGGGTGGTAAAAAAGATTTGAGATATTCCCTGACTTTGTGAGAACATGTACTCTGCTTCATGTCTGACCTCGAAAAACCAAAATACCTCCACACCACCAACGTTTTCATGCCAGTGTTGTCGACAATGTCATAATCTATTAAGCCTTCATCTGCATTTCTGCCAGGGGTAGCACTTATTTTGGATATGGTTGTAGTAGCTGCAGCCTGCTACTACACAGTTGTTTGCTACTTGTTTCTAACTCAGCTCATGATTGGTTCAGTGCGAAGTGGACCCCGAGCAACTCCCCTTTTCATTGGCTACTCGTATAGTCTACCAAAACATGGCAGAATGCCTACAATTGAAAAGGATATTGACCATATTTTATATTGATATTGAGGGAAATTAATTTAATATATATATATGTTGTTATTGTTTTATCACCCAGCCCTAGTAAAATGTTGTCAAACTTTTTCACTTGCCATAAATCTTGATTTAAACACCTTTCAGTTTTTGTTTCTCATGACAGAAATTCTTGGTACTAGATTTAAAAGAGCTGACTATTGATGACCATGGTGGCCCACTCATGACCTGCAGCCTGGTTTACACTATGAGTTGACAATCCACCATAGGAGTGCCTGCATTACACTACAAAACCGTGATTTAACGGTAGCCGACACTGCGTTTAATATGCGAGACATACAGACACTTTCCTTTGCCGTTTCATTTTCTGCTTGTTTGTGCATAGGAAACCGTGACGACTGACTATAAGCATGTAATAGTGGAATTGAAGATGTTAAGCAGTAGTTGATCATACTGCAATTGCTGCAGACGGCAAGAGAGGAGAGATTGGAGGAAATGAAATATCTGTCAATTTAATCAGTGTAGACTGAGATACTGGAAACTTTGTCATAAATGAACTTTACAATGTCCACAATGTGGAAAACTGTCTTTGGCTTCAAAATGACCTGACTCACAAGGATATTAAAAGACACTTGGAATACTTTGAGTCACCCCAGATCCCATGAATTACGACACGAACACTTCTAAAAAGTCCTGAATGGACTGAAAAAAATACATTAAAATGAAGAAACATGCTTATGTCATCAACAGCCAGGAGTAAAAAACAACAGAACATGGGGTCACTAGCATCCTCATGAATGAGTTCAAACATCAGTAATACAATATCCTATGACTAAGTTATTAGCGATTCAATTTCAATTCAGTTCAAGGTAAACCATATAAATAAAAACCTGGCATTGGCTCTCTGCATTTTTGCTTGTCATATATAGGGTCCTATGATTTTGGCGTTAACGGAATCACAGAACTGGCCAATAAAAACGAGATCTACTGATCAACCCAGAATATCGCGGAAATTGACAAAGTGACTGAAATGCTGTCATCGTGAGGAGAAGGAACAGTTGTCTAGGGAACTGATCAAGGGACTGCCCATTTGTGGCACCGCCAATGCATCTCCTCACAAACACTCACCCTCCTCCTCCTGAACTGATCAACATGTTGAAATACTAGGCAAAATTGTGCAATGATATATTTAATCTATAAATTTAGTTCTGCATTGCGTTAACATTTACATTTACATTTTATTCGCCGACACAAAAAGCACACAGTCTATGGTGGTTGGTAAGAGTAAATGGTAAAAAATGGAATTCTAAAAGATTAAAATTTGGAAAAAAATAAAATGGATTTCCTAGGGCCCAACAGATGACCCCTGAGATGATTACAACAGATAAACAGTGTTGGTTGCAGCAGGTCAGCTTATAGTCACACAGGAAACTGCATCATATGCACAGAGTGAGGCTCATTTCCAAATTGGCCACATTAAATAAGGCTCAAGGCCAGTGTGAAATGAACAAAGGCATTCCTGCACATCAGCTTATTTAACATTGTATGTCTACTCGTAGTACGGTAGAAATATTAGGGTTACCTTTAGCCTTTCTTAAATTACTTTAATTTATTTGATTGTTTGGCTGTTTTATTACTTGTTCAAGGGTCTACTTTTGGATTGGCTCACTGGTAAAACCACCTCCAGAGGGGGGCACTCATAAGACTGTTATTTTGGGGGTCACAAAATAAAAACATTGGGAAACCCTGGCCTTAGGGTCAAGGTATTAACCATGAGCCACAACACCTCCAGTCTGAATCTGTATTGGCATCTTTTATGGAAGCCTTTCTCTTTCTCTCTCTCATTTGCTTTTATCCCTGTAAAAGAAGACAGTTGCCTGAGGAAAGGCAACATGCTGCTCGGTGTGATTCATTACCTATCCAAGCAAAAAACTGGCAACAGTAACTGCTTCAATGTTTTTCAGATGGATTTAGAAATCTTAGAGCTTTTGGAATTTTTTACAGGTTAGAGACAAATACACCACCATAGTCCTCTAAAAGAGTTTCTATCACAGAAATCATGATAACACCACCTGGAAAATAACAATTATCCTTTCAGCGACCTGGTTTCACTCTGCCCTCATTCCACTTTTTGTTTCCTTCAGTGCAATCACTCTCCTCTCACAAACTCTATTATCTACAATACAGCCACCTACCAAGAGAACACATTCCACAGTGCTTAACTTGATTTGTTTTGATCCAAGTCAAACTAACGAACAGGTCAGATCACTGCAGGTACTGCAGCGAAGAGGTACAAAGACCAACAAAAATGCACACTAACACACACGCCACCTATTTTACTGCTATCATTCTGCTTCATTCTTGTTGATATTCTCTCTGCATGTACACCGTTAAGTCATTTTAATGATGCTTGTTTCGCTCAGACATCACAGCGGAAGATCACTTTGGTTGTGGGGGTATTCTTTGGTGCTACCTTATTCTGAGTTTAGCTTCAAGGTTCAGGTAACTTTATAGCTTGTAGCTTGCCAACTATTAAAACCACATTATACAACCAGTGATTCACCTCAGTACATTTGCTCTATGTTAGTGGTGAGATAAAGAAAAGTCAGAAACTAGAATAATGGCAGTGAGAGTGTTTTCTTTATACAAGTCGACTTTTGGAGGCATTTAAACTCAAATGGCTCAATCAGCACGTTTTCAGTCCTGTGGTTTCAGCCAATTTCAAAATGAATCATGCATTGTCTTTACCAGCCACATACACACAGTTTTGTCTGTCAAAGGCAGGTGGACATGATAAAAAAAAGAGTGTGTGTGCTCGTGCTTTTGTGTGTGCACGTGTGGGTGTGTAAGTCTGAGTGTGCAATGTGTGAAGTGCTCTCCCTACAGTCATGTGGCCAAAGGGGCGGGGGGATTGTGATGGTGGCTGTATCAAGTGTACGCCTGAAGTTGCCATAGCAACCTAACACAAAGACTATCTCATCACCATAACAACTCTACCCCCTTCTGCCCTCCCTCCTCCCCCACACTGGGCTGCCATCCTCCCTCTTTCCCTTCCATGCAAATGGCAGATCCCCTCATCTCTCTCTCTCTCTCTCTCTCTCCATCCCTCCCCATACACCCACTCACTGCCATAACAGCATTAACAGATGGAGAGAGGAGTGCCATAGAGGGGGAGAGAAAAAGGAAGGGGAGGACCATGTGAGAGCCAGAGGGGGAGAAATATGAAGGCAGACCAAATGGGGTGACAGGGAGTTTTATTATAATGTACAAAAATAAAATAAAATAAAAAGAAATAAAACAAAAAGAAGCAGTGAGAGGGGAGAGGGGAGCAACATGGTTTCAAATACAATGCATACAATGTGATGAATACTGGTATGCTATACGTGTGCACTGATATGGGGGAAAAAGATAGAAAGGAACAACTTGATGGCGAGAGAGCAGACAAGAGATTTATTGTGTTTGTATACAAAAAGAGAGGGATAAACAGCCAGCCACAGGATTAGAGGATCAGAGGACGGCTTTAGCATGTGATAACTGGTGATACTTCAAAAATGTAGAAAAATCATCAAAAAGGAAGAGAGAGATAGAGAGAGATAGAGAGAGAGAGATCATCTCTAAGGCAAGAGAAAGAGAGAAGGATAAAGCCCCCTGAGTGAGTATGAGGAAAAGGGAGCAATTCATCCATGCCTGCCTGGTGTTTTCCATTGATTTTTCTTATAGCCAATCTCAGTGGGCAACTGTCTGTCTGCTTGGCCCATCGATACATCAACCAGTTAGTCAAGGAGAGGAGGACACCAGCGCATGGACATGGTTGCCTCTGACACTTGAAATTTCAATGTTTTACTGTGTCACTTTTGCTTTAACAAAATGGCTACAGAGTGGTTACACTGGCAAGATGGATGAGACAAAAAAGAAAAACAAATTACATGAGGACAGGACAAGCTGTGCAGTTAGCAGAGATTTAATAAACCCCTACCTAAACTGTGGAAAGAACGGCTGACTTTCAAGCAGGAGAGTGAGAGGGAAATAAGAGACATAAACAAGACAGGACAGGTCTGTTATTTGTCTGCCCACCTGTTGCTGCTCACACCTCCTGGTTTCCCTCTTACATCTCTGCTTCTTGTAATAGAAAGTGTACTATTCTGGACAGATTTGGCCTCTAAAAAAGACAAGTCTACCCAACAGATTAGCTTCTTGGGTGGCCATGAAATGCCTTTTGGAAGTTTTAATTTATTTTTTCAAGATTATTTTTTTCCAGGAAAGGAGGCAGTGGCAGGAGGACAGGTGTTATCTGTTACTTCAGTCCGTCACTTAGCATGGACAATAAATGTTGCATGACCAAAGATTTTTTTACCCAGCTTCACAGTTCAAACAACAATTGTAGTGGACAACTCATTCAAATAAGTATCATAAACACAAGCCTGTGATGGCACTCTCTTTGCTTCAGGTGATGACTACACTTAAATTTTTTTTTGCCTAAATGGCAGATTTTCATTTTTTTTATCAGAAACACTGAAAAACGTATTGTATCTGAAGCCTCAAAACCTACAATCTAAGTTGTTATTTTTTTCTTCTTTTTTTTTGTGTTAATCCGATTTTTCAGCTTGTCAAGCAGCCATCAAAGCAAACAAGTTTCCTTTTTAAAAGCTTGGGGCTAATAAGAAGTCAACTGATTCTGTTTGTTTGGAGGAAAGGTCAGCAAATAGCCAATATACTGTGTTATACCAATATCAACGGGCTATTTTTGTATTTGATAAAATACAACAATTTCATGGAAATCACTAGTGAGCAAAAATGCTGAACTTAAATGAGAATGTTTTTATTTTTGTCATTCCTTCGTATTGGCTACGTAAAATATTGCCACAAGGGACTTTTGAATTTCTGCCAAGCCATTTAACTTATTTTTACATCTTTACCTACCTTTAAGAAAATTCTGGCATTGTACATGAGAGTTTAAATGACGGCACAGGGCTCTAAGTTAACATTTTACCACCTTTCACCACAGCAGCCACGCTGACAAGACTGCCTGCAGTGTCTGCAGACACTTGTTTTTTTGTGTGCCCCGTGAGAGTGGTTATCATTCAATGAAGAGGACTTCAAAACGTCACAAACTGGCTCACTGACTAATAGATCAAAACTGAACTAAGTGACCATTTAACATGTTGACCATTCATTTGCTTAGTTATGTTTAACAATAATCTTAACAAGCAACAAGAGAGACAGGCTGATAAAATCAACTATAAAAGACAGTCACATGTATCTTCCTCCATCTGTCATCAGCCCCAGTCCCCCTCACCTACAGTATCTCCCCATTTCCCAACATTTCTTTTCCTCGACGAGTTAAAAAAAAATTAACAGCCCCCGCCATCTGTTCTTCCTGTATCCACCCACTCGCTCTCTGTGCCTTTCTTCCTCCTTTCCTCTCAGTGTCTCTCCTCCTCTCTGCTGATTTCTCCCCCTCTGTCTGTCCTCCTCTCAAGGTCTGATTGATAACAGCAGGGTCAGATGTGGAGCAGGGAGCTTCCCTCACGTGTTGCCTTCCCTCCAGAGGTAGACGTCAGTGTCAGCCTCTGCTGGCATGCACTCACACAAAGATGTGACACACACACCGACACACAGTGGCTTAATCATGCGCTGGGGCACACAGTGAGGCAGGCAGCACCAGACACATCTATAAAATACAAGATACATGTGCTACTTTATACACTCACACACAGACACACAGACAGACAGACAGACACACAGACACACAGACACACACACACACACACACACACACACAGACACACACACACACACACACACACACACAAACACACAAGGTTGAAGGCACACGACAAATGGCAAGCTGGAAAGCAGACCTAATAAAGCAGATCTACTGCAGTTCACACCTACGTATACATAGAAATCCCTTCTGAACAATACCTTCAAAATGTGCGACAAAAAAAAATCATTTTCTGGCAGCATCTCTCCTTCTGTATGAAACAGAGGCTGACTGTGCAATAAATAAAAGACAGAAAAAAATGAGAAAATATTGGCACATGTATGCAGTAATTATCACAGACCATCACTGATACTGGCTTTTTTAATTAAAATATACATTTATTGGAGAAGAGCGTATACTTCGCAGCCAGCAACCAATAAGTGAAATAATGAGTGGAAATAGTCACATCATGTATATGTGGCTGACTCTTTTCTCTGTAAGTTTATTATTTCAGCAAACATATAACATACAGTGCATCCGTAAAGTATTCATACCACTTCACTTTTTCCACATTTTGTTATCCAAAATGTATTAAATTCCCTTTTTCCCTCAAAAATTCTACACAAAATACCCCATAATGACAAAGCGAAAAACTTTTTTTTAGAAAATTTTGCAAATTTATTAAAAATAAGAACACTCAAATGTTGCATACATAAGTATGGTGGTCCTTCTGTAGGGTTCTCCCATCTCCTCAGAGGAACACTGGAGCTCTGTCAGAGTGACCATCAGGTTCTTGGTCACCTCCCTGACCAAGGCCCTTCTCCCCCGCTTGCCCTTTTTGGCTAGGCGGCCAGCTCTAGGAAGAGTCCTGGTGGTTCCAAACGCCTTCCATTTCTTAATGATGGAGACCACTGTGCTTTTTGGGATCTTCAATGCAACAGATATTTTTCTGTAACCTTCCCCACATCTGTGCGCCGATACAACCCTGTTTCGGAGGTCTGCAGACAATTCTTTCGACTTCATGGCTTGGTTTGTGCTCTGACGTGCTCTGTCAGCTGTGGGATCTTATATAGACAGGTGTGGCTTTCCAAATCATGTCCAATCAGCTAATTTTGCCACAGGTGGACTGCAATCAAGTTGGAGGAACACTGATCAGTGGAATCAGGATGCATCTAAGCTCAATTTTGAGTTTTATAGCAAAGGGTGTGAATACTTATGTATATGCAACATCTGAGTGTCTTATTTTTAATACATTTGCAGAATGTTCTAAAAAAAGTTTTTCGCTTTGTCATTATGGGGTATTTTGTGTAGAATTTTTGAGGGAAAAAAAGGAAATTAATCCATTTTGGAATAAGGCTGTAACATAGCAAAATGTGGAAAAAGTGAAGTGGTAGGAATAATTTCCGGATGCACTGTAAAAGCATGCTTAATGTTGTTTTTTTTTAGACAGATTTGATGGTCTTCAAAAAGATTTTATGTGCAATATAATATGTTTAAATTCTAAAAACAAAACAAAAAAACAAGCAACATGCAATACGTTTAACATGATTATTATGGTTCTGATTGGATTTTTAGGTCTCCTGTTTTTCTGTCTGTGGACATCAACATCATATCCTGGCTTAGAGGAATCAGATTTTGATAATTGGGGAACTCACACTAAAAACAGTACACTGTGGCCTATACATGCCTTGCCCCTGTTTCTGACACTAATTTTTTAGCCAAACAAGCATGGCTGCAACTACCATGTCCCACCAGTTACAACTGCGTGTCTTCACCCACTGGTCAACATATCATGTCAAATACTGGGGTGCGTCACACCAGCACCAAATAACAAGTGTAATCCACTTCAATTATTGCCTACAGCAAACTTAGGCTGTACCAATCATTGATTGAGCAAACACTCAGATATCAGAACAGCATTTTGTATAACTTCTATAGGGTCTCCTGCTGTGGTGGAATCGTACTTAATCATAACAGAGAGGTAGTGTGTCGCTTGTACTGTTGGTGTCGCGCCTGGAGCTGTTTGTATCATATGAGAGTCAGCTGGGAAAATAGATGACCTATCATCTCAGTGAAGACATGACACATGGTAATAAAGTGGTTTAAGTATAGAGATTTCAGAGAGCATCCACCAACACTTGAAAAACAAACAGAATACATCAAATAAAAATACAGGCTGTGAAACTTGAGTAGCTGAACAGCTGAGCAAGTCTTGATCAGAAGGTGGTGTATATGTGTAGTAGGGATGTAACAATATGAAAATTTAAAATCACGATTACTGTGACCAAAATTATCACGGTTATCAACATTATCACGGAATTGTTGAAATATGTTCATAATGTTTAAAAAGTACTTATACATGCCTTACAAGAGCCAGAGGTAATCAACACTAGTACTAGTAATAACAAAGTACAAAGACATGCGCCAGTGGCGTCAACATTAACATAACAAATAAATAAAATTTTAATAAAATGACATTCCTTATTGTGCAAATTGTAAGAATCTTCAGTGCTCAAAAAGATCTACTCTTACAAATATAAAACAGAGCAACACTACTATATAAAACAATACAACCAAATGTACACAAATGTGTAGTGCAGGTGTTTGAAATAATATAAAATATGTAAACAAATCAAATGAACCACACTAATCGTCCATTTTCTCCACCATAAGGTGCTGCTGCTGACTTTGCTCACTACTTAAAATTTAAAATGTGAAAATGTCAGCATATTTACTTTCCTGGTTTGAGTAGTGATCTGTGAGGGGAAACGATATGCCTGCTGGCACTGAATAGCCTGTAGGACGGCACGCTGGTTGCTGGGATGCACAAAAGCTTCCTGGGAACTATCGCAACCCTTTGTGGAAGCCGAAATATGCCCAGACTTCTGAATTTGTTTACTTAGACAGCGGAAAAATCTCTGCAACACGGTCGGCAGATTGCCCACAGAACTGCCCTCCACCATGTTTACAAGTTGCGTACTGCGCCATGCGCATGCGCGCGGCAAGCCTGTGTCTGAAGGACTGCTGCGTGCGGCTGCTCTTCTCAGCACTGAACAGTTTGTGAGCTTTTTCAGAGTGCGGCAACCAAACACGGTTTTAACGGTAATTAAAATTTGAAACGGTAGTAATAACCGTCAGGTTTATCATCTTGCTGGTAATTGTTACATCCCTAATGTGTAGACCAAAACACTCAACCAAAGACCCAAATATCATAAATCAGGGCTGTCTTAAGAGGCAAATACAGAAGAATCCTGAACACAGGGGCATAGCATTGGTTGTCATACTTCAGAACTAAATCAAAAACTAAGACCCTAAAGTCAGGGTCAAATTCAAAAACACCGACTTGGAGAATCTTGACACCCCTTCTTATTACAGTAGAGTATGGTTAGTCCACTGAATGGAAACCTTCTTCTGTTATACTTGGCTAACAGGATGAAGTGGTCGTGTCAAGAAGTAGATCAGACTCAAGTGTTATTAGGTTTTACCTCGCACTCCCCGTCATCCTGTCACTTAAGTTAATAGGACCCTTCTGCTGTGTCGCACACAAGCAGGTACAAATGACTGGACCAGTAAATATGATATATGGAGTACAAACATGAGGAGAACATACATGTGAGCCAAACAAATGAACACCCGACAGTTTTACAACTACTCAAGTCATTTATGTTGGTGAGAACTTTTTGAATGTTTAATTTATAACACAGGGTAACTGTGGACAGCTACTGCCGATTTTGAACTATAGAGATGTCTGCAGATGGAAATGAAGAAATCTCTCTTTCTTTCTCATCTCTCCCAGCTTAAAACCATCCCCCTTCAACAACATCAAGCTCCCACCATTATTCTCACGCTCTGCACTGCTTCTGTTTTAGTCCCTGTTCCCCACCATGCAATTCCCTTCTCACTCTCTTTACCTTTCACATGATCTTACTCTGTCCATTTCGCTCCCACTAAAACTTTCTCCTCTTCTCTTGCTCTGTCTCTCTTTCTCTGAAACACACATTCTCCCCAGATCTGACTCACTCCCTTTCCCAGTATCCCACCCTTTCCTCTATCTTTCTCTCCCACTCTCTCCCCCTCTCTGTTGCCTCTCTCCAGAGGACTTAAGCCCTTAAAAGGAAGTAGCCTTGTCGTGCATGGAGCTGCACTGGGTTTAACCCTTTCCAAGTATCACCAGGTTTGCTAATGCCTGTTTTGCTTATCACTGACATTTCATAAGTCTAGATCAGAGAAGAGATAATCCATATATGATAGTCACGTACCAAAAACTAAAAGTAATCTTCTGATTGAATGATGTATAGTAACTTAACTTTTTTGATAACCCAGCCCTTAAACACACTGAAAGGTAGATTTCTAATCGCAAACTAAGATGGACCTGCACTGCTTCATTTAATTCGATTTTTCTGGTCCTTGCTGGCTGTGAACAACTTGCTTCACAGTTTTTGACTGATGTGTTGATGCTCAGTGGTTATGCAGTCTCTGTAACTGTTGTACAGCAAAGTAAGGTCCTCTTTGGATTGTTTTGGAACAGAATCCAGAGTAGCCACCACTTTGCAGACCTATTCTTACCTGCCCTGTACAATGTGATCTTTACATGCATTCATAGTCCAACCCACAACGTCAGCTGCATGTGTTTTACCACAGACATATGGACTTGGAGTCCGGTGAATTTGGACAACTGTCCTTTGTCTTTATGTGAGTCCACAAAAATCTAAATAAGAACTGTAAGCAAAGAAAACTCCAAATTGTGCATCTCTGCTCACTATGTTGTAGTTTCTTCACCTTAGCTGTGCAAAAAACATTTGTTTAAAATATAAAAAGTGTATAAATAAGAGCAGTCTTATCAGCACAAGCCATTAGGAGATGTTATTAGTAAAGGCATTGTCTAGAAAAAGTCATATCTTGCTTTCATAGTTTTCATCATACCAAAATGTTTCAGTCAGTGATAAAAATGATGCATCAGAAACAAACTCTTCTCTGTTTTTAAAGACAAATTTATCACATAAAAAAGCAAATAGTGCAATAGTGCATTTCTACATGAGTGTGTGACAAGTACTGAGCTGGCAAACTGTTGAACTCTTCAGCATGAAAAGTTAAGGTGCTTCAGACACTGCTCTACTTTTTTTTTTCAAGCTTTATTGACACTACACAATAAAGCTTGCTCTGCGATCAATAGATAGAGGTAATATTGTGGATGAAGGTGTTTTTACAGCTGCACTCTCTTCTGTTTAGCCTGGGTTCACTGTAAACTTTCTTTTGTCATTGCAGATAAAAAAAAAACTGTTTTAATAATCCAATCAGGGTAAGAAACTATCATAATATTCACAAAAATATTTCACAGGTCATGCCACCTACAGATTATCAGTGCAGTGGCTACTCTGTCATGTTTACAGCAGTGCACAAAAGCATATACCATTTACTATAACTATTGCCAAGGACCTCAAAATACCATGAGAAAGTGCTTATCTGGCAACAGTGGAAATCCCCTGATGACCCTGACGCTATCAGTGCTGTGCTTTACCATGAAAAAAAACACAGGGCAGCTGCTGTGACAAAAGCTAAAAAGGATAGTTGTTAACCATTAGTGTGATATTTTTCATTTAATGGACACATCAGACAAACAAGAGAGGCCACAGTGGCAAGCAATGCTTTGATGAATTGACTCTGTAGCGGTCAAGTAGTCAAAGGTCATCTAACTCCCTTAATAGTTACTTACTAGCTTAATTCCTGCCTTGGAAAGTCCATTTCCTGACTGAGAACAGGCTGCTATCAAAGTGAATCAAGTAAAGTCGAAGTTCACTGATGACTGCAGACCTCACTGCCCGTCCAGAGGCATGGAAAGATTACAGCAGTTCATCTTCTGATAAAACTGACTCACAGTAAAATACCAGAACTTCATTTATCCCCTAAGGGAAAATTCACTGCAGTGATGTCAAAATTAGACTGTGAGTTGAATGTTCAGTTGTTTGATGTTGTTTTGATGTTTCATCCTAGCTAAAAACAGTATCTGCTTACTTTATGTCTGACATAAAATAATGAAACTACATCAAAAAAAGAATCGTGGTCAAGGACAACTGTAATGTGTTGTGTGTGTAAATGGGGACAAAACTTGAAAGTCTAAACTAATTTCTAGGTATTTGTTCTGGACTACTGTAGAGCTCAACAGATGCAGCACTAGACTATGGCTATAGAAGAGACTGACCCACAGTGAATAAAAGACTGTGGGTGGTTGATTCATTGGTTGGGGGGCAATAATCGGTTATGAAGGGATTTATCTGCTAAGTTCTTATCAAACACTATCGCTTTGTACTTACGTCAAAAAACATGTGAGCCTCTGCTGAAGGATATGTACATTTAATCTGAGTAACAAAAGAGGAGTGTGCCATATCTGAAAAACATTACTTTATGAATATAGTTTATGTAGCAGTGTGATGACAAAGTCCAACACGTTATCAGTGACAGCTTGTAACCAGCAGAACAGACGTCACCTGGAGAATGTGGGTGAAAGGAATGCTTTGTTTCTAACCTTATCAGCGCTGCATTTATGGAACTCGATACTCCAGGTTTCTGCTACGTTCACAGCCTCAAGCCCTATAAATAATTTCTCTACAGCTACAGGAGCATGTTTTCTTCATCATAACATATCGCTTCTTTAGCCATTAGGATAACTCGTGAGAGATGGGCCTGTGACTAATTTTGGGTCCTGACACACAGTTCAAGAGATGAGTCCCTGGAGACATCACATGGACGGGTATAATCCTTATAGCCTGGGATGTGGTAAATACTGTGTGTGGCAGAGCCAAGCTGTGAGAGATTAATTATTACAAAGACACAGATATAAACAGCTGGGACTACAGCAATATGCTTTTGAAAACCTCAGTTTGGTTCCCAGGGTTGAAAAAAAGGTAACAGATGTGCAGGCTGGAGACTGTATATGGCATTAACGCTCAAATCTGGCACAATATGCAGCCGGAGTCCTGTGCGCTGGTAAAACACCAACTGCAGAATAACATTAGTGGCCAGCCTGCGGGTAAAAGAGCCCAACATGCTCTCATCAAATGGCCGGAGTGTAACATAAACAAGACCAATGTGGTCCCCCCTTATGTGACCATTTACAGTCACAAAAGAACTCCAAACCTTGTCGTTCTCCAGCTTCTGTTTAGAGTCGGGTCATTAAAATGAGCATACACTTGTAAGCTGGCTTTAAATGTGACTTTAACCACAGCTTCAAAGATAAAACAGTAGTGTTTGACGTAGTGCTGGACGATAATTCGATAACAATATATATCGATCGATAGACGTGTGGTGCGATAGAAAAAAAACGGGTCGATAAAAAGTTCGATAGAAAAACACAGTTTCCCTTTCTTTTTCATCATAGCCTATCATGTAGCTTTTACTACAGTCATTACTTCCTCCCAACCAATCACAAACGCAGACCCAGGTACGCTACGGCACCAAGCCCAGCCCCTCTCAAACCACAACAGACAGCACGTGTATTAGAAAAAATGATACAGCAAGGAGAAGCGGAGGAAATTGTCCCGAAAAAAGGTTTCAGTAGTTCACCAGCATGGCAATGTTTTGGTTTTTAGAAGTCTGTCAAAAAGCGAACAGCGGTCGTTTGCAAAATTTGCAGAGAATTAGTAAAAACCAAGTCTGGTAACACAACCAACTTGTTTTACCATCTAAACCGGTCGCACCCGCAGGAGTACGAGCTGTGTCGGCCGCGCCGCGGCTCCACGTCGTCGTCGTCGGAGGAATCCTCTGGAGCCGCTGCCAGCACCAGCACAAAGCAAGTGAAGCAGACCAAACTGGACTTCGTTTCTCTCCAAAAATACGACAAAGCGTCCAAGCGGCATAAGGACATCACCCATGCAGTAACATGCTCCATAGCGAGGGACATACTGCCAATAACTACCGTTGAAAAGCCTGGCTTCGACCAGCTTCTAGCCACTCTCGACCCGCGATATGAAGTGCCCGGCCGCAAGTATTTCTCAAACACAGCGCTTCAGGCATGAAAATGGGTCAGGGGTTGAAAAGGTGAGAAGGGTGCGGAGGAAACGCACCCCTGCATCCCGTCCACTCATTAGCTTCTTAAAGTGGAAGAAAATGAGCTCATATTTTACAAAGACGCGAGTATTTGGATCATGGCTACTAGCAGGGGGTGCATTCGGCAGGGGTGCATTCTATGACACAACACCGGCGTGGATAAGTCCTGCTTCTCGTGCTTAGTTTGTGTATTAAGTCAATCACATGATAATTAAAAAAAATAAATCTCCCGACCCCGGGAGAAATATTTCAGTGTTCAGACACCAGGCTGTGGGCAGTTTCCCACACAGTTAAAACTGGTAGTATGCTATTCCCACCTAAAGCTATTCTGTTTATTTATATATTTGTTTGTTTTGTTTATTTTCATCAAAAGACTATTTAAATATTTATTTATCAGATTTTCTGGTCACTTTAGTCTTTATGTTTGTCAGTATTTACTGACGTCACTCAGGCCACTTAAGTTGATTTCTTTTTTTTTTTTTTAGTTCTTTTTTAAAAAACTTTCAGTTGTGGTAAAATAAAAAAGGTGGTTGAATAAAGGTTTGAATTTGAATTCAGTGCTTGTGTGTTCTTTATTAAAAGTAGGTCATTAAGCAATAGCAAAAAACATCCAGGGCTGCAATTAAAATATATGTTAAATAATTATAATAATTATATCGATAATTATCGATATCGATCAATATGATTTATTTTTTATCGATATGCTTTTTTTCTATATCGTCCAGGCCTAGTTTGATGTGTATGTCAGTCTGGTAAGCAGGTCAGACTTAATGCACGTCTTATGGTGGAAAATAAAAGTGTGTAATACATAAAATAAATGTACTGAAGCAGCAAGGGTTAAAAAGTTATGAGGTTTTGCACTCTCTCTTTTCATTTTCATCATTCATTCAGGAAACTTCAGTTTTTACAGGCTGATGGAAAAGTACAGTTGGCCTTTAAGAAGATAAATAATAAAAGAGTTACACAAACACACATTATCAGAACTGCCATACAAAGGCAGTGATATGAAAGTGTGTCATATCAAGGCTACGCAGCGACACTGATAAAGATTGTTGTTGAAGAGAGGAGGACTGCGAACTGCTCCCGACCCCTGACTTTCTTTATCTGAATCATGATTAAGCAAGGCCACTGCCCATCATGGTCACGAACAGCAGGGATTGGCTGAAAGCAGTTTCAATGCCAGTGGTTGCTACGGTGACCATGGCTGTGCCAATCCAGGGCACCATGTTAAACCCACAATCTCCAAAGTATTAAAATGCCCTCCAAATTCATCTTTTTAGAAAGTAGGTTATGTTGCTTTCTTTCACTGACCGGCAGTAAATGTTGCTGGAGGAAAAGACTGTTTATCTGCTATTTATGGCCCAAGAGTGTCACAAATCCTCCAGTGGAACAAGAACTTCATGTATTTGATCAACAACTTGGACCCAAAAATACAGCATTTTGGGCCAAAGCAACAAGGATCCATCTATCTATCCATCTACATTCATTTCTACTTTATGTACACTGACGAATTCTGTGAATGCAACATGAATTCAAAGAAATGGTGCAGACTTTAAAACTGCATACAGACTATCACACTCATTTGACTGGTCAGACTAGCCTCTAAAGTAGAGTGTGATACAACTACGGGCCACATGCTGGTTGTTGTCTGTTCATCTGTCTGCTCTGATGGCCAGTTTGGCAGCACACCAAGCACCATCCCTTTTTTTTTAAAACTCTTACATGGCTGGAGGCTGGGGAACTCATTTCTTCATCCCACAATCCATCAGGTGAATATTGAAGTTTTATTATTGCCCTGGTCTACGGTTCATTTAAACAGGCCAGGTCAAAAGGAGCAATTAATGAATCAAATGAATAATAGAGAAGAATTTCCTCATTTGCACAGATTGGGACGAATTCAAATCTCTTCTCTTGTTTTTGTTGAATTCATATTTCAAAATAGGACTAAGCGATAAAAGACTTTTGATAGGAGAGTGGGATTCAATTTATGTCTTCATAAACAATGATTACTTACAAGGTGTTGAGCACAGTATGAATAAATCACAAAGTCTTGCTGTAGGAGAGGGGAGGTTCTCGCGAGTGTGTGTATGTTTGCATACATGATGCCTTTGCATTATCGTATAGTGGTAAATAAAACTGTCATTGCAAAAAGCAACCGAGAAAGCAAAGCCGTGTTCCTACAGCAGCACAGAACAGAAAAGTAACATACCTGTTTAGGTATTTAGTGAGTGGGAAAGAAGCAGGAGGGTTACTGTAGTTGTGACCATGCTAATTTGTATTGTTTAATATCTGTGATGGTGAAAACTTGACTACTAATCCACTATTAAATTCCCCTCTAGCAATCAATAAAGTTCTTCTTCTTCTGCAGACTTCTGCATCAAGTTCCACCACAGATTCCCTTTTTTTAAGAGGAACAGCCATTATCCAGCAGCACTCAGCCTGCAGTCTCACTGTGATTTTCTCAGAGGACATTTCTGCTCCTGTTTACATCTTCTGAACAAGTAGCACTGGCAAAATTTTCAGCAGCTCAAGCTAACCTTGCTGTGAAAAGGGCTGATTGTGTTTTTGTTAAAGAGTAAGACAATGATTTAGATTTAGCTCACTCTATTGGTTTAGAAAACACAGGAAGATCATCATAAACAACATTTTCCTGATTTTTCTGACATTATAAGGGCACCTCTTAAACTGGTAGCAATACCTGATAATACATTGGAGAAAATATTGATCCACAACAGAAAACCATGTTGACACCAGCAAGCCTTTCTCCAGAATGATAACCTATACCAGAAAAGGACAACTACATATCTAGTCCACTAGGCCGTGTGTCTCCATATTCAAGAGCTTCTTTCAAATTCAATCACATTTCTCACCACACATACCTAAATCTAATGTGTGTTCAGGTTTGCTGTGGACTCTCATGGGACACAGGCAACCAAATTGAAAGACTCTCTGGGTATTTGATTCTCAGGGTAGTATGTCAAACCTCCATTCAACCTCTCCACCTGAAGCCTGTCTCTCATCTGTCTGCTTGCATGTCTCTCTTTCTCTTGTTGGAATCAGTTGGCAGGTACCCCAGAAGGTTAAGAGGGATCAACAGACACTTTTCACTTCTGTGTAGTCATAACATATTTTTTGGAATACCTCTGAACAATATCTAGATACTGTCTGCCAAAGCAGATGAAAGGGGAAACAAACCCTGAAGGCAAAGTCAAAAATTAAAAGCATTTGCCTGGTATTAAACGTTGGCTCTAACCCACAAGCTCCTCTTCCTTTCAGTCTCATCCCATTCATGTTTTCCCTCCTTCCCTACACTTCACCCCATTGTTAAGTCTTTCTTACCGTGCCAATAACGGTTGTGCTAAACCGCCCTTATAACCCCTCCTCTCACTAAGCCTTCTGGTCTAATGAGATTGAGCCTGTACACTTACACCAGCACATGCAGAGAGAGGGAGACGGGGAGATTGGGAAAGCGAGGAAGTAGGTTCAGAGGATACAGCATGACACGGTGACGACTGGCATGCAATGATAGATTGACTGAAAGATGAAAAAACAAAGGAGGTGGTGGTTAGTGGGCTGAAAAGGTGGAGATCTGAACATGCCTGAATTTGTAAGGGGGGAACCAGGAAAGTGCAGGAGCACAACAGAGAAAAAGAAAAGTCGTTTTGTTTTGTCGTTTTGTCACTCTGACCATGCTCAAGACCTAGGCAAGCAACTCCACAAAGGAAGACAAAATTAATGTGCTACTGTGACCTGTTACAGGCAGTCTTGTATGACTGAGTGGAATAAAATGATAGAGAAGGAATACCAGGTAACCAACCAGTCTCAAAACCTAGGGTAGTTTTCTCTAGGCTCACAGTGTTAGCTTAGGAAACACAAACAACAACCTTGGGGGTGAAGTCTATCTTCTCTTACAGCCATCATGTTGGGTAATAATCAACTGCTGTTAAATTGAGAAAGATCAGTCGACCTGATAAAACGGCGTATAGGCTGATCGTTTCTGTATAATCCAATCGATCCCTATTTGCATTGCTTGCGATAATCCAGCCATTGATCTTGCTCTAACAGTCCTATTTATAAACAGTGTAAATGGGTTTCTTAAAGAGCAGCTTCATTCATATTCAGGCCTGTTAGCATAACTTGATGAATAAGGCCACCTCCACATTACATTACAAAACATCCCAAGCTCCGTTCCAGCACCCAGTTTCCAACTCTATGCTGCCATCGTGGTTCACAATTATGCAGAAAGACTCCCGCTGGCTTCATTTTCTTGATAAATATACATATACAGTATGTATGCACAAATATTGAATAAACAGATCAAGTTAAAACATGGCTGACCTAAGGAGGACCAAGGCAGGCCAGTTGTTGAACCAGTAAATGTTGTTGTGTCCTGTGATGTTCCTACACCAGCAGCCTGCTCTTTTGCTGATATTGACTTGGATGAATACAGTGAGGAACTTTAGCCTATCACTCTCATTGTGAGAATTACCAGTTGAAATTGTCAAATGGCCATATTACTGCATCTAACACTACTAGCATACGACGACTGGTGCAATGGATCAAACAGTTCCTATCCCGGCTGCTAGGGTCGACTCTGTTTTCACTGCAAACAAACTGCCCCAGGGACAAAAAATATGAACCTTCAAATAGAATACTCCTTTTTCACCGCTTTTTTCCTCTTCTTTTTAAACACATTTGAATAAATGTGCTATGTAGCTGCTTGAAAAGAGAGATGCTGCCAAACGAAATTTTGCTGTATTCCTGTACAATTACAATAAAGTTTCTTCTTCTTCTTTAGTTCAATTTAAGTAGGTAAGGTAGGAAGTGTATTATGGTTGTGGCAGATGCACATGGGAACTTGTAAAATAACATGTCTTGCAAAAATGCCCTGAGTGCACAGAAATGTTACAATTATTATTCTTTTAAAGTACTTCACTGAATCTTCTTAAGTCACTGTTGCAACCCTCTGGAAATGTAGAGCTTGTCACAACACTGATAGCTTCAGCACTGATTCCCTCATTCTCTATAATTTCACTCTCAGGCCTCCTAATCCTCCTCCTCTTTATGTTTTTTTTTTGTTTGTTTGTTTGTTTTATTTCTTTCCATGTGTTTCCTAGTTCTCTTTATATGTCCCACTCCAACTCTATTCCTGTCCCCTTTCTTCTGTCTCCCTCTTTTTTGTACTCCCACTTCTCTCCAAGAAAGCATCAACACTCAGGCATTCATTCCAGCACTAGGACTGTTACAGCATCATTTAAACCCTGGGCTGGGTTTACAGTCAGCATCTGGCCAGTGGTGTGTTTGTGGTTCTTTTTTTTCTTCCATCCTATCTCCCCCCCGAAATGAACATGAAATTATCAACAGAGTTAGGATACTATTTTCAAAAATCAAAAATGTGTCCACAGTTTTAAAATATAAGCTAGGGGGTAAAGGGCATTTTTGGACAGTAACACTAATCATTTGTAACAATTATAGATACTGTTCATTACTTTGCCAATATATTTGGTGCATGTTGCTTTGTGTTGTGTCCACATTTTTCAAACTGGCAATATTTACAAAACGAGAGATGAGATGAAGCTTCAATTAACATATTCGCTCTGGGTTATGGTTATGACTTTAAAAAGTTTCGGGACAGTCATTGCGACCTTTATGGGGTTTATGATAGCAGACTTGGGGAATCATAGAGAGTTGCAGAGCAGAAAAGAGGCTGCATGACTCCCAGAGAGGATTAGCAGAGCAGGGGACGGGATGTATAGCCACTTGTTAGATGTCTGGCATCCACCCCCCATTTCCTCATTTTTGTTCAGTGCCACTAAAGATGGCATGTGGACAGAGAATGAGGAAGTACCAAAGTTCAAATTCTGTTTATCAGTTAGTTTGAGAAACAGCTTGCTCCCACACAGCTTAATCTGTCCACTTTCTGATGATGGGTTTTTCTTCCCTATGTGTTTTTGTGTTGTTTTTTTGAATTGGTCTTTTATTGGCTCAGGCATTAATAAACATTAATGTGCCTGACTTCTTCATGGTTACATCTTTATGCTCTTGAACAGAACCACAGTCTGCCACATGGGCACTAAATTAAACTCCACATGAAAACAAACATACTGCTTTGTTTTTTTTTTGTCCATAAGCAACAGCTAAAATGTCTAGGCAGATGCCTAGACATGCTACCTTATGCAAAGAGGAGATAGACAGCTACAGCATGACACAGACTTCCTTTGCAGCATTTGCAGGATTCAAAGGTCTTTTTCACTTGAACTGTGGCCTATGAAATGACAAATCAAATGCTGTGATGTACCCTTTCGAGCTGTTTTTGCTCCATCTCTGCTAACTAAACTCCACAGTTTCAATATTTTCTAAAATATGACTCCTTCCCCCCAAGATGGCACACAAAGAAACATGCTGCAAAGAAGAAATAGATGTAAAAACATTCAACAGAAGGAGGCAAGGACAAAAGAGGAGGTGGAGAAACAGGTACACAGATTTGAAGAGATAAGGCGACAGAGAGATTCAGAGAACGAGACAAGAAACAAGAAAAAGATAAGAAAGGCAAAGAAGGATGACGGCAAACAAGTAGGCAGGAGAACAGAGTAACCAGCAGACTACCTTTCAAATAAATGACGCAAATACAGAAAGACAAATAAAGCTGATTAGAAGAGAGGGTGATCAACAGGTGCAGGAAAACACTCAAACATTATTTTGTTAAATAGAGGCCAAAATGGCTGCTTTTAAGACACAGGGAGGGAAAATCTGAGGGGAATAAAAGGCAGCATGAGCAAAAAACAAGATAAGTCAGGACAGAGACAGAGACACACTGTATTAAAAAAGCAGCTAGAGAGCCAGACTGAGTAGCATGAGCTGTCTGAGGGCTTTTCCACTAAGTGCTGTCAGTCAGCCTACCTGACAGGTCTCTGTAGGGATGCTAGGCAGTATTAGATTTGGCTGCAGGCAAAAAGCTCACTGGACACACACTGCAGCCCGCTAATCAGGTCACCTGTTGCATAACACTGCGCAGTGACCTGCAACATACACACACACACTTTGAGCAACATACATGTTGTCAGCCAGTGACAGGCATTTGTGCATGTGCTGTGTTTCTTTAAATTGCACTTATAAAAGTAAATGCACACATGACAGAATAATACTACAGCAGTGTCAGCTTTGCTTGTTTGAGTAATTACCAGCCATTGGGGGGCTGTAATGTCCATTTCTAAAAAGAATTGGGATAAAAAGATTTCAAAGCAGAAAAAATATCACAGTTGAAGAGGTAGGTAGGTAGAAGAAAGAGAGGCATGCTGAACAGCAGGGGGTAAAGAGACGCACAGAGAGGGAGAGTGGGGATGAGAGAAACAAAGTAAGGGGAGAACAATAATGAGGTGGTGGTCATACAGTCAGGGAGGAGACAAAAAGAGGTCAGAGAGGCAGAATTACACCGTGCTGCTGTGTGAGTGATCATGCTCTGAGAAACAGTCACCACAGGCTCAACAGCGAGCATATATGCAACATTTACACAATGTGGTCAGCTTACTCTCTGAATTGTGCACATATCACTGTACACAATGGCAGGAGATAAATATGTCATCATACACACACTTGGCACAGTGTTGATGCTTATATATAACTACAGTGTATGTACTTGTTCTTGGTTCTGTCGTGCAGATGAAGGCGGACACAAGTAGACACACTGGTTTCAAAGAAGAATACTCCAAAAATCGGAACAAATACATTGAAATAATTACGTTGATGTAAAGTTCAGAGAACAGAAGAAATCATGTCATGTACTTTCTCTTAAGTGTACTTAAGGCAGTGAGAACAATCTATATTTGTGTTAAAATTTCTGGGTTAACTACTCAACCTGTCCTGTATTTGTTTGAAAATTTTCTCAAATTCTCCTGCTATGATAATGCAAGACTTTTGCAAGACAAAAATAAGATATGAAGTGTATATTTTTAAACTACACTGTGCAATATTCCATTGAACTGTGTAATACTTTGTTAAACTGTATAATACTCTGCGATATCCTAAGCTGCAAACTGGTTTTGAAAACACTTCCTACTTCTCTACTCTTCTGTCTTAAACACTCTGTAAATAGCTTTATTTCAAATATTCTGCACTTTTTACCAACCGTTGCAATTTCTTGTTCATTCTTATTCAATTATGGTCTTGCACTTCATGGAGTTCATGAGAATTTTTAGACGTAGAGGGAGAATACTGAATGCAAGATAGCCTTACACTGGAGACTTAGTCAGAGTATGCCTTCAGATATATGTCAGTGTTGTTAAAATATCCCTGCAGGTTAATGCAAGGATATTAACCTGCAGGGAGAGCTGAAGGTGATTAAGATTGCCACACTCAGCAATACCTTTTACCCACAAACTCTGTGTCTAGTCATGTTAAATAAACTAGACACAATAAGTTGTTTGTTTGCGAGCAGTTTTATTATTTTTCAAAAAGACTGTTCAAATTTCCATCTAAACAACTATGAAATTAGTCACTTTGAACATCTCTAGGACAGATGTTGGTATGGAAGCACCCATCAATCCAAGACATGCTACTACAAAGACACTTTAGACGTCTATTTTTATTTCAGGGTAATGTTACACTGGCAAGCATCAACAGGATAACCAGTTTCACCCGAACAGGGTAGATTTGCTCATAATTGTGCAAGAAGCCTGCTGCAATGACAAGGAAACACTTGCTGTAAGTGGCTACTGTTTATGTTATGAGTCTTTTCAGGACTGCTTTGAAAATACCATTGAATATAAATAATCAACACAACACACCTAGACAGGATTTTGACAATACTGACTTACACTTTCCAGGAAGAAGTAAAAACTCCCCTAAACAGATTACAGCAAAGCAGAGGTAAGTCTTTACAAGTATTTGATAAATTCAGTCAGCTGGAGTTTCTCATTCATCTGCTATAAAAACCTGCACTGTCAAGAATGAATAAAAGCTGTGTGCACTGACAAAGTCTGTTTTATGTCCAGGCAGGTGACACGTCATCTTCCGTCAACATTTTCTGTTCTTGTAAGAGTCAGCAAGCTCAGATGTTTGTATTTTCTTCCTGAATAGACCCTCAGCTGCTCCCCTGCCTTGAACAATTTTTCATACATCCTCTGCTTTATCCCTGATGTCTGTTTTGTAAAAAACACATTTAATCTTTTTTTCTATCACTACTCCCTGAACTCATTTGTCTGACCACCTATGTCTCCACAAAATGCCCCACTCATTTCACTCACAGAGGCACCCTATTGTCCATCCCTTCCTGCTACTGTCAATGGACAAACACTGTGGGGCTGGCACTAAACAAAAAACTCGAGGGCTAGGAGTAAATAACTATAATAATAATAATAATGCATCAGATTTTATAGCACTTTATCAGAGACCCTCAAAGCGCTTTACATTGGATACATCATTCATTTGCTCACACAGTCACACCTTGGTGGTGGTAAACTACCGAAGTAGTCACAGCTGCCCTGGGGCAGAATGACAGAAACGTAGCTGTCAGTTTGTGCCTAAGGCTAACTTAGGCCAACCGCAAACCGTTCAATGGATCCCAACATAGTCTCAATTCATCAGTATGCCATTCCTTACTCCACCTTAACCAAGAAAGGATTACTTAAAAACCATTGGCCCAACATCACCAGTTATGATGGAGGCACAACAGTTTGTATTCAAAACAATATGCCTTTTTGTTAAACTGCTGAGGCCTGTGTAGTGATCTTGCTGGATTTAAGCAGCTACAGTTAGGGAAACAAAGCTTGTACCAAAGGATGTCATGTTTTTGGAGGATACTGTGCCATCCATGGGAATACATTACCAGCTATCTACCTCATTTACATTTTAGGCGTTTAGTCGGAACACTCACACACAGCAGTTTCCTGCAGCACAAACAGAAGGTTAAGAGCACACTGGTGAATCATCAGAACTGCAAGTCGCCAAATAAAAGACAATAGAAAAGGTGCTGAGGATTTTTACATACCGCAAACACACCAGATACAGACAAAGATTATGTTACACTATTGTCACTTAACCTTCAAACCTCTGACTTTTTGAACAAATTGGTCTCCTTCACAAGGCCAATATTAAAAATGCTTGACTCATACAGAAAGATGTTCTATGACATCTGTGTTCAATTAAGTATTTATGGCAGCCATATTTTTTAATCAAGAGGTCAACCCTGAAATGAGAAATTGTCCAACTTTAAAAGGGTCACACACTGATAAGGCAGCATTATGCTTTTGTGAGCTCTGTTCAATGTGTCTCTGAAGACTTCAGCTATTTTTTCAAACCTTCAGAATAGCCTATAAAAAACTGCACTGAAAGGATGCAACCAAGCTTGGAACAAGCAATCTGTCATCCATGACATGTAAAACAATTATTTATGTACTTTCAAATGTGAACTGTGTTCATGAACAACTGTAGAGTTAGCAATACTGCTTCACGTGGCTCTGTGATTATAAGGAAATAATAACAAAAAAGAAGAATAAGCATTACCGCTATGTCAACAGACTAAAAGACAACATGTATTCACTAGACAAATTGTTTCGGAGCACATGCCATTTCAGTGGTGGCTCTTCAGTACTATTTATACCAATGGGTTACAGCAGTGGTCTGGCAGGAGCACATGATGTTGGTCATGATAAAGGCCTGAGTTGTTCCCATCAGGAATGAATTCCCCGGAGGGCAGCATAAACCAGCCTTGCTGGCTAACCTACTGTCAGGGATGTCATGTGTGTGAGCCACAGCATCAGGCAAAAAACTCTCCCTGGAAGGCAGCAGGATCAGCGCCCTGTCTTTTTTTTGCCTCCTTGATAGAGGCTCTGTAATATGCTTAATAACTGATGGCCAGAATAATTAAAATAATCAGAATGAACTGGGAAGAACTTTGTTCATGTCGTCACAAGGCTGGAATTTCAAAGGGTGTGAATTCGAATCATGACACATCTGTTTGCCTTCATGTACATACACATGCACTCACAGACAAAAAATGTGCACACACATATACACAGCTCCAACAGCTGCTATGTGACAGCAGCCAAACCCCACTTGAGGGGGAACACACATATCCCCATTTACCCTAGGCAAGCTTGTACTAGTCTTCAAGGTGGGCCAATATTGCCTTCACCAGAGAACATTTACGTTTGGTGCATGATATATATAATTATTCCATAAATAAATTAATGTCATGCTACATCTTCATAGGAAAACAAAAACATAAAAATGAAAACTACTTCCTTGCCCAGCAACTAGATGTAACACTCCATCATTGCCTGAATATCTGCCAATGATACTAATTGGATAAAAACCTTGCAAGCCCAGATACCGCCTTAAAGCATTTAGATAGCATTAATTTGCCAGTTCCACATAAAAAGCATAAGATAATCTGTAATGGGCTTGAAAAGAGTAAACTGAACAGTCATTTTGAAAGAGATGCCAATAATAGATACACAGATCAACCAGCAGATACACTCATTGAGAAAACACAGACCCCCATTCACAAGGTAACAGCCTCTGGCATCACAGCACACCGATGTGATCTAGGCCATGCTGCTCTCAGCAACACGAGAGAAAGCTGAGCTACAGAACAGCTTACATCTTCTGCCAGTCTGTCAAAACACTGGGGAGTGATGCAAGAGAGGCATTGCTTTTTCTAAAGGTAACACACTGTGTAGGATCAAGATGGTTACAGTTATACAGTTCGTGAACTCTTTTATATCTGGATCTATGCTGTTGCTAAGGAGAGACTTCCTAATCTAATCACATTTTTTAACTCGATTTCAACTTTGACTGTCAGGGTGGCATAGGCCATTACATTTCAGTTATATGCCCATGGAATAATTGTCAGCATGTTTTCTCTTACATTTAAGTCACTCTATGGTGTGATAAAATGATGAAGTACCGAAGGAGGGCGTTTGCTCATACCCATTGCAAACTCTACTAAGGTGGCAGTATTTTCTTATTCCAAAAAAGTTTCTCATACCTTGTAAGACCTTTTGTACCCACAGCCATCAGACTGTTTAATACTGCTGTAAATAGTAGATGACATAAATGATATAAGACGACATACAACTAAATATGATTTATATGTATTCTTGGGTTGTCTATTTTCTGATGTTTAGTAGACTGTAGGTCAGATGACTGTCAAGACTGCAAAATTTTCACTTTAAGGTTTTTAGTGCAAAAGTTAATATTCTCACTGTTTTAAGAAACACTGTGACAGGGAGTTACATTTAATAAAGCTATACCTTTTGAAGGCCATAATAATTAATATCTTAAATGATAATATACAGTATTGTATTTAAGCTACCAAGTCAAATGCCTGATTAGGATTGAGGAGACCTAGATAACAGGGGCTGACGATGTGGGCTGTCTATCATGTAACATGTGAATCTGTCTCTGAGGAAGAGGTGAGAGAGAGTCTACATCAGTGACCCAGCTTCAGGGATCACCGTCACTCATTCTTTCACTCTCCAATGCCCTCATCCAAACACATGCACTCAACTTCATTTCATCCTATGGGCTACCACACAGACAGACATGTTCATAAGGACACCTGACAACCACCACAACACAATGTCAACTTACGCTCAAAGTCTGAATCATCATCTTCATCGTCATCTCCATTGGACTCTGTTTGCATGGGCTCCCCATCAAACATCACTCCTTTTCCTGTCTTGCCACCAGCGCCACTTCCATCCTGACTTCTGGTGTCCCGCAAACGGGTGAAGTACTGTACAGCAAATTCCACCAGGTCTGACGGTCTTTGTCGCAGTACCTCGACGGTGTAACCCTGCAGCAGCTCTGTCAACCCCACTGGTATCTCAATACTCATGGTTGTGCGTGGCTCACTGGCGGCGTTTTCTATCTATCAAAAGAAGGAGAGAAAATGAGTCAGTCTGTTTTGGTGCACATTCACACTTGTGGAGTACTGGGGTCAGAGTGGTTAAGGATTTCTAACTGTTAATTTTCACAGCTTTCTTTAACTTTACTATTCAAGAGTACTTAGAAGAAGCCTGTGAGTGCTTACTAGGTGAGTGTGAAATCAAATTGTACTGAACAGCCTGGATACTGTACCGTCCCAGGTCCTTCTACTTCACTGCCATTTAAAAGCAAGGTGGTGTAATGCCGTGCAATAAGTGTTGCTGTGACATTGTCAGTGAGCGGCCACTCTATCTACCAGGGAACACACAGTCCCTGCAGCTGCACAGAGCAGATATGAGCCTTATTTGCTGTGGGGGAACAGTAACCTGTGATATTGGCTAGGTTTCAGTAACATTGCTGCTTGGCTTCGTCAGAACCTGAACTGTCAACTTGAGCTGGTGGCCGGCTGAAACTAGCTAGCAGTAGAGCTAATGAGCTAATAGTCTTGACAACAGGTTTACTGCACCGTTTGTTCCACAGATAGACTAGTTGAGTAAATTAAGCCATGAAACTAAGCCGACGAGGAATGGCTGCAACAGACAGCCGAGAGGCGAATCAAGTGCAGCCTCCCTCTGAAGACATCAAGCATTAGCTAACTTGCTAGCTAGTGTGCCACCTTCAAGGAAGCCGTTAGCCCACGGCATAGTATGGCGCCACAGATTATAAGTGGCTGGTCGGATTCACATTGCCATGCAAGCATAGCAGGTTGCATAGGGCCAGTAAACTGTTCGGTAAAGCTAACATCACCAGCTGTGTCACTTACGTGAAATTCTGCCTCCCCGGCTAAACTAGCCAGTCCCCTCCTTCTCGGTGTCTTCCTTGTTCAGTCTTATTTCGCCTCTTCTTTTTAGCCAGTCTCTTTGCCAGTGTAGCGACAGTTTCCCCTAAAGAGAAAACACTTGCCAAATGTTAAAGCCAACCTTCTTCACGTTGGCGTTACCCAGCTAACGTAAGGAATGATAGTTTAGCTTATCAGCCAGCTGTACAGCGATGCTGGCTAAGTTGAGACTAGTAGGGAGCGCACTCGACTTCACCGCTGCAGCTTCTTGCGGCGTTCACGTACTTGGCGAGGGAGGGACTTACTGTAGCAGTACTGAGAGGTGGCTAGCTGGCAGGCTAACTGTCTGACTTGCTAACTACTTGTTAGCTTCTGCCGGTTATGTATAGACAGCTGCCTAGCGACTCCACTCTCCTTAAGACACGAGTTAATCAGCTGCTGCAGTCAGGTGGAAAATCCTAAACTCGACGTTTACAGCGCTGCGCCTCGCCGCCGTTAAATACGACCCAACAAGCACAGGCGAAACCTCCCTTTCAACGTTACTCCACCGCTTTGACGGCTAATTACAACGGGAGAAGCTTGCGATTAATTAGACACGTTCCCTCACTCCCGGCGAGGAGCTTCCCAGTACTACATGCATGGACGAACCGCTAGCTCAGAGCAAGCGTGAGGGGGCGTGGAGAAAGTGTTTGACATTGATTGGCAGCAAGTATGACCAATCGAAATGAACAACCGTAAAACTTCAACCAGTTGGATGTTCTCAATTCATCAGAGGCGTAAAAGGGCAATTATATGATTGTATATGCAGAGTTGGACCACACCTTCAGCAACAGTCTTTGGTAGGGAACCTTATCTTGTGAAAAAATATCAGAACAAATACATATTTTGCAATATGCATGAGTATGCACAGGCCCTAAAATACCCGTAATTATTTTTTTCCCCCAAATGTAATCAGAGTTCATGGATCCCGGTCAAACAAGTCACCTAAAATTATATCTTTTATGTGTAATACAAAAGGTACACAACAATATAACTCCTGCATCTTAACGAAAAATACTGAACTCAGTGCACCTCACCTGGGAGACTTTTGACTCCAACACAAGAGTTGTTTTAAGCTGGTGTTTGTATCACTTGTTGTGTTTGGTGTTTCAGTACTCTGCAAAAACGAGTCAGACAGAGAGGTCCTGATGTTGCAAAGAGATCTTTTTTTTCCGGAGAGGTCTTGCTTGGCACCACTACAGTCCATGTAACATCTCCTTCCTTCCATTTCCATTGCTCGGCTGTCACAGAGGTAAAGCCGTTGCCATGGCCACAGCGAGCCTGGATTTAATGCCTCGTACTGGCTTCTGATTGGCTCAGGTCTTGATTCTAACAAATAGAGGGAAGCACATGCAGGCGCCCTCTGCTGGAAAAAAAAAACTTTAGAAGCAGCACATTCATTGAATAATATAATTTTTGAAAAATTTTCCAACTTAAATACACTGAAATAAACTATGTCATCAGTATGACATTTCTCAGTGTCATTGGGAGGTTACACTCACTGAAATTAGTCAGCCTGGGAACCTTGCCGTTCTCCCACGTTGTGATTAATCACCACACTGCTGTATTCACTGTGTGTGAAGTTAAGTTTCATGTCTGTACTTTACGCTTGGGAAAGGTTTCCCACTGGACTTACTGGAATGTATGTTGGCAGTGCAGCATTTACTAGAAATGACAGATGAAAATTCACATTTACAGTTGGGTTTCTGGCCTTAGCTTTCCTAGAAGTGCCATCCTTTGGGAGTTGCTGCTAATGTGGTTTGAGCAAACTCCAAAAATGTCTCAAAGAGACCTACTAGCCTACATTTTCAGAGCATGAAGGAGAAGAAGGTTAAAAATAGAGCTCAAATAGACCATGCAAAGGAGTAAAAAGTGTTTTATTTCCTAGATGGTACATTATGTGTTTGCATGTTGAGTTTTGGTATCTTTCCTTTCACATGGTAGAGCCTTTTTAAAGATGTATTAAGGTTTTGGCTTAAGTAAGGACATTGCCTCTAGATTGTTTTGCAAGCTACAGGCCATGCACTCACAATCATCTTGCCAGGTCAAAGTCTTTGTATGTGTAAACCTACTTAGAGATCAACCTGAATCTGATTATAATCCTGATTCGAAGAAAAGAGATACTTACTGGGGCAAAGCAGTGACAAAAAAAGTATTCGGCCACAACTTAAGTGTTCTGGGTCACCTGTGATAAATCTTGTTTTATTTTCAACCTAACCCCCCCCCCCCCCCCCATTCCTGCAGTCATTGAAATGAAGCAATAATACCTGAAGAAATATTTTTTTTTTTGTGGCAGCATTGTCTCATTAATTAAGATCACCATGTAGGTTTTGCACAGCCAAAACTCTGCAGTATGAAAACAAACAAGCCTGTTAATACACTGAAGCCTTTGTGCTCTCAAACCAGCTCTTTAAGACTGCTGCTTTGGTTAAGGAAATACAACATACATGTGAAAAAATAGTAGAAGTCTAGGTTGTAGTCATATCCTTGCTTTATTGCATGTATGGGATTTTTTGTGCTGATCTTTAAACATACCTCTTATTTTTTAATCCTCCAACCTTGGCTGTTCATATTGACTATTATGATGCAACACCACCACCTACTGGCTAAAGAGTGCATCTTTGCACTGCTTCGGATTTACCCATTTCTTCCTGCTCAGCTTTAACTTTTTGGGTGCCTTTAGCATCACAGTCGAACCCCAGAGTACTCATATCAACCAAGTCCAATGAATCAAATATAAATCTTAATTTTATCCCCTCCAACTTGAATCTGCAGAATATATCAGCCTAAAATTGAACCTCTCAAACTTTAGCAGACCTTCAAGTAGCTGGTCAATATCCAACAACAATCAACCAATAGCATAAAGATGTGATATAATACTCTACTTAAGTAAAAGTACAAGTACAAGTACTTGAAACACCTTTTTCCTGGAGTTGAAGTAAAACCATTTTACACAAGTAAAAGTAAAGTGTACTTAGTTGAAGTTCACTTTACTCAATGGGGTCGTGAGGTTAAATATGACTCCCAAACTATTTAAAAGCATGACCCAAAGTAAATGTTGAAGAATAACAAATAGAAGATCATTAATGTGTGATACATCTGAGATTTTTTAAAAATCACACCTTACAAAATTTGTCTTGAGTTCAAGAAAAATTTCTAAAATAGTGTAACATGTTGTAGTGCATTGGATTATAGCGGATCACATTGAATTGTATCATATCATCTCAAATCTTACTGTATTGTGTTGTAAATTGAATTAAGTTTATTTCCAAATTTTGCTAGTGATATCAGTTTTCTTCGATATCAGAAATGTATTATACTTTGACATTTTGCTTGTTATTTGGCTGAAAAAAAAACAACAGTCTGGATTGTAAAAATGATTTATTTTTTGGTTCATAATCTATTAAATAATTCCAGTCAGGCTGCCCAGTTAAACAGTCATTAAGTTTATTCTGTAAGAGAGTGTGGACATTATGGAAATTCTAGAAACAAGTAGAATGATCTCAGTGTTTCAGATGTAAACCCTTTAGCACATTTCATAATTTGTACATCTTATATACAATATTTTATCACACTTGAATCAAACTGTCAAATGCTGATACTCAACGATCGACATGGCAATGACACACCAGAGTGAAAGTGTTGAATTTTGAGCGTCAGTTACATTGGAGTTAATGTTTTCGGTTTAGTTTCTGTTGTGCTGCATGGTTTTGAACTTCTCTGTTTGAGACTTGATGGTGAGTATCAGCTCTCAGCAGTTTAAATCAAGTGTCATCATAAAATTAGAAAACTGCTAAGGGAAACAACACATACTTTACATGGAAGACTCAGGAATGTGATGTGAATCAATATTTGATGATCCATAATGTGCTGTCAGGAACTGCAGTTGGTTTTAATCTTTTTGCATGATCCTGTTGGGGTTTAATTTCTTTCCCCCATAAAATAACAAAAGGAAAATATAACATTCTTTTCTCCTTGATCTACATTCCTACTGTCTGTGTATTTTAAGATTATGAATAGTTATCTACAAAGTGCAGAAAGACTGCAGCACAAGACTTACAAAACATGGCTCTACAAAGATCTAGAAATCAATTCCAGATATTTAGGTGTGTTGTTATCATAAAGTTTTGTTTGGGTAAAAATACAACCAAGATAAAAACATGAAACCTGTTGAGTCTTTAGAGTTGTGATTAAAACTATCAGCTTGTACACTGTCCCTCTGTAAAAGCCTCAAGTTTTCTTAAAATGACAATGTTTTGTAGTTGTTACAATAGCAATCCATTCAAAATGGAAAAAAAGTTTTAAAATCAAACTAGTTTGAGTAAGATAGATAAGTTGTAAATGGTACAGCTAGGAGGCCAAACAAGCAGGACTAAACCCTTGCTCTTCCTTAAAATTACACAGAGATAAACATAGATGGAAACATACAAGCAGCGACAGACACTCTGACAGAACCGGAAACAGATGTGACGACAGGCAGAGGGAAAACAGAGAAACAGATCTGCTTAATGCGGCTCTGCACATCATACACTCATGAATACAGACATGCTCAGGAAACAGTTATAAGGCTGTTTGTGCCTATTTATAAGGCACAAACATCACTAGACCCTAATCTAAAAATAAACATACAATATTTCTCGTGAAAATCTCTATATATTCAAATATATTCAAGGCTTGTTGTTCCTGGAAATTTGCTGCTGTTTGGAGAGAACCTGATACCTGCTTTTAAGTTTTTATGAGACAAGAGAGTCATGTTAAGTGTCTACATGTACATACATTATTTTAGTTCTCTTTCAACAAAGGTTCCTGAAAAACAAAGTTGGGGAAGAGGTACAATCTGTTTCTACACTGTCCTGGTTATTTAGGTCTTGCGATCAAATATAAACATCAAAATCTCAGATAGTTTCAACATTCATAGCTCTGTGACAAACAGTAACAAGATTTGAGTTTTTTTCTCTAACAGTAGTATTTTGCTCTCCAGATCAGAAACACTGGCATACTTTATGGGGATTGCTTTCTGTGCGTACAACACTGAACCAGTTTTCATCTCAAAAAGTATCATGAAGCTTTATGCTGCTGAGCATTAACAGTAAAAATGACACAATTTGACTGGTTAATGGTATAAAAAGTGCCTTTTCACAATGAGTAATCAATATATAATAGCCTATACATAAAATTATTTCCTATAAATACTCTAGACAGGATAAATAAACATTTGTAAAATACATTGCAGTACTGATTTTTGTATTTCCATTCAGATTTGTTGGAATTTTGTGCTATTATACAGTGTATAACAATTATATTCAGCAAATCAAACTCTCTTTTAAAAACAGTAAGATTTGAATAAGGTTTGCTCCAAAATGCGAGTAACAACGAAGCCATCTGTATTTTACAGACTTGGTAATGAACTAAAAATGTAACTAACAGCAGTACAGAGAAGCCTACTTCATTTCCTGCTGTACACTGACACTAGATCTCATTCATGCAAACCCTGCACTGAACCTTCCCAGTGCAGTAATCTCATAGAATAACAGATAGACTTGCCTGTGCTTCTGCTTAGTCCTCCATCATACACGACAGCTCTTTTCTCGGAAACAGTCATAAAGTCAAGTTAGAAAGAAACAACATGACAACAGAGTGACCTGCAGATCAATTCAATCTTGCCTTATTAGAAGCTGCAGCCTAAGCAGATCGAGTGCTTTCCTGCATTATTATATCCTCTTCATTTCTTAGCATTAGCTCAACATAGACCTGCTGTCCTGAATAAAAAACAACATTAACAGTCAAGTTTATTATTACATATTAACAGAGTTGTTTGCCTGGACATGGCTATTTCTCAGTATGGAAACCTGCACTCATTTCATGCTTGTATTAATAAACATGATGTCTGTAGAAACAAGTATTGGCACGGACTGAGGGAGGTTCACTTTTTGTCATAGAATACACCTTTAAGGCAGGTGAGTACAAAGAAATCCTAAAGATTTGTCCTGAATGTCACTTCTTCTTTTAAGATGTGTTTTGAATTATGAGGAGAGATGGATGGGGGCAGAAATACACAATCTCCACAGACAAAATACGTTTATTTTGAGTCTTAGAAAATGCACTTTGCTAAAATGTCAATGGCGTGTTTTCATGTAAAGCAGCACACCAGCCTCATTTGAATTCAGTGAGTGTGTGCAGCTCTTGTTATTCACTGTGAACTGATGAAGCTAATTATTTGCTCTCTTATCTCGACATTTGCACAAAGGGGGATTGTAAGAGCAGTAAAATGGACAACTAGCTCTGAAAGCACAGCAACATCAGCTGCAGATGCTGAACCATTGACAAATACATATTTCATGATAAAAAAAAAAAAAAAAAAGGTGCTGCCATGGTTACTGACAGCTTCTCTCCTGTCTGTTTCTTTCCCCTGTCCTCTCACTCCTTCTCTCACTCTGAGGGTTAATGACTGCAGTAATACGCACTCCTGTGATCTGACAGGGATATCCTCTGAAAGTCACTGCTATACACAGGATCCTGTGAGGATGATTTCATAGTGCATCAGGGGTCCTTCTACAAATCTGAATACAGCCGGGAATGTTAAGCCTTTGTGTGTGCTGCAGCCCAATCAGGAGGGGATTGTGTTTGAAGTGCTCTTGATATAAACCCCTGCAGCTCCAGTGGAGGTTAAGGGTCTGACTCCCACGGGGACTGACAAATACCCATATCTGTACCTACTGCAATGTGACCCGACATTTTGTCTAGCAAAAAATGGACACCAGTGCTTCAGACAAAGAAAAAGTGTTACCCTTAAATTCTGTCTAAATTCTAAAAAAAAACTCTTCCTTTAAAAAAAACGCTTTAATTCTTTTATACTTTCAATACCTTATGAAATCACAACAAATTATTAGGGCTACCCCGTGAACCAAAAAAAAAAAAAGACTTTAAAGTCATAATGTTATAAGAATGTCAAAATCAAAATCTTATGGAAATAAATTGTTTTTAGACTTCAGTTGTTATATTATGAGGACAAAGTCAGTATGAGACAAGTTATAGGTTGTAATGTTACAAGATTAAGGCCAGGATTTTAGCACTAAGTCTTCATCCAACAACAGCATTATATTTGACCACTTCCAGTTGCCATTACAGTTAACAAGACACTCCATGTTCCTCACTGGTATGTGGGCAGCTGCTCCTCCAATAGCCTACCCCCTCTTGAAATAGGTTCACCGTTAAATAAAAGTATGACTTTATTACAATTGAATTCTAGAAACACGTTGGCTTTCTTCTCTTAATATTTTAAATTTACTCTCATAATACTACAGCTGTAGTCTTGTAATTGTATATCTTACTCCCGTAATACTAAGGCTTTATGTCATTCTCATTCTTTTCTTGTAATATCAAGACTTAATTTTGCTAAATTTTTAAAGTTTCGAACAGTAATAGCACAGCTTTATTCTTATTATAGCTATAATTTTGTGATACTATGGCTGTATTATGGCAATATTATGACTTAAAAACCCTTCAACTATTGCTTTATTCTCATAATATTCTCTTATTCTCACAACACTATGGCTTTAGTTTGTCTGGTCAGGTGTTAAATATTTTGTGGCATCTGTACTGAAAAGGTGTTTGCAGAGTGCGCAGTTTTAGATCAGACAGAAACACAAACTCTTTGCATTTCTTAGTGGGTCAAACAGAGCATTAAACTAGGTTGAGTCTGTAGTAGGGTTGGTGATGTGTCCCATTTAAATTGTACTGTGACCTGTTGCAGTTTTGCTAACTGACCAGCAGACACAGTGTCAATATCTGACAGTGTAGATGGAACAAGGAGCTCTGTGATTGACAGAACAAAGAGCTCTGGTCGCCCTGGCAACTAAAAACAAAACACAGGTGAAACAGGGTGACACGGGTGAGATAGAGAAAGAGACAGAGTGAGAGATTTAGAGTGAGGGGGACAGAAAGTCATAACAGGCATCAGGCCAGAGATTCATCTCATTCTGTCACTCCTGTTGTGATTACCCTGGTGACTATACATGCAACACAGGAAAAATTCTACCTTGCCACAGGCCTGCTGCCGTGGTTACACGTGTGTAACGGTCACCGTGGATACAGCTCTGAGCTTTCCCTCCTTTCTCTGCAGGAATCCCTTTGAACTCATGGATGGTATAAAAATACGCAAAAGCATGGCGACACAGTTAAGTCTCCTTCAAAGAACCGCGTTTGAGCTCCGTGTGGTTGCCCCTGGACTACATGATGTCTGAAATCAACAGATTTCTGCAGATGCTGCAGTCTGAACCGCCTCTTACAACATGTTTGGTCCCGTTTCATGTTTTATGCTGCATGAATGTGCTGTCACAACACTGAGATTCTTGACCTGCGCTGTTGAAAGTCTCTCATGCTTGACAAATAGGTAAGAGCAGCTAATTGCTTACGGCAACACTTGCTAATTATAGTCTCCCTGCCGATAAGGAACAGCTCAGACTATGTCTGATTAGTTTAAAATCAACAGCTATCAAAATGTAGGCTGGTATTACATTACATTATTGCTATGATGTCTCTGAAAGCCTTTTCTGATCATTTAAAAATGAAGTTAAATTCTCAAGAGAAAAAATTGTGAGCTTGACCAAAGCTTTAGCAGTTTTTACTTTTCTTGCTTTGGGGAGAAATCAGGCAGCTGGAATAAAACATTCTTTAAAATCTCATGCTGCACTAATCTTATTTGTCATTTAGCACCCCTAAAAACTTGTGACATGTGTAACAGGGGGTTCTGACCAGAATTTTGAAAAATGCTGAGGTTTTGAGTCTAATCAGTGTAAGTATGCTTTATATATGAGATTTTACTCTGTATATCCATGCATTGATGACTCAAATTTGCAGGTTTTTAGCATGGAACGTGGACTACACATGTTCTGGACTACAAGCAATTGTCTGGTGTTAAAATGCAGTTTTCAATTAATTTTTTGAAGGAAACTGTTAAATATTCAATAATATAGCAGCACAGATTTGTGGCGAGCAGTTCTGGTAATATTTTCAAGTCTCTCACTTAAAGGTAATTTCAAACTGTACGGCAGATGGGAAAAGATGAGATAAACTCTTTGACTGTACTGTGATGAGTTCTTCTTCAATCTCCAACTGGACTCCTGTCTCAGCTTTATGAAGGTATGGATGCAGAAAATTATTCAAACTGGGAAGCTAAAGGTCAGAGGTTGCAGAGAGGGAAGACCTTTCGACCTCTGCTTCTGCCTCGAAATACCACCTTTAGAAAACCACAGTACAGCTTCCTCGGGTTAATCTGCTCCTTCTTTGTTCCTACATAATCTTCAATAGGCTCAATGAGGAAAGGGAAAGGGAGGGGATCTATATGAAAGAAGAGTGTGTACTGTGACCATAATTAGAAATAAATATGACTGAAATTTTATAAGTGAAAAATATAAACTACAAGACTGCAAGGTTTTTTTTTGAGAAAGCAAACAAGAGGAGACAGTTTCTCTCAAGCCACTAAATCTGTAAGACTCAAAATATGAATCAGGAATGGCAAAGCAAGCAGGGTAAAGCTATCTCAGTGACAGCTTTGTACCCCCCTGATATAGTCTGCAATCATCTCGTCGAGGCTCTATAGCAAGTCGATGCCAAGCTATTAAATATTCACCATGCAGAGACACTTACCCAGGCCCAGACACACTGTCTACCCTGACCCTGACCTCTGACCTGTCTAATTATGGTGCAAAAGGAGGACAAAAATGCTGCTGTGCATATGAATTATCAATTACATTTCTTTAGTCATGCTATTTAACAGATCTGGCATATATTATCCCATATATTATTGCAATTTGACAGTAGTATTTCCTGTCTTTAAGTTGACTTAAGTTGAGCTGCATTCAGGTGAGGTCTAATATCAGCCTATTTTGACTAGTAAATGCTGAGCAAAACAAGCAAGCTGTATTATATACATGAGGCACATCCCTGATCTTAAAGGCTGCTGGCTTTAAAAATATGAGTATATAAAAATCAGTGATTTCTGACCCCATCATCCCATACCAGTGTAACATAGGGTGCAAAGAAGCTGTGAATATAATCTCTTTTCTTAAGTCTATGCTTAGAAGATAAAGTCAGTAACTTCACATCAAAAGAAAAAGGACCTCAGTCTATAGGTCCAAAGTATTTCCCAGAACAGAGAGAGTAGTAGTATTTTTATGCCTGATAGACAACTGGAATGTGAGCTAGACTCTTGAGAGGTTGGTGGTCTGGTTACTCTATGAATCCTGCTGTTGTGGAGGGGAATCTGCAGGTATTCGCTCTGTAATCCAGCCAGTCACCTCCTTCAGCACAGACTCCGCCACCTCAGGGAGGTCATGGTGAAGCGCGTGGTAGCCTCCCTCGTAGACCTGAATGGGAGAGAGTCAGAGTTGTTAACATGGATTCAAAGTGAGACTAACTCATCACCTTGTCTAAACCTAATAGGAAGTGAACAGAAACAGATGCTGTTTTGTGTTCAGCTGACTTCCTAATACAGTTACAGCTCACGAGCGGCACTTGATTAAACTCATGCCTCTTATTTCTGCAACAGAGAGCAAAAGAAAAGAAGGCAAAAAGAAACTCTTTTCATGTCTCTCACCTCTAGATCCACTTACATTTCCTCATTTGTAGATTACATCTTAAAACTTGTGTCAAACGAGTGTGCAAACTTTCTTCTTTATGGGCACACAGTCTTGTAGTGGAGAACAAATTTAGCAGCTTCCAGCATGCCTGGAACTGGAACCCTAACCCTCACCCTCACCCAGTTCATTATTTTCATCCAGTAAATAGCATTTTTTATTTAAATACTTTGTCTCAAACATATCTTTGAATGTTGCTTCTGTTTGGTTGGCGTTTGCTCATGACCTACAGTAAGCTTATTGAGTTTCATGTATCCTAGGCAGCAATATTACAACATGCCTTCATACAGGATGTTTTTCACGCTGCTCAAAGTTACAGTTTCTGTATCAGTCAGACACAAAACCATCAACGTGTCAGCCGTTCAACTGTAGCAGCTCTTCAACCACAAGAGCATGTGTCATTCTGTCATTTAGTGCCATAAAATAACAGAAGGAAGTGGTGTAACAGAGGTTGGTTGTCATACTTTAACTCTTGAGTGAATGACTCTTGATTAATATAGCTTACACCGGTCATGTCTATATCAGACTTGTGGTCTGGTGTTGAAATTAGAAGCCTCTTAATTTCTAAAATGTTTGGTTGTAAAATGACTAATCACCTTAAAGCGCAAGGGACAGAAACATTGTCTGCTTAAAAAAAGGAACAAAGATTCCAGTGTTTGATATGAGTATGACAACAAGCAGTGTGACAACCAACCCGTGAGAAAACTGACTCTGGTCTCTCTGTCGCAATGCGCTTGTGTTTTTGGCATAGAATCAGTGGAGCAGCAAGTACCGGACACAAAATCGCGTAAAAGTGGCCCTTATGGCCCTAAACTGTGGAACAACAGAAACTCTAACTTGGGATTTTTAAAACGAGACCTTTCTTGTTGTCCTAGCTTTAAAGTTAATTGAGTTAATTAAACTGATTTTGAATGTATGTTTGTTTGTACACTGATTACCAATTTTTTTCTAAAGTATTGACATAGTAATCATTTTTTATTACCTGGCTTTTTTACTCATCATCTGGTTGTGTTAAACACTTTATTCAGATTGGTCAACTTGCCATAAAAATGGCAATACAGTTTAAATAGCAAAAGCAATGCCAGGAACATCTACGTCACATCAAATCAGTCTGCTGGGATAAGTTCTAAACACGCAATACTTCTGCCACTGTGAGAGACACATTACCTTACATTATCATCATATATCTGTAAGCTTCACAACACTGAGGATAGTTAGTATTGGATCCTGTCCTGCAATCCGGGCTACAGATGCAGAGCTGGTGAGTGTGTTTCTCAGATTACAAAGCGATGTGATATTCATATAAAGGTGTGCCAACTCAAACGAGGACAGAATTGTCAATTAAAAAATGGCTTGCAGAAGAACAGTTCACTATGCCTGGTTATACCTTCAGTAGAAATGTTCAATTTAGATGGATGGATGGATGGATAGATGGATGGATGGATGGATGGATGGATAGATGGATAGATGGATAGATAGATGGATAGATGGATAGATGGATGGATGGATGGATAGATGGATAGATGGATAGATAGATAGATAGATAGATAGATAGATACTTTATTAATCCCAGAGGGAAATTAAAAAAACCAGAGGCAGCACCAGTGAAACACAGTACACATTCTACAAATACAAATACTGTAACAATATTTACAATAAATAAGGAATAAATAAAAACAGTCTATAAACATAACCATAAGGCAGTAGTGCAGCGTTACAAAGGCATAGTAAACAGTGCAAATTAATGCAGTAGTGCAAGAAGTGCAGATGCTGATTGATTGATGTATAACCTTTGATGTGATGTATAACAAATGAAAAGGGTAATTTTTGACCGTGACCAAACTGTTCATTAAAATAATCAGTTTCAGGTTAATTTGTCCCAGAGAAGAAACCATGACTATCAAAGCAATGACTGATTTTGGAATCAGTTGTATTAATATAGTTTTTAATAATATCATTACTATTTAATACACGTTCTTTCAATTTTATACATGTTTTCTGGACCAATCACTGGCTTAATTTCTTTGTGAACAAACCACTCTCACCTTTAGTTTCTTGTCTGAGCTGGGAGCTTTCTCGAACATCATCCTTGAACCCCCAATGTGGCACAGTTTGTCTACGTCCCCGTGCAGGAGATAGAAGGGCCAGCTGATGGTCGGGATCTCCTTCTCGATACGTGCTGCTGCACCCATTAGTTGCACGCCGAATGACACCCGAAGGCCGCCATGGAAATTCAGCTCATCAGAGTCATACGCCTCCACCTTGTGCAAAAAGAAAAGGGTAAGAGATATGGAGCAAAGTTTAGGCAGGTAACCATTTAGTCATTGTCCCCTTCCCCTTTCCTCTTTTTATGACCCCTTTGCTTACACAAAGTCAACTGATAAGGAAAAACCATAGACTCTTTCAATACAATGCCCCAACTCTCTTAGTTCTCAGCAATAACATCTCTGTACAACATAGTTTTGTGGACAATGAGAACGCAGCATTGTGTCAGTCCTGTGTTTATGAGCGGAGAATCTCTAAACAAGCATGATAAATGTCAACGCTTAGTCCAAATATGGAAGAAAGTCAGCAGAAGACATGCCCTTGTGGGAGATGGAGGGCAACAAACATAAAAAGAATCCTGGGAATAAATATTAGAGTTGGCAAGTTAGAGTAAGGGTTTAAAATAAATAGATGGGAACTCTGAGGGGAGAAACATCAAAGTGACGAAAGGAGGAAAACCAGAAAAATAAAGCAGTTTTTTTTTTTTCAACTTAACGTTACTTTTACATAAATTAAGATCAGAGTGGAACAGCAGAAGATTAATGCTGAGTGTTTCACTAGCATTAAAGACGGTCACTTTCAAGTTCCTTGCACACTCTCACATCAGTCACACACCCCAGCATTTTTGTTGAGCTTATATGTAAACACATATAATGGCCCACTCTAACTGAAGCTTGCTCTTGAAGGCCACATGTGCTGCTGCTTTGAATAATAAATGATGGTAAGCTGAGCTGTGACGCCACATGACCTGTTCAACAAGTCAGGGGAGTTGCTGACTCTGAGAAACATGTTAGATTGATTTTCAGTAATGCTGGGATCACATTGTCTAAAACATTATAGATGTGAAATAATAAGACTTAAGCTTTCTTAGACCTCTCTTGATGTTTTTGTGATTCAATGGGTTTTGTGGCAAATTAAGTCAATGGTCACGCACAAGGTAATACATTTGCAGATTACATGGATATGCGTATCTTATATCATATGCATATGATATAAGCATATCTGGTAAAAAAGAGGAAGTTTAATTTAGCCGTAATCTTAGTGAGCATGGACAAATGCACCAGTACAAACAAAGTTATTCATGCTTTTAGTGCACAGATGGTTGGCACTGGGGAAACATGCTGTCAATGATCCATACAGAGATAGAAATTTGAACTTGACTAGCAAAATATCCATGCTCTTTAGGGCTCATCTTTTTTGGAAGAGCCTTGAAGACCGCCTCAGCAGCTTCAACAGTCTCCTCACTTGTTGCAAGGTGACTCCTGTCTTATTCCACCTCGTATTACTAAAACAGAATCTGCATTGATAATGGCAGGTTGCATTGTTGCAGCAAGGATTATACTGTGCAACTAGAGGAGCCCATGTAAACCAGAGTTCAAAGAGTGGTTTAAGCTCATGAAACATCTTAGAAAGGGTATACTGTACTGACTGACAGGATCTATCTTCTGTCAAGAAATGTGTGGGTGCAGTTATAAAAACATTACATTTTTGGAGTGTGATGAGGTCTATTTGTTTTAGAGCTGCGATTTTGGTTAGAAATGATTTTCTTTCAAATGATCTTATTTAATTTAAGTATTTTCACTGTATTAAAACATATAAAAGAACAACAATAAAACAACAATAAAACAATAAAGATTTATTTAATTTTTAGATATAAAAGCAAACAAGACCGACACAAACCAACATTCCTCATAGGTGCTTTAAGTAGTGTCCTTTGACAAAAAAGAAAAAAGAAAATGCTGACTTTTGACAGTTGAATTTATTGTATATTTTGAAAAGGCTTTAAAAATTGCTCTTTAAAAATAGTCACTGAAGCTCTTCCTTGTGTATATAAAAAAAGGCATCAATACAAAATTTTATTTATATCATAAAAGTAAAAGACTCCACATGGGAGCTTTGAATGACAAAAACAGATGACACGAGGTCTGCTGACTGACATCCCCACTGTCTGACCGGGAAAACTTCATGTTAGGGAATCATGCATTGATGAAAACTTCCGAAAATTTAAGGTCCCGTAATTTTTTAGAGTTTTCACAGAGTGCATGTATGAAAAGGATTTACTGGCATTACACCTTTTCAATCTCCAGTAGATCTTAGCAGCAGGATGTGGGATCCTGTTGTTACTGCAGACTGTTTCTGAAAGGCCGTTTGTGTCGGGTGAATACTAACAGACACATGCAGGTAGGAAATCTGCACACAAGGGCCCAACTGTGAAAAAACCACAGCACACTCTCATAGACACAAAAACATGCAAATGCAGGTGAGCAGACGTGCTTGCTTTTTATTTGGTTCTTCTCAGAAGTTCATGTTGAGGTTATTTAACAAATGGGGACAACCCAAACACCATAATAGACACACTTGCATGCATGCACATAGCCAAATACCTCATAATGTTGTTTGTTTGTTGTAACCTTGTACTGTACATAACCTGTGCATGCATCTGTTTTTATAATTACAAGTTAAACAATGCAAGCCACCCAAAGTACAAGGAAAAGACACAGAGAATGACTTTCTTTTTGGAAAGGTTTCAAAGTAAGCATTGTCCAATAAATTTTTGCTGCCTGACCTCACACACGTACACACAATAGGGCAAAGATCCCCAAGAGACCTCCTAAAATCCCACCCCTACCTGCCTCTTCAATCTCCAGAATCACAACAGCTCTCCCACAAACACAGCATCTGTCTCTCACCTGCTTCTTATCTCGTGAGATCCATTTGGATTCGATGGAGCCCAAAGTGACGCTGGGTACCATGTGGTTGAGGACCTTCGCCATAAAAACCTGTAAACAGTGATAAAACAAAACACGCCAAGCATTTCAGTTTATTTTCACACATCAACACCTCCCTTATGAATTTTTCTATCTCTCTGTCTTTTTTTTTCTCGCCATCTGCGTGGTGTTACAATGAGATACAGTCTTTCATTTTAGTGTGTACTGTAGAGTCACCTGTTTGCACCCAGCAGGTCTGTTTATATCAGCCGAGGATTTTAAAAAACACATTTCTACTTGTTAAAACATGTTAATGATTACATAAACAAGTGTCTTTTTTTGCTCCTGCACAGATATTGGCACCACTTCTGTCAGGTCTGGATGGACTTGTATCAGTGATTCAGACATAGACAGCTACTGTGGCTCCATTGGTACACACACATAAGAGGTGTCAGTACTTTAGTCATGAACTACAGCAGGGCCGAGTGGAGTAAGCTGACTTCTACGACTTCACTGAAGAATGTGGGGGAGAGAAGAGTGGAGAAGGAAGAGCAGTAGATAGAGGGAGAGGAAGGAAAAGGGCTTTGTTGCTACCTTGAATGGTGTAGCTGACTCTGGGTTCATCTGGACCATTGGAGCAATTAGAACCACTCCAGCAAAGTCATTGGGTCTCTCACATGCCGTCAAGATGGAGATCGCACCACCCTGAGAAGACAAGAACAATGAACTGAAATAAACTGGTGAGATATTTTTTAAATTTAAAAATTCATCTGACACATTCAAGTTTTATTCAAATTTGTTTCATAACAACTGAACAAAGGACAGTATGAGCCAGAAGAAGTTGTCACTTAACAAAAGTTATATGAATCAGCTACTTTGTCAATGTTCGTGGGCTCGAAAGAAACAATCAAATGTAATCTGCAAATCTATGATAAGAAACTTGCTAAAATTGTTTGAGAAGCTAGGGCTGCACAATTTTGGCCTAATATATACCCAGATTTTACTCTCTGAAAACCTGATTTTTATTTTTAATTTTTTTATTCAGTGACAACTTCACCAAACTTCACCTTAATAAGTTTTACTATCACCTCTCAAAACGAAACCACTGAAAACGCTGTAGTGCATATGCCAAGCCATTCAGTGGCGCTGTAGTGCTGCTCAGAAAATGTGCAAAAGACAGAAGAAGAGTACAGAGCATGCGTATAAAGGTTGTTTTGACCGGACACGCGAAGGTGCTATGAAAGAGTTACGCTGTGTGTGACAATCGTTTTTAGAGAGATGCCAATAGTCGTCCACATGGAGATGAAATGGTAGTCGTTTACAGATTTATACACTCTCTGACCCGTTTTCAAAAAGTCAATTTACAGTCACCTGAAACACTGTTTCTGTGTGAACTTTTGCGTTTACTTCTCAATCTGTTACCATGTGGACGTGTTAATACCGCCTTCAGACAGACTTTGCAGCGGGGAGTGGTTTGCTCTTCATCCGAAACTGTGAAGCCGTACCAATTCAACATGACTGACTTGCTCTTGCCCTATTTAGCCATAAAATTTTCGCCTTCTTTTGCAAACACCATGGCTGTGTCCGAAATGGCATACTGCCTACTGTCTACTTACCTACTCAATCAGTGCATACTGCATACTGAATACTCAAAGATGATTTGAGTATGCCGCGGCTGCCCGAGCGTTTACATACAGATGCATACTAAATACCCCAGAATGCATTTCATGCTGGCCGGACGCAGCGCCGGGAAAATCTCAATAGTCCTACCACAAGCTACACAAAACGACTGCATTCCGGACAAATTATATAAATTCATTCAGTGATAATATTTTTTCTAGTGATAAAGTAAGGCCCGAACTACACGAATGCGGATATATTTCAAACTGCACATATTTATGTCCGATTAGGCCTCCCTACCACACCAAAACGGGAGTTTGGAGCACTCAAACCGGATAAATCTGAATCCGGAAAAACAAGTGGAGAAATAAAAAAATATCCGTATCCGTAGTGGATTCGTGTGGTTGGACTTTCACGGATCGATGACGTCAAATCGCAGCTCGCACATGCGAATTAAAAAGAAGAAGAACAACAACGATGGCGGACAGACAGGGTATTCTTTACGTTTGTTTTGCCCTTTTGGGGCTAATTTCAGCCTTGCAAGTGAAGCTTGTTTTATACAATTACATCCACCAGTCAGTCAGCTCACAGACGCGTCTGCTGCGGCCAATCGTTTTATTGGTCACATGGTCCGTCACATGGATCCGACGCACTAGCGTAGCTTCCGCAAACAATGCATGACGCAACACGCTGTTACGATTCATCAGCCAATCAGTTAGCTTTGTTGCTGAATTTTTTTTAAGCGGCACCAGATAGGATTGAGTTTGAAGGCTACGTGTGGACGCAGATATTTTTGAGAACGAACACGTGTGGACAGATACATTTATTTAGAGGGGAGTACAAAAATATCCTGATAAATAAATATCCATATACGTGTAGTTCGGGCCTAAGTGTTTACATCACGATTATGAGCCCAGTTGTTTGAAATAGCGGCTGTTTGTAAATTTGTCTCGGCGTTTTCAGAGACCGAAGCGTCTGCTTGGTGGGTGTTTGCGTCTACGTGCCATAAACACTGGGCAGCAGCAGCTCCCCCTTCACATTTCCAAATTATTGCGAAGTGTTTTCATAATCAACAACTAGGCGACACAAACCGAGCGGCAGTGGATGAAAAAAATCACACAAACATCTGTGTATCCATGGTGATAATGCTATACACCACCTGCTAGGCGTGTGATGAGCAGCAGAGGGCTGCAAAATGACCAACACACAACATAATTATGACCTTGTTCGGTTATTCCTTGGCAAATACATCATTTCCCGACTACATTCTTCTCATGTACAATGATAATTTCAGAAACCATCAGGTAGTTCTGCCTGGTGTAGGCTGAAAACCATAGAGCGCCGCCATGCAAGACAAAGGCATCTTTTCTTCAGGGCAGCTATGTACTTCCTAAAAGATTTTCAACCACAGAATTAGTAAAGCTCACATACATTGTCAACTGGAAACTCCCTCGTTTGTATATTCTGAACCATGTGCTCTCTACCAATAATAATTTTTATTGATCAGAGGTCTGTGCTTGATATGAGTGACCACTTTGATGATGCATTCAGAGATGAGAAGATGCTCAGACTTATTGTAATAAATACATCTTTAATAGACACTTAAATAAATAAAGTCAATTCATACGAATTGTTAAAAACATTACCTACAATCCTAATTTAAAATACAAATAAATCTGGTAAAAAGATAAAAATATAATAAAATGATAAAAAATTGTGTAATGTATACTGACTAAATATTGTTTATCTATGTATATATATATATATATATACACATAATCACATGCCATCTATTTCTTTTCAGCCTCGGGAAAGAGGGCCATATTACCAGCTAAAGTGCGCAATGCATTGTGGGGCAGAAGCAGTACGTGAAGCAAGCTCCGCTCCATACTCAGAAATCGAAGCCGATTGAGTATACATCCGGGCATTTCTCGCATACACAACATTCGCATACTGTACAGTGTGAACGCACACTACTCAATTCAGGGGCGGGGTTAGTATGAGTAGTACGAGTAGTATGCCATTTCAGACACAGTCCATGTTTGTTTACACTGGTGTGTGTGGGAAGTGGGGAGCGCTCTTGCAGGAAGGGGGAGCCTACGGTGGCCTGGAGGCGCAAAGCATGCTAGAGAGGAAAATTGATTTGAGTTTTTTTAACATTGTCCAAATCAAATAATCTGATTACGATTTAAAATTAATTAATCGTACAGCCTTTTTAGAAGCATATAAAGATAAAATAAATAGGATCTAGCATTGGCCCAAGACAGAGCAGAGATGCTGTCTCAGACATGTGAATACTAAATGACCCTGACAAACACTTGTCTGAGAGATGGAGGGGAAACCAGCCCAGGATGCTTCCAATGATACCCATCCACTATGTGAGTCTGTCAATTAAAGTTCTATGATCTAAGAATGAGCTTTTAGCTGCATCAGAGGACATCAAGCTATCATTAAAAACTCTTCAGTGGAGCTTTGTTTTGGTTTTTTTTTTTAACAAAACCAGACTAGAACATTTCGAACTACTGTATGCAATTACTGAAGAGGGGCTTTATTTTAGCACATGTAGGACGAGTGCATCAAGTTTTGTGCATCAAGTGTTTTGTGATTTTTAACATTAAAAACATTAAGGCAAAAGTGCATCAATGCCAGCTGTGCATTATAACATGGTAGGAAATGTTTAGCGATTTAGGCAGTATTCCAGTAATGAATGTTGGTGAATAACCAAGATCTGCATAAAAAAGAAGATATACTGTAGATCACTGCAGTACTTTTCTAAGGTGGGTGACATGAAAAGTCAAACACAAAGCAAAAGCACATTTTAGAAGGAGGAGGATGATATGCGATGCACAGCAGGGAGTGTCTTTTTCTCTCCTCTGAGAGGAGTGGGAAGGTCTTAGGAAAGTAGGTGAGAGGTTCAGATGAGAGGAGGAGTGGGAAAACTCCTCAGGGGTCAATGAGAACATAAAACAATCTGTCTCTTGTTCTGGCGTGCAAAGATTTCCACCCCTCTCTTTTGTTGCTGTTGCTCTACAGAGACTGGAGAGAAAGTGTGCATGTGAACCCACAGCCTTCAGACCCAACACTCCCTGTGCAGTTGATTGAACATCAGCAAAGGCCACACCTTGGCACCCATGCTGACAATTAGGGCTCTATTTTAGTGTACGCCGGTGACGCGGCGGAGGGTGGCGGACTCTGCGCAGTGGAATTTTTGTCTGGCGGAGCCCGGCGTACAGCCAGTTTGGTATTTTCGTGGACTGAGGCGCACTGAGGTCTGCCAAGCTGGGCATGGTGGCGTGGCAGGGGGAGGTGTTGACAGAATCAGCTGGTGCAGTGACATTTTTGTGCTCGCCGGTGGCGAATAAAGTGCGCTGTAAGCTTACTGATTCAAACCTGGTCAACTTTCAGCGCAGGCGGAGCGCAGCTTGTCTAGTGGTATTTTGGTAGACCTGCGGCGTATTGGCATATGTCACTGATGCCTCACCGGCAGGTTTCCACAGTTTCAGTGCAATAAATAATCAACAACTAATAATCTGAGTCAGCACATACATTTAGATCTATGGATATATTCTGATCTATATCTGATCTGATGAGCGCGTTTGGCACGCGTTTGGACACACAACCTTACCGAATCAACACAGCTGAAACCGCATTAAATTAAATATCTAGTAAATAGACCCACATGATAAACAACAAGATATGTAATTTGTCTCCCTCTTTTTCTTTCTTTCTCCCTCTTCCTCTTATTTCTCGTGCAGCTGGACCTGGACATGTCTCCGTGAGGTTTGAATATATGCAACTTTATGTTAGTGTCTTTATTTGTGGGTGTTTGTCTTACCAGTGGGTCCAACCTTACACACACCAAATCCATCTGTGCTTTTATGAGACAGTGTGAAGGACGCCCTCTGCAGTGCTTACAGCAACACTTGTTGAGGGGCTGCCTTCTGTCGCCATGTGGCATTGCTGTCTTCAGACATCTCTTGATCTCTTTGACTACTTCACGAAAATTGTAATATGCCTCGCCGGTGGCGGATTTAAAGTTGAGGAAAGGAGCTGATGTTATTGGTCAATACAGGAGGAGCTGAGTTAGGGAGCTGCGCCGCTCACCAAAATACCAAATTGTGCTTGGGAATGCCTTGTTGGCGCGGCGGACCTGACTTACGCCGCGCCTGCGTCACGTCTCTGGCGAAGCACGAGAATAGAGCCCTTAAGGTTGTGATCTAAATGCAGAAATGTAGGGCTATGGAAATTAGCAGCTCTGCAGGGGCCAAGTTTCAAATCAATTAGCTATAGTTAACTTTGTTGTGGTTTTTTCTTCTCACATGCAAAAAGTTCAAGTGTCCTTGCCAGGGCACACAGAAAGACACACAAAAACACACACTACCAGAGGGATTCTGCATGGGTGAACCTGTCCCTCTCTTCCTGGAAACTAATTGGCTTCAGCTTTGTTTGTGTCAGAGTTCTTTGTCACCTTTGTGAATATTCATCAGACTGGGGCCAATGACAGACTCACTTCACCAAAGGAAGCACGAAGAGACCAGACATTTCCCACCAGAAAATCTCACTTTCAAAGCACAGAAGCACACTCTGCAGTCTGCATGCATATGCCCACACTGAGTAACAATAAGAGGCTGGCTGGCTGTTTCCTCCTTAATTTACATTTTGAAGTCTCTTTCACACACACTAATTCCATCACATAATCATAAAACTATTCAACCTCTGCTGCCCTAGCTGGCTGATCAGTTTAACACAATTTTCTGGTTAAATTTAACAAGACCAAAAACAGTAATCTGCAGCAAAAGCCTATTCTGGGTCATGACCTTCCACACACAAGCACATTTTGTCAAGTGGATTCCAGTGAAAAAGATAGATAAGAATGAAGAGGGGAAAAAAGAGTGAGCGAGAAGACAGAGAAGCTCTTTCAGAAGCTCATTACAGACCTCTGTACCCTTTCTGTCACTGAACTTTGGCTTTAAGGATGAATACCAGTATTGTATGTCTGTCCTCGAAGATTCAAAAATAGCCCGAGGAGCATTGTATGGACTACTAAGCCATTAAAATGACATTATTTGCACTATACAGCTGTAACACTGACATTTTAAGGTCTAAATATCAGATTAAACAACTTTAAATTAATCACACAGCCGGTAAATGGGTGAACTAGACTAAATATCTGACATACACACGAGGATTAAACTGTAAATAGGTGAAAAAGAGCAGGTATTTGTATTTAACAGACTGCTAATAAGGAATGTTCTTAAATGACTGATTTCCTAGTTGATCGAGTGGAAATCTAAAATTTGACTGGCCATCATCATCTGTAATTTTACAAATAGAAAGTGTAATGGTAAAGATATATATGTCCGACTGACCAACTGACTAAACTCTAAATAAATAAATAGTGGAAATGAGCAAGCATTTTTATTCAGCAGGCTGCAAACAAAGCTATTCCCCAAAATCAGGATTTTAACAAATAGTGTACAGATGCAGCTGATTTCAGATGTGATTGCTTAACTGTGGACAGAAAGGGGAATGATTCGTCCATCGACACTAAAGACTGCAGTAAACAGGAAAAAAGTATGAGTGCCTGGTAATTTGTTCTGATTTGAATTAAAAAAGGTGGTTAAGCAAAGAAGAAATTGCATGAGTTATAGATTCTGAGAGAGCGGCAAAGCTGTCGAACACACCAAAGGCCCTTAACAATGACAAATTGTTACATAAAACCCTGGCATGAAGGAAGTAGGACAAATGATCCACAGCCAGAAATCCTGACAGAGAAGGAGAGAAATGGAGAAGAGTGAAAGGGAGCCAGAGCTAAAGGCTTTTGCTGGGACTCCCTGAGATAATAGCAAAGTGCTCAAATTCTGCTTATCCAAACAAGATGCAAAGGATACTGTGAAACAGCCACATAATTGTGGTGACAGAGAAGCTAATGTGCAACTGTGGCTGTTATCTAAGCTGTTTAGAAGTTTTGTGTGCTTTAAAAATGATTCTTTGCTTTAAGTGCTTTCAAAACCTTTTTTCCCCACTTTCAGAGGAACGTCATTGAAAAGACACATTTTACAGGCTGAAGAGTTCACACACAAGCTGCTAGTTACACAAGTCAGCATGCTCACATGCACACAATAACAATGCTAACATGCTAACATATACTGTAGCTACGAGCAGAGGTGCAGGTGCTGTCAAAGTGATGGGATAACTTTTTTGCTGAATATTGACCTCAGCTGAGTTCTGCTAACAGCTCCAGAGTCTCCTCAGGATGTTATGATTGGAGCAGTGTTTCTGAAAACACTGTAGGATCCACAGGTGGTTTCTATTGTGCCACTGAAGCTATGTTAAACAGAGACCCATACACACTGAGGGGAAGAGGAACAGGCTAGTAGAAACAGGATGGGGAGTCACAACAGTGGGAAGATGGGAAATGGGGCCTGTAAAAACACAGTGACACAAAATTGGATTTGGGTTGGGTTTCCCCAAACTTCAGGGCTTGGATTTATTGTTTGTCTAAGAAAGGAAGAAGACCAAGAAGACACTGAGAAAAAGGAAAGGCCAAAGAGGACAAATGAAAATGAAAATGAAATTAAAGCAAAACAAATGACAGGATGAGTCAAATTACGGCCTTTGTGGCTGCATTCCTCAGCCAACCAATCAGGTTAGGGTCAAGACAAGTTAACATCAATTACGTGTTAACTCTTTCTCTGCAGATCATGTGACTGCCAGTGAACTCCCACAGTGACAGCAGAACAGCACAGGGTTGGAGCAAGGGGAGGCTGCAGCCTATCTAAAATTACATTATTCTAAACCATAAATACAAATATAGAAGTTAGACAGGTGTAAATTATACTCCTGCTATTCTTGAAAAATTACATAAACAAAGAAAGGCTTCGAATAGTATTTTCAAGGTTTTCTGCAAGATGTCAAGAGAGTCATTGAAGATGGCTTGTAACCTTTCAGGTTAAAATAATCGTTTTAAATTTTCTCCTTTAGAAATTTGTGTTAAATGTCATGATTATTTGCACAAAATTAAAAAATTATAGTAAGTTTATGGTTGTCTTTTAGATCATGGTGGACTTTGTCCTCACACAATAAAATCTAATCAACTTATCTTTCAGTCCTAGCTGATGGTTTGACAAAAAGTTGTTTAGTGCCTTCAGATGTCACAGAGAGTAGTGAAACCACTGGGTGGCCAGGGGTTGCCAAATTTGATTGGCCACTGACCAATATGAGATCTTGAACCATGATTTGTCTATTTGTCTTTGCTCTTGTCTTTGTAATAGCACTAAATGTTAACTTTGGTCAAACATCTCATTTACCCTCAGGGATTAATAAAGTTCTTCTTATCTTATCTCATCTTACATCTTCTTTTGGGTCATTAAAAAATTACATTCAGCTGTAAGGTTTTTCTTTGTTCATTTCTTATCTGATAGGTTCATCAAAATAACAAGTTAGAGGTGTCATTACTAGAGATAACCCTCCTAGGTTTGGGGCATTGACTGTATATCAAAAGGATGCCATCTGCCTCTTTACTGGGAGAAGCTGTGAGCTGTGGCCAAACTTTAGAAATTAGATACAAGTCATAAAAATGTTTCTACCCCCTGGTTGTGATGTTGACATGTAGTTACTGTAGATCATGTGGGGGACAGGCTGTTGAAGCGCAGCATCATCACAGCGATTCTCCTGCCAAACGCTTCTGCGCAAATGCCAATTTCAGGAAATGGAGAAAAATTCAAATTCGCCCAATGATGATAGGCTTCAAGTTGTCAATACTACATACTGTCTATTGTTTGGGGTAAACCCTTTGTGTGTTCAATGCCTAGCCACCGCACAATAGTCTGTGTGCCCATTTGGCTGCCCCAGTAGAAAAGTTTTCCTCCAGCCCTGTTCCCAAGGATACAACAGATGTGAGGCCACGCAGAAAGGTCTTGATGGCCTCACATCTGTTGTACCTTAAATAACTGCATAGTCTCAGAATGTTCTGTAGATACAGGATTAAGAGAATTAATGGGCAGAGAAAACCACTGTGGTTCCGACAGGAAATGAAAACAGATAATGGTAGGACACATGGAGTGGTTACATGACAGCTAGTGAGAACATCTGATAAAATGTCAGAAGCAGAGATGTATCAGTGTGATGACAGACAACAGAGAGAAAAAAGGGATGAAAAAGTGGCACAGGGAGAAGTGAGAGACTGAGAATGTACTGCTGTGACTTTGGCTGGCTCTGTCTTAATATTTACAGACTCTGATGTCTAAACAGGCACTCAGCCTCCATCTCCCAGTTTAATTTACACAACACTACTTGTGTCTGTGCTCTAACCACCTCGGGTTGTTTTGGACTGAACCACAGCCTTTTTATAAACACAGTCCTGTTGCACTGGGAAGCATCAGCCATAAAAGGTTTTAAAAATCAGGCTCATGAATAACACAGAACGTTATGAAAAGCATCCAAAGCTTAATTCATAGCCTAAAATTACAAATGACCTTATTTACCAGGAGAAGTCCTGAGAGGAGGCAGCTTGGTGTTAAACATACACAGTGTGCTCTGAAGCAGAAAAGAATTTGAATACATTTTTGTAATGGCCTAAATCCGCACAAAACGTATCTCTCAGAATCAAAGAAGCTGTGATGGAAAACTGTCTCATAACTGCAGTCTTCTCAGAAATCATTAAAGTCAAAACTACCTTTTCTGCATCAGCGGTTTTCTTGTTCCCCCGAAAGCCCTGAATCCTGCAGACGTAAATAACAAAGCTATGCAAAAAATGGCAACACTTTATAAGCTGCAAGGTCAAACAACAGTCATCCTTCACCAATTTATCCATTCACTAGACCTGCAAAATGTAAGGAAGTGAATTGTACAACAATATCGTTCAATATTCTTTTAGCCCCCATTACATTATGAAATGGGATAAATGAAAATTAAGGAGATGTATATTAACTCTATCTCACAGTTGTTATTTTTTATCTTTATTTTTTCTTTATATTTTACAGGATGGCTTGGCATGTATTTTTCTCCTAAATCCAACATAACACTGAATTAGCGCAAAGTGATGTGAAAGCAGCTGATAGCAAGCATAGCTACACCTGACTGCGACAAGTGTGAAAGCACGCAGAATAAACTCTGGTGTCCATCCAAATAATTGCTCTCATTTGTTATAACAAATTCACATTTTTTAATCTGTTTATTATTCTTAGGGTTTGATATTAAAACTAATCAACCACAGTAAAATAGATCAATGATTGACATTATTGTGATAAATGTAACAACTGTAAAATTGAACACGCAAGTCACACCAGTGTGTAACATTCAGTCTCTTTTGGATGTCTTCAGCTGATTTTCTAAGAGAGGATTTCATACATGTTTAGCAAAGTCCAAAATGTGGGGTTTCTCTGCAGCTGTTTAGCCCTTCTTGGTAACATCTGTTTATGCCATGTTGAATTACAGTCCTGCTAGCAACTGGTGTGGCTCAGCCTGGGTAGCCATTAATATAATCGTAAGGCAAGTACCTACAACCTGCAGCCAATTTAGCCATCAGTAACGGAGCGCACACTTTGACTAGCTATTTTTCTCAAATTGAGGAGTTTTTTCAATCAAAACAAACCTCCACTGAATTTGTTCACTGTAAGTCATTGAACTAAAAAATACAGCACCATAATAAAACCCACTGTGTTCATGAGCTCATAAGTGTTGAGGTTAGATAACTACTGTTTTCTCATCTTTTTGCACTGTGAGCACTGATCATTTTGCCTGTCCATGTCTTAGTAAAAAAAAGAGACTACTTTTTTCATTTGTTGCAGTCTGTAGATGAATTTGTGGCTCAGTCAAACTGGTGTACCGGTCTTTCCTCTGTGTTTTCTTGTTTAAGATTTCCTCCAATAACAAGGCACTCAAAAATGAGGGCAATTTCACAGCACCCCAGCAGAGTACAGCCTTAATGTGGAAAAACTAATAAAGGTCACCTGTATTCTAGATGTGATGCCTCTTGAACATATTCATAAGTGAATGAGTACCTCTGCTGCTAAGATTTTCTTAATAAGCAAAAACAGAAGTACTGACATTTTCAGAAAAAAAAAGAATGAGTTGTTCACAGAAAAAAAAAGTTTTCCAGTTGTGAGCTAAAAGACTAGAAACATTGTGTGTTCTGACAGGAAATTAAACTTCATTTCGGTGCAATGCAGAATACTTTACCCATGCTAGAGCTACCTACACAAGATTCATGAAACCATAGGTTCATTCTCTAAAAATACAGAATCTGAGTGGCTTGTTCTACCAATAGAGAAAGGCTCTTTGGCTAAGGCATTGAATTGACCTACAAAACACTGGCAGAAACGGTTTATTATGTAACAAATCACTACTGTTTGTGCTTTGTTTGTCGTGCTGAGAGTTAGTGGGTCACAGAGAAAAACAGTGCGAGGAGTGATATTGAATGCAGCTCTAAGAAAAAAAATGAATAAACTGAGCAGTTAAAAATAGTTCCCTTGCCGGCTTTTAAGCTGCACAGCCTTTATGTAATTTTTCTCAATGAACATTCTACTGAAGCTGTATGTCTGCAGATTTCATAAGGCCACAAGATTTTTAAAATGCCTCTGCACAGCTCCCTGATATATGTCAAGCAAATATACTTTCAGTAGTCAAGCATGTGGGAGAGATATTAGCAGGAACAGGAAACAATATTTGTATAAAAGTGAATGTTTGCCTATAATTACCTAACAGTGGTGAGAGCTGTAGTTACATAAGCCTAAAATAAGCTTTTCCTTCCGAGAGGAATCAGCAAACATCTCTGATGACTGCTGTTTCAGTCATCAGAGATGCAGCATGTTCCTATGAAAAACATGAAGCCTTTTGATGGTTTATTCACTATAATAATAACAATAATAATAATACATTTTATTTGTAAAGCGCTTTTCAAAAACACAAAGACGCTGTACAGAGTTAAGCAATAACAATAAAACACATCAATAAGTAATAAAATTTACGACAATATCAATAAAAACATGTATATTACTATACTATATAAACTATAATATTCCATTTGGAAATATTTATATTATGTGTTGTTTATGTGTTTTCTATTGCACATGAAGTATAATGAAATGTCACCGTAATATGTTGAGTTGTTCTAAGGCTACTAATTTTTTAATCCTTGAAACTATTCAAACTTCAAACTCCCGACACTGGCCCAGTTTGATATCCTTTGTGTGGTGGTTATACAATGGTCTGGACATAGTTGTGATCATAGACACTATATAGAATGGACGCCCTCGGACTCCTCACTGGGTGAAGCCACCCGAGAACAGCACCCTCTGGTGACGGGCTGCAGTGTAGGTCATAAATCCTGCCTCCTCCAGCAATCCCTATGGAGCTGTGGACAAACTTTAGTTACTGTCAGACTGGTTTGTGCTCAAGTCCTCTTTGTTCTGTGCAGCTCCATTTTTAAAAAGTTATTAGGGGGGTTGATGTTCTTCTCTGGTTGACACTTGATACAGCCTATGGGCGTACGAAGATTGTGTAGCTCACCCTGGGGAAACGCTGTTTGAGTCGAGGGTCATCACAGCGACTCTCCCGCCGAGTACATACAATACTACTGCTAAAGTGGTGGTTCCAGGAAGTGGAGAAAACCCTGGAAATACTGAGGGCAATTTGGCTTCAAATTCGAATAATGACGGAAGGCGGAGCCAAGTCGTCCACAGCATATAAAGTCTATGGATGTGATAATTTGAGCAGACACAACCAACATACAACATACTCACCATTTTCTGGATCAAAATACTGCTAAACAACCTTGCTGTGACATGCTATCAGCTCATTTTTGTATGGCCTGAAGAGTATAATACCATAAGAGCAATAGCCATTAACAGGAGCTACAGCCTGGCTAATTACAGGTGGTAGTGCAGTTTAGACATAGTGCATAACCAGTAAATAAATAAAAATAATTATTCAACCAGTCAATGATCAGTGCTGGCTGGTAAGGGTAATGATGTTTATTCATCTACTCGATTAAACAAGAACATCCCTAGTATAGATTTACAGAGTCTGAACCAAAAAGGAATGTTTAGCATAAATCCAGCAATCAGAGGAAAACTGGCTTTGCTTTGTTGGAAGCCCAAGTTGAAATGTTACTCAGAGTCATAGAACCCAAAACTGTGTTGTTACATCTTGGTTGGTTTGATAAGCTATACCTCTGTGTGCTGTCTATCTTACAAAGGTGATGGTTGCCTGACAACCACAGTGACAGTAATAGTAACAGTCTGTGCACAGCTGCTGTTTGACTGACTCTGACTTTAATAACAAACTAATGTGACCACATATTTACTGCTCAAATATACATTAGTATTTCTGTTTTTTTTTCTCTCTTTTTTTTCTTAAGGCTGAAGCTCCATCATCTTTTATTCCTTTAATATAACTTTCTCACAGTAAACAAATAAACACCATACCCTGGGCTGCTCCGATTGCTCACCCAAAGTTTGCACAGCCTACCACAATGTACCCAAGCTGGAACCTCGCTGCTGCAGCTTTTATTTCGAGCCATGGCCCTTTGCTGCCTGTTGTCCTCTCTCTCACTGTCTCCCACCCTTCCTCTCTCTGTTCTAATGTAATAACCCCCCCCCCATCCAGAAAATCTCCAAATAAAAACCTGAGGTGAAATGCAACTGTAGATGATTAACTGAAAAACAGCAGATCCATGAATAATGAAATAACTCTTAGTTGCAGCCCCAAATTCGCCTTGCTAAAGAAATGTTTATTATAATGTCATCAAAATAACATTTTAACACTCACTGCATTGTTTAATGTGTTTCAATAAGCGTGGAGGAATGTCAGAATACAACTGAATAATAACGGACTGCCATCCAAAATGGACAGACACAAACAGAGCATCAGAACACCAGTAATACATGATGTGCCTCTCTGGTTGGCTGTACTCTGTTAACACAGCAACATTACCCTCAAGCAGGTCACTGAACCTGCAGCTTTTCCACTGGAGACCAACAGTGCCCAGCAGCTCCACGCTGTGTCAAATCTGTGTCACTGTGTAAAAGGTAAGCGGGAGTTTTCTTTGAGAAGGGTTGATGATAGTGTCCTTTCCTGAACTCTTATAAGATTACAGGATTCATCCTGACACAGAAATGATGTTCACTGAACCAGACAAATAAAATGTCATCAAAGCGTGGTGTTTTAAAAATGTCACTGTATAATCCAGTCCCTCCTTGAAGATGATTGATTGATTATCATTGTACTGGTTAAGCTCTGAGCAGAACAACATGCTCTCTGCTTTTTCATGGCTGTCTATTTTTGGACTTAAACTACTTCACGCTGAAAGAGGAGTGTGGGCCTTCCTTTTATTTGAATGTCACAATGTTGCAGAAAACCCTTCACACTGATGTCAGTATTATTCATTCCTGTGCTCAAACAGGGCTTGCCTTTGAATTTCATGCAGCTGCTTTTTTCTGTGTGTAGAGCTTACTGTACAAGGAGCACTGAAAAATTGTTGTGCAATTGTGCACAAAACAGTAAAAGCAAGCAAATGTTGAAACCCCTTTACATGAATAAATCCTGATATTTTTCTGTATAACTCTGTATAACTATGCCTCGCCACCGGCGAGGCATATTACAATTTTCGTGAAGTAGTCAAAGAGATCCTTAAATTTTCATGAGTTAACATCACTATACAATGTATACAGATGTTTTAAAATAGAAACACAACGAAGAAAATTATAATACTGGTTATGTACACAAACAGTGAAAAGAAGCAGCAAAACTCCCCTGGATTAATGGCATTATCACCCTGTCCACTCTTGTGCAGTAAATGCTCAAGACAACTGAATTGACCCATATTTAAGATAACTCTGATTATAATGTCTTAATTATAAGTTTTTATTATCTGAAAATGCAATTGATGGTTAAATTATATAGAAAATGATGTTTGAAGCCCAGAACCCATCATCAGCGTCATGTCCTATGCAGCAAATACGTTCCCTTCTAATCAACCATTTTAATTGCACACAGGAAGTGCTGAAGCGTGTATCAGCCACGTCCCAGAGGCATCTCTACACGCTGCTCTGCTTAAGACATGCGCCAAGACTATTAATGATGGAGCACGCATTCAGCGCGCATTAATCTGCACAAAGAAGATCGTCCTTTGCAGGATGTCACACATGGGAGATGGGCAAGTCATCCAGTAAATTCCAAAATAAAACACCATATGCGGACTCCTGACTGTTTATCAGTTTGTGTAGATGAGAAATACTTCCTGGTTATGGATGAGTCCATTCAAAACAATTGTCGTGTTTCTATAATGTAACATCTGCTTCAGGCTGCCCTTGCTTTAACTATACCTTTACAGGTCAGCTAATTGTAGACAATGCCTCTAATTAGTCAACAGATCAAGTTAAAAATGGCAGCTTCCACCCAGCATGATCAGGTAACAACAAAAGTAACACTTTTTCACCAAGTCATAAATCATCATAGATTACTCATATTTTTGAGGGATGAATCCAGATAGTTTCTGAACTTACAATGGTCTCCTCTGTAGGAAAAGAAAGCTGATTGGTGTTGTGGTAACACAAAGGGCTCTATTTCGTGCCTCCCCAGAGACGTGACGCAGGCGCAGCGTAAGTCAGGTCCACCGCGCCGACAAAGCATTCCCAAGCACAATTTGGTATTTTGGTGAGCGGCACAGCCTGGCGTATCCCCCCTCCCTAACTCAGCTCCTCCCAGCGGCGTAAGTCGTAGCAAGGGAGGAGAGAGGGCGTGGAGTGGGTTTAACACAGCCAAGACCTGTATTGACCAATAACATCAGCTCCTCTCCTCGCCTGTAAATCCGCCACCGGCGAGGCATATTACAATTTTCGTGAAGTAGTCAAAGAGATCAAGAGGTGTCTAAAGACAGTAATGCCACACGATGGCAACCGAAGGCAGCTCCTCAACAAGTGTCGCTGTAAATGCTGCAGAGGGCCTCCTTCACACTGTCTCATATAAGCACATATGGATTTGGTGTGTGTAAGTTTGAACCCACTGGTAAGACAAACACCCTTTTCCACAAATAAAGACACTCACATAAAGTTGCATATATTCAAACCTCAAGTGACAAAGGTGGGTTGTGCGCACAGATCACATCATAAATTCCAAAAATGGCATTAAAATCGGAACCATCTTTGCGTAATGATGAATCGCGCTCCGTGGCCTGGCACTTTCTTTCATAGATGTTGGCATATAAAATGAATTTGGCTCACAAAACGGAATATTATAATATTCGTATGTAGGCTTAAAGTAAACAATTCATCTGATCACTGAAACAAATCATCTGTTCAGCCGCTGCGGCAGCAGCTGCAGCAGGACGGGGAGAGGACACCGAGAGGACATGGAGACGTGTCCAGGTCGAGCTGCGCGAGAAATAAGAGGAAGAGGAAGAAAGAAAGGTAGGGAGACAAATTACATATCTTCTTAACTTCTTTATGTGTGTCTATTTACTAGATATTTAATTTAATTTAATGCGGTTTCAGTTGTGTTGATTCGGTCAGGTTGTGTGTCCAAATGCGTGCCAAACGCACTCATCAGATCAGATATAGATCAGAATATATCTATATAGATCTAAATGTATGTGCTGACTCAGATTAATAGTTGTTGATTATTTATTGCACTGAAATGTGCCTGACACTGTGGAAACCTGCCAGTGAGGCATCAGTGACGTATGCCGATACGCCGCCGGTCTACTAAAATACCTCTAGACCAGCTCCGCTTAGCCTGCGCTGAAAGCTGACCAGGTTTGAATTGGCGAGCTTCCAGCGTACTATACACGCCACTGGCAAGCACGAAAATGTCACTTCACCCGCTGATTCTGTCGACCCCTCCCCCTGCCTCGCCACCACGCCCAGCTTGGCGGACCTCGGTGCGCCTCAGTCCACGAAAATACCAAACTGTCTGTGTGCTGGGCTCCGCCAGACAAAAATACCACTGCACGGGGTCCGCCACCCTCTGCCGCCACACCGGCGGACACGAAAATAGAGCCCAAAGTGTATCCCTGTTGTCGGTCTCACAAAGTGAGTCGATTTTACAGTCACTACATTGCCCAAGAGAGTTTCATTTCTAAACTTCATAAGATCTTAACCAATCAACAGTCATCCTCAGTCATGAGCTGACAATGAAATGCAATATACTGTATGCCTCTGGGAATGGATGTTGACTTTTAACTAATTCCAATGTAGCTAGAAGGTAGTGGTAAATGTCTCCCTGCCAAGACTTCCTTATCTGTTCTGAGACCTTTTCTGTGTCCATCAAATATCTTGGAGTACTGCTTTTTCACTCATTTCATGTCAGTGTCAGTTTAACAGTAGGGGGTTTTCTGGGAGTCTCTGAGCTTTATCATGTTACAGGTTGCAAACATCAGTCTCTCCTCTGTCCATCTCTCTCTTTCTCTATCTCCCTCTCTCCCCTCTCTAAACCCAGCTCAGTTTCAGCAGATGACTGTCTGACATGAGTCTGGTTCAACTCGAGGTTTCTGCCTGTTAAAGGAAGTTCTTCCACTTCACTGTGACTTGTTAAACGCTGTGAAGTGGTTCACTCATGTGGTTGAAGATGGGATGGGAGTGGGTCTGTTCTTACAGTCTGATCCTGTCTTGACATTTGGTCTATGAAAGTAGAGTCTGGTCAAGACCAGCCTTTTTGTTGAACATCTTGGGATAACGTATGTTGTGAACTGGGGCTCTATCAATAAAGACTGGCTAGTTAATTGACACACATGCATACAGAGAGGTTTGATGCTGGTAGGAGCCCCAAAAAGGTAATTGTGTGGTAATTTACAGTTTTTAAATTTTGCAGATTTGTAAAAAAGGGGAAAATAGGTGAATAGTCAGTGCCACTAGGACAAAAAAGTAATACTATAGGAAACCTGAACACTGCTCATGTTGAAAACTGAGGCGCCAGTATACAGATCCTATATTTATATAAAAGTAAGTAGAAATGACTCCATTCAAAATTCAGCACACCCTGTTTTTATGCAGTTTTTTACTCAAGGCACACCAGCTCCCCCTGTCAGTGTGCAAAAGAGGCTTTAAGGATCAGAGTTTCAGTGTCATAATCATGTGACTTCAGTGAAAAAAAAGAAATGGACACAAAAATTCCTCCTGATTTCTCAACAAGTAAAGTAGAGAACGGCCCCTACCATGGAGTGACCCAGGATGAAGATGGGCAGGTCAGGGTAGCGGCTTTTCATCAGGTCAATATGCTGCAGGGAGTCTCTGATGTATACCTGGAAGTCTTTGACATTCATCCTGTCTCCTTCACTCTGACCGTGACCAACTGTGGAGAACAAGAGGCAGATGTGAGGAGACAAAGTAAACTCCTACAGTACCAAAGGAGAACAAAAGAGGATAATAGATCCAAGACCATGGGCTCATGATTTCATCCTAAATCAAAAAGCATCACTTGCTTTTCTTAAAACTAGAGCCACAGCCTGTGAGATAAACAAATATCAGAAATGTTTCGTAACTTGTTTGAAAGTACAAACTAGGTAAATAAGACAAGTTTTGAAGATTTCCCTCGGTTAAACTCCAGATGGATTCCAAAATATTTATAACTTGTTATTTCTGATGTGTTACACAAAACTCTGATATGTCTTTATTTTTTTCAGCCAGAAAAGCTTGAGAGACTGTGGTGCTGACTTTCAGACTTGTGGAAAGTGGATCAATCTTGAGAAGGGGTGGGTGGAAAACAGGAAGGAGCTCAAAAGAAGGCGGATGACTAGATGTGGAGACAGCAGTGAGGATAAGGAGGAATGAAGTGATGAAGGGATGCAGACAAGAAATATAGTTGAGGGAGGCACAGAGAAATTCAAAGTTAAAATGACATTTAAAATCACCAAACAGGCGTTACAAAGATCCCTGGGAGCAGGAACATGTTGTGAAGTGACACACCAGGACGTCTCAGTGGGGTCAATATGAAAGTATGAAGGTGTGATGAGGGTAGAGATTTTTATGGCTTCTGCGATTTTAAGAGATTTAGAATTTATCTGTATCAAAAGAAACGAGAACAAGTGACTGAACAGACTGTTCTTCCCTCATTACTGCATCTGTATCTTAAAAGTGGCAATAAAAGATCAACAGAGAATAATGTTTTAATAAAGGACCTTTGCATAAAGGAGTTTTTTTTTATATGAGTGCTCAAAGTAGGACTCACATATTGACTGTTCTTATCTTCTCTTGGAAGCCTGAAGTAAAAAAGTAAATTGTCATTACATGTAGTTTAAGATGTCTAGTCTTTGTTGTCTTGTATCACAACTTTTCTCTCTTCTTCATCAACTTCATAGTGAGTTTATGATTTTGATAAGATTTTTGTTTAGGTAAAAAATAACTGGATTGTTTATTGTCAGTCTCTTGAGTTTTGAATGTGTTCATTACACATTGTGTCTTTCATTTTTATCATTTATCTCTGAACAGCATGCTTCCCGGACGTCTCACTGGTGAGGTGTCCTGGGCACGTCCCACTGGTAAGAGACCACTGAGAAGACCTAGACACCCATGAGAGACAATGGCTTTCAGCTGGCCTGGGAATGCCTCAGGGTCCCCTGGGAAGACCTGGTTGAAGTGGCCAGGGGAGAGAGGTGTGGGCTTCTCACTTAGGCTGCTGCCCCTGCGACCTGACTCCGGAAAAGCAGCAAAAGATAGATGGGTTTTTCTGAAAGGTGAAGTCCTTGGCTTCTTGACCTCTCTAGACACATCATTTCCATTTCCATTATAAGATTTTATGCAATCCTTTATGTGTGCCAAATAAATGAAATAGAACACAGGGTGGTGGATAGAGAAGGAAATGGAGGAAGTGGGGAGGTTGGTATCAAACCCAGACTGTCTGCATGAGGATAAACAAAACATTTTCTTATATCAGCAAATCTTTGTTTACATTTTTTTGATCGGGAAGAAAACAGCTGCCAAGTCCAAAGATTCTAGGACATCTTTACAGTACAAGCCTTGGAACCACTTTCAAGATAGCTAGAAGACCATAATCTGGTAAAGCAAGGAGTCATGTATGATGAAAGGGAGGGACTGACATGTAGCTTTCTATAAATGAGAGGGAAAGAGCAAAAAGGTCTGACAAGAACATGAAGAAGAAGATCAGAGGAAAGAGCAGGGACATCAGAGGAGAAATGTGATTGACAGATGGAGAGGAGGAATATACATGAATATGCATGTGTGTTTGCATTCATGTGTTTTTGCACTCTCCTAAAGCCCTCTGAGAGGTGAGCTAGGTTACCATGGTGACCAATGAACAAATAACACAGCTGAGCTCCTAAACATTCACAACATGTGCAGCTCACACCTTCTCTCACTCTGTGATCTTCAAGTGTGTGCCTGTGTATTTTAGTACTGTACTGTATAAATATAAGCTGTATTTAAGTGAAAGTCTTTAAGCGTTCTGTTTGTTTATCAGTGTCAATATAGAAGAAAAATCAATGTCCAGTAAGAGCAGCAGAGAATGATGGAGTACAGCAAACTTCTAGATCGATGCACACAATATCCCCTCCCCCAGATCGATGAGCGCACACTCTGTTGAACCCACATCTATTGTTATTACACTCCAATGAACACACACATGTATTCACACATGAGCACACTGTAGAACACAATGCTCTTTAAAAACAGACCTTTTTTCTTTGCCATAAGGTCTTAGAACTTAAAGGAATAGTTCAAGGTTTTAAAGGTGTATAAGGCTCTGACAAATAGTGAGTGTATTATGCCCCTGTTGTAAATGAAATCAGTGCATTGTTATTCTTATGTGCTGATCCAGCTGTCTTATATAATGTGCTGCACCCAGAAACACACAGGGATGTTGTGTGTAGTGAGAGAGCATTGGGAAAAGGTTGTCTGATGTTCAGGTGGCATGGCGAAGTAATTAAAATTATACAGTATGTTTGAGCAGTAAGGATTTTAAGATGTGAGACTCTTTTCAAAGACTAAATACATGTGACTCTGGACCACATGCCACACGTAACTTAGCCTCTGTAGGAGCCCTGGCCAGCTCCTTCAAACAGGAGCCAAACTGTATAGTGAACACTAATAACCCAACTCTCCCTTTAGGGTGATGATGCAATACGTCATTTATTGTCTCTTAAAGCCCCAGGTGACATCTTGAAAAGTTAGAAGAAAGAGATAAAGGTTCTTAAGTTATTACTGCACTGTTGTCATTTGATAGATGATGACACAGGGTGACCCTTTTTGAATAGACAGTTCTTTCTTTTTATTCTCCCCTTCAAGTTTTAAGTGTCTTCTGACGAAAATTTTCTCCAACTGACTTCTGACAGTGAAATCTATCATTAATAGTCAGTTTTTTTATGCGGTAAATTGTAAAAACAGGTGAGTTCTACAGATGTTTAGTTGACACCTACCTACCCCCTTACACAGCTTCCAGACATTAAAACTTACAATATAAAAATCAACCTTGTCGCCGATGATCTGACTTGCTTTTTAAGTTATAAAAAAGCATTAAGAATAAGAATAAGAAGAACTTTATTGATCCCTGAAGGGAAATTCAATTGTCTGTTGTCTAACGTAATATGTCTATAAAAGTTATCTATTATTTACATAAGAGTTATAAAGCCTGATGGCTGTTGGTACAAAGGATCTTCTAAATTTTTCTGTCCTGCAGCGAAGAGAGAGGAGCCGTCCACCACCATTTGCCCTTTGGTCCATCAAGGTGTTGTGAAGTGGGTGATACATGTTCTTTAGAATAGTCTCCACCTTCCTCGGTGTAGATCCCTCCACCACATCCTCCACTGAGTCCAGCTTGAGTCCAACCACAGAGCCAGCCTTTTTTACCAATTTGTTAAGACGTCTTGCATCTTTGTGTTTGATGCTTCTTCCCCAGTAGACTGCAGCGTAGAACAGAAACACTTGCCACCACAGACTGATAAAACATTTGCAGCGTCTTACTACAGATGTCTATTGATCGGAGTCTTCTCAGGCAAAAGAGGCGGCTCTGCCCCTTTCTGTAGATGAAGTCTATACTCTTAAACGAATCCAACTTATTATCCAGATGTACACCTTGATATTTATATGATGTCATCACTTCGATGTCCACTCCACAGGTGTTCACTGGCTGAAGACGGGGTTTGGATCTACGGAAGTCTATGACCATCTCCTTTGTCTTTAAGGTGCTGAGGAGGAGGCAGTTTTTGTGACTCCAGTCACTGAAGGCTCTTATCAGATCTCTGTATTCAGCTTCTTTTCCATTTCTGATACATGCCACAATAGCAGTGTCATCTGAGTATTTCTGGATCTGGCAGGACTCTGTGCTGTATTTGAAGTCTGACATATACAGTGTGAACAGGAATGGCGCCAGCACTGTCCCTTGTGGAGCCCCTGTGCTGCTCATTAATGTCCCAGAAACACAGTTCCCCAGCCTGACAAACTGCGGCCTTCCTGTCAGGTAATCTGCGATCCAGGAAACACAGGCATGATCCACTCCCATCTCTGTGAGCTTGTCTTTGAGTATGGTAGGTTGGATGGTGTTGAATGCACTTGAAAAGTCAAAGAACATGATCCTCACATAAACCCCAGGTTCCTCCAGATGAGACAGGGCACGGTGAAGCATGTAGAGGACAGCATCATCCACTCCAATGTGTTCTTTGTATGCAAACTGCAGGGAATCCAGTTTGTCTTTGACCTCAGACCTCAGAGGGTGTAGAATCAGCCGCTCCAGAGTTTTCATGATGTGTGAAGTGAGGGCCACTGGTCTGTAGTCATTGTGTTCAGCAGGACATTTTGTTTTTGGTACTGGCACAATGCAGGATGTTTTCCACAGAGCAGGTACCCGCCCCAGCTGTAGACTCAGGTTGAAGATCTTGTGGAGAGGTTGACACAGTTCTGCAGCACAGTCTCTAAGCAGCCTTGGACACACACCATCTGGATCAGCTGCCTTTCCAGGACCAAGTCTTCCAAGCTCCATCCTCACCTCTGTTTTGGTGACAGACAAGGACTGGTGCTCTAGGAGGGAGGCAGTTGAAGGGGTTGAGACATTTGAATGAGATGGAGGAGGAAGGGGATAAGTTGTAGTGGAGATTTGTTGCAGAGAGGAAGGTGAAGTAGGAGTGGAAGTGGAAGTGACAGCAGTGTCAAATCTGTTGAAGAACAGGTTGAGTTTATCAGCTCTTTCCACATCACCCACCACTGGATGTCTTTTCTTTTGACTGCTGTGTCGAGAGATGATACTGATTCCTCTCCACACTTCACGGATGTTGCTGTGTTGTAGATTATTCTCTGTCTTCTTTTTGTACTCCAGCTTTGCCATGTTCAGTCTCCGCTTCAACTCTTGTTGCACTTGTTTTAGTAAGGCACTAAGGCACATTAGTGTGCTTTAGTGTTAAAAAAGTTTTGGCAACATATTTGTTCAGAGTAATAACTTCTCTTATAGAAACTGATGAGTAAAACACCCTGTTAAAGCTTATAATGAACAATACCACACTATCAAATTATTGTTTTGAAGCACAATACAAATTTGTAAAATACTACATTTAAAAAGCCTTTCCAGCTGCATATCGTAATATCACTATTATGGCTATCATAGGCTTTATAAACAATTTAGTGAGTGTCTGTATACTGTTTAAAAACTATTTGTTTCAGTGTTAAAGGTGCAGTGTGTAGTATTAGGAAGCATTTAAACAAACAGATTGGGTAGAAATGGATTACATTATTTGCAAACATTATTTGCTAGTGTGTTTAAAGTCCCACTCTGATTGTTTTTTCAACTCCTTAAAGTGCTCTCAGTGGTTTGTAAATTGTGATTTTGAAGTTTTCAGCCAAAATCACGTTACCTGTCATTTTCAAGGTCTATTCTTCTGCAGAGCTCCAGTAGCTCATTAGCAAGTTGTCTGCGAGTCGTGGGCGGAGACAGTGCTGCTCTGTACACTCCTCTTCATGCTCGCTTACAGTCCAACATTGCCGGTGTAGTAGAAGTGGCAGGTAACATAGGAGCTATTCAGTTCTCGGACACTAATGTCTTTAGGGACATGATGAAAGCTAAGATCATAATTGGCTTTCCTACAAGCATTGTAATCTGCTAATGCAAAGGCTTCTTCCGCAATCATCCTCTCTATTTCTCAGAGTCTGGCCTGCGTAGCAGGGCTCTGGGGGTCAGAGCTTGGATTTGCTACGTAGGAAATATCATTCTGAACCTGCCGTTTGGGTCTGCCAGAGATTAACAGCGATTTGAATGCAGTAATATTCAGAAATGTTATTTTGCACACAGTTTTCTCATGATATTTCCTGTAGCATCAGAAAAATGCCACATGAACATTGGTGTTGTGTCGTTCATGAACGTTTTATTCAAAAGGACAAAACTGCTGGGTAAACAACGTGAACTGAATCACTCTGAGACCTGATTCATTCCTTTTACAGTTCAGTTGAGCTCAGCCGCGAGCCTGGCATGCCGGTTGGGAGTGAAACTGCCACCTCTGACTCTGGCGAATGACACACAGCCAGCCAGCCAGCGAGCGGGCGGGCGGAGTCTCGTGATTCACTCACAGCGAATGAACGATATATATCAGTCAGTGAACGAAACAGTCTGTGAACGACCTGTATCAGTTAGTGAACGAAACAGTCTGTGAATGACCTGTATCAGTCAGTAAACGAAACAGTCAGTGAACGACATATTTCAGTCAGTGAACGAAACAGTCTGTGAACGACCTGTATCAGTCAGTGAACGAAACAGTCTGTGCACGACCTGTATCAGTCAGTAAACGAAACAGTCCGTGAACGACATGTTTCAGTCAGTGAACGAAACAGTCAGTGAACGACATGTATATCAGTACGTGAATGGAATGTTTCAGTCAGTGAACCACATGGTGAACGAAAAGAACTACTTTCGAATGACTTTAGGTAGAGGAGGGAGGGGGTGTAGTGTCGTTCACTTACTGCTGAACACCGGTTTATTCACTGAGGCTAAGATAAAACAGAGCATTATAGTGCCTTTACATGAACACATGAGTAAAAACTTTCCTGCAAGAAGGATTTAATTTCAGCCGATTTAAAGAAATACGCTATTTGATATCTTTAAAAGTAGCAGAATCCCCTCTACAGCTGTGATGTTTATTTATTTTTAATCGCTCCACTTTTTTGTGATATAAAAGAACGACGACCTGCGCTTGTTTAGTGGGCATGCTGCTGTGTTGTTGTTTGCCGACAGCGATACACGGAGAGGTGAGTTTTTCAGGGCAGGGGAGTGATTCTTCCTTCAGGACTTGGCAAATGAACGACATATGTCACCCAGTGACACCATCATTTTTCTACAATAGCAAAGAAAGGACAGACTAGAGACATACAGTACATGTTGTAAATATAATGGTCATGAGCCAGAGACGAAGCAGAAGACAATTGTTGTAGTTTGTTAAAAAGTCTGTATTAACAGATGTTTTTGATTGTAAAAACTTGACAAATGGAAGATAATACTTGTCATGCATCACAGGAGCTTCTTATCCACAAAGGCCACTATTGCTTATTGGTGGAGGAGTGAGCAAGGGAGCATGTTGATCTAGTATCCGACTGCTAGATATCCATTAGTATTCCCATTTCTACACATTGGACCTTTTAAAGCTGCAGTAGGTCAGAGTCAGAGTCCTCAGTGTGCTGCACTAAGAGCCAGCAGAAATGTGTTCTTTTAGTGTAACACTTTGGGACACTGGTGTGGTAGTTGGCTCAGCAGTTGAAGCATGTACCCCATAAGGGTACAGTTTTTGTCTCAGTGGTAGCTCCCCCCACTCTTGACTCCCTACATTTGCTGCCTCTCTTCAGCTGTCCTTCATTAAATGTCAGAAATATGACTCAGAAAATTTGGGCACATGCTTTCTGTTAATCTAGTTTGTTTTTGATGGAATGAAATGTGTTTATTGTAGATGTAATAGCTGTTTTATGATGTATGCAATATGATTGCTTTTACCTTGTTTGCTGCCTTAATGTCTGTCATAAAAGTCACTGATCTCTGAGCAGGAAAACAATCTCCTCATAGGCTGATGAATTCAGCAACTTGGCGAGCGCTGATCTAATTAAATGTCAGAGTTCCATTATTTTCCTATAATGAAAAAGCAAACAACATCAGGCTGTTCCTGTCTACTGCTCTGTTATCTCTGCCTTTCACAATAAAGTACATTATTACTTTCTTTCACCACTTCCTGATAATGAAATATTCAGTCAGTGCTGGTGCAGAAAGCAAAGTGATGTGTGTACATTTAATTTTATTTGTTCAAAAAAATTCAACAAAGGCAGTTTGTTTTTGTATTTCAAACTTGAAATTTGTCAGCCAAGTGGGCAGCATGACAAATTTGTGGGCTGTTATGTGGTAAATAGATGCAGTGTGTGCCAGATGGGAGAAACCTCCAGTCTGTGCAGGCTGGCATTTAAAAAAGACTGAAGTGTCCTTTAATTAGAAAGAAATACATCAAATTAGGAGTGCAGTGTGACAGAGGAATAATACGCAAAATTTCAGCTGCTGTGACAGAAGCTGTCCTGAGATAGATGGATGGAAAACTGGTGTCTACAGGGACCTTCCAGTTCAATGTGACATTTTGCTGTCATCATCACTCACTCAGCCTTTTTATTATCTCTGCTGGCTGTGAAGCCCAAAACCTACAAGATGTGCGTTGAGCGCTTTCCATCAGCATTGCATGCCAATATGCAACAAGTATTTTCCCAATCTAATCAATGCAGCATTGCACACAGGAAGTGCCTCAGCTCCGTCCAAGCAGCATTTCTATGCACTGCTCCGCTATAGAAACACACTGAGGCTGTTTTCAACGGAGCACACGGCCAGCACGCGTCAGTGTACACAGAGAAGATCATCCTAGACAGGATGTCAAGCATGATTGTTTATCAATTCTTGTAGATGAGAAGTACTTCCTGGTTATGGATTTATCATTAACACAGAATATCCCCATGGCCTATCCCTGATCCATGTGGACCACCACAGGACTTTTAGCTGCTAACTCTGTCTGAAGGTAACGGCAAAGTAAAACATAGTTTACGAAACATGAGTAAATCTGCAAAAATCCAAACTTTAAAATCAAGTTGTTTTTCACATACAATAGAAGCTCAACAGTCAGAATAAAAACAAAATTAGCAGGAAATCAACCACAGAAAGGCAAAACAACCTGTTGTGAGCATATTGTTTTCTGTATACTGAGTCCAGCTGACCAGGGCTGCACTTCACTGCTGCTACACTGCGAACACTCTTCCAGTGGGTGATAGCGTGCGCTGTCTGACAGAGCAACAGAGACAGAACGCGCCCAACACAGAACCTGTGGGTTGCCTGCACTATTCTCTACCTCTGTAAATATTTTCACACTTTTAGCTGAGACTTCTTTGTCTTGCTCTCCTGTTTACTGAACACACATGCAGTTGTTTTACAGCCAGAATCTGCTGCACACTCCATGAGTTCACACATTCCTGCTGTATTTAAAACCTGCTCCGCGTGTGAGCTGAGCTGAGGGTGTGATTGCCTTGCCCAAAAGCTCTTGGGCTTAGCATACACTTAGTTTGCACATATTTCTTTACCCATCTCACATTTTCCATTAGAAATTACTATGTCTGGGCAGTTTCTTGAGTTGAAATCTATCAAACATACGTTGCTCAACCTAGGAAACTGCATAAGCAGAAATGTGCCCTCACCATGTAAGCGACTCAGAAAAGCTTCATTCAGGCAAGGAATACAAACGCATCACTATACCAGGCTATCCTGACATTATCGGTCCAATAAAGGGAATATTTTCATTTGAATTCAGATAATACTATTCTATCTGATGAACAAAAGTAGCTGTGGCTTTAATTTATCATAATCATACCTACATATGCATGTATGGCAGTGATTCACCGTGGCATACAGACACGAACAAGTCCAGTATCTACAGATGCTGATACTTTGCAGATGTATCCACTAACAGTCTGATCAACTACAACGTCGTGATGACTTGAGCATGAAAAAGACATTACTGCACACACAGATGACTGCTCCATTTTACAGTAAGAGGAGATCAACAGGACTGTTGGATTCTTCTCCTCTGTTAACAGGAGAGAATCCAATATTAATATACAGCATATGCATCTTTGCTCATCAAGTTTTAGCCTTTCTTACCTTCAGGTGCGAACAAAATGAAACTGTAAGAAAAGATTAACACTAATTTTACTAGCATCAGGAGCAGGTAATTGAGAACTTTAACTGAAGAATTTCATTTTATTGCTAAAAACTCTCTGTAACCTTCTCTGTTTCCCACTCAACAGCTGCTCTTGTAACTCCAGCCCTCCCAGGAATGCTGATCTCCTTGCCTCTAATGAGCTTTTATAGACTTGATTTGTTAAAGATTTGAGGGTTACTCTTCTTTCTGTAAGTGTCTTGTGGGTTTTAAAAGCCCACTCAGACACTGATATTTTTGGTGAACCAAGACAAATTAAGTTGTGATGCTGAAACGTTGCCAGTTTTTACTCCTTCACCCTTACAAAGAATCTCCAACTGGTCTGTCTTCTCCCCCCTGTGCTGATAACAGTTTTACTGAAAACCTGAATGAAAACCTGAAGTTTCATCCATACTGCCAGTCAAGTTATCCTTCATTTTTACACTTGCACAGTGGCACTGCTGCAGAACAATAAAGAAAAGTTCTCCTGGGCCTAATTTGTTCCCCTTAACCGACTTCCTCAGTCAGCAATTAAAGAAGCTCGTTATCAGACAGAGAGGAGGATGGAGGGCTGTCACTGAAGCCAAGCACAAGCAACACAACCTTACTCCCATCTGTCAGATACAGCAGTCTGATCTTTGGCCCAAAGCTGTAAAATATGACCATCTAGGTACCACTCCACTGTCAAGTTGGCAATACAACTTCTGATTAGACCTTCCAAATTAAGCAGTTTAGTTAGAAAGGATAAAAATGTAACATCCAAAACCGGCTTCAAACATCCTCTCATTACAGACAAAAAAGCCTAGAGTCAGCTACTTTGATTAGGAAGAGCAACTTCACCATTTACAAGGATGCTAACAAGAGTGATCAGATGAGGTTGTGCATGCATCACACTTTAAAACCAGGGTAAAACTGACAAACTGACAAGTCTAAATCCACAAAACACACAGGAAACAGACAAACAGGAGTTAAACAGAGTCGGGATTTATAATATCAAATTAGCTTTGTGTGTGCGATAAGATAAGATAAGATAAGAAGAACTTCATTGATCCCTGAAGGGTAATCAGTATGTCCTTTGAGTCCATCAGGTAGCTTAATAAATAAATTGGTTATGCATTTATCCATTCGCGTGGTTATATCCTATTTTAACAAGCTTCAACAACTGTATCTCCGAGATCGAGATCCAAATAACCTGTCCCACTACTGTCATATGTTTTTGTTTATATCGAAGGACAACAACATTATAGCATTATGGCACCATGGTCACTAACTCCAGGTACAGTCCCTGTTTGTTTTGGGTTTACAATCATAAAAAATACAATAATCTATTTAATTGACTGCTCATGCTGACTGGTCATGACTGCTGATTAGTGAGGGTGACAGCGTATAATCATTTAACCAAGTAAAAGGGAGAACTCATTATTTATATTTTCTATTTGTTGTCCCCTATAACATAGTTTAGTTCCACTCAATGGTGACTTTCACACCAGGCATACTACATCAGCTGGCCTTAATGTCCCTTCAAAACTCTGGACTAAAGGATGGTCTATGCATTGTTGACACAGGCTACATTCTTAAAAATGCTGGATCACTGACCAGTTTTTCACATTTGAAGACCGTAATGTCTTTCAGTGTGTTAAAACCAGTTATCTCAAGGCCATGAGTACATGTGAAAATGCTTCCATTTTGTATGTATGCATTGAGTGTGTTTGAATCTCACCATGGTCGTGTGCAAACACCAGCAGGGACAGTTCCTTTAATCTCTGTGCAATCTCATCATATGGCCCACAATGCTCCCCGGCTCCATGAACAATAAACACCAGAGCCCTGAGAAGAGAAGAGGGGAGGAAAAGGAAATATTTATTCAAATCTTCACAAACAGAGACCTCACTTAACCTCATGTTTTCCTCTCTATCTCTTGCACAAAGAGACCCTCCTTAGGAGTGGCATCCACCCAAGATTAAACCTGTTTCGACGAAAGTGTCTTCAGAGATACTGGCTATCATCTGTTTGGATGCCTTAACAAGCCCAGCCCAAAGCAGACACTGAGGGACTTCAGTGAAACTAAATGTGAAGTGACTGCTCCTAAGCATGTAAACCAAGATATGCTTCAAATTTCATGACAGCCCTAACTTTTGTTCATGACTAAAATATCAGCCATTGCAGAGTTAACATAACATTTGACACCTAATGTTTTACTGTCAACGAGAGGTGAAACTAGGGCTGCACGATTTTGGCCAAAAATAAAATCCCGATTTTTTTCTCTCTAAAAAATCAATTTCATTTTTTTATTCAGTGACTTCACCAAACTTCACTTTAATCATAACATTTTTTGCTATTATCTCTCAAAACGAAACCACTGAAAATGATGTCGTGCATATGCCAAGCCAGTAAGTGGCGCTGTAACACTGCCGAGGAAATGCACTAAAGATAGAAGAAGAGTATGGAGCATGTGTATAAAGGTTGTTTTGGCCAGACGTGCAGCAGCCATAAAAGAGTTACGCTCTGTGTCACATAATGGTTTCAAGAGGTACAGATAGACATGGTAGTCGTTTATGGATTTATGCACTCTCTAACCCATTTTCAACAAGTACCATTTGCAGTCACTCAAAATGCTGTTTCCGTGTGGATGAAACTTAAGCATTTACTCCTGAATTCGTTTCTATGTGGATGATACCGCCTTCAGACGGACTTTGCAGCGGGGAGTGGTTTGCTCTTCGTCTAAAACTGCGAAGCCATACCAGTTCCATATATCTGACTTGCTCTTGTCCTGTTTAACCACAAAATTATTGCCTTCTTTTGCAAACGCCATGTTTGTTCACACTGGTGTGTGTGGGAACTGGGGAGCGCTTTTGTAAGGAGGAGAGCCTATGGTGGCCTGGAGGCACGAGACATGATAGAGAGGATCATCGATTTGGCGATTTCAATTTTTTTTAACATCGTCATAATCAAAAAATCTGATTATGATTTTAAGCCAATTACTCGTGCAGCCCTTGGTAATCTTCATTGAGCCCAAAGGGTAATTTAGCATGTGAGTGCACATGGTTCAGAATAAGACTCTGACTCTGAATTTCTTTATTGTCCCACAAGGAGTTAATCGACTCCCAGATGGAGGATTGGCAGTTTGATCCCAGCTTCCACAGTCACATGCCACAGTGTCCTTGTGCAAAACATAGCAGTTACTTTTCTTGATGGTATTGTGAATTTACAAGACCTCATGTCTTTCTTTTCTTTAGAGGTTCATCAATAGTGTCATTACACACAATGCAATTAGCAATTTGTCGAACATGCCCACAAGATGAAGCTACAAACTCAGTTGACTGTCAGAACACATGACTTTTTGGTAAAACAGACTCATTACAAAAGCTAACAGAATAATCCCTTGTTAATTTTCACCAATTAAAGTCATTTCAGTGAGAGCAGAGAGATAATGAAACAGAGAGAGGAAAGGTTAAGAAGGTGTAAAATACTGTATGCTCTTCAAAATGAGGGTTTCATTTCCCTGTTTATGAGAACAAAATAGCATAGTGCTGAAAGAGAGGGTTTTGACTGTAGGTTTTACGTCCTCTATCAGTGCATATTCAGCAGGCAAGCAGCAATGAAACGCTCCAGTGTTCTCTCTCTGAGCAGCAGCAGTGCTCAGAAGTCTGAGAGAGCTTCAATCAGCAGCAGCACACAATTAGCTGAAATGTATTCAGTGATGGAGGAAAGGGTAAAGAAGTGAAACAGGGAGCAAGTGAGTGAGGAAGAGGATGAGGAAGAGCAGAATGAGAGGAGCTGTTCATCAAGCTTCATTAGCAAATCACTCTGATTTCACTCTGCCTGTTTCCCTTCTTTATAAAGCCATCGCCTCGGGCTGAGACTTCCTCTGCACTTGTTGGCTCAGAATGAGTGTGTGCGTACATGTATGAGCATCAGTGTGTGTCAATGCTGTCCTTGTTTAGGCATAATGTTCTGTAACACACATGCCGAGGGGCAGCAGGGGATTAATGGGGCTAATCTGGCTTCATTGTAAAGACAACTGTACATTGAATGTCGCACTATAGAGACCATAGCTGTAATGTGACATCTGAAATTTGTCGTCTTTCTGAGAGACTTTCTACATCCATCACTATCTAAATACCTCTTTTGTCTACTCGATAATACCACCACCCTCTTCTTCCACACTTTTTTCCTCCATATTTATTTTCTCTTAAGTTGCCAGGGAGAAGAGAAGGATAAGGGCAATATATTTATTGACAGCTCACAGTATAATGTATGAAATGAGGATTTCATTTCCCCAAAACTGTCTCTTAGCAGATGTCTTGGTCTGCATTCATTGATTGAAGGGCTCTGCAGAAAAGTGATAATATTCAGACAGCACCAGCATGAGCCCAGCAGTGCACAGACAGCTCACTGTGTCCACTTAGTCGACAGTGTTCTGGTAAAGCTCAAGAGCCATGTGCTCAGTCAGAACAAGTGTTACTTTAATAGGCTCTGACGTTAAGTTAACTCGCCACGACATCAACCTCCTCCCTGCCCTCGCAAGCCAGTCTACTCCCAAAACCTAATACTATTTTAACATGACGACTCTAAAAATATCACATGCCTTTAAAATGTTCTACTAAAAATGTCTCTAAAGTTGATGTTGATGCAGACTTGTGCTTTATTTATCTCCAACACCTACTGCACTAAGGAAAATTATCTAAAATTTCACAAGTTCATCCTGTTGGCAGACTGAGTCCAACAGCCTCCTGTTGTTGGACTCGGTTGAATCACAGTGAATTGGCTAAAATCTTGTTTCAGTTCCTGTTAGGAGTTTTGAGAGGGGTTTAAAACTGACTGAAATTAACACTAAACTCTCTTTATGCCTTTCAATATCAAAACATCCATTTGGAGGCAAAATGGAACTGACCTGTTAAGAAAAAGTCTTGCCTTCTTACTAGGATCCCTTGACAAAGCGACTAGGCGCAGTCTTAAGGTGTTACTTGATGCATCAGCCTGTCCATTATTATCTGACATATTATCTGATATGTAACATTAGTATTTAAATTTTGTGATAAGCAAGAAAACAAGCTTTTTATTCCTCTCTCTCTCTTATTATCTCCTCTCACCCTCTCGCTGTTCTCTCTCTCATCTCTCCTGGGAACCTGACACCAACTCGTCTCCCACACCACTTCGAATTGCTGGAACAACAGGGCTTATAACCAGCCTTATTAAAACACCCAGAGAGAGCCAAAGGGAGTTTTGTCCTTCCTCTGGCTCTTCTTAGAGCTACTCCAAACAAGCACAAGCCCAAAACAAAGCCAAGACCCTAATCCCCTTAATGCTATCCTGACTGGCCTCACTAAGGTTATACAGGTGCTCTCAAACCTTCTGACTGTGTTCAGACGCTAGAATTTGCACCTTCAACTTGGAATTTGAAAGGACATGTAAAATCTGAGGCATTTTAGACATGTTCACTGATACTTACACTTATGAACAGAAACAAGAAAAACGGTGTCATAAATAATGTCCCAGCAAGGTGACAGGTCTTTGAAGAAGCCACAGGCAACTTGTAAGTCTCCAGGTTTTACAGGGTGTCAGATTTCAGGATTTTGAGATTGGATTGGATTTCTGAGCTACATTTTACATTTGTTTTTATTGCAATGTACCTTTTGGAGAAGGATACGTCATGAGACGATTTAATTACCTTTCTTGATGTAACCTTAAATAAACTCACCCCTGTGTTTATTTAACAGTGAAGATCTTGGTGTCCGTGTGCCCAGACTGGGCCAGAGCCAGATGATGGAGCAGAACCACCGAACAATGGCATGTTAATCTGATTAATAAACTGAGACTACTGAGGATGAATGGTATGTGTGTGTGTGTGTGTGTGTGTGTGTGTGTGTGTGTGTGCGCGTGCATTTCTCCTCTCTGATCTTGTGTGTGAGTACAAGAAAAAGACCCATAAGTTGCTGAGCTTTCTTTAATGAGCAGACCAAAGGATGTGTTGTTCCAGTTAGTGTGTGTTAACATGTCCATATATATGTGAGTAGTTGGGCGACCACATCAGTGCTTTTTAGAAATATGGAGGAAAAGATGAAAGGATGAGACTAGAACTGAAGGGGCCTGAGAAGCAAAGATATACATGAGACCAAAAAGCAGCAGTTTTAAAATAAACAGTTCAAAAAAATTAAACTGGAAAAAGAACAACAAAAACTTTGAACTGAATGTAGAGTATTGCAATTAAAGAAGAACTAAAAGTGGTGAAAAATTTTGTAGCAAAGTTGATTCACTATAGACTTGCTATAAACTCAGTCCCTTACTGAGTTTACATTTTTGACTTTTGTGAACTTTTAACCTCTGAATTCCAGGTCATTAAGGAGTGTGCCAGGCTCCAGGGTCAATTGACATCGTTACTAAACTGAAATTAAACTTCTAGGTCTGTCACACTGGAAGAACAAATTTTTTGCCTTTATACTCACATTGTGGGAAAAAAAAGAGACTCTGTAAATCAGATGACTTATTTTCTTAACTTTCCAAGTGAAAATCAAAAATTTCACTCTTTAAAATCTATAAATTCAAGGTCCTTGAGAGCCAGTAGTAAAATTTTCAAGCAGCCAAATTCTTTCCCCTCCAAACTACAGGAAGCTTTGGTGCCCTTGAATAAGAAACTTAACAGAGGTAACATTAGGGGTGGGAATCACCAGTGGCCCCACGACACGATATTATCACGTTACTTGGGCCATGATACAACATTGTTGTGATTATTAACATTTTGCAATACAGTGAGTATTGCGATACAATATATTGCGATTTATACAATTTTTTCAACAGTTTAGCTAATTTAGCATTTGTCTTTTCTTTATGTTTGTCTTATGTACACATTTTTTATAAATCTAATGTGTCAGGTTCATCTAATATTTGCCCTGCTTGCATTCCTAATGTCTTTCCCAGGTGGTGCTATATTTGTTGTATTAACTTTCTCCTGCTTTATGATGTCACCTCTGCAAACCTCACTGGACAAACAATTGATTTTATTTTTCCATCATGTTAGATTTGACTTCATATTAACAATTAATTTTTTAAAAATAGCAATACTTGGTCAATGAGACGATACAATATATCACCAGAAAAAATATAGCAATACTATGCTGTACCAATTTTTTTCTCTCACCCCTAGGTAGCATGGTCCAGTATTTGTCTCAAGTCTCATGTGCCACTGCAACCTTTACAGGGACTGAGCTGAGCCTTTATTATCTTCAAATGTCCATTATGAATACACATGGGTTACTGTTTCCAAACAAGCTTGACATTGGATGTTTTTGAGGGGGAGTAGACCTGATCGACTGTTTCTTTGCAAGCAAGCAAGAGTTAGGGTACATAGTGACATCATATGACACCATACCATACCATGCAACAGAATGTGATTCAATGCAATACAGTACAACAGGATATGAGATGACACGATACAATACCATCCATTCAATCCACTCAAGTGCATAACGTTATAATATAAACGATACAGTCCAACAGTAAATTCTAGGACAGCACATTTGATTGTGCCAGCTGGAAAAATTGTCCTGGGCTCAAAGGCTTTACACATGAAGATGCTAAAAAAGTAATAAAGAAATCCAAATTTAAGATAAAATTGAGATGAATGGTACTCAGAAAGGTCTGTAAGCAGCTCTGTAAAGGTTTGCGATTGACTGGCACTACTGCTTGCTCATGGTCCTCTTGTAGGCTGGATTTGTGCAACTTAAAGCTTTGGCAGCAGTATAACTTAACTTTTATTGTTTGCAGTTTGGAGAAATCCAGATATCTAAGTACTGTTAAGGAAAGATTTTGTCAGACACCATGAATATCCAGATGAAGCTTTGATGTTTTGGAAGCAAATCAATAATATTTGATAGTGATGGTTGGAAAATAAGATGGTATCGGAGAGGGGGTAAACATGACATATAAAAAAAAGACAATAAAGAAAGGATTAAATAGAGGTTATTAGAGACAAGTCACAGCAGAAAACTAAAAATAATAGAGAGGGGAAATTGCTGTGTGATGGAAAGAGATCGAGGCAGAAAAACAACTGGAGGCCACAGCAGGAAAGTTCACAACAGTTGTACAAGGATAAATCAAAGAGAGGCACAAAATCCAAAATGGTCTGCAGCGCAGTGAAAAGCTTCAAAAACTTTTCATTCAGTTCACAATTCCTTTTTTTTTTCTGAGAGCAGTCAATAAACGCCCCTGAGCTCAAGGGCATTTCATGTTTAGTACAGGTGCAGAAACAGGCATAATAACTGGACAGTCATTCATGAATTTCAGCCATCAGGACATATTTATCGTATGAACTTCGACAGGGAACAAATTAAAGACAAGTTACACTCAGAAACTCAGTATTCAATGAAAATCTTCACTGAGAGGAACCATGCATCATAACTTCCACTCGCATGACCTTTGAAAGAATACTGTGTAGACTGGACTTTCACTGCATTTAGATATGTGTATATAAATGGAAAAACATCTAAAAACTAAGAGTATGTTTCACTTTTTATAACATGCCCTGCAATTTTACAACCTCTGACCTACTTGTTGCTAGTTTCAGTTGTTGCTCCTGCTCAACCCTCTTGTTCTCTTGTAATAAGTAGTGGGTAGTACAGCTGTTTTAATATTGTCACCTTTGTTACATTCTCAATAGGTCTCAAGCTGTAAACCCACAGGATGTGTACTGGGCGTGTTCCGTCACTGTTACGTCCCGGTGTAGGTACAAGATGTACCTGTCGCTGCCCGATCCGTCCTGGAAACCTGATTTGTACTGCGCATGTGCGAAACGTATGTCACTTTCTCTCTTCATATTTCAGTGCAATTTACAGCAGTTAGTCATTACAATTGTTACCTACCTGACCTGTACTGCCCAAGTGCAAATTTACGCCACCTTAAACACTTTATTTTAACTACCAATCGATTTCAGAAACCAGCTGGCAATGTGACAGGCTAGCTAGCAGGAGGCTCCAGGGCAAATGCCGAGGCATTAGCCAGGGCTCCTGCCCAGCATGGTGAGACCTTTAGGGCCACAGACTACTGCCACCCGTTCAAAATTATGGTTCTCTGACTTTTCAAAGAATCAAGGGGAGGATATGTGTCATAGGCTGTACTGGGACAGAGGAAAAAGTGCCTAGAAAGTGAATCTCGTTCCACTTCAGTGGGGCAACATAAACTGTGATTCATAAAATAGCTCTATTGTTAGGAAGTACTAAAAAAAAAATCTACTCATGCCATCCAGTCGATTTTTAGTAATCAGTGTTTCAGTGTCGAACTATTTCCTTTCTGCGGCGTAGTGATACTTGCACACGCGCAATCGAATATGCAGAGGGGTGAAGCGATTTTTGTCACATGGACCAATAGGAGCCGAGTCTCGTTGCCATAGTATCAGAAATACACAAACATGGTGACGAGCGCATCTAGCAGCAAGACAAGCGAAGAGGAAGAAAAGAAAAGGAAAAAAAGAAAACAGCCTTCAAAAGTGCATAAAGTGCAAACAAGAACATCGTTCAGTCTCACATTTGGTTGTCTTGCAACTACAGTGGACTATCTGCAAAACACTATCAGGGGCAGGATTTGTGAAGAAAGTGTGAAGGGGCACACATTTTACCAGTCAGAGAATGTTTCATCACCGCTGCTTGGTAGTTCTGGCGAAGCTGACGAGGCCATGCAGAAAGATTTGTATCTGGCATCATTTACATTTTTGGCAGATGACTGGCCATACAGGTGGCACACATAATTACTCAGCATGTTAAAGGTGGATTGGTCAAGGTTAAAACTGTTGCCCAGATTTGCAAACCCAGTCAGGTATTCTTTTTTCTGACAAGCAACAGAAAATGTTTTTCTTTTGCCCTTGCCATGAAAGGCACTGGTCGAGTCACAACCTGTGAATGTATGGATGTTCTCGTATGTCTGCAAGACTATCTTGTACAGATTTATGTTGGTGCCCAGCATGTGAGAAAGCCTCAAAGGAAACAGAAGAAAGAGCTGTATGGGATGATGACTCTGATGAAAGTAATAGTGATGCGTAATATACGCACCATGTCACCATGTACAATTTGTTTTGTGTAAAGGATTGCTACACCAAGATTTGAGATTTTTATTATTTTCATATTTGTGCTACATTTGTCTGCGTTTGTGTTTTGATCTTTATTTTCATATCCTGGAGGGATTGATAAATGTCAGATGTTTTGACACTGTGATACTTGAATAAATGTTTTATACCATATTTTGAATTAATTCAGACCTTTTGTGCATTTAAATTGTCTTGTTACATTTTTTCCATTATTCCAATTTTGGGGGGCGTGGTAGCAATTTGATTGACTTTCAGCCAATTATGACCATGATGTGCTGTTTATATTTTATTGCTTTTATTACACAGTAGGTTGTATCATTTTTGTGTATGAAACATAAGCTTTTAGCTAAATTTACTGTATATATTTCATTGTGCTGGGTGCAAATCACTTGAGTTGAGATGTTTTCTTCAAGAAATTTGCTACATTTCATAATTTGAATTCACTTATGCGTATACTAAGGCACCAATAGCTGTTTCAGATGTTAGGTAGATGTATTTATGACATTTGAGAAAGATTTTGTCTTGCCAGAATCAACATTCAGCAGTTTCTACAAGCAAAAACAGCAGCACCATTTTTGTGTTACTCACATATATGTACATTTCTGGCTGGTCCTTTGTCTCACCCTGTAGAGAAAGCCAATTTCTAATACTAGTTCTGTAAGTTTCCCAACGTGTCCTTATAAAGTCCAGAATGTCTTCACTCTGGACAGATGATTGATACATATAGCATCGTTTCATTCCTTTTTGATGCACTTTTGAAGGCTTTTTTCTTTTTTCCTTTTCTTTTCTTCCTCTTCGCTTGTCTCGCTGCTAGATGCGCTCGTCGCCATGTTTGTGTATTTCTGATACTATGGCAACAAGACTCGGCTCCTATTGGTCCACGTGACAAAAATCGCTTCACCCCTCTGCATATTTGATTGCGCGTGTGCAAGTATCACTACGCCGCAGAAAGGAAATAGTTCGACACCAAAACACTGATTACTAAAAATCGACTGGATGAAATGAGTAGATATTTTTTATTTGTACTTACTATCAATAGAGCTATTTCATGAATCACAGTTTATGTTGCCCCACTGAAGTGGAACGAACCAACACGATCTCGCTCAGCCAATACAACCTATCATTTATTTTATTTATATAAATTAATTGACAAGAAAAATACATATTATGGACAATGAATTTCATTTTTATACAGCGTTTCAATTTCAACTATGAAATATTCGCATTCATTCAAGCCTTGTATAACTATGTTGCAGTTTTACAATTAAGCTCATAATAGGAACCTTTAATAGTGAAACTGGGCGCCAATCTCCTGACTTTCCAGTGCTTTGTGTGGGAAGCATAGAGTTTGAAAATAGACTTGAGCCTATCATCAGCAGAGCAGCACGTCGAGATCCTTCTGACGTGGGGCAGAGGCAGAGCTGCGACGCTTTCTGTGTGTGATACTGCATTAAGTAGAATGGGGACATATTTGCTTCATAGCACACAATGCTGATAAATAGCACTCAACACAGATCCTGTGGGTTTTGGGCTTCGGGCTCAGGTAATGGGATTCTCTTCTGGTTTCTCGGCCTCCACGCTGACTTGAGCATATGTTACTGACACAGCCACTGCTAGCAAGCTTTCTAATGCAGGTTTCAAACAAACTGTAGCTGAATTTATACAAGAATTAAATCACTGTACGTAAAAGCAACAGTGGAGAGAAAATTGAATCTGAAGTGCTGACTCTGTCTCCTTTTTACATTAACCCACAGTCAATAATCACAGCTGGCAAACGCTAACACCTACTCCTGATTTTTATGGGAAGGGAAGGGGCCAATATATTTCAGTGTTTCACTCTGCCAAATTTCCCCCAAAGCGCACATGTGAAAAGAGCCATTACAGAGCTTTTATGTTGGTAAAACGCTCTTCTATCTACAGTATGAGTGGTGCCAAGCTGCAGGAAATTAAACGGTTTGGATGTAGAAACACAAACAGGGAAGGAAGCTGGTGTCCAGACACTATTGGCACAAACACTGATAACAGCACAATGTCCTTACATAAGCCTTGTGTGTGTGTGTGCGTGTGAGTGTGTATGCGTGCATGCATTTGTGTGTTATTACACAGTTTCCTGTGTAATAAAAAGGTGTGTAGCTCCTGTATGGCTGCTATACTACTCCTCTCCATATGGGCTCAAAGCCCCAGCTGGACATCTATTGGAAAATCTGTCAATCATTGTTGATGCCCCTCCCCTCCTCCCCTCTACCTTTCACCTACTTCCTGGTTTCAATAAAAGGCCTTTTCAGGAGCACATGACCTTTCACCCAATCTCATCCTCCCCTTAAGAAACACAGTATTTTATATAAAGATAATTCAAATAAATTCTGGCACTCTGTGAAGTTCAATTTTTTCTGTATTAGAGGCATTTTAGCAAAATCGTAGTACACCTACAAGTGCTGCAAGGTATTTTTTGCTTCTTTTTTTTAAACAGATTAATTTGCCTGGACTAGAAAACTGTGTTTAATACAAAACCACACCTTTTTTTTAGAACTTTTTCATTGATTTGGCATGAGTTTCAATATTTAACTGTTTAACTCTTAAACTTCATCTTTGTCTTGCTGAGATAAACTACCCATAGCTGTTACAGTGAGGTGAATCAATAACTGGCAGTCACAAACAGCGGCCTGTCACCATGGTTACCACATATCACATCTCTACCTGCTGTCAAACTGGCAAATCATCTGCAGTTTCTCAGTTAATTGATGCATCATGCAAAGCCACTCAAACCAAAGTGTCCATTTTACTGGTTAGGGCTTTTTTGCTTTGTCCAAAGTTTTTTTCTAAAAATATGTAAAATATTTGGATCAAAACAAAGAAATGAGTGAAAAGTTCCTTAACTGCTGTTGAATGCCTGCTGGGCTGAATATTTCTTCTCTCGAGATGATGTTTATTGCGAGCGCTTATCACCGCACCAACTGCTACTGTGGTTGATGGACAGCTCCTCTTATCAGGAGAGTGAAATGCTGTCAATGATGCAAATACAGCCTCTAAACCCATGTATGTAATGTATTCAACCTTGCATAAAGCTTAGCATCTTTGAGATGATGGTATGAAGACACCTGCATTATGAAAGCAACTTTGGTGTATACGATAAGTTTTTATTACCAGGGTGTCTTCCTGATCCCATAGCTATATTAAGTACTTAATTCTGATGGTCAAAACCCAAAACATTGGTGGTGAATTCTTAATAGAGACAGGCATTTTTAAGCAGGACAGAGTATAGTGGACAGGTGGTTATGTAACTCAAGAGGACCACAATGCAAAGCAGTGATGTCCTGCTAAACTTATAATGAAGTGTCCTCCATTGTGATGAAGTATTATCTATTGCACCAAAGATTTCACAAATTAGTGTCAGTAACACTGTGTCACATGATGTCAAATTACTCATCTAACCAACAGCAGTGACTTGGATGCTGTGAGTCAGGAGGCTGCATCCATCCAGACCACAGGCAGCTCTTTTGTTGTGAGACATCAGAGTACAGAGGCAGTTTGTGTTAAAACAGGAGGCGTGTGTTTGTATTAGAGAACTTCTTTTACAGTAAAGTGTAGGAAGCATGACAGACAACAGCCTGGAGTGTCTCTTGCTCAGCAGTTTTACAGTACTTTCTGATTATGCTGCATGTACATTGATTTTAAATTAAAAGATTTAAATAGTTACATGTTCTGGAAATGCTTATTTCACTTTGAGCTTCCTAAAACATTGCCTGAAATCACAAATAGATCAAATAAGATGCAGTGGTAAGGGTGGGATTTCACTTTTGTCAGCTTGTTTAACTGCAATAATCCGACCTCACACAGCGTTTAGAGCTGCCAACTCAGCTGAAGAATTTAATTAGTCTGGATCCCAGTGCAGAAGCTCTACATGCAACTTATTAAAGCTTTTAGGGGTCTGTGGGCCCAATTATGGTCAAGTAGCTGAATACTTACTCAGAGGCAAAACCACTGGCATCAGCTTTAAAAGGCAAAAGCCTGTCAGCAGGTTTGACCAACAGACAACATTTCATGGATGCTTCCATGGCTTTCAGTTTGAACTGTGACTGAATGCATTTCTAGAATGGTCACTGGCTGGCCTCCAGTGTGAAAGCTCTTATGTAAGCCATCCAAGTCCTTGGCTCTAAAGCAGATACAACAGTGAGAGATCAGCAGCTATTTTAAGCCTGCAATTAGTCAGCTTTTACTTTCAAATACCATGATTTGCAGGAAGAAATTATTGCTTTTTTGGGGTTTGCAGATTTTGGCTACAAGCAGGAACATTTTTAGAGTTGGCTAATTATTTTAGTATTTTTTTCTGTTGAGAGGCTTTGACAACAGAACTAGAGGCAAAGACAGTGAACCCTGCCACAACATTTGCTGCTCAAATACACAGACATTTATTTACATCAATACAAGCACCTGCATGTGCCATTACAGAAGAAAACAGGGACATACATACCCACACGCCTATACTCAGTTTATGGGGTGATTTTACAGCCCAGGTTCAGACACAGTGTCAGTTAATGAGTCACTGCTCATCTGAAATGTGTTATCCAGCCTTGTGTGTAGCCTAAATATGAGTGTGTATGTGAGTGAGTGTGTGTTTGGGTTATATCTGGGCTCCAGATGTTTTGTGGGCCTCCTGTCTCTGTCACATCTCTTTCCTTCTGTCCTCTCACACCACATGCAACTATGTGGATTGTAGGTGTGACATCTGTGTTGTGTTTCATGCACATGTGTGGAGTGTGCAGAGAGTTCAAACAGATTAAAGCTTTATGGGGAGGCCCCCCATTGCAGATCAGCTAAAATACCCTATTTTACTGAAAAATTGTGTTTTTTCTGTGGCTGGACCCATTTAACAAATATCTGTGTCATTTCATGTCTTTTTAGGGGGAAAACATTTTGAAAAACACTTTCTCTCACACCAGAATGCTTGATGAGTCAGAATCTCAGGCTCGTTGGAAACAGAGCTACTCATTAGGGTTGGCAAAATCATTTAAACTCACTACAAGGAAAAACCTAAATAACACAAGTATTTTTAGGTTTGAGGACAACTATGTTCATGGCTGATGGTCATAATTTTCCTTTGCATGGAAAGATGGGCTTTTCATAGGGTATTGTGTATTTGTTACTCAAAAAAACTGCTATCTGTGCTGGAAAGTCGCTGCTTGTATTATTCTTTGAGACCAATATCCACAGAGAGCCATGAACTTTTTTTTTTGCATATCATATCAATGCATGCCAGTCATTCTGTAATGCAATTTGTTGACCTCTCAGTTTGATTTACTTGGTTTATAGAGGGGAAAAAATTCTATAACCTGAATGAAAATTTTTACTGATTTGGGATGAGTATTTGGATACACATTTGAACAGTTAAAACAAACCTTAATTATTAATTCAAGGCTTTCCATGACATTATTTGTGTCTGTGATAAAACGATGCAATCTAAACCCATATTTGTTTTTCTTTATTTTCAAGCCTGATTATCTGAGTATAGTATGAGCTCTCCATGCACAGTATTTGCACTGTTAGGTATACTGTGTTGACACTGTTTAAAGCTCTAGTGATAAACTTTTGGTTTATGCTTATTTTTTGTGCCTCCTTTGGAAAATAGCATGAATTTCATTTGCTGTTCTTCTCTTTCAGATGTTGAAGACATATTTTCTAATCAAATTTATATCCTTCTTTATTTTAAGTACCTTAGATAATACTGGAAATAAATCTTACGCATGGAAATTTTGGAAAACAGCAGTTTGTGCAAGGAGTTGTTATTTGGTGACAGGCAGATACAATAACTGAAATCTAAAGGCTTTTTCCTGTTGGCTTTGTTTGCTCTTTGGGGTCATGCAGTAACATTACTATTAGTATCAGACTGTCTCCGGTGGAAGCTGATCAATAAAGGACGCTATAGGGCACCACTCTACAACCCCTACAAGAACAGCAGAACATTACTAAATATGACTTTAGGGGAAAAAAATTAAAATGTTGTTAAAAGAGATGTTTATGGCAAAGCCAGACATTATGCAGTTTGTGACTTAATTGAATAAGCTGTCATTGACATGTAGAATGGCAGCAAATGGGCTATGTCCCTTTGATTGTGATATGAAGAAAGTTGTTAAAGGCTGGAGTCAAAATGAGAGGGACTAACATAATGTACAAAGAAAACCCAGAAAATAACACTGCTGAGAGGTGATCTTTGCAGAAGAAGCTGAGAGTTAAAGAGCTGGGACTCGATCAGCCAAGAGTTGCACATCAAAGTTGAAATAAAGACCTAGTTTACTAAGAGGGCACTGTTACTAGCATGTAATAATGCTAATGCTCTCTGCCTCCTTTAAAACGGAGGATCTAAGAATAGATTCAGACAGTATAACAGTTGTAATGTTCCTTTTACAACATCAACATCACAAGGACATCACTGGGAGGCACCTTTGCTTTGGTCAGTTGAGAAGACAACCATTTTTGAGCTCCTGTATTTTCTTTTTCTTTGATTCTCAACTCAGTTAACAGTGAGTAACGTGAGACTTCTTTGCCATGTATGATGTAGCGTGGTGTCTTGCTCTATACAAAAGCAACTGCCGTGAAGATCCTGGTAACCTCTCTTGTGGACGCGCTTTATTTTCTGCTCACACCGCCACTCAGGAACCAACTGTTACAACAGGCACGGGTTCATGTGAAAGCTGTCATGTTCATTCAGAAAATACAAAAATTGCATTTTCTTTTACTTCGTGCATGGTGTAATATCTGTTGTCACAACTTATTGGGAATAAGTACAACTCAGATGTTGTTTAGCCTGCAGCCAACAGCTGTCACTGTTCATTATCATTTTAAAAGTCCTCACAGGATCTTTAACTTGTTTAATGGTCCGAATAAGTAACTGTTCTTGGTTCTTCCTTCTAACGGGGTCACGACCCAGTATGAGTCTCTGGTGCGTCTGGTGTCTCACAATGAAAAGATTAACATAATTATGTTTTTAACGAGGTTGGACCACGGAGTGAGATTAAACCCTCCAGATTTACTGCTCACTACAATAGAATTATCTTGTTTTGTCCATCTTTTGCCATTTCATTTTGAGGTAGGAGATGTTTTCATCTTGGTTATGGACCACACATAAATTGCATATTTAAGTACCAGGTCAAGCATGGCATAATTTTAGAGTTATTGTAAAGATTATATAACCTTTTGTTTAAAAAAAGCAAAAACATACATTTATCACTGCTGAGTAACTGTGTCACAGCTGAAAAAACTATCAGTCAGTAACACAGGTCAGTGTTTCCCCCTTAATAGGTTTACAAATCTTAATCACATGTTCCTTGTTGATGATTTCACTTTTGGCTTTACATAGAGGATTAGAGGTGCTGATGGGACAGCTGTTTGACCACAGCATACCAAAGTAGCTCAAACCTCGGTCTCCCTCTTGGAGTAGCCTCTTAAACTGGAAATACCGGTGTAACACCAGCCAGGCAGTGTGTGCTTTACTGTGTAGTGTCGTTCAGTGGAAAGCTTAACATGCAAAGTCTGCAGAGAGAGCCTTCATATCATGTGACTCTAAGTTTTAAAACAACCATGTGAAAAGGTTCAGTTTCCTCAACAGCCGACTACAGTTTGATTAAACATCTCTAAAAATGGACCAGGCTACTCTTGTGCCAGGCTTCTCTATCCCACAGATGAAGCTTGGTGCGCGCAGATGAATAGGATAGATAGGCACACATGCACACTTCAAGCTAGTTTTCCGCTTTATTCCTCACTCACCTTGGCTGGCTGGTGGGCTCCCAGTAGCGGCAGAACAGGTGCAGTCCGTCGGCGTTGACGATGTGCTGCAGCTCGGTGTAGGGGACTCCCTGCGGGCTCTGCCGCGGAGAAGCTCCCGGCTCGGGCATGGGGAGGTCTGCAACAGAGACACGGAGCAGAGATAAGAGCATGTCGCTACCGTAGAGGTAGCAGCTGAAGCCGGCGACGAGCAGGCAGGTGGCGGCGGTCAGCGCATTCATTGTTCAGTGCCAGTTAAAAGTGGAGTTATTTTAGTGTGCGTGTTGGCCATGCAACGGGTATGATGCGGTTTTCAGGTTTCTATGCGGTATCAAATCCCGAGGAATACATAGACGTAAACACCCATGGTCACATACACACTCACACAAACCACACACACGCAGCAATATTGTCAAAGCGTCCGACCGGCGTTACGTCACAACACCATATGCTCTGCTTTCCACAAGGTCTCTCTCTCTCTCTCTCTCTCTCTCTCTCTCTCTCTCTCTCTCTCTCTCTCTCTCTCTCTCTAATTCATTTTATATTAACCAATTTACTCTAAAACCTGATTATAATTATGACTTACTGTCGGAATTTCCGAAGATGATGAATATCTATGAAGCTTAATATGATTCAGTGTTCAAAAGAAGCTGGAAATAGCCCACCAACAGCTGTGTTGTTTTTTTTTTTACCTATAAATAAACTAAGAGATTAAAAAAATATATAAGTAGATAAACACATTATGCCTACTGATAGGCTAGGATGTAAAATTCGATGCATGGTAATTCAGTAACAAGGAACCAAATTAAATAAATAAATAAAAAAACCTCAGTGAGTTAAAGGTTTTGTTTACTCGACTTACATCTAAAAAGAATAAAATTAAAAATAGATTATTGCCACTCATACACCTGTCTGTTGCATATCCTATGTTTGAGGCTATTAAGACTACAGAGCTGTTTGAGGCTACCACACTGTAGCCACAGCTGTAAAAGATTAAAAAAAACTTTTAATTTCTTTACGCCTCTACAAACCTTGAGAAGCTGTACACACTTACCATTTAAAAATGTGCACATCTCTTACTATCGCTACACTTAAGTGTACCCCACCACCACCACAGCCACCACCAACCCCCTCTCTCTCCTCTCTTCCTCTCGCTCTCTCGCTGTCTTTCTCAGCCATTACCCATGAGGTTTCCCTGGCTTCAGGTCCAGCTGGATACACACTGTATTAATGTTAACAGCAAGTGCGGGATTACAATAAAGATGACAGCGTGTGTGTGTGTGTGCCTGACACACACAGGAGGTAAAAATAGTCTAGGCGTGAAGCTATTTCCTGAGGTGATCAGGTGTCGTCTTACAGGTCTGTCAGGTTGAGTGTCCTCACAGGGTTGGACCTCAGTTTTTAAAAGGGTTAAAGCCAGTCATTGCTGGTCAATTGCACGATCTTCAAATCGTGTTCATGCATGTTTGAGCGCACGTTGCTTCAATCCATCTTCCTGCGCTGGGGCACCTGCCTTTGTTTTGATTGGACATTGCTATCATTTATCATCGTTTTGTGATCAACAAACTGCGGATAAACTGTGTGCTTTTCGACCCATTCTTACTTGCTCAGTAACAAGAAACATTTCGGATTTGCAGCCAATTTTGTGAATTAGCCATCAGGTGACAGGATAATAACACAACACACGAATCACAGCGAAATAGTTCCTCAGATGTGTTTGTTACCACTTGTCTTGTAGCGGTGGCTGGATCGATATTTCAAACTGCCCTCATAAAACATGTGTGAGCAAAACGTCCTCTTTGTTTCCATGTGTGCTGCAATCAGCAGTTTCCACCTTCATGCACATGGAAAAAAAAACTCTTCATAACGATGACTATTGGCTGTGTGCTTGCAGAGAATACAAACGTTTGCAATGCAAGTGTCTCCAATGAAGCTGAAGCCCCACACAGATTCATTTGGTTTGACTGATGATATCTATATTAGTGGCCGTGGTGATGAACGCGCGCTTTACCCACCACACATTAACATCAACCATTTATGGATTAACGACAAGTTACCTCGGTTTGGTAGAGCAGGAGCAGTGAGATTTCATGATGATACATGAGATGAAAACACTTGCGTCCATGAGTAAGGTCTGATGAGTCCCTCTAACATCATGTTAAGTGGCTATGAGCAGAAATGAGTGTGATGAGAATAACATAGAGATGGAACAGACCTGTGCAAGAGCGTCTGCTGTGAAGTTTCAGCTTCTTCTCGGACTCTGCTATCCCACTCTCCCTCTCTCACTCGCGGTCCCCTCGCTCTATGTATTATCCTCTCTCTCTCTCTCTCTCTCTCTCTCTCTCTCTCTCTCTCTCTCTCTGCTCTGCTCAAGACGCCCGCCTCGAGAAGAATGCACTGAGAGCGACGTTTGGGGAGAAACCAAATAAGTATCCCCCCCCCCCCCCCCACGCACCCACCTCAACACACACACACACACACACACACACACACACACACACACACACACACACACACACTCTCTCTCTCTCTCTCTCTCTCTCTCTCTCTCTCTCTCTCTCTCTCTCTCTCTCTTTCTCTCTCTCATACACATCACACATTTTCCCCGGAGGCGGAGACACAGCTTCCCCTCTGTTCGTCCCTCTTCCCTCAAAACTCCCCATGCTTGAGTCCACATGGTTCACATTTTGTACATAGCGAAGTCATTGATATTTATTAATAGAATCACGTGATGCTCAACCACCCGGTTCAAAGCTTCCACATGATGAAACAACATTCTCGATCCTAAGTCACATTGTAAATCAAAGGTCCCTGCCCTTCAAAACGAGCAAAGTATAAACAGATGAAGGTATGTCACTGGATGACTGTGATAGATATGCAAGGCTGTCTCATTAAAGGCCTTGTAAGGAGATAGCAAAATGTTGCTCCAAAACCTGTATTGTTCAGCCTCAAGATGCCTTCCCAGATGAGTGAACTAACTGACATGGGCACTTATTCATCTCAGTGCTATCGCATATACTGGCTTTTCAACTGTGTGCTGATAAAAAGCTGGTTGGTCCAGAGCGTCAGCTTTTGATTTGTCAGACCACAGGACAGTTTTACACATAGCCTCAGTCTACGTTAAATAAGACACCAAGAGTGGTCACTGTGTCCCTGGATCATTCTTGTGGATGGTGTTCTCTTTGCTTGGTACAGTTTTAGCCTGAATTTGTGGCTGCAGTGACAAACTGTGCTCACAGACCATGGTTTTTGGGAGTGATTTTTTGCCCTTTGAACAGAGATTTCTCCAGATTCTCTGAATCTTTAGATAATGTGCATCCTCAAATTCTTTGCAGTTTCACGCTAAGGAGTATTGTTCAGAAATTCTTAACCTATTTGCTCACGCAGTCATTCATTTAAGGATGAATCTCTTTCCGTCCTTACTTCTGAGAGACTCTCTCAAATGACTTTTTATAGTCTTGTGAAACTAAATAGTTGGGGGGTGTTCCTATTGGTGTCAATTTTTCAATATGACACAACTTTTTTAGTGTTTTGTTGACCTTGATCCTTATAATTGAAAAATGTAGCATCAAATTTAATATGTCCTAGTATATTAATTTTCAGAAAACAAAGCAAATAAAGGTCGGTTCCAAAAACTGAAATGCTGTAATTTTACTTTTTTCAGTCAAGATGAGGTTTCAAGATTTAGAAACAAAATGAAATCTGTATGATCAACATTTGATGCAGTGGCTAAACCCTTTTAGAAGATGGATTGTATAAACACAGCATTGGCCTCATAGCTGAAGTCATTATAATGACCCCTTCCGCCTCAGCTTCAGCTACTTAATAATCCCTCCACCAGTCTGGATGTCCTGTCATAATGCTTACAGAGGCCAACAACCTATAGGGGGCATTTTTGGCCCAGACCTTTCATTTTATACCTGGGTGAAAAGAGTAATGCAATCTAAATTTGCATAACTGAGACAATTAACCTTTTTCTTCCTGACTTTAAAACATTATCCATGCATATATTTCTTCCAGACTCAAGACTATCACACTGTGTGTTATTTTGGTAGCATCAAACATGACATCGAAATGCTGCAATGAAGTCAAAATAGTGCTGCAATGGTTTGAGCCCATGGTGATAAAAATGACCTTGCTGCATTTTACTCACCACCTTTGCGTTTGAAAACTGACTTTTATTGCTTATTCTTAAAGGCTTTTATGGCCAGGCCCCTGCTTTTATATGTGAGCTGTTAATCCCTTCGAACCTGACCACAGCCTGAGGTCAGAGGGCACAAATCTTGACAGGTCAAGAAAAGTAAAGGAAAATTTGTTATCAGGATTTCACAGCTGTGGAACTCCCTACAGGACCTGCCTGTTAGGACAGCAAACTTACGGGCAAAACCCACAGGATCCAGAATGGCTCTGCTCCACTCCGGCATGGCAGGTGGATCAAATCCACCAGCATTATAATAAAATGAGTGTCATTCCACAGAATCCCTCTGGCTTCGCTGCGGATCAGCTCTGGCGGCTGGATCAGATACGCAAGGCTTCAATTTTTGCCGTCAGAGTTGTCTTTTAAACCTCCTCCCAAGGTAAACTTTGCCTGGCTTTTTCCCCATGTTTTTATTTCATGCACAGGAACTTGTTTCCCCCCTTTTTTAAGACATTTTGCTGGCAATTTATCAAAGTGCTTTATTATAATTAAAGATATTACTATCATTGTATGACCTTACACAGCTGTAACAGTTTTGAGGAAGGCTGGTAAACATCCGTATAAATGATGCATGTCTCAATACATCAAGAGATTGCTTGAATAAGTGCTCTATGACAGAAAAAAATCAATCAACTAATGAGAATGACCAGAGGGGTGTAAACCTGATGTTTTCATTTCACTAACTGTTGACAGAAATTATCTCTGTTTGCAAGAAAACCTGTCAGGGCACCGACAGGAGGATGTAGTTAACTTGTTGGTGAACACATCCTGTAGACACAGCGCGTCAGAGCACCTACTCAGCATTTGCCAAATCAACAAATTCAGGTCCAATGTACTGTTGAAATTCCATAACTGTTGCAGGATGAACACACAGACTGGATTGTCTGAACTGCTAAGATTGAGACAATTTCAATGCATACCTGCCTTGTATCTCACATTAGCCATGCCAACATTTGACCTGCCTGGCAGACCCCAGGATACTTAAGCTCTGCATGAGTATGAAATCATCTGACTTAGCTGACTGCATGCTAGCTGTCAGATAGATTGGGATCATTTAGGTAATAATGGCAGCAAGCATCATGATGACTGAGCAAGGAGGGAAAAAAGGGGTATGAAGTGGCACACACACGCGCACAGGTCAAACAGGACTTGACATCACTTCAATAGATAGATATAATACAGCTGTTCTGCAAACTTTTTGGAAACCCTGACAAGGTGATAAAGAACCCAACACACCTATGTACTCAGAAAACCTAACCTTGCTTTCAATATTTATCTTGAAATTATTCTGTTTATTCAATGAGCTGAGTTGGTTGTCATTGCAGACTGATGGTGACGTAGGTCAAGATAAAACATGTCCTCATCCAGTTTTCTGCCTTGTCACTGTCAGGTGTGACATTTTCCATCCATCAGTCCTTCAAATGGTGTCTGATAAATATTTATCAGACACCATTTGAACTGAAGATATAAATATATTTATATTTTTATCTTCAGTTCTGTAGATCTCTTGTCTCTCACCACATCCTGCTGTTTTTGTTAGTGGTCAACCGATAATAGTTTTGTGAGAGTAGGTCAGCCTGTGGGTGATTTACAATGCAGGTATCACGTATTTATGTTGTTTTTTTTCTATTTTTGACACAATCCTAACAACCCTAAAACAGAATTGCTGAATTTGAGTGAACATCTAATTTTATTTGATTAGGAATATTCATTTCATTTAGTTCAGATCGATGTGACACTGGCCTTGTGTTGATATGACACTGGTTGGTTCAAAATGCCAAACTGTTGGCTGGTTTACGCCACCGTTAATTAAATGGATCCATTGCTTCTCCTGCCTTTTCTCTGCTGTTTGTCTCTTTTCTTAACTTTCATGTGTGTCAACAAAGAAGCGTCAAATGTTGTGTTGTTTGTGCATTCATTTGCAGTTATTCCATCAGAGTCTTCACTTGGCAAGTTCTTTGTGAGAAACTTGATCTTTTGAAATCTGCACTTAAATCCAAGTTTACTGCAGTGAATGTATTTACTGGAACATCTAGTTGTTTCAGTAATGATTCAGACTGTCCCTGTTCTTATAAACAATGAGTCACTGTACCTGTTTGTAGTTAGCAGATGATTGTTGCAGCGTCATATCTTCATGCAGCACTGATAATTTGTCTCCTCCCACTTCTGTAAGTGCTTGCAGATACAAGCTCACAAAATAAATATTTTATTATCCCTGGAAAGAAACAAACAGCTAAAACAGATGAAAAGTGATGTGCAAGTTTCTGTGGGAATCATAGTGGACTGTATCTGTAAATAATAAGCATGTACTTATATGTTGGGATAAATAGGAATTCCAAATGATGCATTGTACATTTGTGTGGGAGCTGCAGTGGTGGTCATGGGTTTGACACTCATTGTGGTGACTTGACACATGATGCAACCATATACTGCACTGTTTCTCTATCTGTCTTAAGTGAACACTTGATCTGCATCTGTCTCTTCACCTCCTTGAATAGCAACAATGAACTCACCAAAAAGGCAGGTTGTTGGAAACAGGAGTTTTACTGTGACTGAAGCAGCCATACTACTCAAGCATATTTTGCATCTATATTTTATGCATCAGTGTGCTCAGCCCGGATCTTTCCTGAGGTATTTAGAGATTTCCTGTCATTACATAACTGAATACAAATGTCCTCCTTATATTAAAACTGTCTGTGTTGAAAAAGAAGTGATAAGAGAAGCATCTGACTACATTAACAGTTTTTATTTTTCATTAAAATACAGCAACATTGAAAGATTTTTGAATTTTCACAAATGCATATTCTATTTGGAGAGAACTTGGTGAAAAGCAGCATACTGTAATAATTCCACATACAAAACAGGCCTGAAACACACAATTGAAGGATATCAATCTTTAGTTTGTTTTGTCATAGTTTGTCATTTCTTTGCATATAAAGCATATTTTGCATCTATATTTTATGCATCAGTGTGCTCAGCCCGGATCTTTCCTGAGGTATTTAGAGATTTCCTGTCATTACATAACTGAATAAAAATGTCACCCTTATATTAAAACTGTCTGTGTTGAAAAGAAGTGAAAAGAGAAGCATCTGACTACATTAACAGTTTTTAATTTTTCATTAAAATACAGGAAAATTGTAAGATTTTGGGATTTTCACAAACGCATATTCTATTTTTTCAATTCTATTTTAAGTAAAAAGCAGCATACTGTAATAATTCCATATACAAAACAGGCCTGAAAAACACAATTGAAGGATATTCATCTTTAGTTTGTTTTGTCACAGTTTGTCATTTCTTTGACACCCCCACACTACACACACATACACACACACACACACACACACACACGCACGCACGCACGCACGCACGCACGCACATAAAAAGATGCCTATATACCACCTAACTCTGAATACTTTGTTGTCTTATACTTGCACCCAGTTGTTTTTCTCTGCACCTATTATTTTCATGTAGGTCTGAAGCTTTGAATATTTGATGAACAAGAGTTTGAGTTGCCTGAACCCAGCTGGATACAATCCTCCTGTATTCAGTGTCAGGCAGATCTTTATATTATCCTCCATGGTTCCTCTCAGGCCTCAGAAATGAGTCCCTGTGAAGTTCTGTGAAAAAAATGGGACAGAAGAGATCAAACATAGATGGAGAACCAGAGGGTGAAGGAGACACATACCAAGATGGACAGGGAATGGAATAGCCAAATACCACACTGATTTTTAAAATATGTGCAAGACTTCACTTTCTCTCTGGCATGAAAGTCTTGGCAGAGGAGACACAGGACTGAAGAGGACTGTCAAAATTTAGTTTGGTGTATTGTCTCAGCAAGCATCAAACTCTTTTAAATCGTATGTCTTCACTTTGCTCTGTGTGATTCTGGCATTCACTGCATGAAACAAAATTAGATATTGCTTCACTAATGGGCCTCTAGTATGAATGTAGTGCTTGAATGCTTATATGCTTGCGTGAGGCTGTATACTTGTTCTTTGATGATGAGATATGACTTGAATTTCATAAAACAGATTCAACTTCAGGGAAATGAACTAGTTCAGTCTTGTCATAACTCTAAAAAACCTTCATATCATATAAAACAATTTTCGCATGCATATATTAACATGTTGAAAAGCATGCTTTCACTAATCTAAACATGTCTGCAGCCATGTTTCCCTATAAGTCCATTAAGGCTATCTGGACATCAGCTCTCTCACATCCTTGGTATTTTTGTATCCCCTTGTGTATTTGTGTTTGTCTCTCGCCTTGAAATGCCGTAGCTCCTGTAAACTGTGTGTTTCATGGACCATTGCCACATCTTTGTTCTTTGTTAGCTCTCTCCATGGGAGCAGAAACACAAAGTCACGCACCCAGCTAAATTCTTCAACAGAACAGGCAGAGCAACTAAAGCACATTGGCTGAATGATACACTACCTGCATGCAAGTGCTGATGTATAAATGAGATAAACACACACACTCACACGATCACAAAGTTCAACATTACATTGAAACTGAAATGTTTGTAATTCTGTGTTTAAAACCTCAAATAATTTAAATTAAAATTCCATCTTATATGAAATACTGTTTTGAAATATAGATTCTTAGCCATTCCTAACCCCAAACCATCTGACAGGGTGTCATCAATCACTGCGCACATTTGACTAATTTCCAATTATCATACATTACTCTTCCACATGAGGCTGCTGAGTAGACTGAGCTGTTTCCCCTGGCATGTATAAGAGCAAATAGTAGGGGAGAGTAGGGTAACATGAGCCATTTTTCATATTTCGGATCACTACATCAAGGCAATCATAGTTTCCTCTCTAACTAGTATATCTGCATGTATTTCAAGATGTTGTGCATCCTTGCACACCAACAGAATGAGTGTAAACATAACTGTCTTGATAATATAGCATGCCAAAAAAAAGTGGTCTCCTATGGGTGCACTACTCCCCCCCCCAACTCTCCCCCCCAGCCCTCCCTCACCTTCTCTCTCCCTAAATAACAGTCACTTCTTCACATTCATGTATATTTTTTATCTATTATACGCTTTCAACTGGTACAATAAATCTTTTTATTATTGCTGTGTGGTAAAAAAAAAAAAAAAGCCATTTTAACATGAGAATGTACTCATGTACTATGATGACTTTATTAGTCCTCTAAGCTAAAATGGTGGACTTCTATCTTAGGTTTTTGACCTCATGTTGTAGCTCATAGATACCCCAGTTGATGGATAAAACAAATTTAAAATGATCTCTTTTGGTCTGAACACAATTCCAATAAAACTTATGACAGACTAAATTCATTTTCAAGAGTGAAAAATGTTTTTATGGAAATTAATTCTAACCCCTTCACCCATGTGCTACTAACCTTCACAGACTCCATGAATTGATGCCCATCTCCTAAATATTTGGTCACATGATCACTTTCTTTGACCATTTCCAAGCTACAGGGGGTGGCTCAACTTACCCTTTTCCTCAACTTACCCTACTCTCCCTTATACCAAATACCAAACAGACAAATTAAGGAGATAAACATGTTTAGCTTCAGTCCCACAGAAAACATTATGAACTGGGGTGATCATTTTGGGTGGACTTCCACTTTGTTTGTTCCTAGTGTAAATCCTCTATGATAAATGATGTGCATTGTACAGTTCATCTTACCTCATATAATGGCTTTTCTTGGCTCTGTGTTATCGAGGACTGACAGTGAAGAACAGCATCATGGACGGTAGTGAAAAGACAAGATTTTGTCACTTTGTCATTAAAGAAACCTCCAGTCTGCAGGTTGTCCACCACACCGGCTAAAGAGAGAGATTGAGTGGATATCATGAGTCTATGAGAAGACCCGGAACAGAGGATACACTGTGACAACTGAAGCCCATAAAGTGGACTAGAATAGAGAGATACAGGCTGAATGTGGTTTTTAGTCTTGGCATGGATTGAACCTTTTCATTATTCCTGGCTACATAAATATTTAGTGCAGCCTGTTTTTATACCCTATCAGTCACAAGACACATTTTACCTCATAACAGGCTATCAACTCTGTGCAGCCAAATTACCGCTGCTTAACAGCTGCTAATCATCTGACACGGACTCTGGCTTCTAGCATTGTGTTTTTTCTTCCTGCAGACCCACATTTTTATCTTTTGATCCAAGTGAGTCATTCCAATTTAGTGGGATAAAAAAAATGAAAATAAACACAGAAAATAGATGCTTCATTGTAATAAAAACAAAATTGTTGTAACCTTTCCTTAGAAGCCAGCATTTCATATTACACCAGACTAAGAAAACCTGGGAAGCATACCAGCTATGGAGTCCTTCATGTTACAACAACAGGAGAAAACAGCTAAAATAGCATCCAGTGTTGTTGAAAGAAATCAAATAGTGTGTGACTGGGTGGGTCTGAGCGTGATTGTTAAAAATACATCCTTGTGGGTGCTGCAGGATGTGGGACAAAAACTCCCAGGAGGGTTTTGTAATATTTGTGAGAGTTGTCAGAGGATCACTTACATCTACGATGAAGCAGAGGAATGTTTTAACAGAGAGTTAAATGAAGTGTCAAGACACTTAATGTAAGAATGTAAGAAGATGTGTTTTTCCAGGAACACTGATATACCTACAGAAGAAGATCATCAGGTGTAAACTGTCTCCAGGATGTTTTTCTTATTGATTATTTAAAACACTGAGAGACATTTAATACTTAAAAAAACTCTTTTCCAGGAATTTTGAGGGACTTACTTTGGCAGCCAGCGAGAACCACCTCTATACCAATCTGCCCGTAATCTTTATGGATCTGAAACAAACACATAAGACAGTCATTGAGGAGGTATTTTCATCATCATTTCATTCATCTGACATTTGACTTTACATTGTTTACATGCCAGAGGAGCTGAAGGATCATGAAAAGGAGAACCAAGTTGTAGTTGTTTTCTCTCTCAGCTCATATCTGGCACTTGGTTCTTTTATACCATAATAGGATTAGACTCCATTATCTTCAATTTTCCTTTTGGAAAAATAATCACACATTTATTTGATAAGGAACTTAGAAAAAGGTCTTTGGTACAATGTATATAGATTATAAAAAAGAGTCTTTGAAATGACCTGTTGTCTTTGAAATGGTTTTACAGCCTCAATTGAAAAAAGGTGAAACATTGTGTAAAAAACAGCATGTAATGTCTAAATGTGATTTAACATGTATTGAATTGATTAAAAAAAAAAAAAAAACAAGGATAAGATTGAAATGCTAATGCCAGACACACATTTTAGAAATTCTTTGGACATGGAAGAAGTTGTAAAGGGATTCTTAGCCCATGTGGTGATTTCCAATACAGAGTCATGTCTGTTTCAGATCCAGTGCTGCTGAAGATCACAGCCATTAAGTCCCAGGTTCTAGTTCTGTTGCTTTTGTACATATATTTTATCTCTGAATGATATTATGAGCTGTAGATGATGAAATCCCTGAATGCTTTACAAATGACTGATATGGGATGTCATTCTGAAGTGGTTAAATTATTTGCCTAAGCAGTCTCTCACAAGGTGGTGAACCTTTTCTTGTCTTTACCTCTGAGACTTGGCCTCTTTTTGTACTCAGGCATGTTTCTAAGCTGTTGCAAATGAAACAAATATAATGGGAGATGTTATTCAAGCTGTTAGTGTTTGTTTGCTTTTCAGCATTGCACAACTTTTTTGGTGTCTTAATGTCTTGTCCCAACTTTTAATTAAAAAAAGTAACCATTGCATTTTCAGTTGAAAAGTAAGTATGACTGATTTACAAACCCCTAAAATACAATTTTATCAACGGCATCCCACTTTTGTTATTTATCAAAAACATACAGCTGTTTGAAATTTGGGTTTGTCCATGGCAAGCCCAAACTTGTCCATTTAATTTGTGTACTCATTTTACACTAATTAAACTCCTAATTAAATCTTTCATATGGTATTGATGATGTATTGTGCATTGGCTGCTCTGTCCTTACACCACGCAGTGTCTTGACTCCCACAGTGTCAAGGAAGTTCACAGGGCTGAGGTCAAGGATGATGGCTCTTGGAAGAGAGGGGTTTGGCTCCGGGTCCATATCAATAACAGCAACATCTCTGTGCTCCTTCTCCTCTGGCTCCACCTCCTGCACAGGAGGAGATATGACACAATGAAAAGTTGCTAATAGGAGGTTAGTCCACCAAAGAGATAATGAATCACAATCATAAGAGATCATTTAGAGGTTTAAGAGTATTTAATTTTCCCTTTAACTTTGACGTAATTGCTTCTTTCACACATGCAATGCACAATTCCCAACCTTATCCAAGTTTTGGCCGTATAAGTTCATTCAAATAATGGCATCTCTCGATCTAATCTAACTTCGTTCAGTTTTTTTTTTCTTCACTTTTAGCCCCTAGGTAAAATGAAGAACTCAAAAAACTGTAGTGAGCAGCAGTTCATTATCTGCTGTATGGTGCTTGTGTTAACAATATGCTCCTGAAAATATCAGTGCCTGTCCTGAAATAATCCAGAAATATCAGGAGTTTATGTGTGAAGGCGGCTTAAGAGATCGCTTTTGAAAAAACGTGCTGTATTTGGAATTTGTCAAAATGACATTTCAGCTATGCAGGTGTTCATCACATCAGGAAAAAAAAAAAAACATTTTCACAGAATATCTCATCTTTGGTCAACCTCACCATGCCCACACTATTCTTCTTTGCATCTTTTTTGGCTTTTCTGGCATTTTTCTTCTCATGCCTTTTTCTTTTGGCCTCAAGTTTCTTCTTGGCTGACAGGATCTTGGTTATGTCGAAGCCGGACTGAAAGAAACAGCAGAAGACAATCAGGTGATTTATGCTTTTTAAAAGTCAAACTTGCTTCTTCCTGAGGTAGCTTGCATGGGCTGCTGTAAACTTTCTCCCCTGTCATTAAAATAAGAAACTGATTCATCGATTCAGGAATTATAAGAGGTCTTGAGAAATTCAGGTTTGCATAAAGATTCCTAAAACTACTACCTTATGTGGAAACCTGTTACATGCCATATTAGTCACTACTGTGCTACAGCAGGGGAAGACTGACAGCAGTAGAGCAGATGTGACATAATACTGTTCAGACTACAGTTGAAAGATGTCCATTGCAGCTTAATGTGCTCTTGCATCTAGTATATGGTCAGATTAAGCTCATCATCATCAGTCAAAAGAACACCAACAGTCATTTCAGGTCTAGCCTGTTAAGCCTGTACTGACTAATCTCCGTCCTCAAAACTTAAATAACAGTTGAGTCAACAAAGCAGGTGCAGCAGGTAACAGCCTGAGAGAAAAATGTTCGGCTTTTCCACACAGTTGTAAAAGAACAATCCCTGAAGGAGAGCCTTGAAGGCTGACTCAGGAAAGCTCAGTGCCTTCATTTGACAAATAGCACTATAAAAGACCGTTTCTACTCATTGGTCAATATTAAATGCTGATTCAATGCCACTATCCTCCGTTTTAAAATCCCACTGTGAACATTGGCAATCTATAACAGAAAGAAAACAAGGTACATAACAGCCTTTGAAAGCATTTCAAACAAGCTTGCTACACTGAGCAACAGCCACACAGCAAAGCAGTGCCGTGAGTAGATGAAGATTCTCAAATAAGACTGAATGAATAAACGACTACAACCAACCAAAGTGGATGTTACTGGCAATGGCATGCTAGGCTGGATGATATCTTTGGCATATGCTTGTAATACCAGCTTTCAAGGAGCTACAGCAAAGCCCTGCAGGCTGCAGCTCCGTGTAGAGTTAGTTGGTAATATAGCTTCCTAAAACATTGATTGAAAGTAATAACAAGGTGTTGCTTATGCTAGGGTTTGGTAAATCCAGGACCCAACTATCAGTAGGCTGTTAGAGTGCTACAGACCAGCTCAGACAAGCGAAATGCAAAACAGGTTAAAGACATCTGAACGTCTCCTTTCACAGAAAAAAGTGTCATTCACAGGGAAGCAGATAATTTCAAAGAGATAGATATATTTATCTAGAAAAGTTTAGCTTCCACAAAAGGACATAATCTACCACTGTAAATCTATGCATCAAAACTACCCCTTAAACCCTAACCAATGCAAACTTCAACAAGTGAAGAGGAACCACTTCTTCAGAGGGCGCCTCTCTCAAAAGGAGCTTTATTCCAGCTGGACAGTACAGAGGACAAAAAACGCTGTTTTGTTTGGACCTTAGTGCTGACAAGCTTAGTGCTGTTAAAATATACAGTCAACAGACCCATCAGCAGCTCCATTAGGTCAGATTTGATTTATAGCAAATGCAAATGACTGTTACTGGCTTTAAACTCATTTCTGAAGTTGTGCAAACAAAACAGTGGACTTTTTCAGCCTCCCAGCTGTGTTTCAAGAGAATTGTTCATGCAAACCACATAAAAAAGACAGTTTTCAGTAAGCAAGGAAATGTGACTGCTGAGAAAGATTCTATTATCATCAATTAACAACAGGCAAGCAGATTTTTACTTATTATTTTTTGATTAAAAATGTGCCTGCCAAGTTTTGAAGTGGATCAGAGTTTGATTAGATCCACTCAAGCTTTCCTGCTCCTCCAAAACATAACTGATTGCCATTAGCATCTCCCAGGTGTCTGCAGGCCACTTTAACCCACCACACAGTGAAAATAGAACAGAAAGACAACTCTTGTCATCAGAAGAGCTTATTTGCTCCTTGAACCATGTCACAAATGCAGTTATTGCATATGTATGCCCTTTATACAAGTCTGCTCACTGAGTTTAGTCACCACCAGTGATGTGAAAATGGATGTGAAACCGATCAACCACTTAATGGGGAGAAAATACCCAAATCTGAGTATTCTGCATGCCAAAGCTATGTGTGGCAAAACTAATCATCCAGATCCAACAATGTCTGGAATTCATCTGGAAGCAATTTCACATCCATAAGACAAACACAGTCTCTGCCAGTTGACAGCTGCTCTTTAAAGCCTTATTTTTCCATCAAAGATCAGACGGAAAAAAGCGACCCCCTCCGGCTGTGACGTGTTGACATTTTAATGAATGAGATGTTTGATTATTTCTTATTCTCATTCTGTGCTCCTCACCCTCTTCCCATCTTTTGTTATTATTTCTACCTTTTCCCAATCTGTCTTCTCAGTTGCCCCAAAAGGATGTGACAAAGGAAGTGAAAGAATAAAAGGGGGAGAAAGGAGAAGGAGGGTAGAGTTTGAACAAAAGTTGAACGGAAAGAAAAGAGAGGAGAAAATGGTCGGTTGACATTTTGAACAATGTCTGTCAGGATCTTGATGTGTGAATCGGTGAAATGTCGGGTCAGTTATTAGTGTGTCAGGAATAACGTCTGTAAGAGAGGAGTTAATTGCACGGAAATTGTGAAAAGGGCATTGTTGCCAGAGTTGGTCGTTTCTTTTCCTCTGTGCCTGTGTGTGTGTTCACTGTGTTTTTCCATGTCTGATACATCCACATTCACAGATTAATTTACAAATCCCATATTCCTGTCTGTTTGCGCTCTGCTGCGTACACTATAATTACAAAGAGGACTATGACTAGAATTTGAGTCCGCTTATGTTATTTGGAAGACATGTCAATCCTTTCTTCTGTTAGACCAGCAGCAAAGAGTTTTCAAGTTATGAGACGCTGACTGAGATAAATCTATCATACTTTTACAACTTGACAGACATTTCACAATGACTGGGCTTTTTTGTCAAGACATATAGTAAGCTTTTGAGTCTCTTGTTTTTCCTCTTTCCCCTGCTTCCCTTTTTTTCTCAGTGTGTTTGTGAATAATTATTTGTCTTCTGTGTACATGTGTCTGTGTTTATCTGAACCTTGGCATCCCTGGATCCACACACCTTGCTGCCAATCAAACCTGCACACCTGCTGTCATCTGCAATCTAGCAACCTACACTCTCTGCATGGGAGACGGTGGCTCAGTCTTGAGATAGTTGCCGGTGCTTCCCTTTACCCAGCATGGGGCTTTTTTAAAAGTGTGTTTTCAAGTCTACCCAGCATGGGGCTTTTTTAAAAGTGTGTTTTCAAGTCTAATTGCTTTTCGCCCTCTGTCCAAATTTGCATATGTCTTGATCACTGTTATCAACTGTCTAACTCCAGAAACCTCAACCTCTGTACAGCCAAGAGTGCACTGTACGATTTCAGAAACGTTGTGGTTACAAATGAACTCATGCTGAACCAAGAAACATGTTCTCAGAGCTCACGCTTTATTTGCCCACACCAACTGTAAAGCATGACCCACATTTCACAGGTGTAATTGGGGGGAAAATCCCTTAAATTAAAGAATCAATTTACGGCTCTTCTGTATTTTTTGCACTGCGCAACCAAATTTTCCTATGTTCCAGAAATTCAGTTAATTGGACCAAGATCATCTCTCCCGCCTCCTTGCACACTGCATAAGAAACAATGTGTGATCAGAATGAAGAGTCATATGGCTCAGAAATTGGTTCACTATTGGCTTCAATTTGCACATTGTATGCCCAGCCTCTGATTTTGGAGACTCAAATCCTGAAACCTCTGCAACCTTAGACCTCCTTGCTTTGAACCATCCATAATGCCCTTTCAAGATATACCTCTGTAACCTTTACTCTGAGACCCTCTGTGTGTCTGTGCTGCAGGCCACAGTTATCTTATAACAGGGTGTATCTCTGGTTGATTCAGTTTGTATTGATCCAAAACAAAAAAAAAAACAAATCTGTTGTTTGAGGCAAGAAAAAAAAAAGGCTTGGAGAGATGAATCTGGTTAATTTTACTTTGAGGTTTAATCTACATGTCGAGGGGATGGATTGAAAAGAGAAAGAGTCAAATGTGCACTGATGACTTGTAGTTATATGAGCTACGGGTGAACACAATAAAAAAAAAAAGATGGTTGAAAATCTCCTCTGGGGGTTCAGTTGTGACTGAAGTGATTTTGTACCTTGCTGGAATGTATGTTTGGATGTAGTTGTCAGATCTACTGTGCTGTTAAGGTCAGCTTTCTAGCCATGAACTGAGGTTGTGTCTCTCGAAGACCTTCAATTAAAATGCTGACAATGCGATGAGAACTGAAAGAAGCCAGGGAATCTGGAGGTTGTCTGAGAGGCTAAAATTGCTTATACAGGAAGATCTGCGATCCTGTTATGGAAACTGTTGAAACTAGTTTTTTGGCTCTTAAACTGTTTCAAAGAAGTGGAAGCTATTTCTACAACTTCAGCCGTCTTCTCATGTTGTACTTTAATCTATAAGATTGAAAGATGGATAGCACTCTCTCGTTCAGAGCTTGATTTTGTATCTTAGCAATGTTCCTTTTTGTTTGACAGTAAATACGATTTCCTTCTAGCAACCATGCTTGATCCTTATTTTCTCTTTCTGCCTGCTCTTGGCATAATAAATGATAAACACAATCTCAGCTACACTGTTATGCTGATGACACTCTGCTTCCACCACACATAATCTCCATACTCCACTGAACTCTATTGTTGTCTCACTGGGATTGAACTCTTGATGATAAGGTAAAAGGACCCCCCCCCCCCCCCCCTCCCAAAAAAATAATATAAAATATTAATAACAACAATAATAATAATAATAATAATAATAATAATAATAAACAAAGGAGGAGAGCCTGGTAAATATTAACATGGTAGGAAATTACTTTGTTTCAGCCATGGAGCCTTGAGAAATCAGCTTATTTTGGAACTCTATCAAGTGATGGTTTTTGAGAAGCTTAGCTTGTTGCAACTTTCCTAAAATGTAAAAAAAATTACAGTTCATTCAGAGTGTTAAAGACATAAAAAGACCTCCCCCTCTACTGGCACCACAACATAGACAGCTTGAATCACACAGAACAGATTTTTTATGTCTTTTTTGTCTTCAAAGACTTACATAATCTAGCACTAACATATATCAATGAACTGCTTTCCTTTTATGACTGAAGATAAACTCTCTGATCTCCTGTTTTCTTCTTTTAGAAGTCTCTGAAGTTTTACACAAAAATCAGGCGAGGCTTCTCAGAGCTGTTATGGCTATAAATCTGAAAACACATACTCTTAGATCTGAGAGCAGCAAGCCCCTGTAACAGACCAATGATCGAATTTAGCTTAAAATTTATGATGACCTTGTTGAAATTATGGAAACTGTTATTTGATTCATGAGACTATTTTTGTGTTATTTATTATTCCCATCTGAAAATGCTGAGCAGTTTTGGCTGCATTTCTGCATGAAGGAGGTTGAACATTAAGTGCTTACATATGTGTGGGGACCCTGTGAGTCCTTACCTTTTTTCCAAGAGCCTCCTGATACATCTCAGCATTGGCAAAGTAGAGGGTTGCAGAGGAACGGAAGATCAGAATCCCTGGTACCTGCTTCACCTAAAGGTAAGTGGTCAGTCAATAAGTAAACTAATTTATCAGACGATATGAATTTTTTCAAGAAGATGACCTTCTTTTACCATCACATTGTTAAATCTGCTGTGTGATAGAGTCACTATAAAAATAAAATAACTCATTTATTTTTAGAAGTCATAATTTAAAGGGAAAATGCTCGTCTCAGAATTTATATAAACTAACTTGCTAACAACAAAAGACATGCTAGCATCCCTGTGAGTCTTTACATTGAGCTAAATGCTGACCTTAGTATGCCTGCATGCCCCTAATGATATTACTTTCCTCTAATATTTGGAAATTTACTTCCAGTTATTTGCCATTGTTATTATCTTAGTTAACATTTAAGCCTGTTCAAGTTTGGCCGGTAAGCAGTAAATCAGAAGTATCTGAGAGTATCTGAGAGTAAACCCAGGTTTGAGATCAAACAATTAAACGTTATAGATTTTTCAGGTCTCGATGGAAAATTATCTGTCAATTTATTCATCAAATCTCTTTAATTGAACATAAATGTGTGCAATCAATGTCAGCAGCTGTTGAGACGTCACACCAAATGTGAATTTTAATCTGGTGGTGGAGTGAATGTCAGGAGTTCATGACAGTCATCAGATTAAAAAAGAATATATATTTAATGGACCAACTGACTGTCAAAAGTTATTGATTAGACCGTAGAGCTATAATGGTCTAAATCCAAACTCAGACAACAGAAACTGTACTTCCTGCTGAAATATTAACACATCCTGTCAGCAGCTCTTCTTACTTAAGGTTAACATCTTGGCTAATTAGTCAGTCTGGATAAGTGAAATGCTCCTCATCCAAATTGAGAAGGGGCGGGACTTTGGATGATAACTTTGTCAACAATACTGGTGGAGCTGATACATATTATTTTAGGGAGATTTTTTTAAGTGTAGAGCAGCTACTGATACCAGCATAGTTATTTTTTTTACTATTAATACACTTTCTTTTGTAAAATGCCCTCAAACTGAGTCAGTGTGCACAGGCCCTGAAGCACTGATTAAGTGCAGATAAGTGAGAATCATACCAAATTATTATGTCCTGTTTTTAGTGTTGCGTTTGCTTTAATTATTTCCTTATTGGCTGTTATGTAAGTACAAACCCCCAAAAAATAAATAACAAAATGGGGTTAATCATAAAGGCATTTTATTTTGGTCACAAAAAGGTCAACTCTATTGTTAAAAATACTTTCTCTCCTGATAGTGGTGTACACACACTTAAAGTATTTTTGAGAATTTAATTATCTAGGTTTTAATTTTTCAAAAACCCTATTTGAAAATCATTCAGAGGTAAGTCTCTGTGTAAGCTAGGACAGCACAGTGACACAGTTGTTAACCTCTAACCAGTGCTTTACCTCCTTCCTGCTGAGACTTAGTAAACGGACGGTGTCGTACCTGGTTGTAATCCTCCAGCGGCCGGTAAATGTCGGTGTCTGGGACCTGCCCTAATAGGGAGTATTTAGGTCTGGAAACACACCAAACAAAGAACAGTTCTCTTACCTAGTGTTTGGGTGTGGACTGTCAACAATCTGTGAGAGGGTTTGGGTGTGTTAATCAGCGTTCGACAGAGGACATTTTTCCACTGATCACGCTGTGCTATGGGTGTGTTTGTTACAGCATCATAGTGGGTGTGTCAGCCCAGAGGCAGGCTTTTCTTACAGCTGTGTCCTGAAGATGACAGTGAGCATGGAGAAACCGATGGAAGCAGCCAGACCCAGGTCAGGGTTGAACAACAGGGTGAGGACAAAGGTCACCACCCAGATCACCTGGGACAGGGAACAAAGGATAATAGACGTTACAGAAATGGAGGGTCACAAACAGGGTCACATTTCGAGAGACCCTTCAGTGTAATCCTCATTGAATAAGGGATCCAACAGTCCAAGTGTGGAATGAAAGCTGTCCTTATTGTGCCCTGGGCTTCCCTCTGGAAATTCAACAATACCCTCTATCTGTCACTAACCATACAACCTTATTTATTTAAAGTATTACTAAAAGGCAAAAGTAAATAATCTTTCATACTCATCTGCTTAAGGTCTATCCAATCAAGACACTCTCTCTTTGCAGTCGAACACATTTTCCATATGTGATCAATAAGGCTGTTTCTTACAGAACAAACACGATCTACCTCTTGCAAAAGTATTTAAAGCTGCTTCTGCAATTGCCTGTGTGCATAGATAATGGTGCCACCTGTGGGCAAACATGCACATCTTTTTACCTACTGATCTTTTCCTGTCACTCACAGTATTTGTAGCTGAAAGTGTAAAGAAAGATTGTTTGTTTGGCATTTTGTCAGTCTCCTGGTCTACCACCCTTCTTCAAGCAGTGTCAGACATAAAAAAATACAAAATAGAAATTGTCAATCCTGTTGATGATGGTCTAATTTGGGGATGCATCAGTAATGATTTCAGTCTGTTTCAGGGCTGCAAGGCCTGTTAGGATTCACTGGTCAACACTGACTGGTACAGGAAGAGACTGAGCCCTGTTCACACCATCAACAAACACATGGTCTAAAGCACATGCTGCAGTGGGAATTCAGGCATGGCAGACTGCTATTCAGCCGTTAAATCTGGGCACCAAGTGAGGTACAGGGGGCAGACAGGTTGGATTAAATCCTACGATCATTGAAGTGTGTTTGGGGTGTAATATAAATCAAACCAATCACAGTATCAGTTTTTTTTCCCTTCAAAGAGTTAGGTGTGTCTGTACACAAGTGTTTTACAGCCTTTCTACTAACTGTCCACCAGGCTAGAACATACAAACATCTACATGTAATTTAACATGTAAACCAAAAAGAAATGATCAGTAGTACATCCTGTAACCAAGATACAAATGTATTAATCTTGGTTTTTAAAAAAACACTCCACATGTACTTGTTAAAAACAAAGTTTACTCACCATGTCTACCTTGTTACTTCTCCACAGTGCAGGGATGTCCAAAAATTGCTTCATCATGCCATGAAGATTTACATAGATGATGGCAGCAAGCATGGCCTGCAGGGGGAATTAAATTACAGACATTTAAATGGTGGATTACTTCACATCAATCTGTCAAATAAGATGTTTTAAAGTGGTCAGCAGCTTAGCTAAAAGCTGGAGAAATATCTGACTTTAACTGAGTGCTTGGACATATGTCACACCCAGATTTGGACACATGCATGTGCCACATCCTGCACAGATGTGAACTAATGCAAACACACACACGTACACACACAGTACCTTGGGCAGCTCTTCAAAGAGAGTTCCAATCCAAAGTGTAATGACAAGAATAACTGCAGCTGATAAAGCCCCGGCAACCTGCAGCAGGGAGAGAGAGGAGACTGAGAGGCATGATAAATGAGAAACAGGGGAGAGAGATTAGAAAGCAGGCTGAAAGAGAAAACAGAGAGAAGATGGATGATGGAGTGCTTGTTGGAGTGAATTGGTTCAGGATTATGAGAGAAGTCAAAGCATCAGCAGTTTGCGCCTCCTCTCCTCTCCTCTGTCATCTGTTATGGGCCTCAGCTGATTAATGGTGTTGTCAGATGTAATTGGTTTGGTCTTTCAGCAAATATGTGTTCATGTAGGTGGACTTCAATGATGTGGGCAAGAATTGATTCCCTAAGTGATTTTTAATGGTGCTACTTAACGGACTAACAGTAATTTTAAGCAGCTTTTCACTCTGATTAACCTTTGAGATCGCACAGGTTTGTAGCTATGGGCAAAGTGAAGTGTTGGGAGAGAAATACTCAATGCATGACCATGTCAAATCTCAATACGACAGTCACTGAAACCAGTGAGCATTTATCAAAAACTGTGCTTTTTGTCTGTGTGGGATGAAAATGAGAAAATTAAAATATATCAATAAAAAAAAAAAGTATGTTCATCAGTAGCATGGCCTCATAGAAGGCCTCAGTATATTGACTTGGAATGATCAGCATCACAGATATTTGACATGTATATTCTTTGTTTCTTTTGAAGACCAGTTTTTCATTATGCTGTTAATACAGTCTAATAAAATTACACATTTATAATTGTAATAAAATTAAAAAAAAATGTTTGGACCTGCTCTATATGATATGTTTCAATTAGATTATTTAGTAAAATGCCTGAAAACAATAAAAACTCACTGATTTATTGCCTAAATTTTGATCTTACCATATAAATTTAAGATTTAAGTTCAGTAGAAAAGAAAGCATATTTTCTAACTTACATTTTTAAGGCAGATTTTAAAATTTTCATTGGAGTGGCTTGTTTTTTTTAAGTAACTGAAAAGAGGGAGGAGTGGGACAGGTTTTTCTTTTTTGTAAATTCCTGTGAGAAACTTTGAGTCTGTGTTAATTTCAGTGACCTCTATGCTCTTTGAGCACTTCTTATCTCTTTGTTGGTATGTCCTTGACATGTGTGAGTCGTGTTTTTATCGTAAAATCTCATCCTGCTTTCTTTGAATATATTCACATGTAATATTCATTGAGAATCTTTCCTATAGAAGATGTAAACAACGGCTGCTTGGGAAGTGGGCTGTTCATCATGTTGACACCTGCCCTTCAGCAACAGCATCAGGCAATGGGGACCATTTTTGCTGATGACAACTTGAGCCAAAAAAGACATTGACTGGGTTAGCAGAAAGACGAACAAATCTCTTGGTACCATTAGAAAGGGTTGAGAAATGCTTCAGAAACACTGACCAGACTCACAGGTCTTATCTGCTCAGTGTTTCAGATGCTCCAGAGTCTTAAAGTTCATAACATCAAAATTTTTCAAATATCTGTTTTATTGTGTTAAATCATATATGAAGGGAATAACTCCTAAACACTTCAACTCTTACTCTGAATCATATGAAGGTTTGCTTTCATTTCTCCTGTCAAATTTAATCTTTTTATTCTCCTGAACCTATTATTATTATTATTATTTATTTATTTCATTTTATTTTTTTTATTGAATTTGTGATATTTAGCCAATATTCAGATGGAGGTGTCCAATCAGCTCCCATGGCTCTCTGCTTTTTTAAACTCTGCTTATCAACTTTCCTTAATCCTTTTTTTGTGTATTTTTTATCATGCAAAATAAATAAAGTGAAAAAATGTGCAGAAATTCGTGATTTTGGTCAGTTTCATACACATCAAAAACTCTTTGCACATGCTTCATAAATTCGATAACCTACTTAAGGTATGTCTTGTAATTAAAAAGTGGATCTAGTGTACCTCTGATTTCTCAAATCACTCTGAATGAGATCTGCACTGTCAACCTCAGAGACTTAAAACTGCATTAACCAAAAGGCACTTTGGAATAATGTCTGCTCATAACCAACCTGAGTCTTCCCCCCTGTACTCTCCTGAACCATGGTGCGAGACATTGAGCAGCTGATGGCAAAACACTGGAAAAATCCTCCAACAGTGTTGCTCAAACCCAGGGCAATAAGTTCCTAAACCGAGGGGAAAAAAAACAACACTTAAATTCTGGTTATTAATCTGAAAGGACTATTTAATCCAACTGCTCCCTACCTGGTTACTGTCCACCTTGTATCCATATTTGAGGGCAAAGATTCGTCCTAGTGAGATGGCAATACCGTAGCCAACCACAGCCAGAGCAAAGGCATCACCAATCACCTGACCAAACAGAGAGGCTTCCGGGACAACAGGGGGCTGGAGACTGGACATAAAGTGTGAAAAGATTAAGAATATTCAACTTTTCAAATACAGTCATCCCTTTCTGTTTTCTCTGTGTTTTTCTCACCCTGAAGGAATCAACCCCACCACATCCACTTTATATTTCCCATTCAGGTCCACTTGCCAGGAGATTAGTGTTGCAACGACAACCTAGAGTATAGATTGTAGGAGATGGGGTAGAAGTTTTGTATAAACAGTTGTTTGTGCTCATTTGTGTGAACTTGAAACCATCCATGAATAGACACACATGTATATTTTGTTTACTTACACCAAGCAGCTCCACAGGTATAGGGACAGGTAGTTTTTTACTCAGGTATGCGTTGAGCTCCTTGGCCAGGATGAGGCCGACTATGGCAACAATACTGACCACAAGAGTACCTACGTTTGTCTCTGGAATGAGATAACACACCTCCAGCACAGTCTGAAAAGAAGGAAACAGAGGACAGCTATTTCCCAGGGGTGATAGACCACAAAAAAATCCTAATGCCCAGCAAATAAATGTCATTAGAGGCAAGTTTTGTAAAATGTGAAGGCGCGCAGGCTTTGTTTAGTCTTACATATATCAATGAGAAGGGTCCACTATATCTCACTGGGTTGATTCCAAACGTGTACTTCAGCTGGGACACAATAACGTGAATGGCTGCTCCTGTGGTGTAACCTCGAACCAGCGGCTCTGATAGGTATGTCACAACAAAACCGAACTGGACCAGGCCGAGCAGAATCTAAGGAGATAACCCAGAGGAAAATGAACAGACATGGATATTTAAAGCTCCTGTGGGGAGTTTTTTTATGCTTATGAAATCGGTCAAAATTAATTTCGAAACTTTTTACTGATATACAAAAGTGAACAAGACCATCAGTGAACAAGACTGACGATTGTGATGCTGTAGTTTTTTACTGCCCTGCCCTTCCAGTTAATGTTTCCCAACATATACAGATCACATCGTCACTCTTACTTTAGAAACATCTAAACCTCCAGAAAAGCTTATTCCCAAATATCTGACCAGACCAGAGCCTCCACATAATCCTCATATTTACCTGAAACAATCCAGATAACAATGTGACAGCTGCAGCCACTTGGACCCTCTCTGCATCCCTGGCGACGTCATCCACAATAGTCAAGTTGGTCACGTTGTCCTGTATTTCAAATTTGGAGTCGGGGGCTAGTCGCTCTGTCACTCCCCCTATCATCACACTCATCACTGCATATGTTCCTGGAGAAGAGACACCCATTTCACTGAAAAGCAGCGCATGGATATTTTGGGAGACATGTCCTCCTAAACTTAAACCCATTTTTTTCTTTGGGTTAATGATGTGACTGAAATCTGACTTCAGTCCTGATTTTTGAGACTTGTGGCTTGACACAGACTGAAGCACTTATGACTTGAACTTGTTCTCAGACTTGTGCATTAACACAATCGTGATTTGCTCATTTACAGGTAAAGACTTCTCAATGTTTCTGTGAGTTTTTTTTCGTTTTTTTTTTTTTTTTTTAACAAAACATGTCTTTCCAGGTGCTAGTAGTACTAGTGCAGCAAAAGTGTGAGTTGAAAAGAAAGAAACAACACAATATATAAGGTCTAATTATCAAAAAAAGAGAAAAGGTACTACCCTGACTGGCACAGAAAGCAGCACACAGTGCATTAAATTACAAACTAAATAGTTGATTGCAACACAAGTTTGATCAATGATCAATGATACTTGCATCAGCAGGACTAAATAACACAACTAGTGTTTTTAATCTTTGATTATCACAACAGGTGATCTGTGTGTGGACCTGTTGTGATAAAGCTCCAAAAACTGAACACATTTAGACCAGCAGTAACAGCAGGTTTACATTTGACTAGAGACATTGATCCTTATCGTTAGTCTGCATGAATAGAAGGGACCTACTGCACCTCTGTCTCTCTGTTTTTCTACGATCACATGCAGTGCAAACGCTTTTCACAACATATGTAGAGGTAAATGAGTGAGAGGTGGTAGTTCATTTTTTTGATCCCAGATAGCTGTCCTTTATGGATACGAAATGACTTAATATGTTTGTTAAATATGCTGAAGCCCCCTTTTAAAGTCATGATCTACCTGTGGGAAATGAAATGATGTTTGGCTCATAATGTTAAGGTGTTAAATCTGTTTTCTATACTGTATATCCTAAAGGTCCCACACAGTCAATACAAGCTCATACTATGGTGAACTGGGAAGTGGTCCTCCTTATGAATCCTCAGATTATAGGAACCTGACTTGGATTGTTCTTTTGTGACTTGGACTAGATGTTTGGTGACCCTACAACAACAGTACACTGCAGCCCACAGTGCTGGGTACATCACATGTTCTATTTGCCAGGAACATACCGATTGAGATGTGCTTGGATGTGCCGAAGATGAAATAGATCAGGACCGGGTAGAAGGAGGAGTACAAACCAAAGACTGGAGGAACTGCTGCTAGCAGAGCATAGGCCATACCTGCAGGAACAGCAGAGGAACATTTCTATAAGCAGCTGTTGGGAGGACTTAAAGAAAATGAGAGCAAACACCAGCATAGAATATAAACCATGACAACAACTCTTTCTTAATCTTTACTTCCTCTGTCTGTATCTGAAACATCCATCCTCACCTTGTGGCAGCTGCATGATGCCGACACTGATCCCAGAGATCAGGTCACCTAGCGCATTCTCTCTGATGGAGTATCGAGGCAGCCATGATAGCACAGGAAAGCTACCCAGCAGGCATTTCTTCATACGGGGACCAGAGCACCTAAGTGTGTGTCAACGTGGAGACAAGGAGAAGAGGGTATTTTTTTTGTTTGTTTGTTTTAATATAGTCTGTACAGAGTCTGTTGTGTTTGGCTCATCGTCTCCAATATCTGATGTCCAGTTAACTTGTTTTTCAAACATCTCAAAGTTAATAAATGACCTTTCAACCTCTCAGCCAGGACACTGTATGTTATTTCTTGCTTCTGCCCAGCAAACAATTAAATTCGTTACATGAGCGAATCAAGAATGTCTCAGTTTAATTATTGATGGTTTCCTCACATTTAGAACAGCATGACTGTTGCCTTTTGTCTTTATATGATTTATCTCTCTCAGTGTGTGTCACGATGATGTACAGGTGACTGTGACATTTCCTTTTACTGCAAAACGAGTTTATAAAAATGTCTTCTAAATTATCTTTAGCCTGAAATAATAACAAACATGACAAATTTAAATGTTTTTCACGTGTATTGTCATTGCTCTGAATGAAACGTATCCGTCAGATAAGCTTTGCTGATATAATAACACCTATTCAACTCCAGTAGGATCATGATAAGAAGTCAATAAGGGAGGACTCATTGCATAATTTATGGATCTATTAATATGACGCACTAAGGAGAAGGTGTTCTTTTGATTATCAGTTTTATGTAAGCAGGGATCAGAGGTTCACTTGGATGACAGTCTCAAAACAAAGCCTATAATACTGCACATGGCATTTTGTAATCAGCCTTAAACATCATGGTGTATGGTAATCAAAGTTCCAAAAACTGCTGAGTCGTGAATGAGTTTTTACACCATGAGTACACAGGATTGGAAATTACTGCTGGTCAGGTGTGGGTTTGCGTTACCTCATTGACTTGTTAAAATTCTCACACAGAGATGTTTTTTCTTCGGACTTTTCAGCCATCTCCTCCACCTCTCCTTCATCCAGGACTTCCCTGTGCACATTGTAGCCCAGTCGTCTCCTCTCTGCCATGACTGCAACTAAATGAAACACAGAAAAAAATTAAAGCTTTTCTAAATGTTGCATTTGTAAGATTGTATTCTTAATCATTTTTGCAAGTATGCCACCATTGTATTTCTACGGAAGAGGATGAGGGCCATTGGGAAAAAAAAAAATCAGTCCAATATCATTAAAAAAAAATATTATTCTGAGATTTGAGTTTTTTTTCCTCAGAATGATAAAAAAATATCTTACCTTTTTTCCCCCAGTGGCCCTAATCCTCTTCCGTATATTTCAGCATGTCTCTACTTTCTTGCAAAAAGGTCTCTTTTAGGTCATCTTTCATGATCATAACCATCAACTGCACTTACGATGTTATGACAGTTGCCTGGGCCACATAATAGTTATAGATAATGACAGATTTGCACGAATTATGTGGATTTTAAGATACTGTGAGGTGTTTATGAACAAGCTAAAAAAAAAGTGATGCATCTCTATGGTGTAAAAAAAGAAAATCAGGTTTGACAATTTCGGTTACTGCAGTGAGGGGTAAATTTCACAGCAACAATAAACAATAAAAATACATCACAGAAGGTTTCTCACAGTAGCTTTAAATGCAGTCATGACTGCTTCTTTGAGGACTGGTAGTTAATCAAAATCATAAGGGCAATGCCTTCTAATTCAAAGGGTTACCTTATGTTGTCCACCTGTGGTCTGGATAACTTTTTGAGAGAGTTAAAAATTTGTCCCAATGTGTGGCGTCTCTGTCAGCTCTTGCCAAAAGTCCAGCACTAACTGGAGCCCTGAAATGCACTGTGGAAGTTCAATTTAGCTTTTCAGCATCGGCTTTTCTTTCTCCTGTTAGACGTGAAGTAGTTTCTCTAACTCAGAGAAAATAGATCAAACCCCACGTCCCCTTTCTGGTGAGAGTTAGATTAAAAAAAGTTCCTTTAATCAGAGGATGACACGTCCATGTTTCAAATTAATTCATCCTTTCTTTGCAGAGGTCAGTGAGCTTTAGGCTGAATCTTCTCTAGTCCCACATCAGATCCAAGCTGCTCCAACACCTGTTATTGTTTCCACCATATTTAGAGATAAAGATTTATCTCAGAAATAACAACAGTTAGGATAAAAAAAAAGACAAGAGAATATCCTTGCTGTGTGTTTTCTCCTCTGTGTGTCCTCTCTGTGTGATGCTCAGACAGCCTGTGTCTGTATTGTCGCTCCACTGCTTCACCTTCAGACCTTGAAGGAAAATGCAGATAAGAAATTGGACATTGTTGTGGAAGGATAGGGCAAAGTAAAACGTGAGAGTTTTATGATTTACAGAGCCAGTTAGTTCACAGAGATTACTGTTCATGTCCTGGAGTTTTTCTAGTTTTTCCTATCTAATCATCTTTCTCTGCATTTGTTGAAAATGAATGCAGTAACAAACAGCATGCTGTTCAAACACAGGAAACTAAATAAAGTATGATAATAAACAGAGAGCAGTCAAGCTATTGATCGACTTTATACAAGACAGAGTTTTAGATGTGTCTTATCTTGTGTGAGTGTGATTAGATTAGGAAGCTGTTTCTGCTCAGTCAGGGTTATTATTGTTCATTTATGATTTACCCCACAGCAGAGCGAAAGACAGGCATACTTACTCACTGGAGAACAGATTTGGGATGACTACGCAGGATAAACAACATGTTTTCTTAAAGACAAAGGACAAGGATTTTTCCTTCCATGGTTCATTCCCTACTCTTTTTTTTCATCAAATTGAATCAGCAGAAACTCTTAAAACCTGATATCATAATGTAAAGGTACATCTTTTTTCATTTCTTGTCACAAAAGACGAAAAGTGGTCAAACTTTTAGAAACGACCCTACCATTTAATGACAAATCAGTCACCGACCAAAACTGATGAGATGAAGTTTGGTAAAAATATCCAAAAAAAGTGTCGACATTTATGTTTTAATGAAGGACAAACCCATGGCAGAGCTATTATGGAGTATGCATTTTTTTTAGAGTTACACCACTTTTTCAATGTTTTGTTGGCCCAGCCCCAACCTTCTGCAATGCGGTGCTTGCAAAAAATAAAAAGAAACATTTTAGTCTACAGAAAAATAGAACATTTCATTTTCCATATTTGATAAACTACTTTTGCAATTTTTAAAAGCTTCAGATAAGCTTTAGGAGATGTTAGTTAAGTGGATAACATATCAGAGCTTTTGTTGTCTACCAGTTAATAAGTAAGAGTTTAAGGCATAAATCTAGTTAACGAGTGTTGTCAAAGAGAGAGTTTGTGCAGAAAATGGACATCTGGACATAAAAAGAAAAAATCTCAAATGGCTTTCTATAAATGACTTTAATTCAATTTCTGATGTTTACGTAACCATCATCTCATCTTTCAGCTGTGCATGCCCCTAAAAATCAAAATTTTTGCAAGTTTCCCATAAAATCAGGGTTTCATTAGTGCCATAAGCAGCACACAAATACCTACACCCTACAGAAAATTCACAAGGAAACAATGGAAAAAAATTGTTTTCACGAGAAGTAAATTCAAGCAACATGAAGACTCAAATGCATGCATCTCACTTTCACATTCACACACAGACCAGAGAGGACATGGTAGATAGATTGTTGCGCAGTACAGTTTAGTTCAGATACCAAAAGCAGACCAGGTAAGACAACAGCAAAGCACATAACGACAAAGGCAAAGTGCAGAACAAAGGTAAAATGGGGATGATGAGCGGGACAGGGAAACATGAGATGAATGGATCAGTGTTTATGGTGGGAAAAGAAGGAAGGGTCTGAGGGCACCTGGTGGTGAGGTGAAGAATGGCAGTGGGAACAGCTGGAAACTTTTTGGCTTAGAAGGCGTGTGGAGGGCTGAAACCTGGAGTGAAAGCACTGTGGAGGAGCTGAGTGAGGCAGGTTGTGAGTCAGGGCAAGCAGGTACAATAAAGTGACGTGTACTGAAGGCTATGGTCAGAAACAAGATTAGAAAGTGGCAACATAATGGAAGCTGAGGTGTGGGGGCAGTAGAGGGGGCTTAACAGGCTTCCTTAACCAAGAGAGTGACTCTCAACCTCTGCGGTCTGTAACATGAACCTACACCATGCATTGTAACTCTTAAACTATTTTTTTATTGATTTCAAATCAATAAAGCTCTATAAATCCATATCATGAATTATTGTTTCCATTTAGACTTCTCTAGATTGAAGAAATACATAAAAAGAAGCTGTCACACACTTTTACTCTCTGTCACCTGCAAAAAATCAACTCACTTGTTACTACTTATTCTGAAACAGTTCACACAGAACAGGTCAAACACAGTCAGCTATAAAAACAAAGTCAACTGCCATGATAAGTACGGAGCTGCAGAGATGTAGGTTTCATTCAGCTGTGACATAATTATGAGAAGCTTAAGGGTGCCAGACACTCCGTTGAGTGACAAACTGCATGTTTCTGATATAAAGTCAACACATCTGATGACACGGAGGAGGTTTTTAAACAAGACTCCAGTGACACACAAATTCATCTGGGATTACTTGTTTGGTCTCCCTTTGCTGTGAGTGTTTACAGAGCAGTAAATTCCCAAACATGTTAATATTTCACTTTCCTTTGTATATGTTATCTCTTCAGAGTTTGTGTCAGTTTCTATTGACAAAGTTTCAGTATTCGTCATGGCCCCTGTCAGTCATTGGTGGAAATGTCTAAACTTTTCTCTCCCATACAACACGTCTGAGGCTCCTGTCTCCCTAGACAGAGAATTTTGTGTTTTTATTTCATTCTTAATAAATTTAAGACATTACTAATCTTGCTCCACTAAGCCTTATAATATTAGTGATTAGTGAACCCGAATGACTGCTTAAAAAAAAAGTACCATCTTAGAAGCAAATACTCGTAGAGAGAGAGGGCTGTGAACAGTCTTTTTTAAATTGTGCAAATGTATTCAACTCCCAATGTTCCTTTATGATGGACAGATCAACAAGGTTTGGTAAAGAAAAAATGACATTTATTGCCTTCAAATATGTTACAAGTTCAGAAAAACAAACTATGAAAACTGTTAATTTTTGTATATTTAAAATATAGGAGTGAAGGTGATTTTCAATGCTGTTTTAAAATCCAAAATATCAACAAAGGATTGTTTTTGTCCTTTTTTAATGCTGAGATTACTAAATTGTCCAGTTGTCCTGTCCTGTTCGGGCAGCATTCACATCAGAGGTTCAACATTGACTTGCAGCTGAGTGGACTTCCTGGAAAGAGATTAAAAATTAAATCAACACTGATGAATGTCATTCTGCACCTCATGTTAAACAGGAGGACATTTGAAATTATTCTCATTGTTTTTTATTGATCATTTCCTTTCGCATCATAACTTTTGATGAACGAAAATCCCCAAGAGCATTAATGTTAACCCAGACACATATGATACCCATATTTATTTATTAACACAGGCTTCTTCCCAGAACTAAATTACAACCCCTGTCCCTGTTTAAGGCTTCCAAAATGAAAACAGAGATTTTAAAATACTAAAACCATTAAAAACAGGCAATGAGATCAATGCACGGAGTCCAGCATGGATAGAGACAATAATGTTAAAACAGTGACCAAACTTTTAGCTACACACAATTTACCACACTGTTACTGTGAACACATCCAACATCTACAGAATTAAAGTGTGTACAGCCTAGACTGTATATACTATGGACAACTTGGCTCCGCTTTACGTCATTAAACGAATTTGAAGCCAAATTGCTCTTTGTAATTTCAGGATTTTCTCCACTTCCTGGAACCACCACCTGTGTAGTAATGTTGTACGCATTCAGCAGGAGGGTCGCTGTGATGAGGCTTGACTCAAATAGCGTATCCTCCTGCTGGGTGATCTACGCGATCTTTTTACGCCCCATAGGCTGTATCAAGTGTCAATCATAGAAAACATGAACCCCCTTATAACTTTCAAAAATGGGCGCTGTTCTCGGGTTGGCTTCAAACAACGAAGAGGCAGACAGCGTCCATTCTATATACAGTCTATGATTGTACTCCATTTAAGTCCTGTGTTGCAATAGGGGGAAAAATACAAATGATAACATCATTGACAGCTCTCTTGCCAACATGAAGACCAATTTCAACTTTAAGAAAGTGCATCTCAAAACCCAAACAATTAAATATGGAATAAGTAAAATACTAATTTTACTTTTACTAACCTTTGGCTGACCTAGCTTGAGGGAAAGAGGTGGAGTTGAAGAAGTAGACCTAGCCTGTCAGTAAAGTTAACCGTGCCCCTATTTAAAACTCATAACCTTCTGAATTAAAAAAGTCTCACCTCTTTTCCACCCTTACTTCATACAGAGTAAATTCAGAATTATTGTTTTGTGTTGTAGCTTCCACTGGAGCCCAACCAGAGGTTTTATCCCCCCTTTTTAAATTTTTTTTTTTAGCTATTTATTAGTAATTCCAGAAAGCTGTTAACAAGCTTTGATGCTTAGATTGAGTGAGCTGCAGATAATAAATGGCTTGGTTAGAAAAGCAAAAGAAATGCCAACTTAAGCAACTTTTTTATCCTTGAAAATACTTTACTTACTTCCAGAGGCCTTGGCAAGTTGCTGAGGCAACGTTGGACAGCATGATGGACCGATGGGAAGATACAGGGGCTTGGCAGGATGTCAGGTACACAACCCTGAGTCTGGAGCTGGGACAAAACTTTCTCTGTTGACATACAAAGTGTGTTAGCCAGGCATATAATATGATTCAATTTTAGCTAATGGTATGAGAAAACAATGAGACACTCAAATTTGGATCTGTTTAATGTGTATGACATGCCTGTGATGATGTTGTGTGTGTGTGTGTGTGTGTGTGTGTGTGTGTGTGTGTGTGTGTGTGTGTGTGTGTGTGTGTGTGTGTGTGCGGGCGCATGCGTGTGTGTGTGTTCCATTGGTGACTGAATGAGTGGGGAAGTGAGCAGATAGAGAGAGAGTAAGACAGACGGTGAGGATCATTCTGTGAGAGATAAGTGTGTATGAAACATGAAGCTGACCTGGGCACGCTGCCAGAAACACGCCAACCCCATGGACCTCCAAGTCTTCTATTACCTGTTCAACAACATGGAAAAAAAAAAAAACTGTGCTAATTGAATGAAAAGAAAGACACACAGAAGAAAAAGGTGAAGGTTGAAACTTTAGCTTAATATTGGTAATTAACTAAAGTGAAGTGAAAATGATGAATGAATGTTATTCAGAGGTCTATATGTCACAGTTTTACCACTATGACAGGATAGGTCCATGTTTATTTCTTTGCCCCAGTGTTTATTGGCGCTTCAGCACGTGTTGACTGTTAAGAACAACTTTTCAGTTTTTATCATTGAGGCCAAAGTGGAAGAAAAGATAACAGAAAAGATAACAGAAAAGATAGCCCCCCCCCCCCCCCCACTGCCGAGGGGGGGCTTTTTTCCACAGCAAAGAGAAGCTAATGCAAATATTGCGAGTATTAAAAGGGAAAAGATTCAGTTTTCTGACATGTAGCTAAAGGACACATTAGTTCACAATATTGTCTTTAGACTTGGCATAAATCTTAAAAAAAAAAATCTCCCACTCTATGTAAATCTAATTTTCATATACAGTCTTTATTCAACACAATACTGCCAATACTACACCTGCTCTACTGACAAGTGTGCTTCCCCAAGTAAAAAATCAATCAAAAATTCCTGCACATGATTTCAGTCTTGTCAGTCACAGAGCCGTGCAAAGCAACAGTATGTTGAGCTCATTACGAGAGAGCGACAGCATGAATCCTCGGTGTGCTTTGTTTATGAGGGGCCCCCTTTTCTGTGAATCAAACAGGCCAAGATTAAAATCAGATTAAGATCTGAATAAAGTTAAAATTCAGTTTTTAAACTACTATTAGGGGACACAGGACTCCTGTAAATGCCACACGTTGAAGGTACCCAGATGGATTTTGGTTAAAATTTATTAGGTTTTTGTTGTTTACTTAAGACCTGAAATTTCTAGTCATTGATCTATTAGAAACACTTTGGTATCAAGATAATAAAGGCACCTCCACAGAGTATAAATCAACTGTATTATTTCCTGTTCCCTTATGAAAAATACACATACAAAAAAGCAAGATGGTTTTCTGTCATATCATAACTGAGGCTAGTAACCTAACAGAGCATATTTTAATCAAAGCACTCAACGCTGCCTGGGGTTACTTGCTTTTCCCATTGTTGTCAAACATCACACGTCCCTTAAACAATTCTGCACGTGTCTGTATTTGTTGTTCAGTAGAGCAGCTCTGTCTTATCACTAATATTGTTTTAATCTGGATATTTTGTGCAGCCTAAAACAGCAGTCTGAGATGACAACAGTTTTGTTGCATTAAATTGCGGTCATGAGTGAAAAAAGGTTGGATTCATCTAGATTACTGGGAGTTCAGTGGGAACAAATATAGTTAGCCTGCAACCTAAAAATCTGATGCAGAGATGAAAACAGATAAAAAGAATGAAAGAAAATAATTAAGCAGCTTGACACGAGTTTGATACAATTTGCCAGGGCACATGGGCACAAAACTGTAGCCTTATCCTTTTAATGACAAAGTAAAAAAAAAAAAAAAAAAAAAGACTGAAATGTTCAAATGCCCAGCTAGCCAGCAAACGGCTTGGATGCATGTAACAGAAAGTCATTTGCCTCCTTAATGCAGAGCTTGTTGCAGCACATTAATAAAAAATAGCATTGAAGCTATTTTTTTGAGTAATTAAAACCAATGTGACTCACACAATCCTGTGAATAAAGCCCCAATGTGATCCAAACAAAGACAAATAAGATTCAGCACCACTTTAGAAAAAAAGTTTTTTCCTTTTTATGAATGAGCTCAAATTTGCATCTGCAAGACAGTTGCTACATCAAATACATCACTTTTATCTAAACATCTTATACTGATGGTCTTCTTTTCAACAGAAAGTTTTTTTGAAGTTTCTAAGAGACCTTTTCTGGTTGAGTTTTATCTGTTGCATTGATGATTAGGCGATTTAAATTCATGGGATGAACAGAAAAATAGCAGGAAAGTCTGAGTGAGCTACTGAGACTCAAAGCCAGCCAAAACAGACAACAAAAAGTAAAGATGCGTCGTTGGATGTTTGTTTTCAATCAATGAACAACCTTTGGGAAGTTAAGCACAGGTACCATTCACCAAATTGTGGTGAAGAAAAATCTATCCACCACATGACTTTCTAACCTCACCTTACAAAGTGATTTTGAAGCCGTATAGTCCATGAAACTGACTGAACTGAGGTCAAGCACCAAACAATGAGTATGCGTCCATGCCTGGGCTGAGAGTGAGGAGGAGGAGCCGCCCAAGGTGTGGACCCCAGCTGGGTTCTCGATCTGACCTCTGCTCACTGCCTGGATGTGGAGAGACAGAAATTACACATAGCAACCCTTTCTATTCATATACAGGAGGTCACAGTGAAGTACACTGAGAGTTGAAGGATTTGTTCAAAGATCCTTGTGGTGATCTTCTATATTAAACAAAAGGATCAAAACACAAGGACAGACATTCACTATTGTCAGTAATACGTGTCTTATACCGAGGGTCCACCCCTGAATCTCTCAAAATAAGCTGCACATATGGATGGACTTCATCATGTAGGGGCACATCCTTGATTGGAGAAGATAAATGATGTGATACTGGAGCTCATCTGGACTCCTTAACTATCCTTATTACAATTATAACCTCTTCTCTCACCCCATATCTCACTCAGAATCATCCCTCATTTACTGATGCTAATGACTCATGCCTCTTCTTTCTCCCAATCATAGTCTTTTTGTGTGTGTGTGTGTGTGTGTGTGTGTGTGTGTGTGTGTGTGTGCGTGTGCATGCGTGCGTGAATGCGTGTGCATTTACTAGCACCTGTCTGATCTCTGTGAAGACCAGTTCAGAGTTGGCAAAGTAAATGGGACTGGAGCAGGAGAGTAAAGTCATGCCAGGAACTCGCTGTGCCTGTCAAAAAACAAACAACAAAGACACACAATATGTGCAAATTAGAGTCTGCTAGAGCTACAACTATGAGAAGTAATTAGGACAAGCTGTATAGGAGGTCATATTTTCTAAAAGCAGTGTGATTCTTTTACAGTAACTGACTTAGACATACAGCAAGTGAGTGTGACACATTGCAGACCATGGTGCATCAATTCTTTAGCTCCAAACTTTTATGCTAATGTATCAGAACAGAAGACATCAGATAGCTGGCAGCCAAATCAGCAACATCTTTTGTAATTATACATAAATCTTGACCTTAATACAATCAATACGATGATAATGAGGATACATTTTTATATAGATATAGTCTGAAACCTAATACTTAGTAATGAATAAAATACCTTCATTGGTCCTGTGTTTGACTTGACCACTGAATTTAAGCTGATATCCAGCATTTTCCTGACACTGTGAGCTGCAACCAGTGAGCCCTTCCTAACATGTTTTCAATGTTGAAGCTTCTGTAAGGGTTTTATCCATGTTCCTAACTTTGACCGAAATTCCACTGACACTGTTTATGACAGACAAAAGCAAACAAAGCCATCATGTGTTTCCTGAATACATTTCTAATCCTGCTATCAGCTGGAAACTGTATTGTCTGACACCAACCCCTTACGGTGGTTTCAGACATCGAAAATGACACTAGGTAGAAATAAGCCTTGTTATCAAGGTCTTGTTTGCTTTTATAGATCAGTTTCATATCCACTTCAAAACTCCTGACAGAAGCTTTATTTAGAATGACATTTTAATGTCATTTTAAGAGATATCCTCATTTTATGGCATCTTTTATTGCTGAAGCTTTATTCTACATATTTCCAGCCTCTTAACCCAAATGAACTTTTTTTATGCAAATCCAAAGCACTGTATTGCATTCAGGATGATGAAAAACAAACATTCAAACACACCGGTTATGTGTTAGGAAACAAAATAATAACCATGCTGATGATCTGGCCATTTTTTCCTCTAGCAGTGCTGGGTTTCAGCAGCTGCTGAATATTTGTTCAGATTATGGGGTTGAATATGATGTTCAATACAATACAATGCCAAAAAGAGTACAGTAATGATTTGTAGATGTAAAGGAGATAGGGACCTTAGTTTCCCAAATTTTCATCTTTCAGGCAAAGGCTTATTCTTAAGAACAAAATCTAATATCTTGGGCACATCATTACTGATAATATGTTTGACGATGATGACTTGTATAGTGCCCGATGCTTAATGCTCAGGCTAACACTTAAGTGCGCAGATTCTCTATGTGCTCTGACAGTGTTAAGATAACTCTCTCCAGGACATATGGTACCCCTCTTTATACTACTGCCGTTAGGATTTTATTGAAGAAATCAAGGCGGACCAGTGCGAGTGAACTTTTTTGTAATGCTGGACTTTACTCTTTTTATGCATTCTTGAGAAATCTGATGTATAAATTTATGTGCAGATTGACAGATGACAAATCCCCTACTTAGTTCCACTTAGTTCCCCTGGTGGAAACACTGGTGTAGATGTCTTTTATAATGCAGACATGTTTTTTTTAATTTTTTTTATTTTATTCAGTGTTGTGTTTGTTTCTGTTTGTACTTGTATTTATTGTTTTGTTTATGGACCTTGAGTCTGTCAATAAAGTATCTCTCTCTCTCTCTCTCTCTTTGATTCTTTCCTTAAAAAACATTAAAACTGAGCTAATCATTTCTATGTAATATCGGTAAGATAAAAGAAGATAATAAGTACAAAATGATTCCATGTGTGCCTCTGCACATACTGTCACTAATGCATGACGCTTAAAGAGGTCCACAGAGGGGAACTGAGCAGCAGTGAAACAGACTGAAGAGAGAACCAAAGGATTGAACAGAGAGCAAAGTGTTGACATGTAATCACTGATGCTGGGAGCCAGCACAGACTGCCTTTGGTGTTTTGATGTGTGACAGATGGTGGTATTCAACAGATTAGACCAGGAATGTATTTTTAGGGATATTTTGGCTAGCAGTGGGTCAGTATTGCTGTTAAAATTGGGCAATTATTTTTGAAAAAGACAGACATTATGTGGAAAGTTGAGGAAACGTGAATATTCCCACAGGATACTTTTGTCCCTTTAAACACCTTTAATCAGTTTTAATTAAACTTTAGGACTAAAGATGAATTTGTAATTGCCTCGTAGATGGTGTGATCTGGATCTAATCAAAATCAGACGTGCACAAAGCATGCTGTGGAGGGTTCAGTATAGTTATTCACAGTAATGGGTATTAGGATATGCAGGTGCACAGTCTGTGTGATTTATCTCTGTGTGCGAATAACAGACTCTGATTACTTTAATGTATGTAGGAGACTGTATTTTTATGATATTATAATTATCAAACACAATATTTCAGCCAGCCTCACTGTCCGAACAGTATTAACTAGATGGTGAGGCTAGCTGGACAATCACTATGAACACCTGGTAGTTTCTGCAAAAGAGAATGTGTAGTTCTAAAAGTCTTAGACAAGGTAAGTCAAAGGTTTGCATGACTGAGCAGTAGAGAAACAAGGAAACATTTGACCATGTTGTTTTACAGCATTTAAAGAAAAGACAGGTCTTGGTGTCCCCTCCAAGCTTTTTTGGCGCTCAGTCTTTCTGATTCATCCTGACTTTAAAAAAGCAACTTCACTGCTGTTAATCAAGAAAAGAGCTTGTCGAACCAAGATTTAAATGAGAGGAGCATTACCGCTTCAATATCTGTACTCTAAAAATTAGGCTGAAAGCAGAGGAGAACACAAGCATAGAGCCTTTTACATTGTTCTTCTTGTATGAAGATTTAACACTGCTGTTTTTAAAACTGGGGAATGCTGGTCAGTGGTTTCCTTAAATCTAGGAGAGTGCAAAGTTGGCTTCATTCCCCAGGAGGCCAACAACTCCAGAATTCAGCCACCTTTTCTCTATGTAAATGTATGCCAGCATGTACAACAGGAAAGACCTGACCCTTTCTCATTGCCATTTGATTTTTGCTCTAAGAAACTTACACTACACTACTGACCCATTACACTTACAACAATTGTACAGAGATGAGCTGTATCTAATCAAAACACAAAGCAACAGCGAGACATGAGAGACAGAAACATGTGTTCAAAGTGTTGTTATTTATGCGGTTTCTTCCTTCTGCTATGTCCTAATGCAACCCAGCATCTCTTGAGCATCATTAAGAGTTAACCCAGTTTAAGGCTTTGGGAACATATTGTTGTGAGTTTACCTGAGAATAAAGTTCCACATCTCTGTAACAGTCTGTACCAGGAATATGACCCAAAACAACAGTGGAGGAGCTGAAAGACAAAAATGAGATCCAAAAGAGAGATGGAGGGAGAGGGAAATTAAATGAGAGTGCAAGTCTGCTAGGAAAACCAGTGGGAGGGAACAAAACTAAACTTTGGGGATGAACAGAAATATGATAACATGAGAAAATGTTAACATTACAAATTTGTTATACAATAATACTGATATGTTTGCAGCCTGAATTTACAGCTTGTCAATTTCATACCTTGATGCCTTTGGGAATATTAGATTATAGGCATGCCACAGTCAGCGCACTTTTCACTGTTCTAAAATTAAATCCTGATTTCCCCAAAGCACTTCTGCTCCTTCGAGCAGAGATCATTGCTTCTTTTTTCTATTTTAGACATTTTCAATCTGTTTATGTCAAAACACTTGAGCCTATGATGCGTCAAGATCTACAAAAACACTTGAAACAAGAAATAAGTCCCCTACATGTTGATGAAATATAAAAAGTTTATCTTGCTGTCTCAGTCCAGAGTTTACCATCAGCTTCAGTATGTTAGTTCTTCACTGAATAAGAATAAGATGGTTAAATTGATTTTTTTGTGGGGCTGTCAGCATTAATGCAGTCACATATGGTCAATAATTATGTGTTAATCTTTTGAAATGGCACATTAATCTTTTTTTTTTTTTTTTTTTTAACACATTAGCTTACTATTGTGGTTCAGTCTACTCCCTGCTGCCACCATGACGGAAATTAACATTCCCACCCAGCTTTTAAGTGTTCCACTTTGAAAAAAGCCAGGACGGCTTCACTGACTGGTCTAAAGTTATTTGCATAATGTGTCAAAGAGACTCAAAAAATCTACTTTGAGTTTGAGTTTCCACCTACAGGCTAAAAAGCTCATCAGACTGATTTAGGTTAGCATGGTGAGAGCAGTCATGAGTCTGGCTTACAGGACCTGTATGAAACAGAGAAATCAACCAAACTGGACTCCTGAAAAATCAAACTCTTGGTGCATTCACTTGGACCACTGAACATACCAAGATAGCTGCACACTACATTAATACTGATTGCACTTTTTTGCTCTTGCAGTTTAACGTATAGAAGATGGCCACTATGAACTTGTAACTTCTCAAAGTTACAAAGCAATGGTATTATTGCAAAGAACAACTCCATCAACGTCCAACAAATGCAGAATAACCGGGAAGGGTACAAGCAGAGAATGGTGCAGCTGGTGCCTCTAAACAGAGATATTCCCACCAGATGGAGCAGTGTGATCACCCCACTGTGGGGAAACAAAAAGATGGTCTCTGAACTTAAACTCAATCAGCAAAGAAGTACTCCAGCTAGGCTGACTGATGCAGGACTTCAAAAAGTCAAGCTGGTTCAGACACTCCTGGAGCCCTGCAGGTTAGTTAGAAGAGCCACTGTAAAATGTTCAAAAGCTGACACAACAAATGGGAGGTTAATCTTTTGAGGGGCTTTGGTTATGTTGTGAATGCCTCTTTTTTAGGGTGACCATATTCTGAATCCCTAAAAAGAGGACAGTACTACGTGGGGTGGAGTTGTGAGCGCAAAATTTTGAGGGTTTTTCAGGTCGGGTCAGGTCAAATGTTTTTTATGGGCCTCTAACTCAGTTAAACACAAATTTTGAATTCCCATAAATTAAAAAGAAAAAAAAAAGGATTACATTTTCTGTAGAAAATGGAGTGAATTATACAGTGTAAACATGTTTACAGATAGGACTATAATTATTTGTTGACGTGCCTTTTTCATGAATAGATTAAGATGACTTCACAAAATTTGCATTCTGAAGCTTCTTCCAGCCTCATATTAGAGAAAGCTTCATGATTTTTGACCACCCTGGTGTTGCAGTGCAGTGTTTATCCGAACAAATGATCTGAAAGTCAATATCCAAAGTACACGTCATTGCACTCATTTGATTGACAAATAAAGACAACAGTAAGTATTTATTTTTGTTAGGATGATGGACTCAAAAGATGTGTGGAATGAAAAACAAAAAAGATTTAAATATGCACTTCAAAAATGTTATTAGTTGCAATTTTAAATGAAAATTCTGAAATGTTTATTTCAAGTATATTTTAACAGCTGAATAAGTGAAGGGTGTTTTTGGGTTCAGGTAATACAAAGGTTATTGGTGGATCTGAACAGCTTTTCACAACATCCCCTTGAAAATGTAAAAAGTGTGAATGGCAGCTGTGCCTGTTTTGTTGATTAGTTTGAGTGTTAACTTTACTGTATCACATTGATAAAGGTTTGACACAAGAAGAGGGTGATATGAAGTAATATTTACTGACTGTTGTGTCCTGTAGATGAGTATGAGCAGAGAGAAGACGACAGCCACAGCCAGACCCAGGTCCAGATTAAAGACCAGAGTGGAGATCAGTGATGCTGTCCACACCAGCTGCAGACAGACAGACAGACAGACAGACAGACAGACAGACAGACAGAGGAGGCAATTTAAAGTCAGTGTCAGAGGAGGATTCAGACTGTTTCATCTGATTCTATGCAAAGAGACTGCATAAGGATAGCCTAAATTTTTTAAACTGTGCATATGTGTAGATTGAGTGTGTTACCCACCAGGTCTAATTTGTCAGCCTTCCAGAGCACACACACATCTTTGAACTGAGCCAGCATCCCCTGCAGGTTCACTGTGATGATCACTGCCAACACTGCCTGGAACAAACACAGCAAGGATTTATACCGAACACTGGCTGGGACACGTGAATCATCCTGACAGTCCGTCTCCTCCAGATGGAGAGTGACTTAACATTTCTTTGAAACATCTTCTCTGAGATGCTCTATTATTCATGTTGGTGGTTTATGAAAAGCTGATAAACACAAATTTTTTGGTATATTCTGTTTAAGAAACAGTGGAGGTACTGTTCAAAATACAAAAACTTTGTAGCTACTTAAACTTTTGAGCATCTATGTTGTACTCATAGACTGTATCTACTACGGACAACTTTGCTCCACACGCCGTCACTATACAAATTTGAAGCCAAATTGCTTTCTGTATTTTCAGGATTCTCTCCACTTCCTGGAACCACCACTTGCATAGTAGTGTTGTATGCATTCGGCAGGAGAGTCGCCGAGAGTTGCTGTAATGACGTTTTGCCCAAACAGCGTATCCCTCAGATGAGCTAAGTAATCTTCGTACGCCCATAGGCTGCATCAAGTGTCAATCATAGAAAACATTAATCCCCTTATAACTTTTAAAAATTGAGCTGCACAGAAAAAAGAGGACTTGAGCACAAAGCAGTCTTGTACAAACCAATACATGTCAACATTGCAACCAGGAGGAGAAAAATGTATATTCTGTGTAATAATTTCAAAAGTTTGTCCACAGCTCCATAGGGATTGCTGGAGGAGGCGGGATTTATGACCTATACTGCAGCCTGTCACCAGAGGGTGCTGTTCTCGGGGTGGCTTTACCCAGCGAGGAGGCAGACAGCGTCCATTCTATAAACAGTTTATGGTTGCACTCCATTTAAGTCCTGTATTGCAATAGAGGAAAATACTGTACTGTTAACATCATTGCGAGCTCTCTTGCCAACATGAAGACCAATTTCAACTTTCAGAAAGTGCATCTCAAAATCCAAACATTTGAATATGGACTTCAAAACGGAGCTGAATCAGTATTTTACTTTTACTAATCTTTGGCTGACCTAGCTTGAGGCAAAGAGGTGGAGTTGAAGAAGTAGACCTAGCCCAACAGTCAAGTTAACTGTGCGCTTATCTAAAACTCATAACCTTCTGAATTAAAAAAAAAAATCTCACACCCAGTACTATAAAGAAAAGAGCTATTCACGCTGAAATGTTTTTCATGACCAGGCTTTAAACCTTGTTTATTAATGCTGTGAAGATGGGCTCTTAGAATGGATGTGTATGTGGCTTTTAGTGCTTCTGCACCCAGCCCCAAGTGGATAGATGAGGAACTACAGTTTTTAGCACTTGTTGGTCTTATTACTCAAGATTGGAGGTTGCAACTTACTTCAAAAAGTGCATGACAATAGGAAATGAAAAACTCTATTGTATCTAAAAATGTCATTAAAATGAGTGGATAAATGTGGCTGTAGAGTGTATGACATCATGCCATGGGGAGGTTACCTTTGGCAGCTGCTCAAAGAGGTGACCAATCTTCAATAAAATGGTTAAAATCACCAAAGCCGAAACCAAACCTGCCATCTAATTAAACAGGATTAAAACAACAGAAAGAAATTAAGTTAGGAAAACAGGCCTGTTGAATAAATTCTGTTCTGATCTCAGTCTTTGGATTTAGATTATCTTGTCTACCTGTGACTGGACACCAATACTATCCTGGACCATACTGCGAGAGAAGGAGCAGCTGACTGCGAAACACTGGAACATTGCTCCGATGGTGTTACACAGAGCCAGAGCCAGCAGGTCCTGAAGCACAAAAAAAGACGAGAATACTTTGAAAATTCACACATAGGCAGCGGCACGTACTCTGGTGGTGAAGGGGATTTATTGTTCGTTGATGAGCCTAAAACGTAAACATCCTTTTGTTTGAATTTTTTCTCTAGAAGTCAATACTTTCATCAGCAAACACATGACTGAATGAATAAATCTGTGAACTGAGAGTGTATGAGAGAAAGTCAGTGTCATTGGTAAATCATGAACAACAGATAAAAAGATGGTAAAATAAAAGGCAAAAAATAAAAACCAAAAATAAAATCTCAGCAAATAAAACAGACTATTCCAAACTTTAAACACCCCTCAAATCAGCCAAAATCAACAGGCACTCCCTCCAAGCCTTAAAGGGGCCAGTTTAAGTGGACACTAGTTGCATGAGAGAGAAAAAGTCTGCACCCTCCATCCTGTAAACATGTTATATTGGTGAACAGAGGAAAGTAAGAAAACATCACCAAATATATATTTAGGCTTAGTAGAACAAAAAATGTGTCCAAAAACAACTAATTTGAAGTTTCACCAGGGTAGAAATGCTTTTTTTTTTATTATTGTATCTATCAAGGCAAACATGTTCAAAGGACAAAGCATGTAATGTTGCACTTTGAATATGAAAACAAGTTTCATATTGTTATAGAACCATTCCTGTGTCATCTTAATCCACTAATTGAGTAAACAGATGACAAATAGTATGAAATATCACACTTGTTACTGCCTGACTTCTTAAGCGTGCTACACAGAGTTATCTGCTGCTTTTAAAGGGTCACTTGTGTATGGGAGGGGGGCTGGAATAGTTGTGTGGGTATGGGCTGTGGTGGGGCCCAGAAGTCCTGTAACACCCCTGGAGCAACTTGCTGAGGTCTGGTTATTATGTCTAGCCCAGGCCCAAACTTAAAATGTGGGGGTGTCTGTTATCTACTCTGGTCTAGGAACCTCCATATCCACCAGGTTAAGCAGGCAAACTTGTTAGGGAGAGGGATGTCCAGGTAACTTCTTTAGCCGACGACCAAAGCCACCCAACCCAAGAGAAGCAGAAGAAAATGGATAGACTGGTGATTGGACAGATCGATGAACTTGTTTTCAAAATAACCTTATCCTTTTGGCACCTGCATACAGATTTTTCTTCCTTTTGCTGTTGTTTCAGAGGCAGACCATAAGAAATATTCAATACCAGTTTAAATACTGAAGCGTTTGAAAATATACCTGACTGGGGTCCACTTTGTAACTGTGTTTTCGAGCAAATACTGAGCCCATAGCTGAGAGGAAACTGAACCCAACCAGAGCCACACACAGAGCTGGGATGAACAGTTCTCTTGCCTGAGAGAGAGAAGGAAGAACTGGGAAAGAAAGCCTGAGGATGAGAGGGAAGGAAAGAGATGTCAATAGGATCAGCTCAGAGACTGTCATTTTATACAGAAAAAAAAAAGAGATATACAGTGATAGAATTATGACCTCAGGTTGAAGCTGAGTCACCTCCTGGATGACTCATCAAGCAGACTGAATTTCTCAAAACTATCAAGGCCAACACTACAAAGATACTTCTGTTATTTTTCCATGACTGGAGCAGAAACATGCAGAATGGGAGTTTACGTGTCAGAAAGACTGCAAGTCCTTGACTTACGTGTTAGAGGCTTACAACAAAGAAATGCACTTGTTTGACAAAATCAACACAGCAAAGGACAAGAGCTATCACAAAGAGATCAATTTCACATGCAAATAACAGGAAACACAGAGCTAGACTATGACACGTTCTACTGACCCACTAGGAATGTGTCCCACCACCTGGACTCTGTGCTGTCCTGCCAGATCCATCTGCACTGACACGACTGTGCAAAGGACAATCTGTGGGAGACAACAATGGACATGACATCTTCTGCACAGGATGAGCAACTTGGATGACATAAATAAACAGATGATTACATCTAAATGTTAGATCAATCCATCTGTTCCTGCACATGCATGTGAAAGAACACAAATACTGTCAGCCGACTGATACAGCCAGCTCTCAGACCCTTGGTTTAAACATTTTAAAGCCAGCCATTTAACAGGACTGAGCAGGGTGGTCAGAAGCCTGCACTCTTCAGAATAACGTGTTTTCATTGGAGTTTACTTCTACAAGCATATTTGAATTTATATGCAGGAGTTAGACATAATAATCCACAGAGAGTTGCTTTTGGATTTTTTCTTTTGTAAAAGATTGGACAAGCTGGAAAATGTGGAAATATTGAATTATAAAACAAAACACCAGATGACTGAACAGCTCATCAGCAGCCAGGTGCAGATATTTATCATATGTGGAGATTCTTGGATTTGCAGATGAAAACAGATTTTTACATAAGTATGAGTCACTTATCCGTTTGTCACTGCAGCATTTGCTTATCTGGGAGCATCTTATGTGCATGACTCTATGTGTGTATATGTGCATGTGTGCGTCCTTACCAATATAAGCTCCCATGGTATGGCTACAGGCAACTTGTTCTTAAAATGCTCATTCAGCATCTTGCCTCCGATGAGTATCACCATGGAAACCACAGAGACTGCTAGGGCTCCTGGCACAGCACTGGGGATTCCATGCAGAACATCCTTTAAAGTCTGGAAGAGGAAATATGCTCAAAGTTTCAAACTTCTTGTAAACTCATTAAATTCAAAGATACCCAATAGCAACAGGTATGGTTTGGGATTCATAAGTTATACTGCCCGCATTTATCTCTCCTCTAATGCCCTGTTGTGACCACTCTATGTAAGGAAAGTTGTGGATCTGGAAGTGAGGTTTTTCATGCGTGAGAGTCTAACTTGTGGTCTAATAGACCTGGAAGTAAACCAGGACCTGCATACAGCTGATAAACAACCCTGGTTCATTCCAAGCTTAGCCTTCACTTGGAAATCCTGTCCATGCTTTGGTGACAAAGTGCACCCTTGAAAGAGTTTGACACCATCCTTGAATTTGCCATTTGAGGTGCCAAGAATAAAAACAAAGCTATCACTCACTTACAGCAGCTCCCAAAGCATTTAGAAAGAGACTTCTAATTACCAAGACAGTGTGCTGGATTCAGTTCTTCAAGATCTCAGTTTCTCAGAGAGAAATGACAGAAACTTGGTGCCAAAAGGGGGCTATTTGACTGGAAATCCAAGACATAAAAACATTCAAAAAACTGTGTGCAAGTTTAGATTTTTGTTGGTTCAAAATTCTTAAGCAGCAAAATTAAGTCAGAACTATTTGTTCTGCATCCCTTTATACATAAGATGGTTTTGGTGATAGTTTTGCAGCCAGCTGTTCTAAACAAAGATCATGCAGACTTAAAGGGATATTCCGGCGATATTCCAACTTAAGCAAAGACCGCACAATAGCAATACACAGCAGTCTAAGTCTCCACGCGCAAACCTCAACCAAAACACCACTCTATAGCCACAAATAATGCTCAGAACAGCACCTAACTTCATCAACAGTACATATAGGGTCCCAGTCATAGTACTAGCCATCAAACATCTTTTCAGCTTTGCCTGGTTTCTTTAGCAAAGAGACTAAACACAACTCAACTACTCTCCTCAAGCAGGTGCTTGTTTGTGGGGGAGCCCTGATGACTTGAATACAGAGTGCAACAAAAAATTTATGATTATTATTTCATGAAAAATGACGGCTTGAAATGATTGAACTGATTGATTTAATGCATGTGAGATATCTCCATTTGCACTTTTCCATAGGCACATTTGACTACTTCATAAAGGCTTCAGCTTTTAATCTACCACAGAGGTCAGGCTGATCATGCTTGGCAATATGTTTGAATATAATTTTTCTGCAGTGTTGCAACTGACCCAAGTCCAAGCCAACAGTCCAGTGTATCTCTGAGCAGGTATTCCAGTCATAAGAGGCAGCTGCAGGACGATCACATGTAGAGCTGCTGCTGTGGTGTACCCTCTGATTACTGAATCTGACAACCAGCGACACACACCACCTCCACGCAGCAGGTACAGCAGGAGCTACAGAGAACACACACATACAAATACATGAAACTTCAGATTTAAGAAACCTTAAATTTGTTCCTTTGAAAGCTACCATTTAGTTATGACCTAAGTCAAAGTAAAAATGTATGTTTTATACCACTAAAAGTTGTCTAGCCATTAAACTCTTCTTTAGATGCTGGAAACATCTGGATTGACTTGAAGTGATTAGGCAGAACAGTGGAAAAATTCCTGCCCAGCTCCCAAGAGGGGGTTGAAATTCTGTGCACTCTAGCAACTCAGCCTACACGCCTACATGTTGGCTCTGAAAACCTGCACAAAGCAGGCTGAGATCAGTTGGACAGGGGTACACCTTTACAATCCAAAGGAAAGTAAAAAGTACACTGAACAAGACAACAGAATCCCTGATCTTTGTTTTGTCTTGTGAAGCTTAGGGGCAGTATTTCAAGCTGACTTGTTCTGTAGAAGAAAGAGTGTTTCAGAGAAAACTGTTGGGAAAGGATGAAACTGTTCAAACAAATGTGGTTCTAAGTGACATCCAGCTGTTAGATTCTCTTTTGCTTGTCTGCAAAATACAGACTTAAGACATAAGTAACAGGTTCATATAAGTGAAACACTGACTGTTGCAAGAATTGGACTCATGACTTGTTTCCGCCCATTGTAGGCTATGAAGCTACACTATCCAAAAAGTGACATTGAACTGGTGGAACCAAAGCATGTGCAGAAACAGTCTGGCTGCATTTGTACATGCTTTGGTTGGGTTGATTTGAAGTGGACGCGGTCAGTTTTGTGAAGTTTAAAGACTCTTTGTCAGTGTTTGTTACTTCATCTCTCAACATTCTCCTTTTACTCTGCTAATGCAGGAAACAACGCTGCTGGAGCTGAATTTATCAGCAGAGCTGTTAGTCATCTTTTTACCAACTGTCATGACAGAACGTATGTTTGAGGAAAATCATTTTTTTAAATGACATTAGCTAACATGACATAGGTTTTTACAAATAAGGACTTTTTGATGTGGGATATTTATGTCATTGATATGTCCTGGGTACAGAGATGACAGCTGAAGCCCATACTAGTGCTGCGGTGGAATTGCTATGTGCAAGAGGCTAGTGGCTTCTGATAGCATTCAACCACTTCCTTGCTTGAATTAACACACTGCCAGATAAAATTACCATGATCATTAGATTACAACATTACAAGCTAATTACTAATTTCCAATGGTAATTGTAGCTAACTAACAGCCAGAGGCTGGGTAGAGTCCTATTCTCAGGAGTTTTGACTGAATATGAGATTTGGTTGACTTAATCAATTATTGTTTAAGCTTTAAATTTGGCCCAATATCCCTCTGAATTTTCACTTTATAGTGTGTTTTTTCCCCCCTCAATGAATCATCAAGCGTTGATTTGTGAACCATGTGTCAGATACTTAACTCCCTATACTCATGTATCTAAACTATACTCACTACACTTAATAGGTGTATGCGAGGCATTGTACCTGTATGAGGCCACAGAGGAAAGTGAGCTGCACCGCCATGTTGACTTTTGCTGCTTGTATATCAATCTCACTGTCTTCACCACTGTTGCTAGGCAACTCCACATTGACTGTTACGGACCCAATCATGATGGCTAATAAAGCAAAAGTACCTGTCACACATTCACAGACAAAAAAAAAAAAAAAACGTACACAAAACTCATGAGCAAGGCACTATAAGTGTGGAAGACTGCAATAGAATAATAACGGATGTTGGACAGTCACCCATGGAGAGGTGTCGAGAAGTGCCGAAGATGAAGTAGATCAACAGAGGGTAGAGAGAGGTGTAGAGACCAAACACTGGCGGAACTCCCACCAACATTGCGTTGGCCATACCTGAGAAAGAAGAACAGCATTAGAGGTAAAAGGAAGAAATCTCAAGAGTAATCCAAAAAAGTAGTAACAGATCACCTGTTGTGACAATAAAACACTCAAAACACTAGCTGTGATATTTAGTCCTGCTGATGCAAGTATCAGGGGTGGATTCAGGGTATAGATACCGTGCCCCAGCCCTTTGACACTCCAAAATCCTAAACAATGATTGGCTGTTTCCCTAATCATCAATCAAACTTGTGTTACAATCAACTATTTTGTTTTTGATTTTTTAAGTCCCACTCTGATTGTTTTTTTTGTTTAATACTTAAAGTGCTCTCAGTGGTTTTAAAATTGTGATTTGGAAGTTTTTAGTCAAAATCATGTTACCTGTGTCATTTTCATGGGTTTTTCTTCTGCAGAGCTCCAGTAGCTCATTAGCAATTCACCTCTGAGTCATAACATTGCTGGTGTAGTAGAAGTGGAAGGTAACATTAGTGTCCGAGAGATAGCTCTCGGACACTAATGTCTTTGGGGACATGATGAAAGCTAATATCATAATAAGCTTTCTTATGAGCATTGCGATCCGCTACCGCACACGCTTGTTCCACAACCGTCCTCTCTACTTCACACAGTCTGGCCTGCATAGTGAGGCCCAGAGGGCAGAGCTTGCAGTTGTAACTGCTATCAGTGCAGCAGGCTCTCACTGTGTCTGAGCCTGCCATTTAGGTTTGTCAGAGGTTCACAGCGATTTGAATGCAGAAATACTCAGAAATGCAATTTTGCACTTATTTTTCTCATGATATGTCCTGTAGCTTCAGGAAAATGCCATATGAACATGAAGACAACAAGAAAAACATGGTTTTCATTGGAGTGGGTCTTTAACAAACGTATTTAACAGTCAACAGCAAAGACAATGCTTTACCTGATGATACACCTCACATCGAAAAAATCAGGTGCATTTCACCTCTGCTCGTCATCACTGTGGCAAAAAACCTTACTTTCAACCATAGACTGAATATAAGATGGACAGAGTCTGCCTCCTTGCTGGGTGAAGTCACTCCGAGAACAGCACCCTCTGATGGTGGGCTGCAGTACAGGTCATAAATCCCACCTCCACCAGCAAAGCTTATGGGACTGTGGACAAACTTTAGAAACTTATTACACAGAACATACATTTTTCTCCCCCCTGGTTGTGATGTTGACATGTAGTTACAGTAAGACTGGTTTGTGCCCAAGTCCTTTTTTTCTGTACAGCTCAGTTTTTAAAAGTTATTGGGGGGTTCATCTTTTTTAAAATTGACACCTGGTACAGCCTATGGGCGTTCAGGGATTGCGTAGGTCTCCCTGGGGGATACACTGTTTGAGGCAAGCGTCATCACAGGGACTCTCGGCGACTGCACGGCCGAATGCGCACAACTCTACTGCACAGCTCTGGTTTCAAGGAAGTGGAGAAAAAACCGGAATTACCGAGAGCTTTTTGGCTTCAAATCCGTATACAGGCAGGCGGAACCAGGTTGTTCATCTTATATACAGTCTATGCTTTCAACTAATGCTCTAAATTGGTAAAGATTGTTGGAAAACCGTTATTTTTCATCCCAGGCTGGTCTTGGTAGTTGTGTAACTATGACAGTCTCTACAGGCACAGAGATGATAGCAGTGTGAGGGGCTGCTTTGATGAGAGAGAGTTGAGCAAGATCCTGTTCTGCAATCCAGGCAATGACAACAGGGCTGGGGAGTGTGTCTCTTGGTTAATAATGTTAATGATAATGTTGGCTTTTATGTAAATTCTAATTTTAATTTAAATTCTAACAAATAAGCGGTGTAATATTTCAAACTGCAGCTGTATTAAAATGTAAAGCCAAATGTTGATTTGTCCTGTAAAGAGACTGATAAGAATTAAAGTTTGACTGAGTGTGGAATCAAAGGGACTTTTTTGCTGCATAAATACAGGTTTTGAAGCAAATGAATCCTCTTTTAATCCATATTTGATGTCAACATGTTTAGCTCTGAAGTTGGAAATAAGTCCTGGCAGGACGAGACAAGACCTGCTTTGTGCCAGGGTCCTGATCACCTTGTTAGGACTCCATTTTGAAAAGGACTTTGTGTTTTAACCAAAATCCAAATTCTTTCAGTCTTTTTTCATTTAGTCAGCAATGGTAGTAGCAGTTTGTACTTCTTTTAAATCAGTTAATACTCTTTGGACAATTAATTCTAGATGCCATCTCAGACTTTGTGGAGCCAACTAAACAGCATAGATGTGTGTTTTTATTGTCAATCATATTGCTGCACATGGAGAAGCACTCTCCACTGTCATCAATTTTACTGCAAATACATCCATAATGTGTAAAGTTAACATAATTCCTCACTAAAGATCATTTCAAACCTCAGTAAAAACCCAGAAAATATCATTAAAAAAGTTTTACTAAGGGTATTGAGAAACAAAGAAGTTGGGATTTTTCCCCTGATGGTTTTATTCTTTTAGACATCTCAGGTTAAGGGATTCAACAGGGGCCTATGTAGTAGAGAAGGGATGCCTAATTAGGCTTTAAATGACAACTTTACACATGTCTGCATCCAAATTCTCTTCTGTGCACTTGTCTTGCACTGTTATCTAGAAGATGCATGCTTCTGTTTGTGGAAGTAAGACCTTGACATTTTCTTAAGTTTTAAGATGATCAGTATTATGTGCTGTTGCATCCTTACCCTGTGGGAGATGCATGACCCCAACACTAATTCCAGACACCAGGTCTCCAATGGTGTTCTCTCTGATGGAGTAGCGAGGAAGCCATGACAGGACAGGGAAAAAGCCCAGCAGTAAGCCCTTCAACCTGGGACCGGAACACCTGGAAGAACAACCACACACAGACACAGGGTTAACGACCCCAAAGCTCAGGAAGAATCAGTCTCGATAAGCCTTAAAAACTGGCTGAGGGCCCATACTGACTTACAAGGCCTAAAGCCAAATCTATTTTTAGACTCACCAACATTGCGCCTTCACTTTTTCCAAAACAGACAGGGGCTTCTTTGCCACTCGCTCCCCAAAGACATCCAGCTGTGCTTCGTCCAAGCCAACAGTGAGATATGACTGCCTGTTGGGAGAAAGGCCATTTGGCTCAACGCTGTCCATCTGAAATCAATGACAGAGATTACTGGCAGAGCAGGGAAGTTTCACTTTGACATTGTGCCAATACTGGGTGTGTGTGCTTGAGGTGTCTTGTGCACTTTTCTGTATGTATATCAAATGTGTATACAGTTCGAGACAAAGAACACAACATAAAGGTAACTGTGAAGACTTCCATAACAAACCAAAGCAGTGAGAGAGAGGTGCCGGCTGAGTCTGTATCAGCACGAAGCTGCATGAGAACAAAGCGTTCACATGTGCCACAGCGTGCGTGTAATAGGATAACACACAGGCGAGGCTCCACAAACTCTCACACGTGAGTCGAGGAAGGTAGAGAACAGCCTTGAACTCTGCACATTACAGAGAGTTTAGTGCCCCCTTTCTCCTCCCCTTTACACCCCCACCTCGCCCCATTCAGTGCATCTGAATGCCTCTATTATCACCGCCCAGCTTTCAGACTCATGGACCGAGTATGTGTGGTGACGTGTATGTGCATGCTTGTGAAAGAGGGATACAGAGATAAAATGGGTGAAAGAGCAAAGTGAACCAGGAAGCAAAGTGTCTCTGTTTTAATCAACCTAAATGTTTTCCACTTTGTACAGTAGTTATTTTTTGTGGCTGTTGAAACTGAGACAATGAGAAATCAATTGAACGATTTTATGAGGAACATGAAATGTAGACAAACACAAACCAGAGATTACAAAAAGGACAAAAAAGTCGTTTGCTCTGAACACAAAAAAACCGAATACACTTCTCAACCATAGACTGTATAAAGAATGGACAGAGTCTGCCTCCACGCTGGGTGAAGCCACTCCGAGAACAGCACCCTCTGATGGTGGGCTGCAGTACAGGTCATAAATCCCGCCTCCGCCAGCAAAGCTTATGGGACTGTGGACAAACTTTAGAAATTTATTACACAGAACATACATTTTTCTCCCCCCTGCTTGTGATGTTGACATGTAGTTATTGTAAGACTGGTTTGTGCCCAAGTCCTTTTTTTCTGTTCAGCTCCGTTTTTAAAAGTTATTAGGGGGTTCATGTTTTCTATGATTGACACCTGGTACAGCCTATGGGCGTTCAGGGATTGCGTAGCTCACCCGGGGGGATATGCTCTCGGCAACTGCGCGGCCGAATGCGCACATCGCTACTGCGCAGCTCTGGTTTCAAGGAAGTGGAGAAAAACCCGGAATTACCGAGAGCTTTTTGGCTTCAAATCCATATACAGGCGGAAGGCGGAACCAGGTTGTCCATAGTATATACAGTCTATGTTCCCAACATGTCAAACCACTTAAAGTTTGAGTTCATCATTGGAGCATATCTAGAAGATATGCTCTCTTGAATAGGCAAAGTGTCAAATCCAGAAGTGTCAGTGCTAATGGACCATATTTCAAAAACTGATTGGAATTTGAAATACCTTGAAATACCTGTGCAGCTGCTCTATTTACAGTAAATGCAAAAACATGAATAAACGCAGGACTATTTTCAGGAATTTAGTGTGTGCTGCACAGTGGCAAACAATAACCATAACTGCAACAGTAATAAAATTAGGAGCAACACTGAGGAAAGACACCAAAACAAAAGAAAAAGGGAAACAAATAATTAAAAAAAAATGATCTGTTTATTTTTATTTACTTATTTATTTATTTATGTATATATTTTTTTATTTATCCACTTAGTTATATCTTTTAATTTGTTTTATTTTTTTATTATTCTTTTGGATCTTTATAAAATCCCCTTTTTTTCTATCTATCTATGTATCTATCTATCTAGCTAGCTAGCTAGCTATCCTGACTAGTAGCCCTCGGGGTTGGGGGTAGGATTTCAGTCTGGCACAAAAGCAGTAACATGACATCCTGATACTGGGTCATAAGGTTTTTTAGGTTTGTTATTCAGTGGAAACAAAAAATAAAAATAAAAATAAAAAATGACTTATTGGGCTAAATATAAAGCATTAACAATAAATGTGTTAAAACTACACTTCCCCCAACTTTCTCTGGCTTGTAACCCCCTTAGGATCTTGAGTGGTCCTTAACAGAAAACCCAAGAGAACCTGTAAAATAATAAATAAAACAAACATGTATGATATGAAAAATAACAGAAAATTACAAATAAATGAACATTTTAGAAAATCAAAACCTAAATCAGGACCTAAAATTACTTAAATGGTGCATATGAGTATATTTAATATTAACGATCCAGAAACGATGACACATGCGGTTTTCGTGCTTGACATCCTTGTTGCTACTCAATCCATCCCGGAAACCCGATTTAGACTGCACATGTGCGAAACATATGTCAATTCCTGTACTAGCCATCTGTGGGACAGCTCAGCAATTCTTTGCCCCTAGCGGTTACCAACAGCTTCGACATTTGTTCAACAGTGTCACTATCAGCAAGCTCGCTTCAGTCAGAATGGATGCTTCAGTTTATCACCAGCTACACACTTTTCTCCTGAAAGAAGTGTTATCCCCGACTGAAGCAGAGCGCCAAAAAGTCAAGAGAATGGCGCCCAGTTTCACGATTTAAGGTTCCTACTACTAGCTTAAATGTAAAACTGCAACATAGTTAAAAAAGGCTTGAATGAATGTGAATATTTCATTGTTGAAATTGAAATGCTGAATGTGTAGGCGTCTTGTTAATTAATTTAATTTATAAAATTATTGAAATAACCCCTTTTTTTTAATAAAAGGGGGTTAAATAAAGATACTGGTCATATGTTTCATAATTAAGTGTTCCCTTCCCTTCATCTTCCCTTGATACTTTGAAAAGTCAGAGAACCGCGTCTTTGACCAGGTTGCGGCGCACTCTGTGGCCCAGAAGATCTTACTGTGCTGGGCAGTAGCTTTGACGAATGCCTCGGCATTATCCCTGGAACCTCCTGCTAGCTAGCCTGTCCAATGAAGTAGATTTGCACTTGAGCAGTTGGATCAGGTAGGTAGCAATAGCAATGCTGTAAAATGCATTGAAATATGAAGAGAGGAAGTGATGTACGTTTCGCACATGCGCAGTACAAATCGGGTATCTGGGACTGATCTGGTAGCGACAATCCTGTCTAGAAGGATCTTCCCTGTGTAGATTGACACATGTTGGAAGCGTGGAGCAGCAAAAAAAGACTTGGCGCATATCTTTAGCAGAGCTTGTTTTTGTTTTTCATGACCACCTTACCTTTACACTCCTCAAATTCTAATGTGCCCTCTGACCGCTTTTTAAATGTTCTCTTTGTTTATATACAAACGTGTTTTTTTTTTTTTTTTTTGTCTTTCTCTTAACAGGGCAGTCATTCTGGACTCCTACAATTATTTATTTATTTATTTATTTTTTGGCTTGTTCACCTGCGGTTCACACAATAAGACAAAACATTTGAAGAAAAGCAGCTTGCCTCATCCTATGAAGAGGATCACTCTAGGGGGCACCTGTTGAGGTAGAATAGGTGCTCCAATGCAAAGCAGTCCTCAGAGAATAAGCTGGACTCCAGAGGGCTAAACTTACAGGGCTAAGTCAACTGTCCTGTCTGTTCAAGGCAAAGTGCCAAAATGATCCTTATAACTGAATAAAATAAAACTTTAATATTAATTCATAGAGGACTTGCTCAGTCACAACGACTGTACTTCCTCATAAGTGTATCTGTCTCAAAAGCAGCATGAGGTTTCTGATGCGTTCAGCACGATGGCGAGGTGACTGATGCAGTGGAAGTTCAAAGAAAGAGAAGGTGAAGCTCCGAGAGAAGCTGAGATTGGTGATGGGACGCAGTGGTGGGAGACGAGGAGGACGAGGCACTCTCTGTGGTCTCTGAGGCAACACCCTCCGCCTCGACCTGAGCCCCCTACCCTCTCCATCTAAAGAGACAGAGAGGGATGAACATGATTGAGGATTATTTATTTGGATTTGGTTGCATGGACCACATTTATGTGGTTATTCCAGTCATACCTGGATGATCCTTGGGGATGACAGCAGGTGAAGAGGGAACCTCTGATTTAAAACTGGAGCTTGAATCGTCTTCACTCTCTCTGCCTTGATATGGGGTGGAAGGTGTGGGCTGAGGAGCAGGTGGGGGTGGAGGTGGAATTGGCCGAGGAGGTGGGGGGATTAATGTTAAGGAGGATTCTGACAGAGCCAGACCACCCCATGGTGTCATGGTGGTGTCTGAGAGGGGAACGGAAGTAGGGCCAGTATTGGGGTGAGAGGAAGACAAAGACATCTGCGGCTGGCTGCGCTTCCGGCTGTTTGCCTGATGGGGACGTCGAAGAGCTGGGGAAGGAAGAGGGGGCTTGGCTGTAATATGAAAGAAGGAGGAAAAAAGAAATTCAGGTGGTAGGTAGATTTTAGTGTCCTAGCTTTAAACCCTCACGTTAACATGCATTTGATCTTGGCTACATATTGAGTCCCTTTATTTTTTCCATTTTGCATACATGCAAGTAGTTGTAGAGAAACTGTTTGCATTCAAACAAAAAATGCTGATAAAGCCATCAGCATAAACCCAAGCAATATCAAGCATAGCCTGGTCCTGCAGCATAACAGGAGAATTAAATTAATAAGAAGCAGATAACCTGTTGTTTTCCTTCTAGATGAACCAATATGAGGCAGCTGTTGACGCGACATCATCAATCTGCGATCCTGTGACAAAAGCAAGTCAAGATTAAACCAACGACTATATGGACATATTCATGATTAACATGTCCTGCCAATAATTGAACATGTAGAGTCCAGGGAAACCCCTTAAGCTCAACCCACAGTACATCAGCTGATCCTTATGCCAGCCAACAGCAGCATAGAGCTCAGCCAATTACTTTCTACTTCCTATTGTTGCTGCTTCCTACACCGGTTGCTTTGCAATCAAACAGCAACACCTGGGGTCTGTACTATGGCTACATTCAAACTGCAGGTTATAATGCACAAAAAGATCAGATTTTTTGTTCAATCCGATCTTTTTGTGTGGTTGTTCACATTACAACAACTAATGCGGCATCTAATGTGAATGGAATGCATCCGTGAAGTGACCTGCATGCGCACAAAGCACAAATTGCTTTCTGCGCCTGTTTGTGTTGTCGAACAATGGTGACGTTTGTCGCATATTGATGACGTATAGGTGGGATGAACGCGCCTGAGCGTCCACACTGCAGTCACATCGGATACATATCCGATTTATATTCACATACAAAAGAGGCCTGGGTCGGATTTGAAAAAATTAGAATTGCACTGTTCACACTTACATGAAAAAATCAGATATGTGTCACATATGGTTAAAAAATCGGAATTGACCTGCAGTGTGAACATAGCCTACGAAGCTGGATTAACACACCCAGGATAACTCTGCCACAACTCACTCAACTTCACCAGACCTCCGTAATCCCGATCAGCTGTACTACAATGCAGGATATCAACTTGCTAACTGAACTCAATTGTGGCCAGTCTAGATCTATGCACGCACACGTACAGAGGGCGGGGTCAGTGCCACCGGACCAATCTCCACAATGAAGAAGGCTGCGTGTCATATTTCACCACTGAGGAACAGAGCACTATTTTACACAAATACCAGGAGTACCGCAACATAATAGTGGCAAGGAGCAAGACTGCAGCAGCCTCTAGAAGCCAGAGGGACTGCTGGCAAAAAATCCCCTATTGTGTAAATTACATTTGTGTGTTCATAAATTCATGGTGCCCTAATATGTTGTCATGCTGTGTGTGTGATCACCATTACCACTAACCTCATTATTTCCGATGCAACAGCAGTGGGAAAAGGGTACATGGGAGCAGGTTTACTGGAAGATTTTATTTGTACATATTTCAACATGTAAACAGTGATTTCCTCACACTGCCTTGGTAAGGACCCCCCCTTTTTTTTCCCTAAATCATTTGATGGCCATATGTCATCTGCAGACACATTTGGGGTTAAGAGGGGTTTTCTAAGCTGCTTTAGTAAATTCTAAATGATGACTGATACGCTGCATGTAGCTGGAACTTGGAGCTTGGCAAATATTAGTGCATTGCTTAGACTTCATGCCACTTGAATATTGAGGCGTCCAAAGAAAACCTGAAACGTTCATTGAGAATGACTCAATAGGTAAATCAAACAGATTTTAACAATCACGAATATAACGCTCTCCGCAATGCGCTTCTCTCACTATCCGTGCACAGATATCCACAGGATCTGGCAAAAGTGGGCAAGCCATTGTCCAAGCGATCCGACTGGTCAGTGGGCGGTTTTTTGTACCGCCCACTGAGATCTTATCCTGAAACATAACCTGAAACATAACCTGCTCTGGAGCAGGTTTGGCGTTCCGCGCAAGTTACTGGGGCAACGGAACCAGATAGAGAGAAATCCACCTTTGTAGTACAGAAAACGCAGGCGTTATTCCAGAAGTTATCTGGCTAAGATCAAATCCGGCTTCATAGTACAGGCCTCTGGTCTTGAGAAATAAAGCCAATACGTAGGTACTAATAACTGGAGGTGCCCGCTCGTGTCACTTTAACTACCTCTACTTGTTACAGTCTAATTTACACACCGCCTCCATGAGCCCCTCATTTTTATAGTGTCTGATTTCACCAGTGTGCTGTCTTTGCTGCTACACTTACACATATATACGTGTGTAAGGGAAGCGAGTTGTCAGACCCGATTAATCCTGCCAAAAACAACTCATGGCACGAAAATAATCATTTTCTTTGACAAAAGTGGTCCTGACTGAATTATCATCAAGCATTATAGCAAGCTAATGTATGAACCTGGATATATGCAGTGTCAAAACCTGTTTCTTTGCCTTGTCTTATCAGTTTTTGAGACAACAGAATTTTAAATAAGGACTGAAAACTTGATAACTAGGTAGAACTAACAGTAAAAGGTGGACCTCTTAATCCCTCTGGTCATTCATTTAGTGACATATTGGAACAAAAGAGGCTGTTTTAGAATTTGGCTACACGCACTGAAAGAGCAGTAAAGCTAAAGAGAGTCGAGAATGAATGTATTTGTTTTGAAGGATCATTAGGGCTCAGTATTGCTGCAGCAATAAAGGCTGTCAGAATGAAGAACTGGAGTGTTTGAGAGAGCATATTTACCTCTTTGATGGGTGCTAATTGTCGCTCCTTTGGTGCGTTGACAGCAAAATAGGAGTCACTGCCTCACTACGCTCATTTCATCTGAAAACTACAGATGAGCATTTCAGGAAAACATCAGACACAGTCTTTTCCCTCAAAACAAAATTCATCCAAGATACACACCCTTAGTTTTTATTTCTCAGTAATTTATTGGTAAAATTTCCGTCTCTTGTCTTCAGCAGTTCCCCTTTCTCTGTTTGTCCTCTTCTCAGGACAGCAGGTGCCCTCTCTAAATACCCCCCACCCCCATTCCTCCACTTAACCCTGTCAGCTCTGTTGCTTTCTCTCTCCCGCCTCTTTTTACTCTCACTGTCTCCCCTATTGTAAGTGATAGTGTGGTTACACAGGTGCTTTGTATCTCTCTCCCCTAGAACAATCATAAGAAGTGCATTCGTTTTGGTGTGAGTGACATAGGTATTGAACGAAAGAGCTTTTCTTAAGTCACTCCTCTTCCCCCACCTCCTCTGCTTTCTTCTCCTCCTCTCTGAGTGACAGGCAGTGAGATGGGTTCTTGACAAAAGGTAATCGTAGATGAGGCAAAAATATTAAAATATTCATGATACCTGCAGCCCGCCCCTTCATGGGCGATGACCCTCATCTCGCTCTGGAATACTGATGCACAAAACTCGAGCACACAAACTCATATCAACCTGCCATATACAAAAGTATGTTCTGCTTCAGCAGCACTATTTCAGCGTTAAAATTCACACCCTTAAGCTGACAATGTAACTGTATTGAATGGACCCTGGTGCACAAACACACACTCCATTTGCGACTCCTACAGCCACAACATGAACAGCTTCTTTGCATGTGCTAACTCTTACTGATGATATGTTTTTGTGCAGCTACTACACATCACTTCAACCATTACCTCACACAGGCTGTGTCTCATTTCAGAGACCGCAATGTTGAACTGCGCATTTGAAGTGTGCATGATGTCATCACGCGGCGCGAACGGTGTCCTATTTGGCACGAAATGCTAAGCGCGCTTCAAATTCGGGCTGTGTCCGAAATGGCATACTGCCTACTGTCTACTTACCTACTCAATCAGTACATACTGCATACTGAATACTCAAAGATGATTTGAGTATGCCGCGGCTGCCCGAGCGTTTACACACAGATGCATACTAAATACCCCAGAATGTATTTCGTGCCGGCCGGACGCAGCGGCGGGAAAATGTAAATAGTCCTACCACAGGCTACACAAAACGACTGCATTCCGGAGAAATTATATAAATTCATTCAGCAATAATATTTTTTCTAGCGAGAAAGTAAATGTTTACATCACGATTATAAGCCCAGTTGTTTGAAATAACGGCTGTTTGTAAATTTGTCTCGGCGTTTTCAGAGACCGAAGCGTCCGCTTGGTGGGTGTTTGCTTAATCAGCATTTCCACTTAATGATATACATATATAAATAGATAAACAATATTTAGTCAGTATACATTACACAATTTTTTATGATTTTATCATATTTTTATCTTTTTACCAGATTTATTTGTATTTTAAATTAGGATTGTAGGTAATGTTTTTAACTATTCGTATGAATTGACTTTATTTATTTAAGTGTCTATTAAAGATGTATTTATTACAACAAGTTTGAGCATCTTGTATGAAGGCCATATAGAGAATTTTTTTAAAGACTTCGAGATTTAAGTTGTGAATTTAGTATGAGTAGTACGAGTAGTATGCCATTTCGAACACAGCCCCGGTCTCAAAACCACACTACCCCCGCCCATTTTTGAAGCGTGCATTTATGCACGCTTTCGTGGCCTTGGTATCCCAGAATTCTTTGCGTGCCGCTGCACAGCTGCGCATGTCGGGTGAGGGGCTGGACTCGCTTGGAGACGCAGCGCGTCTTCAAAGAAAATAAAAGAAATCCAAAAACAGCAGACAGTCAGCTCAGGCTGCATGAGCGCATGATCGCTGAACTCACTAAAATCTGCAGACCAAACATTATAGTCTTTAGAGACGAACTGATCCGCTCTGCTACCACAATCAAAAACATTAGAAATAAGAAAGCTGACAAAACTACAGCAGAGTATCATTGACACATCGAGTTTTTTTTTTTTTTTTTTTTTTTTTTGAGACTTAGAGATTAAAGTTGTAAACTTGGGAGAATCTATAAAGTCATAAAGCTGCTTTTGTGGAGGGGTGAAGCTGGTCATCTGCAGGGTTATCTGTGGATGTATCAGCGGGTCATTCAGAGAGTTTTTGTGGTTTCTGAAGAAACAATCAAACTGATGATGATCAACATTTGTGATCCAGAGGGAGTCGAGCTCCGACGAGCACCACGTCTCTGACACCGGCGATTACCTACTGCTGCAGAGACACCAACGCTGTATTATGGCATATGGATTTAAATCGTTATTAATGTTATTTTTTTTGACCTGCCAGGGACTACAGATGAAAAGTAGCCTTTGGCAAATTCTGGCATATTTATATTTGTATGTTCATTAATATGCGGATAAACGGATTTCTCCGCATCATATCCATTTCTGCCTCCACAAAAGCAGTGATTTCCTCCAAGTCCACCTGCTTTTTTTTTTAATCCAGTGGCGGTTCTAGACTAAAGAAACTTACATTTCTCAAATGCACAAATCATTCAATAGAGCATTTACAAAACACTTCCAGAAAATCCAGTTATTACATCAGCAAAGACACTTTTTAAGGTGCATATTCTTCACCTCCAACAGTGCAAAAGACAATGGGGCAATTCTGCACAAAACAGGTTATCAGAGCTTAAATAATAAATATACACTATATACATAAAAGTGGCAAATATTTAACAAAAAATGTAACAAGACAGTACGAGAAGAGAAGAATAATATAAAATATTAAATAAAATATAGACTACTAATCTTACATAGCAAATCACACAAGTTTGAAAACACACTAAAGAAATGTGATTATTCTATGACAGGAAACACAAACTAAAACTAAAACCTGACCTTTCCTGCCTTCCTTGATGCAAAATCCTCAATAATCTTGTCATAAGAAATCTGCTCCCCTATTAACCCATAAAGACCTGAACCCTGTCTGAGACATGCCTCTGAAATCCTGAGGGCCATTTTAAGAAGGGCCCCCAGATCATGAGGTTTTCTTAACTGTTGAGGTTTACAAAAAAGCTGATATCTCAGCCTCTGTAGTAGATAGAAACAAAATTTAAAAAGTATTTGAGAGCTTACACGTGTGGCTTTCAAGATAATTATCTATTATTTGTCCAAACTTTTATCACATTATTGAATACCTTGAACAAACAAACTTAAATGAAATAAAGCCGCTGTGTAAATAAAAGTAAAGGCTCTGCACAGGAGAATAACAAACTGTTTGCTTTCTGTAAAACAAGTGGCAGTCATGATAAAGTGTCCATTCAACACAAATGTAAATATAAAAAATAAAGTGTTGAGTGTATACAGCTGCCCCAGTATAGTGCCAGTACAAAAACAGCACTAAAAACTAAAAAATGAATAAATAAATACGTGTCTGACAGTGTGTTTACTTTACTCTTGAAGCACGTAGCAAGATCCGAGCATGAATCCGATCACCTTTTTAGCCTATCAGAGGCAGACAGGTATGATGATTTGATTTGCACGACTCCAGAAATGATTAAAAAACTACAGAATGTTACAAAATGACATATCCGCACTCCCGGCTTTAAGAGTAGAAATGCGCAGCTGCGCTCCCGGCTTGGAAGGCTGATATGTGTACATGCTGTCCCGGTTTAAATGGGTTAAGTGATTAATGCTGATGACGGCAAGGCCGGTGAGCCGTTCCTGAGACATGGTTGACCTTAGGTACAACTTTATCAACCTCAGTTTTGAGAAGCTCCTCTCTGCTTGAGCCACCGTGAGTGGCAGAGTGAGAGCAATCCTGAGAGCAGAGCTGTCCCCCGCGACCCTCTCCCCGCCTCATCTCATACAGTCTGTCAGCCTCTGTGCGGCACCTTCGCAGCAAGCAGAGGCGCCTACAGCAGCAGGGGGCGCCAACACAAGAGTTAATACAAAACCGCTTTGCAACGCAGATTTATTATTATTATCTTTTATTTTATTTTTTTGGAAGTGCCCGTGCCGCCCCCCATGAGTCATGACACAAATGCTGCCCTGGGCGGCTGCCCTGTTCGCCCATGCCTAGAACCGTTACTGTATGTATCTATTGTTTGTGTCTGTCAAGGTCGCACAATTAAAAAATAACTGTTGTGCTATGTGGCTTTTCTTCAAGTCAGTCGTGACGCGAGCCTGAGGGCGGGGACATTTGGTGACTCAACCAGGAAGTCCTCCGAAAGGTAGTGTGTCCCATTTCCCAAAAACTGGACCATCTCACTCAGGGTACTTAAGTCCATATAACGGCAGTGCGCTTAGCTAAGCGCGCTTAAGCGCGCTCAGCCTGATGTGGTCTCTGAAATGAGACATAGCCTCAGCGTGCTCGGGCACACCTCATCGGCGCGGCGGACCTGACTTATGCTGCACCTGTGCCATGCTGCTCGCAAGGCACAAAAATAGAGCCCATCTCTTTTATGAAACGCTTTTTTTGTCATCAGTCTGGTGGTGGAACCCTTCATAACCCTGGGCCCAGGGTGCAATATTTTTTTTCGTAGGATGGTCGGGGAAGGTCCCGCCTCCTTCGCCTCTGATTGGCTAGAAGTGCTTGGCTCCGATTAGTCATTCCTTATGGCTGTGAAACGTCATCGTCCGTCGGGTTACAGTTAGGTAGGGTTGGGAGATTCAGAATTGTGAAAATGTTCTTTATTGTTCTGTCTGCTGTACAGAGCCGACAGCCCGCGCTCGGCTTGAGTGATGACGTTTCACAGCCATAAAGAATAACCAATTGGAGCAAGCACACACACACACACACACACACACACACACACACACACACACACACACACACACACACACACACACACACACACACTGGTCCTCACTATTTCATCAATATTACTAAAAAGGGTAGGAAAAAAATGCATTTTTACAAACTCAAAAAGGCAAACATTCAGGCAAAAAATAATCATTATAATAAGAAATTTTATTTGTAAACACCCAAAGACACCGTACAACGTACAGATAAAAACAAACAGTTAAAAAACGAAAAGCTGCAACATTTTTTTTAAGGGAGATCTGCAGAGTGACAGTCAGGGTGGGTATGATTGTTTGAAAAGATGGGTTTTAAGATGTGATATAAAATGACTAGAAAGCTCTAAAAAAAAATTGCACTAGATGAAACCCCTCTTAGATCTTTATTTTGTGCAGCTAAGATATGTTCTAATACTCACTGTCATACTTCCCCTGGCTGGAGACCACAGCTCCACAGGATTAGCCAGGTCCACTCAGGGGACTCTTTCCACTCTGCAGGATTTAATCAGTTTCCTAACAGCTCCTGCAGTGAATGATTTATTTCTATAATGCTTCTTTAGATCTGGTCTGTTATTTTGAGCCTGTAGTGATGTTGAAGTGATGTTTTTTGCAGTCAAATGTAATGGGGGGGGGGCAGCTCATTCACCACACAACCTGGATAAAAGCTTTCCACCAGGAAGACAGTCTTGCATGGATGTGATTTTATGACAATACATGAGATAAAAGCTGTGAATCAGCATATTTCTGAGGTACTTTATGGTTTAAAGGCATGGACTCTTGTTTGTCTTCGGCTGTGAGAAAACTGAAAACTGTTCAAAAACCTTCCTGCCAAACTGAGACTGAACATCAAAAATATCTCCAGGGGCCTGTTCTACGAAGCAGGATTACTGCTCAGCAAGGTAACTTCGAGGGTAAATTCGGGGTTTCCTGTTCTACGACGCGGGTTCACTTCTTAGCGAGGCGAGTCTCCATGGCAACGAACGCTGACCGACTAACCTGGTCTGGGGCAGGTTAGGTTCCAGATTGAATTTACAGAGTATAAAAACCCCGCCCACTGACCAATGAGCTCTCGAAAAATGGCTTGTCCGTTCTTGGGGGATCCTATAGACCTTGGTGCTTGGTGCATTGTCCGAGGAGCACTCCGGCGCACGAGAGTTTTCAGGGACCACACGGACCCACTTACTTTTCCGGATGACCACCTTTATGAAAGGCTCATATGGCCTACATATCATTCAAAAAAATGTAAACACAATGAATGAATTCATCTTGGAAATGAATTAGACATGTCTGGTGCATGTCAAAAGCGCATGTTGAACAGTGCTATTTCAGGGTGATAATGGCATCAAAGATTTTTTGCGCACTATATTTACGCATTGAGACTGTCGGCAATTTTCTGCCAGCATTCCTTCTGTGCGTTTGCAGTGGCGACGGTGTTGATTTTGAGGTTTATGATAGATTTGAATTCTTCATACTTTCTCATGATTGTCTCCTGCTCCTCGTCTGTAAAGTATGTGGTCCTTTGCTCCGGCCTGCTCCGACAAAGCTGGATCCACTTACGAGGTTGATAACCAGCGTCGTAAGACCGTTAAGCGAGACCGCTGGCTACCGCGCTAAGTTGAGTGAGGAAGCTCCGAGGCTACCTCGCTAAGTCGAACTTGCTTCGTAAAAGGCCCCTGATCTCCAGTCAACAAAACCATCCCTGTTTGGTGTGTGGCTTCTTTCCTAAAGGGGGCACAGATGGCAGAAAAATCAGGGATGGATTTATTGTTCCCTTAAAAATAGCCATGAAATTTTATTTTCCTTGATTAAAGGCCTCCAACAAGCAGAGAATCAATCAGGGTCCAGTCACAGTACTTTGATCTTTAGTTTGGCAAACAGACTGAAAATCAGGACTTAGTTTCAGAGACAAACTCCACTTAAAATAACAAATAAAAAATAACTTCAGATAACGTCTGCTGGTATTTGAGCTTTAACTTTTAACTGTGCTCGGAAAACAACGTTACTTTTAGATTTGACTATATCTTTAACCAGCTGCACAAGATATAAATGTCTTACATGACTCCAATAAACCTTGCTGACACAAGATAGAAAATAAAAAACTTTGCTTGAAATTACAAAAGTAAAATTTAATACATATTAATTTTTCATTTTCAACAAGGAATATTTAAGGCCTGGAGAGCAGACCAACTTGCAAGTCTGTGTAAAATTTGCTCCGCTTCATCAACTTTAAAGGATTTCTGTCCAACTTCAGGCCACTCAGAATTGTTTGTTTTACAAAGATTTAGTAGCAGCTAAGACATTTTGTAAATAAATAAAAAGGCACCATTGCTACAGGAGACTCAGGATCCATTCCCGTGTTGAACAAACAAGCAAACAGATGTTTAACTTACGTTGACTTATGATGTTTAACTTTTAAAGATTGGGATAAGAAATATAATTCTGAAGTAATTCTTTGGAGCAGGGCCATCTTTGATTCTACTTATGCTGATTTTTCTTGCAAAGTCACTTTGACTCTGTAATGGTCTTTTTGCTTTTCCATTTCTCCTCTGGCTGTCCACATCTCTGTATTTCTGACTCTTAAAAGTTGGAAACCTTGTCCACAGACCAGCACCCATCCCATCTTTTTGCTCTGTGTCTCATCACTGGTTGTAGAAACTTTGTTACTTGGATCCCTCACAACATCAGCAGGTTCCCCTCCTCTGGCCTCATCAGCTGTTTCTTCATACCCCACATTGAATCTCCCTCTTGTCTTAAGCATCAGTTTTGACTGTGTTGGACTCCCTTTCTGTCTTGTGTCTGCAGTCTCCAGCTTGGGCTCAGACCTTGTTTTCCTTTTGTCATCTTCTCCCTCCTCCTCTATCATCTCTCGCTCCCACACTGAGAGTCCTGCAGCATCTGCAACATGAGAGCACATCGCCCCCTTGTGGCTGATACCATTACTGCTGACCTTCCACAGGCAAACCCTCTGATCTGAAGACGTGGAGACCAGGAGGGCAGGGCTCAGGAGCTTCAGGTCTGTCAATGGGGCAGCATGAGCGAAAGGGATGTTGAACTGGGAGTGGAGCTCAAGATAAATCTGGTTTGGGGTTAGAGCCTGAGCCTGTTGTGAGGCCGGAGGCTGAAAAATCTTAGTAAACCCTCTGCTGCCCCCGGTCTTCCCTTCTTCTGGGTACTGCACCCTAATCGTGGACACTGTCAGCTGCCCATCATCCCCCCCGCTAGCAACTGTTACCAAGCAACAGCCTCCGTCTTGTCCCAGCTCTTCTTTCCAAACAGCCAATGAGTTGACACCGCTTTGATGGGCGGGAATGATCAGGCAGGGGACTGGTGGAGTTGGGGTGCTGCTTGAAGTGTCATTTGATGAGAAGGAAGCCGCAGTCAAATCCCACACAACGATTTTACCATCTGTTGCAGCGCTGAACAGCAGATTACACCTACAGACCAAAGGTGACACCAAAGTGCACATGTGAGATTATTTTTCTGTCATATTTGCCCAAAATAAAAAGGTTAACACGGATGTACAACCTTTAATCTGAAAAAGCTGGTAGGTTGGGTAGATGTTGATAAACCTTTTTTTTATGTTTACAAATGAGGGTTTGCATTAAAATTGACAATAGTGAAAAGAAAACATATCAAGTGTTGAGACTAGAATTTTGTTTTGGGTTTTTTTCAATAAAAATTGTGACATTATATGAAAAATATGATGGTTTTAAAAAGCATTACAAACACTGAAAAGGTTGTGTAATGCTGTGAAAAAACATCTGATGTAACATCTACCAACTAGTGAGGGCAAAGTAGCAGGACTGGATGTAGAAAGAGCATGTCAGTCAGGCTGAATCTTTGAGTAGAGGGTTTTGTCACTTTGTGAGGGGCTGCGTGAGCAAATAACTACTTAGAGAATAACATGATTAAGTAGAATAACGTTCCTTGGTGCACAACTAAGAAGAATTCGGGAGTATCATTATCTATAGTAATATAAACTACAGAGAAATCTCTGTACCATTGTTGAATGGTTGAAGTCACTGCATGGGCTTAAATGACTTTCAAAAAACGTTTTCTGTGAACACATTCACAAACGCAGGTTAAAACTGTACAATGCAAACTATCAAATTTCATCATCATCTACATTTTACTGCATACAAGCTTTCTAGAGTGCTGTTATAAAAAAAAAAAAGGTTCATAAGTAACATCAGTGGTTTCGTCCTGATCGTTACCTGTCAAAGATTATCACTAATCTTAAAGGAAGTTGCAAACCTGAAGCCTTTTTCATCCTCCAGGCTGCAGGTGGTGATGCTGAGCACACAGCGCTGGTGGTAAAAAGTTTCCCACAACAAATCAAATTGGTGTCTGGCCTCGCTGATTGAGAACAATCTGGAAAAAAACAAGTATAGATGACAAAAGAAAGGCAGGATGGAGAGGCTGAGTACATCATTATTGAACACACAGCATGTTACAAGTCTTCAGCCACAGTTAAGAAATATTTTATCCATCAATAACATTTTTGAGATACATTTGGAAAGGTATATTTTAGACAGTACAACTTAATACAGCTTCTGAGAGAGAAAAAGTGTAAGGTATTTTAACACACAAACCTAAGAGCTCCATCGCTGCACGCTACAGCCAGAAGAACACAATCTGGTGTTTCATCCACGACCCGTACACACATGTACCTGAAACCATCAGACAAAAGCAATGAATCATAACCATATGGGTTTTAAAAGTAGAAGTGAGAGAAGTATCTTAGATAAGAGCACTAGGCTGCTTTTATGTCTCTTTGTTTTGGTATGTACTGTATCGTGTAGGAGTCTACCTTGTTTCTGGGTCCATTTTCACTGTCTTGTGTCGGTTCCTCCGTCTCTCCCACTGGTCGTCCAATCTGTGGCTGGCCACCTGGATCACCTGACATGAGGGAGCCAGTCTCTGCTCATCCCAGCTGATCAACAGCCGGTAACACTGCATCTGAGCTCGCCCACCAGCTGACACGAGCAGGGCGGAGAGAGACTGTGTCCGCTTTTTACTCTCTCCCTCTGGACCTGTTATTGCTGTTATTGTCCGAACGCTTGAGATGTGGTCTGTGATGACTGAGAGGACTTTGGTGCTGCCAGAGTTGGGATTAATGGCCAGGACAGTTAAGCTGGTGTCCTCTCCTCCTGTGACGACTATTTCCCAGTATCTCATTTCATTCCTTTGTCTTCTGTCCATTTCCATCAAATGTTCATCCCTCTTTGTTTGCATCTCATTCTTACTCCCGTTGATCTTCCCCAGCCTGCATACACACCCAATCCCCCTACCATGGACACCCTCCCTCCGTACCCATCCACCAGTCCTTCCTGCATCCCCAGCCTGGCTCAGTTCCTCTCCTGGAGGTTGGGAAGCCAGGACAGCCCCCTGTTTAATGAAGACCAGGACTCCATATCCAGGCCAAACCCCCATGTTAGGTGGCCAGAGACTCCATGAGCGATGCCCCCCACCACAAGGTACTGCTAGCAGTTTCTCCTGCCTCACTGGATCCCACACAACAAACTGGACAGCGTGGAAACCCACAATGACAAACCTAGCCTCTCTTCCCCTGTTTTCTGTCATTTCTTCTTCCCTTTTGTGATTCTCAAATCCTCCTAAAGGCTCCTCTTCCTCTTGTTCCTTTACTGCATTGTCACATTCGAGAAACAAAACCCTCTCCAGCCACTCCATTCCCTTGCAGGCACGCTGCACTCTTAGAACCTTCAACTTAAGACTTCCCTTGTTTTCCGCATTATTTTCAAGACCCCTTTCTTCTGGTTTTCCTGGTGGTGACGGATGCACTCTGAAGACTCTCACACATCCATCCCTGCCAGTGCTGTAAAGCAGTCCCTGGTGTTCACACAGTGAAGTTACACCCTGTTTTCCATGCACTCCAAACAAGCAGCTTAGTGACTGAAGCGTTGGCTCTTTCGCATCTTTGCAATGTTGCTCTTCTTCCTTCATCACACCTAATCCTGTGTGGTCTTTCCCCTCAGCTACCTCCTCTTTTTTAACAGTCTGTTTCCTGTCTGTAAGCAAGTTCTCAGCCATCTTTCCATTATCTTCTAACTTTTGTTCAAGTTTTACTTCTTCCTGAAACAAGAGAAGAGACCCTCTCCTGTCCCCACAGACCCACAGCAGCCCCTGTGATGTGGAGTGGAGGAGCACCGCTGCTGTCAGCCAGCGTTTGGCACACAGGGGAAGAAGGAAAGGACAAAGAGGATTTACACTAACATTAATGAAACAGCTGTCATCTAACTCTACTTTTATGCACCAGCGATGGACGAGACCTCCAGCACCTGATGCTAGTAAATACAGATTTTCTTTGGCTTCTTTCCATATAAGACTGTGGATCTTCCCTGATCCACCAGTGAGAAGAATCCCACTCTGAGGTTGAGAGATTGGGAAGACCTGTACAGACCCGGTGAGGTTTCCCACGGCACATAAACTAACTTTTGCTTCTGAGTCTTTCACACTGACAGAAACTGATTCCATCACACAATAAGACTGAAACTCAGGGGTCCCTTTCCAGACTATCTCCCACTTTCCATTACTGTGCTTGTACACTAGTCCTTGGTCAGTGCAAACCACGAATGTACTCCCAGTCCAACGTGCATATTTATCTTCTCCCCCTGCAGTACAAACCACTTTAGGCAAGCCGTGACCTGTAAATTTCAGATCACTTAGCTTCTCTGTCACTGTGTCCTCTGTTGTCTCATTCTTCTCTTCATTCTCTACTCTCCATAATCGAACCCCTCCATCTGCTCCCCCTGTAGCTACCCATCGCTCTTTATTTTCCATTCCCTCACTGACTGCCAGTGCACGAACACCCCCAGCTTTATGTCCCTTTAATGTCCGGACCACTTTACCACCTCCAGCCCAACCCCAAACTAAACAGGCCCCATCTTCACCTGCACTGAATACTTTCCCTGGGGAGAGGCGGACAGAGAAGACCCTTGCCTGGTGTCCATATAGAACTCTTAAACATGATGGGTTCAAGTCTCCACATTCCCCTCCAGGTCCTCCTAAAGCCCCAACACCCCAGACTCTCACACTCCGATCATCAGAGGCCGAAGCCAGCCATCCTTTCTCCTGGAGGTATGAGATGCTGAAGATGACCCCGCTGTGCCCCAGCAGACGTCTCTCAACAGGAGCTTTGAGCTCAGATTTTTCATCCCCACCTCCAGGCTTCCAGACAACCAGCTGGTTGAAAACTGTCCCTCCAACTAAGACTGTATCTGTCCAAGACTCATGCACCAGAAGGAGGGCAGAGTATAGAAGACACCCCTCCAGACAGGAGCGCTGAACCAGGGCATGTCCTCTAATGACATCCAGTAGCAAAACACTATTGTGAGCTACAGCCACACAGAGCCATGAGCACTTGTCTCCAGAGAGCCAGTGGACATCCAGGGCCCAGTCATGCAGCTCCATGAGAGGGCCAAGAATCTCAAAGCGAAGATGCCTCTCGTCACTGAAATCCACATAGAGCCTTACCAGCCTCACAGATTTACCTCCAAACACTGCAAGGTCATAGAAGATGGGCTGAGCAGCAGAGTTCAGTTCTGTAGGTTGAAAGGATGAGAAAGGACTTTAAAAAAAAACCATCAGCTGTAGAAACTGGTGGCCTGTAACTCTGAATCAACCACTAACCATTACATAACAGTTCTTTAGCCAGTCATCACATGCAAAAATACATTGGTATTTTGATTGGTTATGCATTTGACCAATTTATCATGTCTGTAAATCACCCTCAACATATTTTTTGCTTGAACTACCACTTAAAAATTTCTACAACTTCACACATAAAAATTGAAACTATAGAGGAGAATGGGGTAAGATGAGTCGTTTTTCATATTTCGAATCACTACATCAAGGCAATCATTGTTTTGTTTTGTCTCTAACTAGTGTATCGATATATATTTCAAGATGTTGTGCATCCCTGCAAACCAACAGAATGAGTGTAAACAGAACTGACTTGATAATTTAGCATGCCAAAAAGAAGTGGTCTCCATAGGAGCGGGGTAAGTTGAGCTGTATCCTTACTATCCCACCCCTTCCTCACCTTCTCTTTCCCTAAATAACAGTCACTTCTTCACATTCATTTATATTTTTATCTATTATACGCTATTCAACTGGTACAATAATTCTTTTTATTATTATTGCATGTAACTGCTAAAAAGCTGTTTTGTACAAAGCCATTTTAACATGAGAATGCCTTTAGATGATTCAGAACATTCACAGCAGTATTTTTGAAAAGAAAAAGTAACACATTTCAACAATCTGAAGTGAAACTCTGATCCTCTCATCAGACTCCTTTACTTTCTCAGTTGGACCACTGGCTCAACTTACCCCAGAACTACTATAATGACTTTATTAGTCCTCTAAGCTAAAATGGTGGACTTTTATGTTAGGTTTTTGATCTCATGTTGTAGCTCATAGATACCACAATTGATACATAAAACAAATTTAAAATGATCTTTTTTTAGTCTGAACACAATTCTAATAAAATTTATGACAGACTAAATTCACTTTTGAGAGTGATTTTTTTTAAATAAATGTCTAACCCCTTTACCCATGTGCTTCTAACCTTCACAGACTTCATGAATTGATGCCTATCTCCAAAATACTTGGTCACATGATCGATTCCTTTTACCATTTCCAAGCAACAGCGGTTGGCTCAACTTACCCCACTCTCCCCTACTCACAAATCTGAAAACTTAAGCTCATATATAAACAGAACGAGTCTAAACATCCACCACCACTAATTAGGGTTACCCCCTTTTTACCTTTACAAACTCAGATGGAAGATCTTGTGTCAGAGTATTAAAAAAGTTAAAACAAATTTCCGCTTGTCCTCACCATCAGTGCTCTGTTCAGAAGTCTCTGTGACAGAGCTCGGCATTATGACAGCAGTTGGATGTCTGGGTCTGATCCCATGGATTCTGTGATGCTGGAGCACACTTAGCCAGGCACAGGCTTTGGGGCACTGCTGGAGACTGTACACCGTCAAGACTGGACCCTCACCTGCCAGGACAGTATAGTTTAGGTTTCAATCAAGATCGATGTTTCATATGCGACACAAGTGAAGTGAAGTTGTGACAGTGAGATAATGTGGATTGGAAACAGTAGAGTTGCTTCTTTATTTAGTGCTGCTCACCTGCGAGGAGAAATTGGTCCTGAAGAAACTCCAGAGCTGTGACTGGAGCTACCAGAGCTGCTGTCTCCATCTCTGAACCATTCACTCACTTTCATTCAAAGAATTATGAATGGTGTCTGATATATTTAGTTATAAAAATACCAATCGTGTCAGTTTGTTTCAATGTGTCACTTAATAGACACGACTTTTGCCTGATGGAGAAAAGACGATAGCTCATCAGTTAGCAAAACAAGCTAACAATAACAGCACATCACGTGTTCCTTGGTGGACATTCTTCATGAAAGTCACTTTTTTAGATCTATAAATACAGCCATGGGCCTTGCTCGAAAAAAATAAAATAAAACAAAAATTATAAATGTTCTCTAAATCAGCACAAAATGTTTTTATTTGGACCTCTTGACCGCAATGCAGTACCCATGTGTTTCTCTTCTGTCTTCCGTGTACACTTAAACCAATCACGCTACGGTGTTAGCATTGTCAACACCGATTGGTTAGAAAAAGGTGATGGATATTTCCATTGGTTTATAAAGAACATGTGACCGACTGTCGTGGAATTGTGTCGCCTTCAAGTCTCACGGGAAAAAATAATTATGATTTGCGGACTAGTTGTTTTATGTAATTTTTCATTTTGAACTTTATGTTAACTCTCAACAACACAAAATAATTCACGAGTTTTTCTGACCATTATACAGGAGCTGTCTTCAACCTCCCTTTGTTAAGTAATTTCAGTGTAATCTTTTAAATTGTAATTTATTTCAATTACAGTGCAGTTTGGTAGAATAATACACATGTTTTAAAAAATTAATCTATAATTTGCCCCACAACAACGGTATTTTTCTGCAATGTCTCAAGTCCCACGGGTTTGATTTTGATTTTCCCTACATACCATGAATGCATCAGGAGGCATTTAAAGATATGAGGTTGCGTCTGGCCGTAAGGTAGCGGTCCAGCTAACTTCACAGCTAACAATGCCTGGGAAATGTAAATTTCAGGACTCCTGGCTCTCAAAGGGGATTTACAAGGACTGGCTGATAAAGGACGCCCAGGGCATACACTTTGCCAGATGTAGGGCCTGCTGTAAATCTATTAAACTTCAGACCATGGGCGAGGCTGCTCTCAGCAGCCACGCAGGGGGAGCTGGCCACAAAGCGGCGGTCCGCAAGCTAGTGGAAGGTAGCTCAGCTTTGGATCACGACTGGAAAACCTGTTTAAGACAGGAATTAGAATGTGCAGAAATGCACAAGTACATGTGATACTGACTGGACTATAGCTGTTATTAGATAGCTTATATAACTGTATGTCTGATTTAGTGTCTGTAGTTGTTGGTGGGCGTGTGCATATAACTATAACAGTCCAAACCTGTGCTCATCACTCAGTTTTTCCTCAGATCATCCACTCTTAAAGACAGCAATACAATTTAAGAGCAAAGTAATATCAGTCAATACTGTGCAAATTTTAATGATCGCCAATGTCACTCAGTGCCTCCAATGTGCATAAGCCCACTACCAGAGATTGAAAACATATTTACTTCCCTGCAGAGGTGGGTAGCAGCTGTTTGAAAAAATCTGCAGTCTGCTTGGTGTCTTGGCAGACAGGAAATTATTCACTAATAAGTCTGTATCAAAAGGAAATGCAAATGTCCCTCACCTCTTTTAGTGAAACATTAAAAGTGGTGTTTGAAAAGATTGCAACCCCTTTCTGTTTTATGTATTGAAATCTTCTAAGTTGACAGTTTAATCTTATTTCTTTTGTTCAGCCCTTTACAGTAAGGTATTATCATGTAATCATCAACCAACAAGACAGAACTGAAATGATCATATTCAGTATTTTATCATTTTGCTCTCATCCCTTCATTTAGTTGGATACTTGCTGTCTTGCTTTTTATATTCAGCAGGTGCAACTTCAGGCAGCCAAACACTTCAAGGTGACTGAAAAGTACTGAAGTGTACCGCCAAGTTTGAAGTTTGGATTTCTTGCTCCAAACTGTTATTGGGAAGCAATAAATTCAATGTTGCAAAAGAATGGTTAACTATTGGTTAGTTAGTTGTCGGTCGTTTTGCTTTCTCATGCACAAAGTTTGAGCCGTGTTTGGTTTTGATTGAGTTGTTCTGATAGTCCAGTCAGAAATGAAAATTCCTGCTCTGTACTGTCAACACTAGATTAGACTAAATGGAGCAGTTTTCGTTGGTATGTTGGAGTGTGTTGATTGAATTGGGACTTGTACCTGCTTCTACCAGAGGGAGGCACCCTCTGCTCATTTCCCTGTAACACATTAACCTCCTGCGTCTCCCCTGTGTGTCTCCTGTCTTTTTTTCCTTATAAGCAGGCAATATGATGGCAATTAATGCTGCTGGTCAGACCAACGGCACAGTGAATCGGGTAAATATTCAAATACAATCATGCTGGTTTAAACTTATTTAAGGAATAAACTCATCAGCATTCAAACAACATAAAGCTGAACCTGCAAATGCCCATGTTGCACACACAGTGGTAAAGTAATCCATGACATGACATTTTTCTCTCTGTCTCAGACTGAGGACAGCAAGGAGCAGGTGGGCTTGTGTGTCCAGCGTGACTCTGTGGACAGAGTAACAGGCAGCGACTGGCCAGATCTGCACCACAGCCCCACTCCAAACTCCACCTCCCACAATGCAGAGCTACCTGATGTGGCATTTCATGCTGCTTATTTCACAGCACCAGGTACTGTAAGACGATGCTCTGCAGGCTGACTCAGTACAAGTTACCTATCATCAAATTTTCTGTCTGTAAATATTAGTATAAGTTAATAAGAAGACTTTTAGGCTGTGAACATGTATGAGTTTATAGCTAATGAATTAGGTTGTAGCCAAGTAAACAGCGCTGAATGATTTTCCTGTAGGGCAATTAGAAAAGTGTTTACAAAGAATAAGGTGTGTTATTATACACAGACTAAATACAGACTAACAGGAAATATATGTTTAAGTCAACAATATTCAGTCCTCGGGTTTATGAAAGTCATCTGATAGTTTTACTGATATCTATAAAGGTGCAGTGTGAAGTACTTAGCAGCATTTAGCAGAACAGATATAGAAGATATCATTATCATTGAAGCTTCTTATCCTCAAAAGCCACCATCACCTCTGGAATTTCACTAAAGGGGGATTGGGCAGAAGAAGTGTTTTAATCTAGAATCGTATGTTTGTAGTATTGATTTTGTATCAAATGAATGATGCATCATAATGCTAAAGGTTATTGCGAGTAAACTTAAAGCTACTGTGAGCAGTTTTTAACTGGAAGAAAAACAGACAGAAACTAATAATAATGTCTCTTTATGACATTCACGAGCAGACAAGACCAGCAGATATAAATCTGATAATTTCACTGTTTCGGGTTTATCACTTCAAAGTACTGTAAGGGGCTTAGGTATCAGAACAGATGATTGACAGCAGGGAGAAAAACCTCCTTTTTTTCTCTTTTTGCACAGCAAATACTTTCAATGAGTGATTCATTTCTTATTATTTAAAGAATAACACTATGAAGTTTTTGTCTGAAAAAGCTACTTCCAGACCAGAAAAATAGACAAGAGATATCACTTTGTTCACAGGGGGCGCCAGAATCGACCCAACGCCAAATGTTCCTCACAGCAGCTTTAATAAAATTATGAACTATAATGAAATATATTTAAGTGATATTTAAGTGAGACACTGTCTGGATTTTAACCAGTTAAACACCCCCCTGAGATTTTTGAGTGTCACATTATTCAGAGCTTCCTTTCACAGTGTTTCTGTCACTGACCTTGCAGGCACGTCCAGGCTCATCAGCCAGCGTCTCCACCCATCAGTCAGTGACACGGAGGAATCACGTTACCAACCAGCGCAGCAGGACTCTGTCGACCTGTCCAGACTGGAGTACCAGCAGAGGTCGGACGCTCTGGAGCAGCAGCAGCAGATGAAGATCCTTGAGTGGGAGAACAGGATGAAGGTGCTGGCGTGGGAACAGGAGCTGGTGAGGGAGAAAAGGAGGGCAGCCCGGCAGAAGGAGAAAGCCTTTAGGATGAAGAAGGCTTATTACAAAGCCAAGCTGAGGAGGATGGGCCAGGATGTGCCGCTGTCTTCCTCCAGCAGCAGTGATGATGAGGAGAAAACATCTGACCCCACAGGATGAACCATGGACAGCTGTATTTTTATGAGCACTCTTACTTATATCTATTTTGTCTTTTGAAGTGTGACTATTTTTATATACTGTTTATATTTTAATGCAAAGGAAGGATTCTCATTTTATTGAAATCATCTGTCTATACACAAAGAGGACAAAACAGACTTTTCCTTTAGCACTGGGCTTTTGTAGTTCTTGTAAAGCTGCCTGCAGCAGTGAACAGCATGACGATTTGTTTAACTCGAGAGGAAATAACTGCTTCTGAAAGGCAAAGTTAGAGTGCTTGAGTTATATCACCATTCAATTTCACCATAAGAACTGCAGTCCACCAACTCTGCTGTGTGATTATCAGATTTTCTGATAAAGTCATCCCCAAAGATAAACACTACAAAGTAAACGTCATATCCCGTTTCAAAAGAGTCAATCAAAGAGTCAAACTAAGTGGCTCTGCTGAAAGAAATGCACATGCTATGAATGTAGACACAATTATTTAATACACCTCATAGGCAGGCCAATGACCTGTGTAAAACAGCTGAGATCACAGTGATCCTGTGTGATTTATCTGTAATTAATCACAATGTGGTTTCAGTATTAGATGATAGATGTATTGGTAGAGATATATTGTTGTTCACAGTGATAGTTTCCGGGAAGGACAGAGCTCATTATAGATATATTATTTTGAAGAATGTACCTCCTAATGGACAATCTTTTGAACATAGTTTTCCATGCACAGCTTCTTCTTCTGTGGTGCCTGTCAACACAAGTATGTATGCTAACAAAAAAAGCATATTGTTTTGGCTTTGTAAATAAATTACATTTTGTACTGAGCTGGACTTGACTACATGCATGTGACCAGAGTGGTGAGGCAACATGAAGTCCATATGGATAAAAGGAGAGGACAGGTTGGCTGTAAGATCAAGTAACCAAAGCCACGGAATTTGTTTGGTGAAGTTGAGGAAAAATCAAGTTCTTTCACAGTAGACTAGTAAAACCATTTCCTCCCATTTCTGTCAAAACACAGTCAAAATATAGATTTCCTTAAACTGTGGACTACATTTGAAGCACACTGTTGGACAAACAACGCCACACTTAAAGTTCCTGATGGTAAATTTCAGTTCATACAATTTTATGCCTCCTGTGGACAAAGCAGCTCTGCTCAGCGAGTCATCTCCACATTCAAGTAGTGTCTGATGTATCATTTCATGTGAAAATTTGATGGTGCTCTTTGGCTGACACCTACTCTTAGACCAGTTCAAGGTTTGTTTGCTTTTTCATTTAAAAAAGCATCAGTATGAATTTTAGTCTATTTCATAGATGTTAGAAAACTCAAAGAAATCTAAGTGGGACATTGATCATTGTGTTTTTATCTATTGAAGGTTTAAATCCAAGTTTGTTCACAGCCTCATTATACTGAGCCCCAGCTGGGTGCTTCTACGTTTGGAGCTTTTTTTTGATGTTGCTATGAATCAAGGTGTCAGCTGAACATCTCCAACGGTGACAGAATTCTTTGAGATTCACAACAAGTCTGATGGAGAGCTCTCCAGAAAAACATGTCCCTCTGTCAGGATGTTTCCTCTGCCTGGTTTTTCGCACCTGGAAATGCCTGTCCTCATGAATATGAAACGGCAAACCTTGTTCTGTCACACACACACACGCACACACACACACACACACACACACACACACACACACACACACAGAATAAGTACAAACGCACTGTGTAGGAATAAGTCATTTTTTTAATGTCCAACATTTCTCTTGTTTCCGTGGTAACAGGGGAACAGCTGTTTCCATTCTGCTGTCCCTCGCTGATGGCGGGATAGAAAACATCCTATAATGAACACACAAATCTAACAAAGACAACTCCCATCCCTCCTTCTTCTCCTCCTCTGTCTATCTTTCACTCTGTTTTTTCTTCTGTCTCTTCTTCCCTTGATCCTTTTTTCTCTGTCGGAGCACATCAGAACTTTTGAACCTCAACTGTTTTGGTCTGTTTGACTCCGGTCCCTTGTGGCACTCCTGTTGGTCTGAACATGATTAACCTGGCGCTGCAGTCTTCCAGGGAGCTGCCTTTGACAGTGAAAAGCAGGAAAAGAACTGAATTGGGGCACATGCACAACTTCATGTTCAACAGTCAACTTGAAGTTTAAATGACCTCATTTTTGGAGATGAAAATGTCGGATATTTCAGCTCATATCGGGAAATTCTGCAAGATTTCTCCTCAGTTTTTGGATAAAGAAACTGTTTCAAATGCTAAAATATGGAGTTTAATGTATTAGACTACTATGGGCATAATGAGATATTTTTACTAGAGCATTCCCCAATGTTATGTCCTCCATCTATGCCCGTGGAGACTACATTACATGTGAAAAAACACATTTTCAACAGCCTCTCATACAAAACGGCAATGTAAATAATGAACACAGTGTCAATAAATAATCCATAAGTAAAATAAATCTCATGTCTGTACAAGTTAAAGGTACTGTCAGCGGAAGATAAACAAATCTGTGCAGGAGCAGGAAATAAATGGAGCAGCTGGATGAAAAAAAGATTCAGAGGTGTGTTGTCTTTTCAGAAGAACACTGGATGGTTTTCCCCTGCAGGAGCCTATTTTTGGCAATATTACCGTCATGAATAAGTTTACCTGTCACATCATATCCCAGGGTGACAGAGCAGCGGTCAAAGAAATATATGCACAGGCAGGGTGTCTGAGACGTGTTTTTCCATGTTTTCCTCTGTTTCTATTTTGTTTTTTGCTCACTGTGATGAGTTACGTCTACACCCTCCTCCTCCTCGCAGACCCCTTAGATACACAGTCATAGTTTCTGACCTAATTTGTTCTCCTTCTGACCTTTATCTTTTTTTTTTTTTAACCTGAGGAGTTATTCTGAACTCCTCTTGCTCTCTGTTGCTAACCCTAACCCTGTGATATACAAGCGACCTGTCTCAATTCTGGCCAAATGCCACCTCAACACTGAAGGGCAAACTGATGGATGGATCTGTTGCTGTATCTTTTGACTGTAACCAAAAAATCTCAGACAAATTTTTTTCTACAACCACAAACACACTTTGCTCCCACTTTACATGACCCACTGCTCTTTATCCTTATAAAAAAACACTTCAGCTTGCCCCATTCCTTTAATCTATATCAGTCTGTTGGGAGACCATCTCCCTCTCTTTAAACGCTTGTGTAGTGCTACCTTACCGCCTGCAATCATCACTCGCTCTAACAGCTGTGAGAAAGAAGCAGCTGCTGATAGATAGACCTGCATCTCAAAACCACTTAAGAGGCTTTTAACGCTGACACGGCTGACATCCTGACATCTCCTCAGCATACTGTTGCAGCAGAAGCAAAGTGGCGTCTTTCAGGAAAGCTCATCTTTGTTCAAACGCAGTAACAAAGCTGTACTGATGTCTTCTGGTGTGAACCACATCATCAATGTCAGCTTCGAAGCTATGTCAGGATTCCAGTGTCTCTTTTTTGAAATTTCCCTTTAACGAAGGGTAGAGTGAAATCATCCTCAGGCAAATGTGTTCAGGCAAGCGAGTCAAAATTCTGTCAGGGGATTACAGACCTACAATACAGACAGGAGCTGATACACTCAGGTAGATTTCAAGCTGGATATGTTTCCCAGAGGCCTGAACTACTAGGATTTGAGGTTAATGAGGTAGCGACAGTAAACTCTGGGTTTTCAGACTGTGTGAGAGTGGTTACTGAAATTAATCATCATGGTAACTCCCTGTACACACATACACTACAGGCCAAAAGTTTGGAAGCAAGATCAGATTTGTACAAAAAAAGATCATAGTTTCATATATATAATTTGCAACACAATAAACATGACCATTGTGTAAAGAGTAATTTATCAGAAGACATTTTGACTATAATTATAAGGTATTTGAGTTATTGTTGCTTAGACTTTGCTTTCTTTAAAGTAACCTCCTCTGGCTTTAACAACAGCTTGGCATCTACCAGGCATTTGTTCCCCAAGTTTTTTTAAGATATGTTCCAGGTATTGCATTCCAAGCTTTCTTAGGTTCATTAAAAAGAGACTGCTGATTCGTGGGATGCGTTTTTCTGACCGATCGATCCAATTCATCCTGCACAAGCTCAATTAGAGAAAGGTCTGGAGACTGAGGGGGCCAAACCATCTTTTGAAGAACACCGTCCTCTTCTTTTTTGTCTAGGTAACCCTGACAGAGCTTGGCAGAGTGCTTAGGGTCATTGTCTTGCTGCAAAACAAACTTATGAGCCACAAGTCTGAGTCCAGATGGAACAGCATGGTGCTGGAGGATGGATTGGTACTGTTCCTTCTTCATGATACCCTTTACTTCAAACAAATCTCCTGCAAACTTGTTTCTAGTCATCATAAGTCCAATTTTTGTGAGCTTTTGCCCACTTATATATCCTTTTCTTGTTCTGTGGACGAAGTAGTGTTTTTTTTTTGCAGATACACAACCCTTCAAATCAGCCTTTCTCAAACGTCATTTCACGGTTGTCAGAGATATGGGTTTCGACCTTGTCATGTTGATTTTCTCCCTTATTTTTGGTGCTGTCTTTCGCCGATCTCTCTTACTGGTGACAATGCTATGTTTATCCTCTGCTTTTGTAGTAACTCTTTCGTCCAGGTCTTTTTCTATCATCATAACTTCCAGGTTCCTCTAGTCTCTTCAGAGTGTAGTGGACTCCTTTGTTAAACACCTTTAGGCGTTTTGCAATTTCTCTTTCTGTGTATCCTTGTATATCCTGTGTATCTTTCCTCAATGTACAAATCTGTACTTTTGTTTCTTTACTCAGTTGCTTCTTTCTAGCCATTTCTGCTGTATTTTGAATGCAGTTGAGATTTATTAGGATTTTTGTATGTAGACTCTTGAAAAGCCAAAAAGTTGAAGTGAATAATCCAACTGTGATTTGTTTTTTTGCTTTTGCACTGAAGTTGGGACTCTTGTATATGTTTTCAACCCTAAAACTAAGCCCTTATTATCTTTTGCTGACATATATTTAGCAATGGTGAGTTAACATCAATGTATATCTAAAGGTAAATGGAGCAAAATGGTGCATTTCCATGAAAGCAACATCTGATCATGGAGTAAATACATCCCAAAGTACATAAAACTCATGCTGGATTTAAAAAAAAGCATTGTGAACAAAAACACAAACTCCCAACTGTTCGGCCTGTGATGGCCTTGCTTCCAAACTTTTGGCCTGTAGTGTAACTTGCTCCAGACCAGGTTATGTTCATGGTAAGAGATCAATTTGTGTAAAACACTGCAGACTAATTAGTCAGTTCTCTTGATCAGAGTTCAGAAGGTAGATCACAGGAGGGGAGGAGGAGCTAAAAACATCCTCTTTACAGTGTGATTTTCCGAATGAATCGGATTTATGTCCACAATTTATCGACATCATCCCGCAGCAGAGACCTACAAAAGCTCTGAAGCCTTGAACTTTGACTTATATATAAAAAAACCCAACATATTTAGGGCTTTGGGTGGTATCATGATCTTCTTATATGCTCCATATCCCTCTTTTTGATCAGGTAGGGGCTGCAGCTGAGATAAAATCACACACATGCCACATGAACGCATGTGAGTCACAATTTAATTAAGTGGAAGAAACGGATGTTATCTCTGTCAGATCCACGGTGCTAATGATGGGAAGTGATATTAGAAGCTTTGACTTGCACATTGAAGCAGACAGTGATACATCTATATATAGAGCAGAGACTGTTTTTTGTCTCTTGTTCTTCCTGCGTTTGGCAGCTGTAGCTGTGCTCACTGAAATCTGCTTATAGTTTACCTGTTCAGGCCTGTGATTGGTTGTGTGCTA